GCATCTATTTGTATCTCTGTCCGTGGTCACTTGAGTGTTTGTTGAGTCGCGTAAGTAATGCAATGCCTGGGAGGAAGGTCTAATTTCGTGATTATGTTATTGACAAGAAGGGTTGAAAAATGAGGTATGTGCCCTTCTTTCACGACAAATGTATAGCATTGTGACATCCACAAAGGTTAGCGTGCTGCATATATCGCCAAGTTGGGCATGTGTAATTCAAAACCAAACCAAGCCATTAATTTTATGCGATGCGTTTACACGTATGCACACACGGGTCGCAATTTGTTTGTGCAATAATTTGTTTGAATTTGAACTAATTGGTTAATGAAGGGTGCTGGTGACGAAGGAATTTACGAGGTGCAGTGTGTATTGCATTATCTTCATCTTCATTATTTGGCCGCAGTGCCGTAAAAACGGAACTTTGCGCCTTTGTAAACAAATTATTGCTTAGGATATCGATACAAATATATTTTTTATTCCAGAGTTTAAATCCAAAATTGATAAAAAACAAGACAGAAATTGTTATGTCGCATTATTAGTAAAAATTTTAATAGAAAATTCAAAATAAAATTGGCCTGAATTGAAGAACTTCAAGTTAAATTTTGTTAAATTTCAAGATTTATGAGAATTATACGAATAGTATGAATTTCAACGTGTGCAATTTTTACGTCCACTATTGGCCTTATCTAGACACGGGCCTGTAGTCGTTGTACGTGTCAGTGTCATAAATCCTTTTTACGACGACGACGACCCATCCATCCACTCATTCACGACGACGGACTGCTGTTGCTGCTGCTCATCTTCCTTTCCTTCTCTGTCAATTGTCTCGTCACTTAGTTATTAGCACGTTGTTATGTGATTGTTACTTAAAAGGATGGATAATCAGATTGAGACTAAACCGACACGAGTGTCATGTCGTTGACGTTGCGGTGATGTGGTCACGACGCGGCACACGACTCCACTTACTTATGTATTATCTAACCACGCAACTTAACGACTGAATCCAATAGGCTGCTCATCCCATAAATTGCATGAGGGAAGAAATTGTGACAGATGGTTTTTTATGACGCCTGCATTTACACCGTGGAGGTATTCAAGTCAATAATTAATCTACATATGTATGCGATATTGAGCATGAGGTATAGATCTGTAAATAATTTTTTTCGGGTTTGCTAATTTTTTTTGCACTGAAAAGCAAGCCACGCAAGAAATTCGAGGTGTAAGAAACTGCGAGAAATAGCCGAACACCTTATGAACTATTCGCAATTTCTTGCACCTTGCAATTCTTGCAGGTCAAAATGTTTAGCTACAAGAAACCACTTTCTTGCCATTATTTCTTGCCATTATTTCTTGCCAGTGGTTACTTCCATTCGAAACACTGCTTGATCGATAGCTTGAGAAACTTTGCAAAATTTTGGCTCAATGATGTATACCATACAGTTCAATGAATATGCAAATGCACAATTCCATACTTCACGACGACGACCCGGCTCACAAGTGATCAAGGACTTTTCTGTACAGGACAATTATTTACTTCAATATCTGTTCCCATCTCGAGAAGATGCGACACAGTTTGTTACGCAACATTAACAATGAAAAAGTATATAATCCGACATAAGTTTGTGGCATCAAGAGGGTTTATTTATGTACGAATTCATTTACTAATCGTACGCAAGAGATGATAATGATTCATGACCAAGTAGTAATCAAAGTGAGATTGATTGCTTGCTTGTCGTTGTTTTGTTACTTGGTCATCATCGTTTAACCTTAAGAAAGGAATTAAATAATATTACACGCCAGCCAGCCAGCCAATCCACCAGTCAGAAGAATGTAATAATTGTACTGATTGACATCTTTATGAAGGGATGAGTGATTGTTGGACGGTGGTGGGTTTACCTTTACACGGTGTGATTATAATATTACACGCCATTTTAATATTAAATCGTGACTCGGCACTTAACCCAGGGAACACTTTGCCAATTAATAACTTTTTCCCTGTAAATAAAATCGGATGGAGGGATAGGATAGTTGAAAAAATGGTTTCGTCGTCAATGTCCAAAACGCGTTTTAAGCAGTTTTGGACGTCCAAAAGTGTCCAAAATAAGAAATGGGGCAAATTTTACAAGTTCTTTATTATTGAATCTTTCGATAATCCGTTAACTTTTATGTAATCTCCTGTTAATTTTGAGCATTTTGGTGTGAAATACGGCATGGTTTAGAAAATTCCTTAATTTCTCATAAGAAAACATGTTAAAACAAAAGGTTATCCAAATTTCGTGGTATTACACACACGCCAAAATGCTCAAAATTAATGGGAGATTACATATCTGTGCATGGATTTGTAAAAAAAGTCGCTTTTGGGCGTCAAAAACAAAACACTGGTTAAAAGATTTCGAATAAAAGTCGTAATTAAAAAAAAATTTCTAAATATAAAACTGCACCAATTTACATACATAGTGCAAAGTATGTTTAACATTTAGCCGTCTCATTTTATCCCATAACCACAACTAATTAAACTAGCCAAGTCATTTTATCCCCTCTTATCCATCTCTTTATCGATCCTGACCTTCACTTTGTCGCAGAAAGTGAAGAAGCAGCAGCAAGTTTGTCAATAATAAATGATAGTGTGCCGGTTATGATTAAATTGTTGTGTGCTGTACACTCACAATTAATTTGTTTAAGGTAAAAGAGATTAAATTTGTGGGTATAAGATGACCAACTATTTATTATCAAGGGTGGACTTGTAGCATACATAATTTCTGGTCCTCTTCCATCCATCCATTCGTCCATAACGATCATCTTGGTGAATCGATATTATGCAAATAAAGGAGAAGATCCCATCAAAAGATCGCATTGAGACACTTGTTGCATTGTCTTCATCTTCATCTTCATATTTTTTCAAGTATTTGGCAAATGCATCAAATGCTTGGTTGGTTGGTGGTCACAGTCACTAACACTCCTCGATCCTCAATAATTCTCAATAATTCATCCATTTTTCTCATGACCTTGTCGAGATTGGATGACTATCTCGATACGCGCCGACCTTTGCTTTACATATTTTATACGTCCTTAACCATCGATTCCACAATTAGAAAGATTAGAATTAGACCGATGGGTCCACTTGCATACTTACTTTTTAATGGCGACGTTTACTTAATCGAGCTCACTTTTTTTGTCATCTTGAATAGTGAATGATTATTATTTAGTTAGTTTTTTCTCGCTCTTTTTTTATTACCCAACTTTTTTAATAGTGGTAAATAAATCTAATAAGTAAATAAATTATGAAGAAAATCCGTCCGTTTTGTGTTACACAGTTGTAAAAAGAAGATAACCAAATTTGTGGTGGCGGCGACAAACGACAAATTATAGGTGCACCAGTTACTTACTCGTTGCCCTTCATAATTCAGCTCAATTTAAGACAATAATCGATTCACTGAAACAAAAGGTTAAAATCGTCAATAGTCAATCGTCTCGTGTGCATTATTTATGTAGGTTGGGCAGCAGCAGCAGCATCCACTTTGTTCTTCGATTTATAAGTGCGATTGTCTTTCTCTGCCTCTCTCGTCATAAAATTATGGGTTTGATTATAAATCTCGTGTGAATGGGAATGAAGTCAATTGATGTGTCCCTCGGTCGTTAAAGAGATAATCTGTTACGTATTTCGTTTAAGATGTCGGCTCGGATAAGCGTGCTGCAGTCAAATATTTTGCTACGTTGTGATTGTTACTTGGATTATGGATGCGGGCCATGTTAAATACGCTGTGCACTTGAAAATAAAAATATTATGTAGTCGATGGATCGATCGATATTGGCTAACTTGACTATTTAGTGCTCTCGGCAAGGAATTTGTTGTTGGCATTTGAACAATGTGAGAAACTTGGTGATAAACAACACCTCGTTATCCGAGAGGACAACATTCCTTTGTGGATGGAGGGCGGATATGTATCAGAGAAAAATTGTTGAAATTTGTGTTTAATATTTAGAAAAAACACGCCAAAATATCCACGAAATAAGTACGAAAAAAACAAAAATACGAATTTTCACAAAATTTGTACCTCTGAATATAATCCTCTGGACTTTTTATGGTAGAATTTCTTTGAGCAAAAAAAGTTCTTCCTGTAACGTCGAAATATTTGCTAAATATATGTGTATTAAAAAAATTAAATGAAATGTAAAAGATTTACGTATTTTTGAAATAATATCGGTCGTCATCAAGTGAAAAAGTTGTCAATAAATACATTTCAGCCCTCTAAAATAATATGATGGGGGCAAATACTAGTTTAAATTTAGAAAAATGTATTAATTTCTGGCCTGATTTAAGTTTAAAAAAATATGGAAGCAGTTGCGAAATGCAGTTTTTCATAGCGCACATGGCGAAAAACTCGTGATAGGTACTTGTTATGCGCACATTGGGAGTTGAACCATCCCGTTGAATGGACTCATCACAATGTACTAATTATTATATAAGGCGTCATCCATTATGTCATTTCGCTGAGGACGACCGTGTGTGTCATGTCACTCATTCAGTCATTCATGTCGCGGGACATTAACGTTTCATTTATCCTCATCCCTCGTCATTTACCAAGTTGTGGAGGTTTAAATTTTGGTGCGATAATAATTACACACGCCACGACGACGATGAGGCGTGCCACTCTTCGTCACACCCGCAGTGAGTGAACCTCTTCATCTCTTGAACTATGTACTAATTGGTGCCATTGTGACGCTGCACATTTTGAAAGAAATATGACGATGTCATTATTACGTCATTTCTTCGTCACCTGATGTCTTTTATTTATTTTAAATCCCTTCAAAACTTGACCCCAGTATCCGACAAAAACATGACAACAATTCTTCTGAATTTCCAAAAATACTCATTAAAAAAAATATTGCAAAATTTGTATCGTCTTTTTCTACGCATGTCTTGATAACGAATTGCAGATAGCTTTTTCCTTATTTTTCCACTAAAACTTCTGTGTAATCCGATTAATTGTTTATTTTAGGCGACGCTACGGACGAGTTTTCTCGCGGTGGTCGTCCTCGTGATCCTGACCCCCAGGGCGGACGCGTCCCCAAAAGTCGTAGGAAACAGGAAGGACTCCGATGACGCGGATGGAACAGTGGCCGTCCTTAATATTCAGGATCATAATAAGACGCAGTACCTGAATCAGAATTTTGATGGAGGTAATTTTTGTAAAACAATTGAAATTTGAGCAAAATTTTAGAGGTAATTTTTGTAAAAAATTGAAATTTTAAATCAAATTTTGAAGGACACTTTTGTAAAAATGTGAAATTTTGGACCAAATTTATATAATTTTGGATCAATTTTCTTGAAAAATCTGTTATTTTGGTAATTCTTCCTCTTTCACTGTCATTTTTTTGTGTTCCTTCTTTTACCTCACAGGAAATTACAATTATGGTTACGATATCAAACCGTCGGGTCCCTTGGGACAGTTTCACCATGAAAATAAAGCCGTGGACGAAGTAGTTTACGGTTGCTATGGCTACCTCGATCCCAATGAAGAGGACCAAATCACCTTTTACATTTCCGATGCGTGGGGTTATCGTCCAGTGAAGCAGGAACAACCGGTCGAGATTTTCTACCCGGCCGATAACCCGGAAGGGACAGGACATCACAATGGCAAATTGACACCCTGGGCGGACATCGTCTTTCCGGAAAAATGCATCTATTTCGCCAAAGAAATTGCGGCCGCGGTACCGAAAAAGGCGTCAACGGCGTCAAGCAGAAGACCGATCGGTGTGTCGTATTCCTCAACACTGCAACAATCTCCGCATACGACGACGCCACTGCTTCCGTTCACGTCGTCACCTGCGCTGAAACAACAATCGACCCATACCTCGTCGTCGCCACCATTTACGCCATCGTCACCGACGGTGCGAGGAGGAGGAAGTGGGGGTGCGCCAACTACGACGAATCCATTTGCTGGAGGGGACCGAAGGAGACCAAATTCATTTTTGAATCCGGGCTTCAAATCCATCACGAATACACCGACGGCGTTGGCTAGTGAAGCTATTGGGAGCAATAGTGGAGGCATCGATGGGTCGCCGGGACCAGGTCCGTAAATGTTATTGTGTCTTGTTCTTATCTGAGCTTTCTTGACTTGTCTGTGTCTTGTTGAATTGCATGGATTTTTTGCATGACTTTTTTCATTTATTGCGATGATATTGTGCTTATTTATTATTTATTTCTTTCTTGTCCTCTCTTATTCCGTCGCTGCTGTTCTTCTGATCGTCTAGCTGGTGCTCCAGGTCGATCTTTTGTGGGACCTTATTCTCCAGGTCAATTTATTCTCTAAATCAATTTTCAGTTTGCAATCATTTGTTGTTGGGATAATTGGGTCGATTTTCTGTGGGGGCTTACCTAATTGAAATTGGGTGGTTTATGTATAGGACGTTCCGGAATTAATGGAGGCAATGGTGCCCCCGCTGGACCAGGCGGTGCTGGAGGACCAGGTAATTTAACTTACAATGAAGGTTTCAAAGCACGTTTAGCAGAGATATTTTAATCCGAAGAGGAGAAATCACGCAGCAAATTTTGAAAGTGTAAACTTTGCAAACTTTTTCTTTTCTCTGGATGCAAATATCTCTGTCAAACCTGAGCATTGGGAGATCGTTTCGTTTGCAAATTTTATACTAATTAAATTTTCGACCGATTAATTCTAATTTGGTCAAAATCTGAAAGCATAAGTTCGGATACCTGTATTGTTACTGATTGATAAGTCCTACACAAAATATGGATTACTTATCACTGAACATTTTGCTTAGGCGGCAGCGGTGGATCCAGTTCTGTAGGACCAGCCGGACATGGTGGCGCTGGAGGTCTCGGTGGAGGAGGTGGACGTTCGCAGGATGGCCCAGGAGGAAATGCTGGGCCTGGAGGGAGTGGTGGATCGGGAGGATCGGGTGGAGGACAGGCCCCCGGTGGTCATGGAGGAAGCGGAGGAGGAGGTACGTTGGTAGACGTAGTTGGTCTTTCTTTCGTGGGTACTCAAGAGTTTGTGGTGCTACGATTAGGTGGATTTGGTGGACATGGATTTGTCGGCGGTTCAGCAGGACCTGGTGGCAGTGGGGGATCAGGTGGCAGTGGAGGCCTTGGGGGTCACGGAGGACATGGCGGATTTGGCGGCAGTGGTGGGGACGGAACTGACGGCGCAGGTGGTTCAGGTGGTAGTGGTGGGTCGGGTATGTTGTAAAAGAAATGATGTAAACTTAAACCTGGTGCAATTGTAAAGATGCGTTTATACTTCTATTCTTGATAACTTGCGCCATAGTTGAATTATAACATTGGAGCTAATTACCAGGGGGTGAAGTATAGATGTAGCTTAAGACTATTCTCTTTCAGGAGGTCCAGGCGGTTCCGGAAGTAGTGGAGCGGCTGGGTCCGGTGGAAGTGGTGGTGCCGGTAAGATGACCTTCATAAATATGTAGTTACCACCACTCTGGTCAAGTTAATTTGTGTTTAACACCACAAAAATAAAATATTTTCCAGGCGGTCTTGGAGGCAGTAACGGTCCCTTCGGCGGCGGCGGTGGTGGTGCACGACCTTCCTACTCCACCGGAGCGAGCTACACGCCCCAACATGACACCACTCCACCCGCTCGTAGCACTCCGTCCCGACCTTCACCCGTCGTATCGACACAATCTCGACCACCAGCAGTGGATCCCGCCTACGCCAGCTACGATGAAGGCTCAACCGTCGGAATTACTCCGGACGCTCCTCAACCACCCGCTCCGTCTGCTTCTCTTCAGAGACAACCACCTCGCGGAACTTCATCCTCCTCTTCCCCTCCTCCTTCCCGACCTTCCGCCGTATTCCAGCAACAGCACCCAAATCTCTCCTCCAACCCACCCCCACACCCGGCCGGTGGCGAAGGTGGCGAAGAAGACACAAATTCACTCCCTCCATTCCGCTACACCAATTCTCCCGACCCCGTCCACTCCAGCAATCCGTACACTGGAGGAGCAGGCACCCCACAAAACCAACACCCTTACCAACAACAGCCCTCTTCCCATAACGTGGACGACAACGTGTACAACAATCCCCCCACTTCGACAGAGGAGTATTCCCCCCAACTACCAGCACTAGGCAACCCACCCCACTCGTTCGGCCACCACAAGTCTCATCCCCCTTTACACGACCTCCCACCTCACCCTTCACCTCTGGTGGCGACAACACCGCTAATCCTCCCCCATCTCCAACCAGACGCCAGCAAGGCCGACCAACAACACCTCTGCAGCCTCACCATCATCAACAACAACCTTCTCAACCTCAACACGAATCCGTCGCGGAGGGAAGCACGGTCGGAATCTATCCAGATCCAACATCTGGCGAACAAGCCTCCTTGACACCGAATACTCAAGCATACTCGCATCCACCACAAGCACCTTCGACCACCAATTATCAGAGAGAAACGACCCGGTCGCACCCACAGACCAACCGACCAGCACCCATAAATCGGAACACGTTGAGACCATCTTCTTCGCATACGGAGAAGGACACTGAGCCCTACAGAAGACCGACCAACACGCACCGACCACAACCACAATACTCTCAAGAACAGTTTAGCCAACCTCCTCCGCACAGTGGGGAGGGATTTAACCCGGCCGAATATTATGGCAAAATTCCCGGCGCCGTGGTGTCCAACGTTCCTGTAATTTTCTATCCGGACTGCAACGCGGCTGCATTTTCTCAACCGGCGATCGTTCCCTATTGTCCGGCAGCCGGACAGGGGACGTCATGTCCGAACGAGTCTCCACTCCTGTCATCGCAAGCCAACTTTCGACGAAGCGCGTACGTCGTACCGGCGACCGGGAGAAGGACGGCGAGACGAGTGGTGGGCGTTAAGCGGAGGGCGAACAGGCGGTTGAGAGAGTGAAAAATAAGAAAAATTTAAAATTCTATGAAAAAATATATTTGAGGTGTTTCGGGCGAGAAAAAATGTACCTGTAATTTTTTTAAAGTTAAAAATGAATCGTCACACAACAAACAAGTGCGATGATGGAATTGGATTTTTTTAACAGGTTGAAAAAATTATCCAACTTCCAAACTGGTAAAAATAAGGATAATGATAATTATAAGATTTGACCTATTATTTATTACAACTTTTCTCTAATAATTGAGATTTACATATTTAGCAAGTAAATACGATTAAAAGATGTAAATTTTATTACGACATTGTTTTGAAATAATAAATGGAGAAAATCACCACATACAAGTTGTGTAATATGGCAATTTTAGTCTCTCCCAATGTTATGAGTTTCTTTGGGGCGATCGATTCTCACAATTTTTGAAGCAACGGCATAAATTCCGTGGTATTGGACGTCCTGTGGGGCCGTATCGTAGTGGTAGTGGCCAGCTTGGGCAGGTCCGGAGTGGGTGGTCCACCCGTGAGAGTGCTCCACGCGGAGGTCGAGACCCTGTAATTAATCAATTAATTTCAATACTAAAATGGATCCCGTAACGGAGAAGGGCTGAGATTTATTAATTTCTTACGGGGTCGGTCGAAACCAGGATCGACTGGGACATGAAGGGCGGTTCTACCCGGAAGAACTTGAGCCACTCCTCGACATCGTTATCCGTGAGGAGTGGTTTCGTGGAAAAGTCTCGCATGACGTGAATCTTGGTGGGGGCACGGTCCACAGTGAACAGCCCTCCAAGTCCGACGGGGGTCGAGGCTGTAAACTTCTTGTTGAGACAGTCACGCAAAATCGTGGTGAAATTGGTGGCAGGGTCGAGTTTGTGGGAGACTTTGATGTCCAAAACCTATTATAATTTTGAAATAGAATTTACATATGTATACAAATAAATATGTCAAATTGTATCCACCTTTCCTGCCCCACTGGACACGAGCACGTTGACCAAGAGGCTGCTGTCCGTTTCAGTATCGGACAAAGTCTTAACGGTCAAATCTGTCTCGTTCTGGGACGAGGTTAACGCCACTTTCGACCTATTGACGACTTTATCATCAGGAGAGAGGTACATGTTGACGATGAGCTAAGCAAGAAAATGAGATAAGCGTCTCATTGTTTTATACTCTACATATGCATATCTTAAATTTTGCGATATGTACCTCGCAGTTCGACCCTTGAGACTTGAAGGGTCCCGCCCCCGCACCGGAAATGTACCATCCTTCCGGAAACTTATCTGCGCCCACACATTCGGGAATCAAGGTCCGCAGGTCGTACACTTTGTCCCTCTGCACGAGTGGGATGAGATACGGGACGCCACCAATGTCAGCAATGACGCAATATCCACCAATTCCTTGATTCGAATTTTAATGTACAGATTACCGATATAATTACGTATGCAAATTGTGAGACTAACCATTCGTGGCCAGATTGTACGGTGGTTCAGCAAGATTGGGACAATCTACGACGTTAACATCCACATTTTGAAAGTAGGCTTTGAGATTCTCGTTCAAAGCTGCCAAGAAAAAGTTTAGTAAATACAAATGAAATTTGGGTAGTTTGCATATCAAATTATTTCTTGTGATACGATACCTTTACAAATGTCCTCAATGTCGACGGAGGGCAGGACAAACTCCTCCACGGGAAATTTCGTCGCCATTTTTCTGGACCAAAAATATTTTTGAGATTCTGTTTTTGTTTTCTATTATTCTGTCGTCGTTGTTGTTGTTGTTGTCACCAGGACTTGTTCCGTACTGGTGAAATTCCACTCGGAGCAAGTGGTAAGACAAGTTTGCTCCTAAAGAAAGATCATATCGCATCCAAGTCTCCTTCAAATGTCAAGTTTATTGCATAAATAATCACAATCATAGTTATTTACTTTGTCATCCTCCTACTCTGACTGGAACAGGTTTGGTTTTTAATGAATTCTGAATAAGGGTTGCACTGCAGGTGGTTTGTTACTTATTCATTCGTGCCAGCAGTGACCGCGGAAGTGTGCGGACAGAGGGACAATGTCAATGTCCCCATCATCTGCTCATGTATAGGTATAAACCCCTCTCTCCCATATCCTTAAACGTTAATGTCCCCACTGCTTCCGCGGCCACTGGGTAACAGAATCTACTACTTGGATGCATTATGTTTTTAACAATCCATTGTCCAGGGACTGGCCTTGACCTTTTTTCTTGGACTAATGCCAATAGTACATACAAATCCGAAGAACTTCATATATATTCGAAGGACATATACGTAACTTAAGTAACGTAAGTAATAAGACTCGGTTTAAAAATTTAAATTTTAACCATTGTGAAATACATGACTTCTTTTATTAGTCATAATTTGTAGTTTACATTTTATCATCGCCCATTTACCCATGATTTATTTCTTATTCAATTCATGACTCAAACTAGAGCATTGCTAAAATAGCAATATGTACATATACGTTGATTGGTTTGATTTAAAAGAATTAATGGTTAACTTTTGTGTGTAAGTGAATTAATGACATGAATGAGTTACTTAATTAATTGAATTAATGAAATTAATGAAATGAATTGTGTGTTAGAGAAGTAGTTTTCGTATACAATATTGCAAGTAACGTTTCATGCATTTCATAACGAAATAAAATTTTCATTTCATGCGAACTATTCTGACAACGGAGAGGAAGATGGAATTGGGAGAAATGTGTACTGTAAATTCAACAAGGAACGAGAAAGCGAACGTAGCTTGATAATCCACCCACATCATGCGACCATCCACACCAAGTTCGGAAACTTTTCGACATGAAATAAAAAAAATCTCACAAAATTTTAGTACATTATTTGTCTCATAATTTCATCATCTCACCCCAACCAGCAGCTCGACGGTTCGAAGAATGCGCTGTGTCCAATAGCACCACGAGGTAGGATTTTGGAAGATTCTCGTCCATCCGTACATTAGAAGTGCAGTAGTCATCGCAAAATCAACCGGGTGCTCCTTCTTCTCCCACTCTCTCCGTCAGCCAGTCAATTGTTCTTTCTTTGTGGCAGCATAATTGTTAATTAATTGTTACTTAATCTTCCCAGTGATCACGATGGTAAGGCGGTCATTTCAGTGGTGGGTGTGACATTTGTACTCAATTTGTTTCATTCTTTCTCTCCAGCAACCACAAATTATTCTTCTCCGCGAAGGGACCGAGGCGACGCAGGGCCGGCCACAACTCTTTTCCAACATTAATGCTTGTCAAGCCGTGGTGGAAGCGGTTCGGACGACCCTTGGACCGAGGGGAATGGACAAATTGATTTCTGATCCGTCCGGACGAGCCACCATTTCCAATGATGGGGCAACAATTCTCAAGAAATTGGACATTGTTCACCCCGCGGCGAAAACTTTGGTGGATATTGCCAAATCGCAGGATGCTGAGGTGTTTATATTTAAAAAATATTGTGGTTTGTGTTGCGAGTAATTAAGGATGGTTTATCTAATTGAGTTTAACTAAATGTTCAGGTCGGAGATGGAACCACGTCCGTCGTACTTTTGGCTGGCGAGTTTTTAAAACAGACCAAGAGTTACTTGGAGGAGGGTGCTCATCCTCGTCTCATCATCCGCGCATTGAGGAAATCTTGCGCCTTAGCGATTGAGAAGATTAACGAGATTGCAATCCCGGTGAAGAAGGGGGATGAAAACGAGAGGCGTGAATTGTTGCAAAAGTGCGCTGCGACAGCGCTCAGCTCCAAGTTGATTCATCAACAGAAGGATTTCTTTGCCAAGATTGCGGTCGATGCGGTCCTCCATTTGGACGAGTTGTTGCCGTTGGACATGATTGGAATCAAAAAGGTGGCTGGAGGTGCGTTGGAGGATTCCTTCCTCGTGGCTGGAGTCGCTTTTAAAAAGACCTTTTCCTACGCTGGGTTTGAAATGCAACCAAAGACGTACAAAAATCCAAAAATTGCCTTGTTGAATATCGAACTGGAGTTGAAGGCGGAGCGCGACAATGCAGAAATTAGGATTGAGGAGATTGATGTAAGGATATTGTTTTCGCTCTAACTATTTGTATAATCTTGGAAAAATGTGTAAACTTTGTCAGACCAGGTTAGCAACTGGTACGAAATTAACAGATGTTAATATAATGTGTAAGATTTTAAAGCTGAACTTGTCTCGCCAAGATTCATGTGCAAATACAACTTACAAAGTTTACACAGTTACAAGAGTTAGCGTGAATTGCCTCATGTTTGGTTTACTTTGTGATGGATAGGTGAAATTTTTATTAATTTCTTCTTGTTTTTTACAGGAGTATCAAAAAGTCGTGGATGCTGAGTGGTCTATTTTGTACGAGAAGTTGGATAAGATTCACAAAAGTGGGGCGACCGTTGTCCTGTCAAAGTTACCAATTGGGGATGTTGCCACGCAGTATTTTGCAGACAGGTGAGTGTCGCCAATGTATTTATATTGTAGCACGTGGCTTGCACTGTAGAATACAAAATCGTATTTACTATTTTAGGGACATGTTTTGTGCCGGTCGTGTCACCGAGGATGATCTGAAACGTACCTTGAAGGCATGTGGAGGGGCCATCTTGACGACCGTGAATGATCTTCAAACTGCAAATCTTGGCACGTGTGAAACCTTCGATGAGACCCAAGTTGGTGGAGAGCGATACAACTTGTTCAAGGGGTGCGCACAGGCGAAAACTGCCACCGTCATTCTGCGAGGAGGGGCTCAACAATTCTTGGACGAGACGGAGCGATCTCTTCACGACGCGATTATGATTGTTCGACGAGCAATGAAACATGATTCCGTTGTTGCGGGTGAGCCTATTTTTATGAATATAAAAGTTGTTCATTACGAGTCTGGAAACATATTTCGAACTAAATGCTAGCTTTGGAGATCTGAGATCTCGGATCTATCCGCAAGTTCGCAAATGAATTTGCTAATCAAAACTTGTTGCGAACTTGTTTTTTTGCTACCGATGCGAACTCGTCGTGAATACTCTCATTATACGCTTACAAATCTTATTAATATCTGAATGTCTGATGTCCGTAGGTGGTGGCGCAATTGAAATGGAATTGTCCAAATATCTTCGACAATATGCAAAGACTTTGGCGAATCAAGATCAGGCATTTATCCAAATAATGGCCAAATCTCTCGAAGTGATTCCACGTCAACTTTGTGACAATGCGGGTTTTGATGCTACGAATATTTTGAACAAACTTCGTCAAAAGCATGCAAACGGTAAAGCATATAAACGTCTCTTTTTATTCAAAATATTAGTTTCCTCATCTTATTGTCTTATTCCTACAGGACAAACTTGGTTCGGCGTCGACATCATGAAAGAAGACGTTGAGGATAATTACATCGCCTGCGTGTGGGAACCAGCCATCATGAAAATCAACGCCCTTTCCGCCGCCACAGAAGCAGCCTGTCTAATCTTGTCGGTGGATGAGACGATTAAAAGTCCAAAGAGCGGGGGCGCCGGTGATACATCGGCCGGAAATCCATACGCCCGAGGTGGTGCCGGCATGATGTAATCTCATTTTAAAATAAGCATAAGCAGGCTGCCTTATACTTTTTTGCCTCTTAAATTGTCACTACTTTCATCTAATTAACCTACCACTAATTAATAAGTTAATATTATTTTAACTTTTTTTCATACTGTTTCCATTTCATATGATAACAAGAGAAACAACAATCTTGCAACGATTTGTGGTTGCGGAATTAACTTACTTAAAATAATTTGGTGTCATAAGAAGCTAAAAAAATGGTATTAATAATGAAACACTTTTGTAAGGAATCTGCTCCTCATATAAAGAAACATTTGCACTGGAAGTATAATAAAGTTTAATAATTAAATGTTAACTTGATCGTCTGTCTCCCAGTTATATAAGCACTTAAACACATATACATAATACTACCGTATGACTCGACGCCTCATCGGCAAAATCAGAACATTTAAATCATTTTTTCTCTGTGGGAATTTATTTAAAAATTCTGGACAACCAATTTGTGGAGCAGGTCGTTGCCAATTAAAAAAAATATATACACTCCAGATTTAGACATTTTTTGGGGGAGGAGATCTCAAGTTTAAGAAGTCTTCAGAAAAATAGTAACTCATCGAAGCTGGCTTAAAAACCTGACCACCATTCTATTACTCAACTCTGACTATACATTTGTCGTCTAGAACTTAAGTAAATACCCAGAGCGGAGAAATGATTAAAAATGTGTTAATTTTAACGATTTTGGTGATGAATCATGAAGAAGGAAATTGTATCTACCCAATAATACTTTATGCACATAAATATGTACCAACCTGCACCCCGCACCCCGTCCCTTTATTCGCGTCGCCACAAGTCCGGTCATTCACGCCGTTCTCGTTCACTATTTTCTAGCAGAGGGAAAAATTACCAATAATAATATCCAGAATAATTATTTTTAAGTATGACGCCCAACTTACGACACAACGCGCCGTGCTTTTCGAACATGTGACGACGTGGGACGCGTTAAAGGTGGTTTCGCAGTCGCGACAGACGTAGCAATCGAGCGCGGCGTGGGTGGAGGTGGGGAGGATGAATAAGATTCCGACCACACAGCAGCCAAATCCGACGAGGTAGACGTGAACAGAATGCATTTTTTTGCAGGCTAAATAGTTGGAAAAGTAAGGTTCACACGGAATTGTGGCACCCAGACTCCAAGAAGAGACGCTGCTGCTCCAATCGTGCACCGTTGATGACTGATGATGAAATGAAGGAGGAAAAGTTTTGGCGTGGTGTGATATGGAATGGACGTTCAATCAAGTATTGAAGGTGGAAAGCAAAACTGCTAACTTTTCAACTGGTGGGGAGGCATTGGTGCTCAATCCAACGTGCATTTGGGGTGAGTTCAAGTAGTCTTTAACAAAAAATGCCCTCAACCCTTCTCGTGTCAAGCATGGCGTGGCGTGGAGGCAATCGTTTTCATTTCAGTTACTTTCTCCATGAAAAGTATATTCGTGGTGGTGGTGGAGGTATATGGTCACATTCGTTGGGCACAGGCCTTCCTGTCTGGTCAGTGGACCCCGTCAGCTTTCTCCCTCTGTTCATATGCAATGCGCTGGCTTCTTCTTTGGAAAAATGTAACGTGCTATTTACAGGTTCCTTCTTTTTAAAGAAATCTATACCACCTACATACTTGTTTCAAGTAGGTGGTAGGTTGCATTTCAAGTAGGTGCTAGGTACATTCCTGTGATTTAGAATTTCAGGTATTCATTCCGTACTTGATGAAGGCAATATCCACATTTATAGTGTCTCATCACTATAAATACACCAATAACGACGAAAAATTGATTGCGAGTCCGTGGATATTTGCGAATTTTCATTTTTATTTTCAAAAATCAATAACTCAGATTACAAATAAAAACATTAACTATTCATGCCTTGAGAGAGATAGCCATAGACGTATTTTAGCAACTCAATCTTCAATCTGCGCAAGACTTCTTCACCAAAGAAACAAGCTGGCCAACGTGCACTTCAGAAATCATTATTTTTTATACTGTTAATTAATTTAAGCGAAAATTAGGGTATATATTATTTGTAAATACGATAGTATTTCGAAAATCGTCACCATCTTAAGTTACCACAAACTAACCTAATTCTCGTCAAAAGTAAAATATTTAAAATTAGTAATTTTTAATCATTTTTGAGGTATACAATACAAAACTGCTTCTACTAAAAAAGCCAGGATTTCATTTTCATGCAAATCTGGCTTGCATGTGAGTCGTTCTCAACAATGGTGAAAATTCAGAAAAATTCTCATTGGTTGGTGGTGGTTGAGTTGGCCGTTAAATTGCGAGTCAAGCAGCGTCTCAGCTCAGTCGGATTCTTCACCTCGTGCTCTACACACGACTTTTTTCGTCTCTCTCTCACCGGAAAATAAAATAAATTTTCAACCAGTTTTTTTCTGTACCGCGAGTCAAGACAGAACGGAAAGGAAGTCTCGGTCATCCAAGGTCTCGTAAAGGGTAAGAAATCAGGTCTCGCGTGATTTTGACCCTGACCTTTTTATTTTTTTATTCAGTTTTTTTATTGAAAGCGTGGCGATCCGTCCTTAGTGTAGTTAGAGCGGGTAGAGGGCGACTCTTGTCCCTCTGCGTGTCTCAGAGTTGGTTGAATGGAAAAGTTTTTTTTGACGAAGAGATTCAAATTAATTATTGTGTTGATTTTTTTTACTCGCAGATTATTCAAATTTTATAATGTCGCAGAAGGCCGAAGAAGTCAAAGGTGCTGGAGCGAATGTTGCGAAGAGCGATGGGTGCAAGGCACAGGAAGAAATAAAGCCATACCCAGGTTGTTGGGTTGACGATGAGTTTAGGAATCAAATGAGAGGTAGAAGAGGAGGTCGCGGAGGGGATTGGAAGCCACGAGGCGGTCGCGGTCAATATCAAGGATCAAATGGCGGTCGCGGTCAGTATGTAGAATCTTATGGCGGAGTTCGTTATTACGAAAGATCCGGAAGAAACCAAACCAGCGACAGTCAGGTCGCTAAGGAGGCCAGTAAAGCACCAAACAACAGGAGGTACAATGGACGTCGATCACCATTCGGGGCCAGAAAGGGACAAGCCAATACTACTGGTGTACATAAGAAGGGTGAGGCACAGCGGATTGCGAAAAAAGTATCAGGTATTGTTTTGACATTCTTGTTGGCTGGTTATTATTACAATTTGTAATTTACAAAGTACTTAGTTTGTTGATGAATTGTTCTTGGTGAACAGCTACTAAATCTAAATTGTGCAACTTTCATCAAATGTATTCGTTCGAATTTTGTAGTGGGAGGATCGCAGGAAGCTACGGATGAAGAAGGGCCAAAAAAGCTTCTCGTCCTGTTAATGGATTGTGTACTTCCTAATGAGTTCGACGATGCGTCGAAGAAATTGATGGCTGGTATTCCTATATCATTTACAAAAGTCATTAGTTAACAAGGAAACATGGGATGTTTTAAAGAAGTTTTAATGATATATTTAATGCAATGACAGAAATGTTGGAATTGGAGAGTGACACGGATAAAATACCGGAGGAGATGCAGACATTTGAAGAAGCCGTTGAAACATTCAAGGCTAGCGTTAGAAAACTTGCTGCTGAGCATTGCGAGAATTTAAAGGAAATCAATAAACTGACTGCTGCAAAAATTAGATCGGATTGCAGCACCACCGTGCGATGGGTCAAGCAGTCGCTTCGAAATGTATGCATAGTTAAAAAATACAAAAATTCTTATTGGTTTAAATGGTATGCCCAACTAACTATACATAATTTATTTTTGTGAAGGCGTATGCAGCATCGCGCTTGGAAAATGATCCCTTGGACCCCCAGCAACTGTTTCCTGCTAAAGGCAAATGAACATCGCCTAGTAATTAATATATAATGTAACACTACACTATGATAATGTATATCATTGGCTAATGAGCTGTTTGTAATTTAATTTGTAATTGAGTGTAGTTGCGAATGCAAGTGTATCTTGCAAAATGAAATTCATTGATTGATTTTATGTATCTTTTAATCAGGGTAGTTGAACTTGTTTTTATTTTACAGCTAATTTGTTATAAATTAGAAACCAGTTTGTATTAACTGAAATTTACAGAAAGTTTAATAAAGGATTATGTACTTGAATTGTAATGTGCAATTGAAGCAAACTAGTCATTTGATTGATTTCAAACAAGTAATTTGACCAGGTCTGATACACCCCGGCTCCTGTGCATCCCATTAAATAAGTAGGATTGCATGTCACAGAAAACAAAGCTCTTTTCAAAGAGAAAGAGCAATATGCAACGAGCGAGTTTTTTATTATACGATCGAGTTTTGAACTACTTATGCTCACTTTTTGAATCCGTCATTTACGCTGACAAAGTTATTGTAAGTACGTTCACAAAAGTGGGCTCATTTGCTGGTTTCGAGTGTTTCTGATTTGAGTATATATCAGGAAATAGTTGTGAGAATTGAAGGTCTTGTACAAAAAAACAAGCAGGCCGCATTTGACTTGATGACATGTTATCAAGGTGAAAGTTATGTACGTGATGATGACGATGGTTCGAAATATGCAGTGCAGTATTAAGTAACTAGGCGAGCGTGTTACTGACTATTTGTGTGTGTACTTGGTCATCTCAATTATCCTCTCCTTTCTATTTTCCTTTGTTTGCAACTTTCACATTTTTCATATTCGTGATCATGACGGAGAACGAAAGGCACTCATTTTCGCGTGAGAAATGAATCAATTTATTCTTCCGGAAATTGTCTCGGCCTTGAATGGCACCCACCCAAGTGCAGGCACAAAAAGAAGACGGAAACATGACCAGACTCCATTCCGCCAAGGAGTAAAAATGAGGAGGGACCAGAGCTGGGATAATCCTGATTAAGGATTATGGATTTTAATCCCGGATTATGGATTTTAATCCCGGATTATGGATTATTAATCCATAATCCGTAATCCGGCAATGTGAGTTTTTTGTAGATTAATCCCAATCCATAATCCCGATTTTTCTGGAATTAGAATTAATCCGGGAATAATCCCACTTGATTTCATTAATCCATAATCGTGATTACGGATTACTAATCCTGATTAATCCCAATCATGATTACTAATCATGATTATTAATCCAGATTAATCCAAATCATGATTACTAATCATGATTACGTATTCATGATTAATTCTCAATCTGGATTACTCAGTTCAATTCCCATAGTTCCATTCATCCCACAGTGTAGCTTGAAGCCTCAAGTTCTCACAATGTTGTTCTGTCAGCTACCATTTGAAGAATCAACATGTTCTCGCTGCATTGTGCTACATACATATATCAATTGAAACTGGCGTCATTTTTATGTGAAACCACGTAGTTGAAATTCTTTGCGCTAGATATGGTGTAAAAATCATTAATCACCAGATTAATCCGGATTATTAATCCATAATCCCGAAATTTTCAGAATTTATGGATTAATCCAGATTAATCCTGACATGAATTAATCTCACGGAAATAATTTAATCACAATCCACATTGTTTTGTGGTTAATCCAATCCATAATCCTTAATCCACCCTCAAAAACCAATAATCACCCAGCTCTGGGAGGGATCTTGAGGAGGGTTGCGGCTTGAAATCAGAAATCGACAACAGAGGAGAGAAAGAGAGTTGAGACCAATAATTTATGATTGAGACCCAATTCAACCCATTGTTCAGATTTGATTCATATTTTTTTTAGTGGAAAATATTTAGTTCCGACCAGCATCGAATCTCATCGAATCAAGGAAGAATGTAAAGGGAGACTTTTTATTATGCATTATCAAAGCAAGGTATTTATGGTATTGGTGATAAGCATACGATAAGGCATTGGCGTTGCCGATTTACATATGTAAAGTTTGTCATGTGAACCAAGTGTACATATGTACCCGGCCTTGCATGAACAGGATGGATTTGTGCATGCTGCATATTTTTATATGAAATTTCTCTCAATTCGTACGGAAATTTTGCATGCACAAGAATTGCATATGAACATGAACCTAATCCGAAATAATCCGAATCATGCGAACTAGATGTTCATATTCGATCAACATAATATTCCTATGATAAAAATCCTATCACGACCACGACGCAGATTTTAAGTATCAAGTATAGAATTTTCGTAACACAAAAATTTGAACGGCTTTCTTGCAGAAATTTTGTGCAATTTTCTCCAGAAACACTTTAAGCAGAACGATTTGTGCAGAAACCTACACACCGAATTATGCACATACCGTTCTGCAGATTAAACCCCACAGAAATTTTCTGCATGATTATGAAAACAAAATTACCTACATATGCAGAATACAATATGCATCCAACTTTTGTCGACGACTGAAAAATTCGACGCAGTAATTTCTACTCGGAAATTATTAATGATTCGAATCAATTAAAAGACCAGAATTATTTTGAATATGAAGAATATTTATTTACTCAGTGGCTCAAGTTTCTTGTCGGATATATCAATCATTCCCGAGACATTATCATGTATGTATTTTAGCAGTATAATATTATTACTATTATCATTATTATGAATCCTCGGATAGAAATGAATAATTTTTTACAATTATTTCTCCCTCTTCGTCATCTCCTATGAGCTCACAACCCGACCTCTTTCTAATTTTGCGTAATTTTCCGCCCTTGATAGGTTGCGACGACAATAAATATTGCACTCATCTCAAAATCCGACATTATTATCGTAACAATAATATTCTTATATTTTTTACAACCCTAAGAATTGTTAAAAAGTAATGTCCTGATTTTAATGATTTTAGCGACGAGTCATCGAGTCCTCCGTTAAATCATTATCATTTGGGTTGATTCGTTCAATAAGTGACTGTCGATCTATATTTACTTTCGATCCCACTACTTTCAAGTATTTATTTACTATGTATTGAGTTTTTTTGGGTTAATAGGGAAATTTCCCATAGTTAATTAACTCCAATTTTGCTACACTATTTTAGCCCACGTCGATTTTTTCATGCATTTCCCATATCGCAAAACATGATCACTTTTGATGCATTTTAACTTTTAATTCATTCTGCATTTCCGAATCACTGAACATGACAAGAAGAAGATGAAGATGCTCACACGCTGCTTCTTTCCCATCGTAAATACATAAATTTCATTTCATGACTGATTTTCATTTCACTTTGCTCACTCCGTTTGTTGCAACGAGGTCATCATTCTTCATGTTCTGTAGTTAAATAGTGTTTAGTTTAGTTATAATTGACATTTGGTGATTTAGTAGCAGAAGCAGCAGTTACATATTTCTCTTGTGTGTGGACGAGGAGGACGGCGTCATAAAATTGGCACGAATGGACACACTCATACATACATCGTTTGTGAAACGAAAATAAAAAAAGGTGCCAAAAACCCCGAATTTTCATGGTCGACAAAGATACGGATACGTACTTGTGAATGGGAGTTGGCAGAGTTCTGTTCTTTCTGGTGGTGTGGATTGGAGTGGATTAGATTAGCGAGGACCCTGATCTGAATTCGGAGTTCGGACTGCATGCATTCATCCCAAGTTTGAGTTCAGTCGTCAAATGTATTTTCAACTGCAAGGTGTGTGACGTAGTAGAATTATTTAACGCAATTTTTAAAAGAATAATTTAAATTCACCATTGCATAATATTTAGTATCGAGTAAATGTGGGGATGAAGTGGTGCTAAATTGGCCAGAATTATCAAAAATGGGTGAGTCTTTAAATTTGGATTTATGCATAGTCGACAGTGTTTCATTTCTGCGGGGGTGCTTCATTTCTTTCAAAGCAAACAATTGCAAAAAATGCGAGGTGCAAGAAATTGGTAGAAAGTGCAAAAATATGCGCAATCTAGCCACGCGTCGTATGCGCGACGGGCGTAGTTTCTTGCTCTTGCAGGTCAAAATAGCTGCAAAACCCACTTTATTTCCGTCATTTCTTGCAAGTGGTTACGTGCATCAGAAACACTGAACGTTCATGTCACATTTTATGTCACGTTAAATTAACTTACCAAAATGCAGGAAATTCTCCATCCCAGTCGTCGGGTTTTCATCCTCCTCCGCAGAATGCAGTTCCTCCTGCGCGTCCCCCAAGTGGTGGTGGTGGTGGTCATCAAAACGCTACTTCGGGGAGCCTCAACAGCAACAATAACAGAAATATTTCCCCTAGTTCTGAAGCTACCATGAAAAACCTGAGTGACACAAATTATGACCCATCCTCACCACGTCCAAATTTCAGTTTGTCATCATTAGCAGATCGTAACTTTTCATGGACCCCGACATCAAAAGCGTCTCCATTGGAGCAAGGACCTCACTCGATTGATTCCCTCCTCGTAGTGGACACGAACCTTGCCAGCACTCGGACAGGCGACTTTTCACCGTCCTCACTTTCACCGGACAATAATATGCAGAAACGTTGCCCTCTTCCGTTTCAGTGTCAGCATAGCCGTGACAATTCAGGAATTATGGTCCAATCCGGTTACGAAGTTCGGGACGATAATGACGTTCTCACCCATTTTTATGACGACTCGCTCGAATTACTCCCACAACCGGAGGATGATATACAAACTGATTCTATCCTTATCCAGGAAGAAAAGTGTCACAATGTCGAGGAGAAAGTTGACAATATTAATAACGAAGCACAAAGTAACTTCAATTTGGACCACGTCATACCAAAACCTGAGAACCCATCTGACCAAAACGAACCAACTGAAAATGCCATCAACATTTCTACTACGGAAACTATCCTGCGGGGCAGTCCTTCCAGTTCAGGTTTCATTTCCGATCTGGACCCTGCATCACTCCTGACAATTTCAGCGGGTTTAACCCAACCAGAAATTTGTCCTCTTAATAAAATCCCATCTTCTTCCCCATCCTCCACGCCCCCTGCTTTGGTGCGTGACGATGAAAATGTGGCGATGATTGATGAGCTGCATCGAAGTCAAGATAGTAATCGGCAAGATGATGTTAATAGTTCCGCTCCCATAATTACGCAAACATTAGCACCACCACCGCAACTTGCCAAACACCCAGAAGTGCAACAAGTGCAACTGCAACAAGTGCAACAATCAAAATTAAGAGAAAGTGAACCAGAAACTAAACTCTTTTTGATAAGTTCTACTTCGAATGAAGAAGACGAGAGGAATAATAATAACGCGAGTCTGAATCTCATAAATCTTGATCATGACATAATTCAAGGGATTCATAAAGAGGAATCCAACCAAGAAGTTGTACCAGTAAAAGACAAATACATTTCCGTCGTCCAAATCATGACTGATGACACTGTCACCACTACAATTACGCACGTTGACGAAGCCGAAGAACCAGATAATGATAAGCATGACACCACAAATACCCCATCACCATCACCACCACCCCTAAAAACCCTTGGTACCCCTGACCCCACCGTATTCACAGAGATCGACCTCGACCAAGATTCCGATGCAGAAGATTTTCACCAAAACCAAGGACGTGCTATCCCGATCCCACCCACGACAAGAACAACTAAACCACCCCTCCTCGAATCCGAATCTCTCCACGAATTCGAATCTCTTGAAGAACTCATAAAAAAAGAGGACCAGATTTCCTCCACGGACAATAACTACGTAACCCGTGTCCCCGTAAATTACACCAGTCTCGGCCTAATTATTCCATGCAATCCTCCTCCTCCCCCAGCAGAATTTCAAACTACTCAGCCTGTGGAAACAAAGGAGGAAGAAGAAATTGCTCCATCTTCACCTCACCTTAACAGCGATGACAATATTAAATGTTCTTCCAGCAACAGCAGTCTCAACACCAACACCACCACCACCACTTCCATTAGCAACAAGAGAAAAGTGCAGTTTGCAAGTGAAATGACCTCTCCGTCTCGTAATCAGTATCATCATCATTCGGCAGCAGTAGCAGCAGTTCCCACCACTGCAATCAGTCCAATTCGTACCTCATCGAGGAAGCAGGGCACAACAAATTGTCACCTGCTGCCCAAAAAAAATTCTAAATTTGTAAATAAATCTCCCCCCTGTGCAAAATCAGAGAACGATATGAATTTCTTGGGCCTTTTCGGGAATAAAGAATTGAAGAAGGTTTTCCCTGAAACGGCGACCCCATCGTCGACCCCATCCGCCGCCTCTCTTGTCAGTCTTTCCTCCTCCACCACTCCTACTCTTCCGCAGGGGGATGACTCCCCCCGGATTTCACATGAAAGAGGGGATTTCAATGTCGTCGACAACTCTTGGAGTGGAGGAACAATGATAAGTAATACGAATTCTAGTCTCATTACTAGTCGTTCGGAAAGTTCTTGCAATGGATCAGGTGATCGTGGGCAAGGTGAAAATAGAAAGGGATTAATTTTGTATTTTTGTTTGGGATGGATTGATTTCAATGTTTTTGTTTTCAATTTCTATTCTTAGATCGTTTTGGTGAAGTACCAACACCAGAAGAAAAGACTGAAGAAAGTAGCCGGCTTTTTAGCGAATCTGTCTGCTATGGACGTGACTTTGCTCACATATTTTCGAACCACTACCCGGAGGAGGGTTGTTTCATGAGGTTCTCTCCACCCCCTGTAGAACAGCACATGACGCTAAGGCCTTCCTCCAACCGTCGGGCCGTGGCGCCAGAATTAGATCCGGCAAGCTTTGCCAACCTCGATAACGAAGGGTGGGAAGAACAGAGGAGGCTTGAAGAAGAGAGGAAGCTCGAAAAAAAGAGGAAGTATGAAGAGCAGATGGAGCTCGAAGAACAGAAGAAGCTTGAAGAACAGAGAATGCTAGAAGAACAAAGACTTGAAGAACTGAGGCTAGAAGAATTTAGGAAGCTCCAAGAACAGAAGAGGCAGGAAGAAATAAACATGCTTGAAGAACAGCGGAAGCTCTTCGCCGAGAAGGAAAGGAGGGTCGTAGAACAAAATATGATTGAAGAACAGCGAAAGCTCGACGCCGAGAGGGAAAGGAAGGTCGCAGAGCAAAACATGATTGAAGAACAGCAGAAGCTCTTCGCCGAGAGGGAAAGGAGGGTCGCAGAACATAGGTAAATAAATTAGATAAGTACTTATCCTATTATTAATTTAACATTAACGTCATGGTAAAATTGAGTCATAAATAATAATAACAAATGCGATGAGGTAAAATGTGTCATAAACTAGTATGTAGTATAACTAAACATACATTGGTAAATATGCATACAACTTCTATTCACCTTAAATTTCTGGTTGTGGATATTTGTATTTTACCTTCCTTCCAAGTCAAGTCTATGCATAACTTGCATTTGTATGCATATTTCCTTGAGGTGTTTTTGTAATCTTAATTTCTGGTTTATGCAAATAGTGTGGTGTTAGTTTAGTTGATGGAGAGATCATTAATTCATGACTTGACTCATGCATGAACATTAAAAATAAAATCCATTCCTTCGTCAGCAGTCGCTCGCTATTTAGTAAAGAGACGCCAAGCTTGCTTCGACACAGTGAAGTTTTTTTTATGTATTAATTTTTAATGTAGTTTAACTATTTTCAGGTATGGTCAAAATACTTTGTCAAAATAGAATATTTTGATCTCCGTTCTTCCCAGGGTTTGGGTTTCGAGGGGTGTTGCACCCACAAAAAGACGAAAATCTGCATGAACAAGACAGTAGTCACACGAAAATACAGATTTTATGAACAAATTAACTTTTTACCTCACTAAAAATACTTTCTTTTTAAAAAATCGTGAAAACAATATATTTTAACGGATAAAAGGTTAATTTCTTTAGAAAATCTGCATTTTCGTATGACGACTATCTTCTCCATGCAAATTCTCGTCTTTTTGTGGGCACAACAGTCCTGGAAATCCAAACCCTAGCAAGAACGGAGATCAAAATACTTTATTTGTTGCAAAGTATTTTGACCATTTCTGACAATTTTCGTAATTTTGAAGAGGTATATTTTTTTACAACAATTTTCAAGATTTGATTTATGCTGGGGTCAGTGTACGCTGATCTCAGAGAGCCCCAATGTGGAGCGAAGGTGGTCGTAGGGATCTTCCCCGTTTTGACTACTCTCTCTTTGACAAGACAGTTTCTGTTGATCTGTGTCATCGCCCCCCACTTTTGCCCAGCCTCCTCCCTCTAATGACCTCTGAGTCGACGATTTTAAATACTTTTGACGAAAAAATAGTGGGGGTGGTGGTGAATAATTTTACTATAATTTAGAGGTTGAGGAGGAGTTATTGTTGTTTACGTGGTGGCGGCGGAAGTAGAAGAGGAGGAAGAAACGGGGCTAAAATCGGAAATGTCATCGTCTGTATTTCTTGAAATACAGACGATGGATATGGAAAATCCTTTAGCACAAAGGTAAAAATAATGTCAATCCTTATTAAGCATTTATAGGTCTGGTTTTAATGGGTGAAAAGGATCGCATATTTGTATATACGACATAACGGTTGTTTTCCTTATTGCTGTTATACGCGTTAGACAAAGGAGGACGAGATCCCCGATAATAAATAATGGATACTACAATTTTCCTTATTGTTTGTTTGCAGTCGGGTTCTTGCCGAGTATGAAAAAACACTGGGGATGTACTCTGAAAAAATCGAGGATTTGAAGAGAGAGCTCGAACAATCTGATAAGGACCGATGTTTATTAATTAAGGAGAGAGATCTCGCCATAGAGGATTTAAGTAATGTCGAGAGTGCCTTTTCTGATGTTCATAGGTAACTAATTAGGTTATCATATTATCTATGTAAGTTAGCTTGTTAACGTGTTTCTGGTTACTCTCTTCCAGGAAATACGAACGGTCTAAAGGAATTCTCAGTAACTTGAAGGAAAATGAAAATCGGTTGATAGCCCATGAGGAAGAATTAGTGCAAAAAATTGAAAATCGAGACAAAAAGCTGTCCCTGTACAAGGAGAAAGCTCAAGAAAAGTTGGAACAGTACGTCAATTATTTATTATGATTGGTGTTATTTTACTAGTGACGTCAATAATGTGCGGTTTCGCAATAATGTAATTTATTTATCTCTATTTTACAGAATGTATCAGGATTATGAGCACAAAATCAAGGACGTAGAATCCGAAAATACCCGTCTTCGAGCCCAGTGTCGCCTACTCGACATGAAATTAGCCACATTGGAAAACGATGTAGAGCAAAAGGCCAAAGAAAATTCTCAGTTGAATGCGTTATGCAATGAACTTATCGCTGGCCAGGGGGCGAGTAACAACAATTGAAACAAGTGACGAAATTAACAATAACTAACGTATCCGATTTCTATTAAGTAATGAATATTATTCTATCATACAATTTTAAAGGTCTAAATTTATTATGTATTCCGGTTTTATGGGAGTGTCCGCTTCAATAGTTTTATTTACCATTTTTCCAAGAATGTAAAACAAACGCTCTGGTTGTAATCCTTTGGGGTATGATACTTTGACAACTATATTATCTATATCAAGTAGATCTCCTTCCCGTATGGTGTCTACGGCGACGAGAGACTTCCCCAATTTGTCATTGCACGGTAATTCTGAAGCCAAAATTGTCTAAATGAAAATAAACGCGTAATAATGAAAATGAAAATAAATTTATAAATACCAGTATTCCAAATTTGTATTATGTCATCATTATGATACTATCTTACCTTGTGAGGTTCACCGATTAAAGCAGTTTCCACTTGTCGTATTCCTTCCACCATGGCCAAAAATTCGTCAGGATCCAATGAGCACCTGTGATCCGTACCTTTCAGCGTTTTATCCAGCGTAAAGTGACGTTCAATTACCTATCATCCAAATAATAATTCTTTAATAAATTGAGCAATCTTTTATGATTAAGCATCACTAATTTAATTACTTTAGCCCCCAACGCGACAGCCCCTATTGACACTGCAATTCCCAGCTCGTGCCCCGAGTATCCGATCGGCACAGAGGAAAACGTGTCCTTATAAAGGTTTATCAGAGATAAATTGACATCTTGGAGTGGTGTCGGATATGCAGATACGCAATGGAGGAGGACCAAATTGTCCGGATGGTGTTTCGTAATTATAGACACTGCGGTTTTAACCGTGTCAAATTCTTGCATCCCTACATTAATACCAATTTAGTAATTAGAGTTAAATTATGAGAGAAATTTACAAATCAGATTATCATACCTGTCGAAAGAATGATAGGCTTCCCACTCTTCGCGATATGCTCCAACATTTGATAATTGTTGGTGTCACCGGACCCTATTTTTATAAATGGAACGTCCAACTCGATAAGAAGATCGGCCGATACCTGTCCCCACAAATACATTTATCTTATCATCAAAAAGTATCAATTTTAGCTACGCCCCTTAACCCACCTTATCCATCGCGGACGCCGAAAACATGACGCCCAACTGGTTCGCATACCTCTGCAAGTCTCGATACTCCTCCCCAGATAACTCCAAGTGCTCCTTATGCTCTCCGTACGTCCGCCCGAACGAATTTTCAGAAACATACTCTCTCTCCAAGGCCGCCTTGGTGAACTTATCGGGCAGGGAGGACTTTTGCAGCTTGACGCAGTTGGCCCCACACTCCTAGAGACAAACTTCACATCTCATTACAAGGAAAACAATTAAATATTGTAACAATTAATTAATTACTTACCTTCGCCTTGAGTATCAACTCTTTTGCCAGGTTTGCATCGCCTTGATGATTCTGACCAATTTCTGCGATGATAAAGCAAGGATAACCGTCCCCAATGGGCAGACCTCTCACCACCCGCGGCATCCTGTTTAGTATCCTAGTAATTAGATAACTACTAACTAAATCCTGCTACAAAAACTAGTTTTTAGACATAGACTGGCGACGACGGCTGTGCTGGATCGACTGGACTCGATTTCTGGACTGGAGTGGTTTTTTGCTCTCGTACAGAACCACAACCAGTCGCCTCTCTTAGCAAAAAGGGGAATAAATCTCAGCTTCCCAGTTCACACGTAAATCTATAATTCGCAATATTGATGCAATTTTTGATACAATTATATCATTTATACCCATTATTTGCATACAATTTGCCTTCTTGAAATTCTTCTAACTTCTTATCATGACTTAATCATTATTATAAAATTGCCATGATAGTTCACACGTAAGTCACACACTTAATTCGTAATTATTCATGCAATTATTTATGCCCACCGTTTGCATAAAATTTGCAACTGATTAACCGTCTTGAAACTGATTAATTTCTTTTATTATACTAAATATGACTTAATCATTATTATAAAATTACCGTGATTTCATCATTTTTAGATTTTTTTTCTCCTTTTGCAAAATTCGATTCTTAGGTTTTCTTGGTACTCTTCTTCCGTAATAATATCGTGTTAACAAGTGTACCAACAAATTTAGCCTAGAAATTATATATTGCTCGCTATTCTATTAGCATCAAGTCCGTCCGTACAGTATAATTACGCGTGTGTGGGATACCTCCATATTGATGGCTTACTTACATTTCAGCTTATCGCCACCATCTCGAACTAGGAAAGGGTTGTGCTCTCATCTCACCTCGATGTTTCTGCCAAAAAGAAGAGGAAGGTGTGCTGCAAAATCTTAACGAATTTAATAATTTCTTGCGATAGTATGATTTCATATGCGATTCGGAATTTGCATACGCGTTGCATGTGTATGTGCATACGCACGCATAAAATGTGTCACGGTTACTGCGGTGTGTTTAATAAATAGGTGAATAGCTTGAAAGAATGGATCGTTTTTTTGTATGTACTTCGATGTTAATCTAGTATGCATTTTTAATCAAAATTGTAAAAAAACGGGATTGTTTTTTACCAATGTAAATCCAAAACGGGGCACAGATTTGAGATGTGATTATTAAAGTTGTGCATTATTTTGTGGTTTGTACAGAGTTCAAGTCTTGAATATAATAATGGCAAGGAAGACAATTTTTCTGATTGAGTTAGTGTCACAATCAGATTTTGTCGTTCGTTATCTCTAAATTTTCGGTAAAATGAGTGACCATTGTTTTCGGCAAGATTCTAAAAAGACTTCCTTTGTCGTCGGGATTGCTCTTCGTATGTTCTCCTTTTTTTAAGGACAGGCCGCACTCTTTAATTAATTAATTAATTAATTAATTGGACATCCGTCTTGTTGTTAAATACCAGTTTAATAATAATGATATTTCGTATTTATGTATGCCCTGAAAAGAAAAATGAGTCTAGTCCGAATTTTAACTGTTTTTTTCTAAGATGGTGAGACTGATAAGATGAAATAGTACAATATTCATTATCATGCAGACTAGTAGAATACTGATTGGGCTATGAATTTACGTAAACTTGCCTAAAAATTTAGAGCAGAATTGAACTTGAAAAGAACTCTAGAACTTGAAAAAAGAGTTATTAGCAGAGGGTGGATATGCATTTTTAAAAATCGCTGAAATATGTATTTACTATTTAGGATAAAAAGCCAAACCTGTATGCCTAAGAAATATGTACATACGTAAAAATCATAAAAATAAAAATTTTCGCAAAATTTGAATTTATGAATTTAATGCACTGTATTTTTTTGTGGTCGAATTTCTTTGAGGAAAAGAATTTCGTCTCACATCGTTGAAATATTCGTTGAAGTTGTATGCATTTTTGAATAAATACATATGTAAAAGATTTTCGAATTTTTCAGATAATAACGGAAATACTTATATTTCTGAGAAAGCCTAGAAATATGTCCCAATGTAAAAATATTTTGAAATTTTTGTGATCTATGCGAATTAGGGAACACACCCACAAAGTTTGACCGTCGGTCGTCATCAAATGAAAAAGTTGAAAATACGTACATATCCGCCCTCTGGTTATTACATACACGGAAATGCCACTGAAATGTGTACGTACCCAAAATTTTCATAAGAAGAGTGTAAAAATTCTAAATTAATGGATTCTTTCGTATATTACGACCTGGTCATGTTGTACTAATGCCGTTGTTGTGTAAACTGGGGAAAATTCAGCTCCAATTCAGCCCATTAATTAAGTTTGATTGGATTGTGTGTTTTTGCCGGTTTACATCTTGTATAATTAGTGGCAGCCGTCCTGATGAGTTGTGGATAATTATCCTCATTAAACACGTGTCATAAGGATTAATTTCAAATCCAAGATTTTTCAAGGGTATCAAATTAAAGTGTTTATTTATTTCGAAAATTGGTCGAATTTCGAAATCGGAGCAATTTCCTTCAATTGCACAGGAGTGAAAGTATAAAAATATTAAGTTTTTATTGGTAAAACCACCAAGTATTTCGATTTATGAAAAAGTGAAAATAAATTTAATTGAGGAATCATCATCATCATTTAGCAAAAATTGGCTATGTATGTTTCACTCTTCTTCATTCATCTTTAATCATCATCATCATCATCATCATAATTTGGCAACTAAAGCACTCTACATTTCCATGCAATATTCACCAACTCACGCACCCAAATAAGTGACACATTTACATGTGCGCAGTATTATTATTTACAAATAACATGCAAACCTTGATGACAGATCTCTCTTCACAAAATTCAATATCACTCCTAAATTGAAACATTGCATTGTTCAGGAACATTATGCTCGGGAAATTAATTCTCCCTTGGCATGTCTCATCGCACAGTCATAGCCAATAACACGGGGAGCGTTAATATGCCCGTCTTTGTTTTTGGGGAGAAAAAAGTCTCAATTTTTTCCATTGATGTGTGTGGGTCAAGAAAAAGTAGATGGTAATGAAATCACACAAAGAAATCCTTAGCTTGCCAACTAATTGTTTATTTAGGTCCAAAAACTAAGTACCTAAATACTTTACGAAATAGGATTTTGTGTGATTCGATAACTTTGAGCTGAGAGCTGAATGCACCACTTTTCCCAAAAACTCCCCAAAAATGTGTCATTCATTAATTTCGTGTTTTCTTTGTTCTTCTTCTTCCGCTGCTGAATTTACTTAAATATTTGGTAGCCGAGCGGACGAGGGAGCGATCGAGATGACTGAATAATAAGTGCATACAAGAAAGAGCCGCTGCTTAATTCCTTTGTGTCGCACCCTCAATCGCACCATTTACACATTTATTATCGCTGTGAATGATCTCTCTTTTTGACTGAATGAGTGAGAGGTTACAGGAGGTGGGGCACGAAGAAAGGCAGAGATGACCATTGCTGATGCGATACATGGTGCGATAACGTGTGGTGTGATACATACGAGCGAGTGTGTCGTCAAATAGGGCGATGTCGTGCGGACATGATGTAAAATCTGTCTAACAATATAATAATCGGTCCGTTTTTTGCACGAGGTTCAAACCACCACAAAACTGGATGACAATCTTCATCACCTAAAATGAAGAAAATGAAGCTATATACATACGTAGTCTTCAGAGGATAGGTTACTTATCAGGCGACGACGAAGAGGACGGTATCCTTCCTCCGTATTATTTAGTCGAGGGGGTGAAATTAGAAGGCGACTACGGCTAAATGACATCTCGTCTTAATAAAGTGGTCCTCAAGTGGTTTTGTCGGTATAATAACTGCTGCCTCACAAAATCCTAGTACCAGTCGTCCTCTGGAAATAGTGAGGAAGTGTCCTTCATAAGTAAAAGGGTTTCTAAAATTTGGGGAAGTTTTTTAAAAATAAAAATACATCGATTTAAAAAAACATTTCAGAGATCCTCATAAAGTGTGTAACGTGGTGCAATCGTGTGGGTGTGGTTGGTTTCTATTGTGCAGGAACACTGTTCGAAAGTGGTGCAGAATTTTACGGTGTGATTTTTTTGGAAGCGTGGATTCTGTAAGGACAATTTTTATTATTTTTTAAAATTATATATTACTTTATAAATATGGTCGAAGGAAGTTTTGGATTTTTGGGGAAAAAATTAATTGGATTAGTCGTATCGAAAAACGAGTAATATTTCCAAAATCGAAAGCGGCATCGTTATAATTATTGGAGTGTGGGATGCATGCATACGTGTAAATCGCGTATCATACATAGTATCTCATCCTCAGTCTACATAGTTCGAATATGTGTAATTCACTCATTTTTATAATTATAATTGGAAAGAGGAGAAGAACGGTCAGTTTTGTAAATTGGTATTAATTAATATTGAGCTCAGGTTTGATTAGTATTTTTGAACTATGTTCTCAAACTTATCGGCGGAATGCATCTCACAAATTCATACAATATAAATTATGAGCTGGTTAATTAATTAATAATTTTGTACGATGAAGAGGAAAAGTAAGAAAAAAATGAGCAGAATTTCATGTTTAATCAAAATTATGTGGAACAAGTGGAATAATTGGGCAGTCGTGCATGGGATGTTTTAAGAGGAAAATATTTCCTATTTTCGGGAGAATAACCGATTCGACCTTGCACAGAATTTAAGGTAGTTTCTGATTTATTGAAGTGATTGTGTTCACTTTTCCGTTGCGAGGGGAATTTTTGGAAATGCTTAATCGGGTGGATACCAGTTTTTTTATGGAAGTTGGAAAGTTGTTGAAAGCTTTATTTTTCTGTTTAACAGAAAGTTTTCATAGGATTGTAGGATGGGAAAAGTGAGACAGGTGAAGGGATCTCACTACAGTACACACTAAATACAGGTAAAAACTGGATACGTAAAACCTGGTTGAAGTCACTCTGTCAATCGATGCATGCTGTAAATATTATGCAGAATTTTTTTACAAATCTCTATGGGTTTTCATCTGCAGAACTGTAGGTACATAATTCCGCATAGTTTACTGCACAAAAATTAGCAGTTTTTCTGTAGAAAATTTGGATAAATTTCTACAGAGACTGATTTCAAATTTCCACCAGGGAACTTTCTCCAGATCGGGTACCCGATTCTACCCCGGCTGGAGTGAAAGTAAGGCAAATTCTAAAAATCAACCTTACACCTTTTCAAGCTCAACAAATTAAAAAAATGAAAACTTCCAATCACACAAAAATAACCCAAGATGAGGCCAATCTGCACCTTTTGCAGGAAGGGTTTTCCTATATTTGCTTACATATGTACCAGAGTATGTAACATGACATCACAAAAACATCAGTACTCCGAAGAGCAACAATGTGCATGTGTGAGTAACAATGTACCACGAAATCCAAACAAATAATACACATGTAGGCATACAAACACTGTACGAACTTGATCATATCTCGCATCTTTTCCTTAATTTGATAAATGCTCCTTGGGGGAAGTGTAGCGTGTCGCAGAAGCCAAAAACTGAGAAGAAGATGCGGTCTGAAAGTGACTTGCTTACATACATACACATTATTCTTTCTTCCCATTCTTTCTATGTGCAAGTAGGTGGTGCATGGATGAAGGAAACTGTGAAATATGTAATCTCTCGAAAAAAGTTAGCATGCATATTGTTGCCTGGCCTGGCTTATTAAATAGCTTAGCCTAGGTAAAGGCAGGCAGCGAGGATGGGTGGGTGGATGGGTTGGCAGGATAACAGCTAAACAATTGAGCTCACTTTTATTAAATCCTTCTTAATAATGAAAAAAGGGGGATTTCAAAACTGGGTGAGATTCATTACCAAAAAGATGTACACATGCACATACACATTCTTCGTATCTCTTCTTGGTGGATACATACGTTGATCACGGCGATAAAACGTACGTTCGTAGCTGGCTGATGATATAAACTAAACCAAACCACGCCGTCATTTAGGAAAGGACGACGAGGCGAATAGGCAGGCAGGCAAAATGTGTTCCGATTTCGTGTCCTTCCTGTTTTTATCATTGTTGTGGAAGGACTTTGAAAAAAGGGGTTTTAAATTTTGAGGCATTTTTAAAATTTGAAAAATAACTCGGTGACTATAAGTATTTCAGTGGTGTCACAATGACTTCAGATTCGCACGGGTGTCGTTTTGTTAGTTTCTGCAAGTCGAGAAATCGGTGTACAGAGTTGGTGTGAAATTTAATTTATTTCCTATTTTAGATTTCAGACAACTCGACGCAGTAAAAACATTGTATTTTCCGGATTATTATTGTCAAGCTCAGTATGATGAGACTATACGACAAGTGATAAAAGGACAACTTCCGGTCAAAGCATGTCAACCAGTTCCAAGATTGCAGAATCAATCAACATAATGAAGTTTGGACTTGGACCAGTGACCTTCATGAACCATTCGTGCAGGGTTCTCGTTCTCTGGGTGGTTACCGTGTTCCTACTCTTCCTCCTCCTCGCACCCGTCGCCTCCTCGGCCGGGCAAAGTGTCGTGTCAAAGACAACAAAAAACTATAAAAATGGTGACTTGATGAGTCTCAACTGGTGGAAGAAGACCTACAATTTGACACCGTCATCGCCGTCTTGCGGGGCGGGAAAGTCGTCGAAAAAGTGTCGTCGACGGAAAAGCAGTAGTAAAATCGTCCCCTCCGAGAATGAAGTCATCCCCACTTCCCGAAATCAAAGTGCTGACACTGCCGATATGAAAACCCTCGCCAAATCCGTGCTCGCCCAACGGAAAAAGTGCAAAACTTTGTCCAACAAGGGGTTCACTTGTCAACGGTTGAAACTGTACTCCTGGCTGATGCAGAACTTCCTCGACGTGTCAAACACCCGGGTAAATCCTTGGGTGGAACTGGTCCGAAATCGTGACCTGAGTGAAAATGTGAGTCTAAGTGAGAGTGAATTAATGCCAGAAAATGGTCCGGAAGGCTACATTTTTAACCTGCTCCTCCGCTGGGGTGACCCCGCGGATAGATTTTTGTTCCATAAATATAAAGAGTTTGTCAAGTCACGCGAAGTGCGGGTCAAAATTCCGCACTTGTTCCAAGTCAGTCTCTCCCCGAGGACGAGGGCAGTCTCAGAAACGGGGCGGTCCACTCCGAGAATCTTTTGGGATCCGGGGTTCAACCTGAAATTGAAATTCCCATTTTTTAAGGATGAGCTCAGTAAGTACATGCCATTTTTAGGCCTACTTTTAGTAATTTAATGGTCTTTTTAAGAATAGATGGACACGATTTGTGCCGTACACGGTTTTGCATAACTATTTTTAATTACTTCCACCTTGCGTGTTTGCGACAAGGATCGAGAAAATGCACCATTTTTCTTTTCCGTGGTAGCAGGTTTCATAAAAATTGGGAGAGCATGCTAAAAAAAGTGTCAAAAATGCAGAAAAGTATTGCAGAGTCCTCTTCGTCGTCGTCGTCGTCGGTCCTGGCTGGGTGGGTTTTCTTTCGCTTATGCGTACCTACCTTGTCTTGCACTATAAAAAAAATATGAAAAAAGTGACGAGGCTTTTTATCCTGTCCTTGACCATGGGTATGGCAGAGTGCACTTTGCACCACGTATGTACACACACGTACGTATACCCCATTTCATCAGTCGTATCATCAGAATAATAACTGCATGCTACTCAGAGTTGGTTATCTATCGAGTGCAGATTTTCCTGTACGTGCAGGGTTTCGGATTTGTACATTTCTTGCACTGCAAAGTAAGAAACGCAAGAAACTGTGAGAAATATGCGCCATCCAGCCACACCACGTATCAAGTATGCGCCGCGGAGCATCATTTCTCGCGCCTTGCATTTCTTGCAGGTCAAAATACCTTCAAAAAACCACTTTCTTGCCCTTATTTCTTGCAGGTGGTTACTTGCACCCGAAACACTGTGCACATATGTGCAGAATTTATGTGCAGAATATGTGAATTTGTGCAGATCGTCGTAGTAATAGGACCTACTAGACATGTGTGTACGAACCACGTTTAATGTCCCGAAGCAAAATTTGGCACTGAATTTCTGTGTCGTAAGCTAATTATCTCTTCATACATACGTCTCATCGTGATCATGACTCAATCTCAGTCACCAACTCGAAAAACATCATCGCCAACGTCTGCGGTGGTATGGGTTGTGTCCAAACGCGGTCCTCCAAAATACCGACAATTAATCATTTTAACCGCATCATAATAAAATAAGCGAGCAAAATAAACTAAAAGATGGGAATGTGTAATGCCAAGTATGCGTCTCCAATTCCGCCGGAATAGCGAAAAACCTTCAATTTGGTTGATGGGATGTACACATAACTCGCAGTCATGACAGGGCATAAATGGAGCAGTAGTAAGTGCACAAGATATGCACTCTCTTAGCCAGATAGGTGTGTGGAATCGCCTTATTGTTCATAGCCTCTGATGATGACGATGATCATCCCAACACAACGCGCATCTTCGTAATGAACACGTTCGAATCAAGTTCGCAGTGCTTGACTTCTCGTGTGTGGTTATCCTGCAGAGATCAAAGCCCATGCATTTAGGCAGCAGCAGCTTCTTCTGGGGTAGCAAATGCATACTAGTGGTGGCCGTGGTGTAGACCTTTTTTTCAAAATTGGTTCACCCACACCATCACTTTTTGGCTGGCACCATCAACTTCTTCTCATAATTCAATAATGTTCACGTTTCCTTTTACTCGATTCTCTCCACACTCGACGCGAACATAATGACTGAGCGCACTAATGGCTCAATTTGTTTATTGGGAAAAAATGCAGATTTTTTCGTATCAAAAGTGAAACTTGACTTAGGCATGTTCAGTCACCGGGGTGAAGTTTGTGATGATTTATGACACGACTAATTTCACACCACAACAGATCCACACGCAATTTCTGTACGATGATGTGACTCGAAGAATTTGAGTACAAGTCGCACTTTCATAACGATGCGATTCTTGATTTTTTTGTAGAAGTCGCCATTTCCACGGGACCCGCTTTCCTGGCCGGAATTGGGACTGGGATCGTCCTCCTCATCATCAAGAGCATGTTCGCCCCCTTCATCTTCGGAATGAAGTACTTGATGTACAACATGTTCTGGAAGGAGGGCAGCCCGTGGGAAATGATGCGAATGATCTGGGGCGGTGGTGGGGGTCACAATGGACCCGAACCTTGGGAATCGGCGGCTCCTCCACCAGCCATCGAGCATTACGACCCACCCCAAGTGCACAACCAGTACGACAACCATATTCACCACTCGGGCGGAGGAGGAACAGGACCCTCCGGACAAGGTTACGGTTGGGGTGCGGGTGACCAAAAGTTGCAGTTCAGCCAGATTAACCCCATCCTGCTCCATGGCGTGCAAGGACTTGGTGGTGGTGGTGGCGGTTCTTCCGGCGAGGGGAGGAGGCAGCACTACTTTAAGTCACTGCTGCACCAAGGCTACTCACCCGGCGGGGGGTCCGATATGTTGTCGGACAATAATAAGGAGTACGTCCCATCCAACGCGTTGCAAGCGGAGGTGGAGAACTACGACCCCTTCTACAGCCCCCTCTTGTCCAGGATCGACTCGATATTTACGCATCTTGGGTATCACGACGAGGGCTGCAGGGAACGCGCGGTCTGCTCCATTTATAAGTTTCCCGTCAAGTATGCACCCTACTCGAACCTTTTGTCGGCCCAGTTGTCCAAGTAAGTCGATATTTTAATTCTAAATTATTGTCATCTGTCATCAATTTTTAGTCCGAGTCAGGGCTTCTGTACCCGTCATGGTTGTCTGTCTGTCTATAGATTACGGTCGTTATACTCATCCAATAAACTTGACATTTTGCACACACGTAGAATATGCAAAATTAGGAATCAAATTCGCAGATGAGCAAAATCTATCGAAAAGTAAATTAGTTGTAGTGGTCGTACTACACCCACCTCAATTATTACTAAAAACCTGACTAAATGCGCCTGCACTGTGGATCTTTTCTAAATAGGAATCAATGAATCTGCTTTCCACCATCCCAAACAAATGCAGATTTAACAATTACTCAACTTTTTGTCCTAATTCTTCCCATTTTTTCGATTGTATTCATACATCCATTGTTATATGAGAAGTAAAAAAATATGATTAATGTCCCACCGCGACCGCACACATCATCATTTGCAGACAAAGTTTACTAAGTAACCGACCCACCAGCACCGCAAAATTATGCAAAGCAAAAAAGAAGTCTCGGTCATACACAATCAAAATCAGATCCTCCCACCATAACACACAATCGTACGCACATGATTACCGGTCGGAACCAGGGGACGGATTTTTTTTCTTTCATGAAACATTTCATTATTCACAAAATTTTGTCACGTCCCGAAACTATATTCAAGCAAATGAGAGGCCGAACAAGATGTACGTACGAGCACCACACAAGAAGATGACAGAATTTTTTTCCTCTCTCCGTAACCTGATACAGAATTGAGAAATGAATTGTGTGAGAGGAAGTTATCAGAGAAGAGATCATTAAGTCGTGTGTGTGCGAGATACGTATTTATCTCGGAAATTATCATCATCGTTGACAGACTAGCACTGCCTCCTCCTCCGTTGCTTGGTTGGGCTCGTTCTTCTTTTTTTCTGTGCAAAATTTCCGTGTTGACGATAAGGGTCGAGATTTAGAACGGGCTGACGGATGGATGGGTGACAATTGGGAAGGAGGCGAGTTATAGTTCAGGCGACGGGAGATGAGATGATTGTAATTTTAATCTGATACGTAACGTAACATGGTCACCCACTAACTAACCAAGTCGCCTCTTGAGGTTCGTAGGGTGCGTGGCTTGGTGTGGCGTGGCGTATGCAAATGAAACCATGGCGGTGTGACTGACTGACATTTTAGGGATAGTAATTAAGGAAATGTATGTATCAGCTATAAATGGTTGACTTGCTGTTTCACACCTCCACCAACCACCAACTCCTCCGGGGTTGGTTTTTGGGAAGGTTTTTCTGCTGAGCATGCAATGGGCAAGGACAGTAGCCGCGGAAACTGTGGGGACATTAACATTGTAGGACAGGGGAACGAGGGGTTTATATAACACGGACAGACGATGGGGACATTGTCCCACTGTCCCCAACCACGCTTCTGCGGCCACTGGTCAAGGAGACGTTATTTTTTCAATGCTCATACACACCGAATTACTAATTTCTAGGCAAGCAGAATTTAATTATTCTGTAATTATGAGAGGATCCATTCCACAAAAATAATAAGGTCGTTAAATTAGTAAAAAAAGAGTGACAGCGAGGAAGACGTCTCACTAAGTTGTCACTCAAATGCAGACTCCTGACAAAAATGGTCCTACAATTGTCCTGCGGACATTTTCTTTTAGACTTTTTTCAACCGAATAATGAATGACCAAAAACGTTTGTCGGGTCGAATTAATTTTTTTTTGCAATAATATTTGTTTGCTGGCAACAACAAATAGCTTTTTCGGCGTATGTAGATGCATAAAAACGTGCCATAAAAACTTCCCGTTAATACGTCATGCCAATTAAATAGTGAATATCCACCATAAAATGTAATAATTTAATCAGTAAGAAAATTGTTTCATTATTTCTAACCCCGTATAACTTATATAATATCGTAAAAAATGATAAGCCACAACGACGATGCATCTTTCTCCTAAATCTTAATTGACCGGCTCCTGCGTTTATGATCAAGTGATGATAATATCTTAATTATTATTAAAATTAACTAACTATTTCATTCTTTTTACAGACATCAAACCGAGCTTAAACGACCGGTAACAAAATCTCCCCGAATTTTGCGTTACTTTAAATACATGAAGGCAGCCAAGGATGGGCAAGGACACGCCTCGTGTATCGATACTTATCCAAATTGCGACCAAGATACGGACTCTGTGACCAATCTGCCCATGGTAATAAAATATTTACATATAGTATTTGATCTCCATTCTTCCCAGCTTTTGGATTTTCAGGGCTGTTACACCCCACAAACTTATGAAAATCTGCATCGAAGATGCAGCAGTCGTACGAAATGACAGGTTTTGTGAAGAAATTAACTTTTCATCGCAGTCAAAATACTTTATTTTCACGATTTTCTAAAATAAAGTAGGTTAACATCAACAAAATGTTAATTTCTTCACAACAAACTTCGTACGATTGCTGTATTCTCGATGCAGATTTTCATCATTTTTTGGGTGTAACACCCCTGAAAATCCAAACCCTGGAAAGAACAGAGATCAAAATACTTTATCTTGACAAAGTATTTTGCCCATTAAATAAAATAGTATTCTCTAACTAAACATATTATCATGCAGATCACGACATTCAACCAATTGTCCGAACTGATGGGGGCTGAGGCCACGGGTCCTTCGGGGTCATGATTTTCAACTGATTGATGATGAGCTATGCACAACAATTAATAGTGATTGATGGTGGTGGTGGTGACGACTGTGTAAATCGAGTGTTTTTTACATTGATTCACTCACTATCTCATCTCCTAAAGAGCTAAAAACATTACATTAATTTCATGATGACATCACACCTAAAAAGGACGTGGAATAGACAAGATTTTATGTGAATTGGAGACACGAATTTGAGCAGGACAAAGTAAAAATGAGACGTTTCTGTGCTATATGTACGACAGCGACAAAAAATACATGGCAGAGTTTCATAAGTATTTAATATTCCCTTTAAATTCATCCCTTTAAATTAATACGAGACCTACATTTATTTACTTGTCGCATATGTACTACTCACTCACGAAAGAACTGAACTGATCCACTTTTTCCAGACAATTCTCCTCCAACGTAGTTAATTAATTATGAAAAAAACGAAATGATACAAGTATTATGCAGTGGACACCCTGGTTGGTGTCTGGTGACACAAGAAATATATACATAAATTTACACAATAAGTTCCTCGTTATTAAATACATAGAGAGAAAAAAACAGTACATGACACCACGACCTTTTCATGACGATGCAACAAACAAGTAGACGACAAAATTGACCACATTCCTAATAACTAATTTATCATAAAATTTGACATTTTCTGTCTGGTTGGAAATTGGACCAGGTTTTTAGGCCTGTGACATCTCTATCTACCTCAAAACATGGGATAAATTCCGTTTAATTGATTGCGTACCTGAATTTTCTATTATCAAATCCAACCATTATTTATTTACACATTTGTGACAATAACAAACGACGACGATAATCCTATAGAATTACTTGGATCACTATTTATTCATTTATTTAAATAAGTTAGTAAATTTTTATTATTTTTGTTTTTGATTTATTTATTTATTTGTCAAGTTGAGAAACTTTACTAATTTATGTGAGATGCAATATACGCCAAACAAATGGATGAGCTATGCTTAAAAAAATTGGATGAATGTTTTTTTAAAATAATTATGCAACTATTTACTTAAGATTATGGAGGAAAGGACGATATTATGCAAAATTGGATATTGTTTTTGAAGGAATTTTTTATCCATGTTTTTTAAAAATTATATGCGCACTTGTCTTATTTATTGTTTTGTAAATGTATTGTATAACACCACAATTCAAATTTATCTGGATTTATGAAATTATTTTTAATCCGTAATACATAATTCACAAAAGAAAAGTGTTTAATAAGCAAAGAAAAGAGATTAATAAGCAAGCAATACTCATTCCTATTTAGTAAATAATTAGTGTGACGTGTGTGCAGTATTGTTGAAAAAATGGGTGTAAAATAAAATAAACATGCATGTAATAAAAAATTATGATGAATTTAATGAAATTGTGTAAAATGTTGAGTAACAAGAATCAATAATCAATTAGTTCCTGATAATATTTCTCACGTCGTTAACAAAAATGTTGTCATTTTTCTCACCATAAAATCCTAAAAATCTCGTCAAATACTTAATTATACGTGTAAAAGTCGATGCATTTTGTGTTACTAAATTTAAGTACGTGCTTTTATGTACAAAAACGCTCATTTCTCGAGATTACGTAACATAAGTCAATGACTGCTTGCAGCAAATGTCCAGTGCACATAAATACCAATTTCGCAAATTTGCGCTTCGCAAAATTTCATAAAACTTAAAATTTTTCAAAAATCTAAAACTTGTTCTATCTTGTTCCTTATGAAAAATGAAATCTGTTACAAACCTTTTCCATAAATATTACTAAATTCCCTTAACGGAAAAACAACCCATTTGAGCATGAATGGATGGACTACTTTTTCCGAAATTGTTGTCCAAAGTAGATCATCACCGATGAATAATGCGTACTCAAACCCGTATTTAAAAAGAAATAGAGAATCCATACATAAATAATTATGCAATAATGTGAATAAGTGGTACATACACCTACACAGAAGAACAGAGTATTATGACCCAGTCTGGTCACCAACGAACGCAAGATCGATTCATGAATCGAAATAAGGTTAACTAACGAACCAATAAGTTCCGAATAAAATTACCATTATTGACCAAGTGCATATTTATAATAACATTTCAACGGCATCAGTACTGCTCCTGCTAATTAGTCTTCACACCAACGTATGGAATTATACTGGTAGACATTGATGAAGTATTCGACCGCACCGGTTTTTTTTCATGAATTTCAATTCTTTCACACCTTCACATTAAGACGTAATAATAATTGTTCGTTTAGCCGATCGTCTCTCCATCCATCAGTGTAAGTAGTTTGCTTATGTTTATTGTACTTACCGTTGTTCTTGCAACTATTTGTTCACCGCTTGTTGAAACAGTGTTTGAGGTTCAATGACAGGAGAATTATTCGATAATCGTCATCTTAGGATACAATAAGCAGCACTTTTTTCCCTCAAATGTGGGAGGGATGACTCCTTTTCCTCGTCCTCGGTTAGTGGTAGCAGCCCCCCGTTTGCGACCACTTGTCGTCGTCGCCGTCGCAAAAGTCAACGTTCTTATTAAATGAGATGTCACATTTGACGAGTACTTACGACTGCCACCCGTTTATTTGGACAGGGCTGGAAGAAACCCGGTCGCACTACTGCTGGTTGGCAGGCCTCACATCTGTCAGTCTGACACCACAAAGTGACGACGAGTGAGATATTATTCTAGGTCGTAAAAAATGTGTCAACTCAAACATTTAATCAGTACTGGACGTGTTTGCTCTTAGAAAACTTTTAACTTTTGGACGATTTTTTTGTGAAGTGAAAAACACTTTAAATAGTTGAGTTTCGTAAAGTGTGAGGCCATTTTACACGGAGAAATCATTGAGAAAACGAGACACGGATTTTTTAAGATTTTACTTTACACGGAAGAAGTATTAGAATGACGAGTTCAAAAATTTCTCCCAATTTTCCAGGTGAGTAATTTTGTGGACACTTTTAGGAATATTTTTGTAATACTTTTCCCTCCTGATTCAGCCTCGGCCTTTGTGGTGACCGTGTTCTGTGCGGCGGTGTTTCTCCTCCTTCCGGACGGATCTTGGGGAGGCGAGGTGGATGGTCATCACGGAGGAGATGAGGTGCATTCTCGACAGAAACGGTTCATCTATTTCAACACCCAATCTCCGGTCGATATTGGTAATAAATAATAATCCTATTGCAATTTTTAATTTGCCATGCATGCATAATTTCGTCTCATTTCGTAAGACTTATATAACTGCGAGGATGGGATGGACTATAGGCTCTCTTTTCAGGAGGGTGTGTGTGATTGAGTCAGTCGGTATATCTAAATACATAAGTACTTTATTGTGGTAGTACCTAGCAGTGAAAAGTTTAGAATTTGGTTTTCGCAAAAGTTTCCATTTTTTAAATTTCTTGAATGTTATGTAAAAGCTTACAAAAGTGCGACACAAACAGTGAGATATTTGCATCCAAAGAGGTAAATGCTTCCTAACGTGGACAAATTTTGCACTTAGAAAATTTACTGCGCGATTTCTCCTCTTCGGATGCAAGTATCCCTACCAAACCTGCGAATTTTTGCACATTTCATATTAAGTAAGTTTGTGATCGATTAACACTAATTTGGTCAAAATCGGAGAGCATTCACTGGGAGACCTCCATTGTAAGTAGCGGAATTGATCTTTTTCTAGAAGGGAAATAGAGCAATGCCATTGATACGTACATATATTTATGACTTGTTGTGTGATTAATGTCGTAGTGGGTGTGATTTTCCGTACTTAAACGTGTGTATTCTTTGCCCGCATAATGCAGGACTATTGATCACTCTTCCCCTGTCATTTGCCCTGCCGACGTTTAACCTCAAGACGAGTAGGCGATTTAGTCGGTCCGTGGGTCCAGGCGGGGAGGAAAACGACATCATGGCCAACCTCACCGCGGAAGATATCCTCCCCCTCGACTCCTTCGATGAGCCGGCCTATTCCGTCGAGCTGGGAAAAATGATGACATACTTCACCATTTTGGAGGTAACCATATCTCTTATTATTGGGTGGTCATAATCTTACCTTGCCTCGTCATCATCATTGTCACTAAAGTTATCTCGTTTTTTTTACAACCATTTTCTCGCTTGTTTTTTAAAAAATCTCGTCCAAAAGCAATCTTCATATCAACTCCTGCAAGTTTTTTTTACCTTTTTTTATTATTGGACTCAAATATGTAACTTGGCCTCCTCATAAAAAACTAAGAAATAGGAAACCTACGAATATCCGACAAGAATCACCAAGTGAGTGAGTGACACGGTATAAATAAACGTTATAAAAAAAGAGCAAGTAGGTAAAATGGGAGGGAGGCAATTTTATCATGCGTCGTCCCGTGGTTTTGTTAGGTTGATGGCGAATTGACCCTGAAATTGACCATGCAAAGTCGGCATATACCAAGCGGATGGATAGGCACGTATAAATAGTTTGTTGAGGCAGATGAAGATTTTCAGCCTGATGCACCCTCGCACAGCTTTTTATATTTATTTATGACGCCTCTCATTCTTTTCTGAGATGCAGTCTCGGTGGGTTCACCAGTCTTGGCTGGAACCTGGTGAGGTGAGGTTACACAGTTTTTGGTGGGTCTCTCTAATGAGAGGGGACCATCAAGTACTCTACAACAGCTTCCGTCCTTGAACTTGATAATGCCCATTCATGATGATGCCCTTCTCTTCACCTTGAAAATGAAAGGATTGATGTTTCTGGACAAGGTTGTTGCACAGCAGGACTTCACAATTTACTGAGCCAGGTCCCGTTTCTTGTTTTGTCACAAAACACTAAAAAGACAACGACCACGACGACAAGTAACGCTTTACACGCGTGCGTTTCGTCAGGTCGTCGGGGTTTCCCGTAGGTCGGTTGAACGGTAGTAAATTAAAATGAACGGTCAATACTAAATTCGTCGTCCAGGTAGGTAAGTAAATAAGGAGATGACGATCATTCCACCACCACCGACCAACGAAAAACAACAACAAATATGTTGATGAAGCCCCTCCAGGAGAAGGACCTTGAATGAATCTGGACTTTGAAGTAAGAGCATTGACCGAAGGATGATGATGTGAGGGGTCCTCTGTCTGACCATGTCTGCTGCTTCTGGTCCAGTCTCCAGTCAAAATCTCATCTTCAGATATTCCTATCCTGCTGCTCATCATCATTATCAGTCTTATTAGTTGTTCCTCGTCCTGCTCTTACCTTATTCTCCAGCTCGTTTAAATATTTATTATGCAAGATCCAGATTTAGATAGATCAAGTCTCTCTCTCTAGTCCAGTCCCCTCGCTTGCTGCATGCCTTAAAAAACTAGTTGAATCTTAAAACAAAAACCACAAAATATTTGTATGCATTTATCCTGCAACCATGACCATGACTTATTCTTTCCATCCAGCCAACACAATTAGTTTCCTCCTAGCCCAATTTTATTCCAGTTTGATTAGATGATCCACTTTTTGATGGGGAAGATTTATTCAAAAATCCATTCCGGGTTGTTCCAGTTTTTGATGTATATTTAATCCATCCAGGACAGAAACCTGTTTTATTTTAAGATGCTCACACATTGTCTTGAAAAAAAATATCCTTCTCGATTGTCCTACATTTATTCATTTTAACTCTTTCAGATCGACGAAGACATTTGTCAACAGCGAATAATCTGCGATATCTTCACCGATCCAGAAAAATTTAAACCCATCAGTGACATTTTCATGCGGAAACTTACGTATGTTACGAATCCTATTAAGAATTTCGAATTTTTTAAAGAAATGACGCTGTTATTTTATATTTTTTTCCTTTTAGTGCTGACCACGGCCCAATGACGGAGAAGATGTCGAGCCGGTACTACCGTTACGTTCGTGCTATGCAAGAGGGGATGGCGTCTGGGGAAGTGGGGTGTAGAAAAGGGTTTGGAAAGTGCCCCTACTCCGCCGAAGAGAGACTTAACATGCCTGCCCTCCACTTCTGGACGTATTTAACTAACATTCTTCGAATGGAGTTTAGAGACGAGTAAATTGTTCAGTTTCGTCACAGGGTCCTCGATTACGTCATTGTTCTTTTACTTTTAATTTATTGATCTGTTAATTTATTTCATGGTTTCAGGGTGGGTTATTGATTTTATATGGTAATTTATTGGTGAAAATCATTATTGGTGTTTTTTTGAGATACTTAAAATAAAGTTGGTTCAAGTTAATGATTATTAAATAGAGAATGTTACACACTTATGTAAGCGTGTCTTTCATGGGAAATTCGTGTACGTGCATTTCGCAAATTCTATGTCAAATTTTTACCTAGAAATGATTTGTCATCAGAATTTACATAACTCATCTAACCTGATTCGCACAATAATTAGTGAGTGAGATTTGCCTAATTCATAATTTTAGGTTGGTTTAATTAGCAAAGTTATTTGAGCTGCTGTAGTTATTGCTGTGGTCAAAATTACGGCATATCTACGTGTTGAACTGAACTCGTAAAGCACAAATTTCACTCGTGGTGGAGGATATTGCATGAATAAAATAAAATAATCCAGCTCAAATATGCATGTAAAATACTCATTCATTCATAAACTCCAAGTTGCGAAGAGTATGCACTTGCAAATCACGGTTTAATTTATTCACTCTTCTTTTTATTAAGAATGACACAACTTTCGTTGGATTATGATCACAATAATTATCTGTTAATTTGAAAACTTCTGCATACATAATATGTACAAATTTTGGCAGCAATTTGCATATAGTGAGTACCACGTGATTCTAATTGCTATGCGTTTTAGTGATCTAGTACGACAAACATATTTTGCAATAACAACCTATCCAAATGACAAAACTGTAGGAGTATACACTGTTAAAATACTGTATCTATCAATCAAATCCACCCATTTAGGCTGGAGTCAGACAAAGTGGTTCGTCTTATTCTGTGCGTTAATTCATTTAAAATCCTCCCATTAATGAAACAGATCCATCCATCCACACATTTTTCGCATGCAAATCCAGTCCAGCAAGAGCGAAGTCCTGGAAGAGTCGCAGATAAGAAACCCACCATAATTTTGATGACTCGGCGAAATGACGATGATGCAAATTAATTAAATGAATGGGTCAAACTTCAGAAATAATTAAAGTGCTGGAGATGCATTTTACCGATAAAAATCGTTAACTCCTAAAATAAATAATCTGGATTTAATCGTCCTCCAATTTCATCAAACACGAATCTTGTCCATGAAAATTGACAAGTGATGCGCTGATAAAAAGTAACAAGTAAAATGTACCTGAAAAATAATTATGCAAAATATTGTACACTTTTCTCAATCTCGTTTTAAATTAATGAAATGCTTTTATTATTTTTATTTTATTTTTCACATTTGTTTTCTCATCATCACTTTTATTTCAGCTGAATCGCATTCACTAACCATTGCTTGAATAATTAAATGTGTAAATATTTGTAAAAAATAAAATCATTTTTGTTTCTCCACTTTATAGCATTTTTCCACTAAAATATTTATATAGCATTACGGTTAAAATAAATAATAATAAAAATCGTCAATTTGGCGATGTTGTTGTTCTTGGTAATAAATTAATTGGTGGGTGTGTGTGTGTGTGTGTGGGTGGATAATTAACTAATTATCCTATAAAAGTTTAAGTAGATATTCTCACTCACAAAATTGTTACGTTGTGTCGGCTTAGTTAGTTATGTATTATTAAAACTAATTGTAATTAACTATTTGGCCGGATGTAGTGTGTGTTTGTGTAGATGGATAAAATTCTTTGTTAACATTGAATAGTAAAATTCTGTAACAGAACTTTCTGTTAAAAGTGTGAAAATAGCATTAAATTATTTAGAATAAATGTGTATAAAGTGGAGTAGAGGAAATACTGATAAGCTAAAAAATACGGATGGCAGGTGCAGAAATTTAAATATAATTGGGCATGCAAAAAGTGTGTGTACTGTAAATTTGATTCTATAAATTTTGCGATTCGATTAGATAATTTGTTGGCAGGTTAAAAAAACAATAATAATATTTTTCTCGGCGTTATTATAATATGTAACTTATTGCGTTTTCTATCATTTGATCAGTCTTGTAAATCATCACGGCTTTACGAAACGACGATTATTTACTTTAAAAAAATGTTCCTTCTTATCACCAGAAACTCTGCTAAAAAAACTGCGACATGAGAAAAGAAAGGCCGGATTAAAGTTTTTTTTTCAGAGAGAGAAATTTGACACACGCATCGAATGACCTCGATAAAGAAGTAGAATAATTTGTTGAGTATAAGATTTCATGTGGTAAATACAGAGAATAATAATAAAAAAAATTATTAGCACAAACAAACAACACGATAAAATACGACGTGCCGTAATGTCTGTGTATAGTATGTTGTCACATCGGGATACTTATTGGCATGACTGAGAGTCCTGATTTTAACCTAAATTGTAATAGGAATAATGGGCTTGTTTTGGTGGTCGTCGTCGCCGTCGTCGTCTTGGTGGTGGCGAATCCAGGTCATCGGTGATGGTGGTGGTGGTGACTCATTTATTGGAATGACCTGACGAGCCGACGCCGCCGACAGTGACCAGATTAATTCCTTACGTTCTATACGTGGCGACGCGGAGGAGGAGGTAGAGCTGGTTTGATATGGTCCGCCGTGTGGTGGGCCAAGAAGTGGGAGGCGTGATGCTGGACCAGGTTCGGTTTTAATGATCGGGTCTTGTAATTCATCTAAAATTAGAGAAAGATAAAAAAAAGTTGTTAAATCATGGATAATTTTTCTTCACATTTTAATAGATTCTCTGGGGGCAAGGTGAAGGTGAAACTGGACTTTGGTGCGTACAAGAAGACTTCTCTGATTACTCATACATGAGATTACCTATTAATTAGGGACTCTCTCTCCAAATTGGGTCAGTCAATGCACCCCAAAACGTTTACATACATGTAACTACGTGACCGTTTTCCCAACCAGGTGAGAGCAAGATATTACAATAATAATAATGATGAGCTAATCTGAGCTTGTGCCACTGCACTGCATGAACAGGAAATAATAAGTGGGCACATTACATCCCGTTTGACGACGACGTAGTAAATACATAAGAACCTTAATAAACAACAAGTGAGTATGCAATGCAGATAAGTTGTTGTCGGGTTAAATGACCAGTAATAAATGAGATGGGATGCATACTAACTAATAATAATGGATGGACCGTTAACCTATTAAACTAAGGAGCCAAGCCAAGCACCCGTGATCACAGACCTTTACTTACCCTCTCCATGTATACAAACATCCTCTTATGCATGTACGAGGCATGAATAATAACAATAATCACCAAGATAATAACAACGGGACTCTGAAAGTGTGGCATCATCATCATTACCATCATCATCAACAATAAGAAATGGAATGTTTAGCCAAAAATATGTAAGAATATCGTCGTCGTGATCATCGTCGTCCTTCCTTCTCGAACAATCTCTGGACTAAATATTTGGACCAAAAAAGAAGAAAAACCTCATCCGCCCCACATTTTTAAACCAACGCACCGCTCGTCTTACGTATGCATCTGAGTCATCACGAGCACGACGCTTACGCTTCTTCCAGAAGTGGTACCCAACGCCGCACTTGAATACACGAATAACTGTACTTCAACCCTTCAATTGTTTGTTCTCCCATCCTTCTTTCTAACGGAACTCGCCTCTCCTCCGAGATCAGCTATCTATTCGCTGAACAACCTGTCACCCACCCACAGAAATAGACAGATAACAAACAATTCCTGTTCCGGCATTGACTTAACCCTTCACATATTTGCTCTAACGGGACGACGACGCACAATGGGCGGCCTGGAGTCTCGTCAAAAGTGTCACGATCCATTGAACCGGATATTCACCATGCACCTTCCGCTTTTCTCAAAATATGAGCAGCACGGACGGAACGGACGGACGGAAATCGCCACCTCCAATTATTGAAGGAGTGAGTAAGACGACGAACAAAGCGGGGACGACGCGTGAGGCATCGTAACCCTTTCGCTGATGGGATTCTTCTTGTGGTGAGCGAGTTTTTTGTTGACTTTAAAAAAGCGAAGGTTTAAGCCCATGTATGTCTAAAAGGCGGTGATGGAACAGGTGGATTGGATTCAATTGAGAATCAGCTGAGTTGAGGCAGAGTAGGTTACAGTTTGGCTGGAGGCATTAGAATAAAAGTGCATCGGCCTTTAACTACTGAATAACGGGATGTGGCCGTCGTGGTGAGGTTAATGTCTCTCCTCAAGGCAGGCGAAAGATGAGATTTTCTCACAATCAGCCCATTTCTACGACGAAATGCAATGCGACTGTCTCACGTTGGTCTCATGTTGGTCTCACGTTCTCCAAATGTTTGTATAGCCTCTGGTTTTAGTGACGAAATTAGGAAAACAATGTGAGACTCGGGTCGAGTAAAATCATTTCTTTCGGGTTCGCTACATTTCTTGCAGTGCAAAGTAAGCAACGCAAGAAATGCGAGGTGCAAGAAAGTGCAAGAAATATGTAAGCTGCCTTAAACCACTTTCTTCTTACGTTATTTCTTGCAAGTGGTTACTTGCACCCGAAACACTAGGAACATTTGTTTGCAAACAATACAAAATCTTTTGTATTTACTTATGGACTTTTCATGGGCAGACGGAGCCTCAAGTGCGTACTTTTCCTCATTGTTTTCCAAGTTCAAACTTCATCCTTTAACCCGTCATCTCTCATCATTATCGGATTGGATTCCACTTTTGAGAAGAGATGATGATGACTGAAGAGAATGATTGAATTCCCTTCCGTCATTCTCGCCCAATTCTTTGTGTACATATAAATTCTCTCTCTCATCCCTTTTCCCCAACTCTTTAAGAAAAGTATCCATTTACTTATTTATAGAACGCGGAAGAAGAAAAGAGTTCTTTCCCACAGGCACGAAAATGGGGAAAAATCTCTTAAAAAAGGGATTCTTCAAGAAAGAAGAAGAATCCAATTTCCTCAAAATCTATCAACCAACCAAATGCTAAAATAAAATTTGTTCCAGAAATCAACATCTGCATGGCAAGAGAGCAAAAGATACTGACGACACAACAATGGGACGCTTCTGGAGAAGAAGATGCCGAGCAGCCGTCTCAAAAAACAACCATATTTTTGGTTTGCGCATTGAATTTCGTAATGATCTGACTCTCGACGATTGGACTGGACAACAACTCTTCGACCTTTCTGCTTCTTCCCTATTTCTATACGTTTTCCAGTTAAAATAATCTCAACGAGTTCATCAATTGAGGAAAAATGAATAACACGACCATCCATGTTTGTCTGGCTTTTTGCTTATAAATAAATACGATTTCTACCTTAAATCATTTCCACCCAGCCCGTCAGCAGATGCTAAGGAATCATAGTCTGCAGATGGTTAAATTATTGCGGCGGCGGCGAACTGGTTAACTCCCGTTCGTTCCTTATTGATTGATTATCACCCACCACGCAGTAATACTGCCGTGCTATGTTTGTGGACCTCATATCTCTCGCAGAAAGGTAGCATCATCACATGATAAGGAATTAGCAGTCGCCGAGATATAAATATCCATCCACCACCACCGACCAGATTTCAGATAACCCAACAGCAATCAACCGGATGTGAACTTGTCTCTCGATTGACATTGACATTGAACCGTCTACAAGGTTCAAGACTTGTGTACCGTACTTGGTTACCAATCATATCGATTGATCGCTTATCTGTTAAAACAAGGACCCAATTTCTTATCCAAGTGCGTAAAACTCCTCACACCCGGTAAGTCACTGCAAGGATTTTCGCCCACAACTGAACACCCTGCACCACAAGCACACTCAGTCATCCACCCAATCCAATTGTGATCCATAACATATCTATCAGTTCATCTCGGAAAGGTCAACATTGTAAAACCTGAATTACTCAATGAGACTGGTGCAGTGAATGAGTGAGTATTCCGAGTGAGTGGTATGTATGGATGGATGGATGGTGGTGTGTTGGTGCAGAAGAAGAAGAAGAAGAGCAATTTAAAGTTCATCCGTAAAGGTTAAGTCAACTTAAGAAAGGAAAAAAGAAACGCGTAATAATTCTTTTAACAAATCAAACCAACGATGAAATGAATAACCAACGAGATAAATACTACGTAATAATGTTACTTTGTTCCTTTATGAATTCGCGGAGAGTTTCGGGTGCAAGAAATAAATGCAAGAAAGTGGTTTCTTGCAGAAATTCAAGGCGCAAGAAACTACGCCACGATGCGCATAGTTCATACGGCACGTGGTTTGGCTAGATTTCACATTTTCTTGCACTTTCTTGCAGTTTCTTGCACCTTCCATTTCTTGCTTTGCACTTCAAGAAATGTAGCAAACCCGCAAGAAACGAAACACTGGTCCCGGTGCCGTGTGGCAAGTTCCCATGCACAACTTTTCAACCCAGCTTCACGCCGCTTTTCCTCTTTCGTCGACATCATACGGATGATAATCATGAGAAGGGGTGAAGATAAGATAATCTGGGGTTTATGGTACTTTGAAACCCTTAAATTCTAATCTTGTCGAGTAAAAAAATAATTACGATATGCAGATTAGTCTTAAAGGGTTAAGACATTGTGTCACTACTTCTTCTTCTCGATAAGAGGGGAGCAGTATGGGAAACACATTTGTAAAAATAAGTGATCCCATTTTTTAAACAGTGGTAGTGAAAAGGGTAGCGACACTATTTATGAGATCTCTTAATAAAAATGTGCCCCAAGACTACGTTTTATCACGAATCCTTCACGAAAAAAAGAGAACCTTTACAAACAAATTTCGCTTTTCCATAAAAATTGTGACAAAAAATGGTAAAAATTTCATATCCGGAAACCCTTTTACACATGTGAGAAAAAAACCTGTGGCACGTGGGTGTATAAAATTACGAATTATGAAAAGCTTAATAAAAATAAAAATTTCGGGTTCATTGAAATTCAAGAAAGGGTTTCACAAGGAGGAATATAATAAAGCTGTCTCTTTTTTTGTGCGATGCAACATCACGTCGTCTCTCACTCAAATGTACATAATGACGAAACAGGTATAAAAAACTTTGTCAATTCAATGCTAACCATTTCATACGACAACTCTAACCCTTTAAATGTTGAGCATACAAACGTCGTGGATTGGATCCTGGACCACATTCAATTTCAAGATCAAGAGCAGGAAGCAAGAGTAAGATTTACCCCAAAAAAACTGTTCCATGCAAAAATGCGAGATACAAAAGCAACTCGTCATTTTTATGTTGTGTTCCTATTTCCTGAATCTGAGACAGATCGAGTTTCCAGACTGGATCTCAACTCCATTTTATTAGGCACAACGGGATTCAATTATTTTACGTCCAGAAAAAAGAGTTGGGATGAAGATGAAGTATTACAAATTCGGAAAAAATGTTGAGACAGAGAGGAAGCTTGTGTATGGAGAAGGAGGAAATTAGACAAGAAATTCATCCTCAATATGCCGAATGACTGACGAAATTCAAGGTTGGTCTGGTGGGTGACGAAGTTAAGGGTAATGTTAAGGTGTAGCCTTGCTCTTGGACAATAATCATAATAAACTCTGCCCTGGCCGGAGATCTTCCCTTCTTTTGAAACTTTGCGAACCACAATAAAATAAATAAAATGATAATAAAATTCTGGAAATAGTTTTTGACATTGACACACAACATTTGGTTTAGTTTAGTTTTTCTATGTGCCGCATTATTGATAAATACATTGCGCAATACGAATTCTTTGCTCTTTTTCCTCAACTAACTTGAAGTAAGAGTCGTAAATGCGATGCCAGTAGTCAGTCAGTTCAGTGGACAAATTGTTATTATTACGTCCAGCCGGCATTTACTTACAGATATTTAGTGCAATAAAATAAAATCCAACGTATAAAATCTGACACCAAGCCAACCACCCCGATCCAATCCAGCCAGACTAAATACTACTCACTCGTGATTTTTGAACCTAAAAAAACAGCACCTCGGCTCTGTTATGATTCATTCTTTGCTTCGAATCTGATTTCACTTTCTTCCCAGACGGCTGGACTGCTGGAGAAGAGAGAGAGAAAAAAAGTGTGACATGACAATACGATTCTCGTCGTGGGATTTAGGCCAAGGAAGGAGGAGAGAAACATGAGTGCAAATTTTTTTATCTCTCTCCGCAAGTCTGTGGTGCTGGTGTTGGTGTGCGAAATGTGTGGCAACGACTTCACTTCACATCGGGCGAAGAGGTAGGCGATGTGTGTGTTGTGGGTACGATACGATGATGATGATGACATAATAGTGCAACAGGTGAATGAACAGAGGTATCAAGTTTGGCATGAAGAAGAGCCACATGCCATGTTATAAGTATTTACTGATCAGCAGCGACGAGACTCGAGAATCATCACAATGCACACGGCATTCTGCATGCAGCACCTGCTTCCTCCTCCTCATATGATCAAACCATTTCGCCAATCTCTTATCTCATCATCTGGATCTTGGTTGGGATTTTTGCATGATTGCTAATAAACAATTGACAGCAGGAGCGATGTTCAGATGTGGCTACCACCAGGAATAAATGATTGTAATTGGTTATTGGGTTGACGAGATGATCCATGCAAATGCTAATTTTTATTGGGTGTAACCCGGAAGAATGTCCTTCTTTTTTGTGGGTAAAACTCTTCCTTATTTTGTAATAAAGTAGTGATGGAGGTAAATTATTGGCAAAGTAGCGAGGAATTGTTTGCTTTCGTAAAAATGTGCAAATTTTTGGGGTAGTTTTTTTCTAATTTTTTCAAAGGGGAATTATTTTGTATGAAAATTTGTCACGAACCAGGCCGATTTCACCTCGGGGAAAAAGAGAACCGTGAAAAAAATACTTTTTACTCACCCGATAATGATGATGACGATGGCACATGATTTCGAGATGTGGAGGCTCGTGGAGAAAGTCCATGATGATTAGTGGTTTGGGATGAGTCTCAAATTTGCTAAAACTTTGTCCTCTTCTTCCCTGACAAGACTTGGGTGGTGGGGTTGGGTCGAGATGAGGTCAAAGGTCAGTAGAGACCGGTGGGGTCTAACTTCTTTGGAGGGTCCATTATGCAGAGAAGTTCTTGATCTGGATTCTTATCAAGTTAAGGGTGGAAAGTTGGCAGGAAATTTACCGAGAAACAAAAATCTATCGCTCAGTACAACCCGGTGGGGTCGAGGGTCTTAGGATCGTTAGCCATGGTAGGTAAAAAAAAATTTTCAGAAATATATTTCAGAAAAGTGAGACTGATCTTGCCGAGTGCGGAGACTGAGTGAGTCGGTCGAGCAGACTGAGACAGATCTCTCGATGAGAAAAGTGGTGCAGCACAAGGTAGTCGCAGCAGTGGTGGACGAAACTGTGGTGGTAACACTTGTACTCCTGAACCAAGAGTGATTGAAAAGTTGGTCCGTCTCTCAATTTAAACCCAAACGTGACCACGGAGAGGAGAGGAAGAAGAAGAAGCAGAATTAAGGGAAATGTCGCGCCCGAACAGTCTCCCACTTTTCTCCGACCCGTATCTACCACTACCGATAATAATAAAAAAAATAATATGCAGTAGTACAATAGGTGGGTCGTCGTCGTTTAAATGAAACGTGGTGACTACTGCTTCCGTGTGTATGTGTGCAGCAATAATCCCTCTCCGCTCAACTGAACCCCTCGGTCGTCGTTGTCTCACACTAACTAACAACAACTAACTAACCATAATGGTAGTAGAATGCAGTGTAGTTAAAGACTTGATCATCATCCTTCCGTAGGCACCCAATTCACCCAAACCAAACCAAACCACCCGACTATCTAGAAGAAGAGGCAGCAGCGATGTGTACATATCTCATACTTCATACTTGTGTACGTACACATTGGTCGTCGTCGTATCTCCTCGCGATGAGTCTCATTCTACCACTTTTCCACTCCTCGCAAGACTCGCTTGCACCGTGTCGCCCCGGAAGTCAGAAGGATTAGCACTTTGTTGCAAATTTCATGTACCGCTATGTTGTCTTTTGCATGAGATCCCGGCACTAATACTCGTTTAAAACTGTAAATAAATGTTGATGATTCCTCCTCCAGAAGTGTGCGTGCAGTGCAAATCTATTGTAGAATTTTCACGGTTTTTCCGCAACGTGTACATATCTCCCGGTTAGAGGTCATGTACCGAGAGAGGTTTGTGTACATCGTGCAAGAGTTCATTTCAAAACAATGCAGCTAACAAAGTAATTGCACTTTTCCCAGGTCATTTTAAGGCCATTCGAGCCCGTAGTTAGGCGAGAATGGAAATGCCAAAATTATTGCAAATGTATCGATTGTACGCTTATGGAACTGCATTCGTCGCCTATGTAACTTTTTACTTTTGTCAGACGGATAATAAAAGGAAACCAGTTTGTGACGGGTTGCGTGGGCTTTTAAATACATTGTGTCAGCACGTATGTATTTCTGTTTCGAAACAATAATAAAGAATGCGGATAGACTCAAGAAGACCAAAGAAAGACGAAGAAATGATCAAAAAAAGTGAACACGACTCGAAAACCGGAGCCTGGACAAGAAATGGTGGATTGTGGTAGTAGCTTTATGCATGAAATGTAGTTTTAGTGGTGGCTACGCTCCAGTTTACGCACCTCTTTTTCTGAATAAATTAGACGAGATGTGATGCGCGATGCAAAGTAGGAACGGGGGATCGAGAGGGTTAAGTTGGATCTTCTTCTTCTGATATCAGTTGGTTGGTTGGTTAGTAAAAAAATCAGTATTTCAGTAATTTAATTTCTTCTTCTCCCTGATACGTGCGTATGCTGGACAAGGAGAAGAAACGGCCACTTCTGTATCTGTAATCTCATCTCGCGAGCTGTTGAAGGTCTGACCACGACCACGGCTAAGAAGCTCACAAGTTCAAAGTCAGTTTTATATTTTAGGTTTATTAGCTGCATCTCGGCATCCCTCGTGTGTTGGATGGATGGATGGATGGAGATACATGCGTATGCATAAATAATTCTGACGGTGTCTTCTTCACTCCAGTCCAGACGCAGCTTTTTGTTCTCCTGACCCTCACCACCACCGAGGTCTGGATGTAGCCATGTATGTATTTAACCACTTATTTTATAGTCCAGAACTTGATCTTGATTTTGATTGTGATACACGTATGTACCTACACGCAAATGAGACGCAGAATGGAGGTCTCACAGCGTATGCGATCCGATTTTGAGCAAACTAGTGTCAATTGATCTCAAATTTGATTAGTGTGAAATTTGTGAAAGGTATTATCTCCGATGGGCATTTTTGGCAGAAATATTTGCAACCGGAGAGGAGAAAAAGCGCCCTAAAGTCGAGAAATTTAACACTTTCCAAATTTACTGCGCGTTTTCCCCTCTTTGGATGCAAATATCTCTGCTGAACGTGTGTATTGGGAGATCGTGTCATTTGAAAATTTCATACCAATTAAATTTGTGTCCGACTGACACTAATTTGCTCAAAATCTGAGAGCATACGCTGCGAGACCTCCATTGTCAGGAGCACGAGTAGGACGAATCTCACCTCGGTCCGAGAGAGTTAAATATTATGAGAATGAGATTTCCTACGCCGTAAGAAGAATACTGCTGCTCCCATAATAAAAATCTCCCATTTCCCCCTCCCAAAAATCTCAGTCGTAAAAATTACCTTGAATTTAAACCAGATACGTAGAAATAAAAGTTCGGAAAGGCGGAGGAAACGCAATAAATTATTCAACTTTCACACACGGCAGACTTGAGACAATTGACCACACTTTTAATAAAACTCATTTGACTCTAAAAGTGTCAACATGTGAGGATTTATTGTACAAATGGAGCAAAAGAAGAAGAAGTGACGAGTTGAAACTTTTCACCCTGAATTTTCAATCGGCACCCTTTCGTTTCCTCTTTTGAGGCAATTTTTATTTTTATTACTCCGAATAAAGGAAAACCTGGTCGGTATAATTTTAGTCTTTATTTACATTTAAATTTAGCTCGCAAGGGGAATACCCTCTCTCTTCGAATCCTTTTAAAACGGGGTGATTTTTTAATCACTCCGTCCCTCCGTCCTAAAAGAAGTCTCTCTCTCTCTTGTTGTCATCCCTCCATTGTCTTCATGTCTGTCCACCTTTAATCCAAATCCTAATCTAAAGAAAGCAGCAGCTCAAGCAATGTTCACACGGGTTGAGGCTATTTTTTCAAGAAAAACTAGTCCCTTGTGGGACACGAAATGAAGCAAGAAAATCAATAATTTTATAGGATTATGGGTAAAGAAATGTTCAATATTTAGCAATTTATTTTCCCTCTTTCTTCATCTCAAGTATTTCCCGACGGGGAATGCAGCAGACTGAAAGATATACCTTGTTAAATATAGGGTACAACATGTTCCTCTCGAAATATTTCCCTAATCGGCCGCTATGGTCAGTTAAATTATTACAATTTGAGTAAACCGTGAAATCAACCTAAAAACCTAACCATCCAATATCCACCCATTCATGTAATGGAGACAATTATCTAAATCCTTAAAGAAGGCAAAAGTTAACAAAGTGAGTACTACATACACGATTCTGTCCGTAGTAAATAGCTTTTTGGTTCACTTTCAAAGAACGAGTGTGAAAGTGAAAATGGTATTTTTACCAGAAAATATATTTATTTACAAGTATCGGGAACTGTGAGTCCAATTTTCCCATTATATCGCAATCCTCCTCAGTCCTCACCATAATAAAGCACACTCATTTATTAAAGGATATACTACACGTACCATTAAGTGAGAGTTTAGTCCTGAAAAAAATTGCTGGAAGGGACCACGAATTATGTGTTTGAGATGAGAAAAGATGATGATCATCATCATCCCCCCGACCTGGCGTAAGTAGAAATATGATGATGACAGTAGTCGTCCCTCTCTTCACATTTCCAATATAAATACGTATCCATCGATGGATATGTACAAATCCATTAAATAATTGCATTGCATTGTGTTGCACAGGTCACTTGTTGCACTTGTCCGTCTGGGTTATTTACTAGGTTTGTGTCTGCGTTGTATATTTGGCATTGGTTGGGATGCAATGCAGGTAGAAAGAAATATATAATAAGGGTCCATTCATTTCTCAAAGGTCACTCTTTTACTTTTGCTGCAAGAAGAAGAAGAGGGCAATCTCCTCCAGGGTCAGGTTAAGAGGGAGGCTTATACATAATTATTAATCTTTAAACGATGCCCATATGTATACCAAATTGCGGAGGATATGCTGCTCGTCGTCGTAAAAGACATTATTCAGGCTCTTCTGAGCTCACCTTTCTTTCTTTCTTTTTTTCTTTCTTTCATAACATAAATAATTTAGCCGACTCATCAGCAGCCAGGTAGATAATAAATAAGGCGGATTATGATTCCCTTTCAACGGTCACTTATTTGCATGTACATACATATAAATATGTGGGTTTAATTTGGGCCTAATTTGGCTTCATAAAATGAACAATGCGTTTTAAAAATTTGTTAAAATTAGAGGTTCCCCCGCACATTAAAATTTATTACATTACGGTATAAATAAAAAATAAAATGTCAAAAATAAAATATTTTATTTTATTTTAATTTGACATTATCGCACTTATCTTGAAATTTGAAGGTACCCCTTCACTCTGAGTTTTTGCACATTTTGATCCACAAATAAAGTATGAAATTTATAAGAGACTATGACAAGTAATAACCTGATGCATGTGACACCGGCAAAAAACTGCATCCTTGAGCAGAATAACAATAAACAAATCGAGGTATTAAGTATCCATTTATGCGAAGACGGTCTTATTAAGACCGTCATCATCATTAGTTTAGGAGGACCTGCCCTGATTGAGAAGTGGATGTGATGTGACGTGAGATTGCCAAAAGACCATCCAGCCCAGTGATAATAATACCCGTTCTGCTTGGGTTTGACATGATGACAATAAAGACATGCAAAGTGAAACCTTGTTGGACGAGTATTATTTATTAGACGAATGTCTTTCTTACCTTACCGGCTACAAGAAGGCTGCCTTCTTGTTTATTGTTGTTATTGTTGATAAGTAAGCATATGTGGATTGATGGATTAAGCCGTGTCCCAACCATAACACAACCTGTACATCCGTACGTACCCAACCAACTATGGGTGACCGTGGCCTTTAGCGGACGACACAATGGAAATATAATGTTTATGAGCATTATTTATTTATTTATTGTTACTTATTTTCGTATTATGAATATTTATCAAGTTTTATCTTCTTACCGGGAAGAAAGACGAGGAGGAGAAGATAATACCCTGTGTAGGTACGTTGACCCATGATTTACGGTACTTTTTGGTTTGGGTGAGCAGGGCTTTTACTTCTTGGCACTCATCTCTCTTTTCCCTCCTCAACAATAGATTTCCTCTGCAACTTCCGAGTCCTCGGGCGAATTGCATGCATTCACATATTTATTTATGTAATATGACTGACGACAACGACTGGGTGCAAGCAATCCTTCGCTACAGGACACATTTATCCCGAGTGGAAATCACCTTGTCGAAGTCTGCAGAAATTGACGAAAGCTCGATGCATATTGTATTCGGCATATTTTTGGTACATTATCGTGCCGAAAATTTCTATCCGTTTTATTTTGCAGAAATGTATGTGCATAATTTTCTATACAAATTGCTCTGTACAAAGTTTTTCGGAAGAAAATTGGGCAAAATTTCTTCGGACCAAATTTCTGCAGGAACGCCGTTCAAATTTGTACTCGGGATATATACTTTAGTGAAGCTTTTGTAGGAACAATGGTCTCGAATAATAATGCAGTGTCACTCGTCATATTAATAAAATTGGCATCCGACCCACCAGACCAGTAAAATATTCGATATCTTCGTGACGGAGGGGTAAAAAGAAGGAATGAGGATGTGGGTGCATGCTCAATAAATACTTGTTCAATCGAGGAATAACTGAACACTGACAAAAGCAACGGTCCACGTCCATCGGTCGGTCGTGGATGTCTACTTTGTTGTAAAGACCACTTGCACTTCCTGGGTTGCATTCACTTTCTTCAAGATTGACACCTCCTTCATTCATCCTTCTCGGGATGATGTAATCCTCAATGGGAAAGGAAAAGAAGGAGATGAAAAGTGAAAAAAAACTTGGAGAGAGAGCAAATCCTGTACATGCAGATTATAGATTATGCATTAGCAGAGGACGGTTATGTATTTATTTTCAACTTTTCTATTTGATGATAACCGACGGTCAAACTTTGTGAGTGTGCCCTCTAACTTGTATTGATCACCAAAATTTTAAAATATTTTCGCATATTGTCACATATTTCTAGATTTTCAGACATATTTATAAATATTTCCGCAATTATTTGAAAAGTGCATAAATCTTATATACTTAAAAAAATACATATATTTTGTAATATTTCAACTACACAAAAAGTACAGTGCATTATCTTCAGAAATACAAATTTTGCAAAAATTCTATATTTTTATGGTATTTTTGGCGTTTTTTTCGCAAATATTAAATACATATTTCAGAGATTCTTCGTAACTATATATCCGCTCCCTGATTATTGATGTGTACCCAGTCCCACAACAATGGGATACAATTCAACAGTGAGAGATGCAATACAATAAAATACCGGTTGACCGGACAGGTTGCTCTGTTTTTGACAGAATTGATGAAATTCTTGGAAAATTGACGTGCATATGGATGGACGGACACCTGCTTCTGCTGCGTGTCTTATCGACTGAATTGGATTCACTCAGTTTTTATAATTTGACAATAAAATTGACCAGAAACTACCCCAACAAAAATGGTCACGTCCGATTGGTCAGTGTCGAAATAAATGTTGCTGGACACGCGAAAATGGATGTGAGAATTTGCTCCGTGTATGTAGCCGTGCGCATCCATCCAGAGGAATGAATATTAAGCAGACTAACGAGATTCTGAATTCCCATTAAGATTCGAGATTATGATAGCTTTATGAGTGAATTTAGGAGGAGGAGGGAGTTAGTGCCAATAATTTCACTCCTTGCAGATGAAACATTTGGTGAATAGATAGATTTTGCAAATCTGCTCACGTAGGTAGCAATCAAGATTTTAGACGTGAACATAATTGTTTCAATATCTGTGTTAACTCTCACGGGTTGAATGTCCGTCTTCCTTTATTGACACACCGAAAAGTTGAGATCTATACGGCACACAAATTTGCCAAGATATCCTGACATCATGTATTTAGGCATGTAACAATAACATCCCTACATCATGCAATTCATGTCCTGGTTGGTGCATTTCTGGGTGCAGTGGACACATTCATTTTCACGACGGAATTTGTCAACGAAGTCAATCCAATTCATTAAATTGGGACGAGATCAATACCCTCCAATTGTCAACACGCATTTAATAGTGCGATGTGAAATGGGCTAATTGACCACACCACCACCACTCCAGCCAATTTATGGCCCCCACTGCAATTTCGACCAATTATTACGTGCTCCTCACATCCGCAAGTTGGATATCGTTGACTATCTATAATTTTCATTTATGGTGATGATGATGAAGTGTTTATTTAAGAGATGAAGTGCAGCTAGTCATACAAGTCGGCTCATCATCATCTTCAACCTCCTCCTCCTCCTCCCTTTGCTGATGTATGCACATGGATAAATTCTTATCTGTTATGTACATATGTAGGTGGTGCAGTTGATACATAGGTGGTTAAGTAAGTTATGTTGCTGCTGTTGATGATGGTGATGATGATGATTTTCAATGTTTGGATTTCAGGTTTTTTGAACCTAGAGAGAGACTCGTCCATCCCTCGTGTTAATTAAAATGTTGAGGGGTCTGTGAAACAAGGAAAATGTGGCTTGATAAGTCGAATTATTATTATTTTTAAGTAGTCTCCATCCCACTGTGATTTATGGACAGATATCATCAGTTTGATCACCCATCGACACACACGGAATGGACCAAATCAAAGCATTCTTCTCACTTTTGTAGATACAGTAGGTAGGTACGACGTATGTACGAGTGAGCAATTCCTGTCCTGCATGACGAAGGAAAGTTGCAAATCGTAAGTGAAGAATCATCTCACGATGGTAATAATGTGGCGAGAAGAAGAAGAAGAAGTTGCTAAAATCCCGGCTCAGTAAAACTACTTATTACGGAAGTAAGCACATACATGATGATCACCAACTCATGATCTGCATAAGGTTGCGCATTCAGCCAGCTTCTTGATGATGCTGGTTTGTTGCTTGGCTGTTTCTCTTCAGTACCGAAGTCATTCACTTTTCGACCCATATTTCCCATCCTACAGTATTGATGCTTCTTCTCTGCGGAAAGCTACATGTTCCTCGCCTTGAGTGTGGATTGGATTGGATTGAATGTTATCTCAACACACGGTCAGCAAGATGAACACACACAACATGAGCAGGATCTTCTTCTTTCTTATTATCGCATTTGCATGCATGCATCTCATCTCGCTTATGCGAAATCCGACCAAGTAAATAAATTGCATGCAGTCGTCGTCCATGCTAAAAATGTGGTTTCACTACTATGTATATGCATATTTAGTACTACCTAGACTTGGTTTTTTTGACTGGAAATTCATGGAACCATGAGAATTTGAAGAAGAAGAAGGAAAAATGAGAATATTTATTATCTATCATGTGCAACAAACAAAAGAGTCAAGTTACTATTATTACATACTTGCACGAATTTGAGTATATTGTATGAATTTGCAATTTAGGTACTTCTTTCCTGGCGAACGTTTTTAATTGCGGTGAATGCAAACTAATCTGCGAAATGGCAACAACCTTAAGAAAGCAGGAGGGAAGATGAGAATAAATGTGAAAGATGTTGTGGCTGATGATGATTTGATGATCGACAGACAGACGGACGAACGGGTGGGTGGGTGGATGAGAGATTATGCTAATTTATTGTTGTACATAAGTGACCAGATAAAGAGGGGCACGATGGACACCAATTGCCTTCTAGAAGACCAAAAGACTTTCTCCTTTGGAGTACATCCTAAATTAAGTCAATTGAATGGTGCACATGAACTAATAGGTAAATACAAATAAGTGGAATTAGACGGGCTGATAAAATCTCTACCATAATGCCAATTAAACCTCAGTAAAAATGAATTTAAGCTGTTGATAAATGCATATTTATTACTTACATCATATTTATCACGTAGCATTTATAGCACGAATGAAAATAAAATAAAATGTGTTTTCAAGTGGACATCATTAAGAAGATAAATTTTGAACAAACCTTGTATGTAAACATATTGAAAAAAAACATGAACGCTTATTTTAAAAGAATGGATTAAATCACGGATAAAAATGCATTTTCTCTCGCACCAGTAGAACAAAATTTGTGAAAAACTTGTGTCGAATTTTTTCAGTCTTGTTTGAGTACATATTTACATGTAATTTGCGTAAGAGTTAGGCTGGTGGATTACCAGAACTAAATACTATCGATGTCAAGGGGCTCTTCTTGCTCCTCGTTGGCTTTGCTGGGCTTATCAGCCTGGTTTCCTGCGGGGACGGTTGGTGGTGGGATAGGCTTATCCGTCAGTTCTCTCACTGATACCTCACCATTGCTGCGTCCTGATTCATTTAGTCCGGAACTGACAGCCTGGTTTTGGGCTGTGTCACCGTCTCGGAGACCGACAACGACATTAGGCTCCAAATCGAGGGCTTCAAGGATTTCTTGGTTCAATTCAGCATCTGCAGCCGCGGCGTCTGCTTGCAGTTCGAGAACTTCTTGCTGAAGAAGAGACGCATCTGGATCAGATTCGTCCTCAGTTGTGCTGTCATCAGTAGAACTGATTCTTCCCGTTGGCTGCATTATAAATAAAATTCATGAATTTAACATGCAATTTAGGTCGGTGTTTGTGGGTTTGCCACATTTCTTGCACAGCAAGAGATGCAAACGCATGCACATGCAAATGCAAATTCATTTTTTGCAAAGCAAGAAATGAAAGAAATGAAAGAAAGTGCAAGAAATATGCGCTATCAAGCCACGCACGGTATGAATTATGCGCGTAGTTTCTTGCGCATTTCTTGCAGGTCAAAATAGCTGCAAGAAACCACTTTCATGCGGTTATTTCTTGCGAGTGCTTACTTCAATGCGAAACACTGAATGTTAATACTGTTGTAATTTGCATGAAATATGCAAATCTATGTTTTTTCTTACGTATACGTAATCCTCGTCGTCCGCACTTTCATATTGCTCTTCTGGAATATTTAGTAATCTGTGAAGGTCCGATGAAGGAGATGAATACTCTTGAGAACTTGAAGCCGAATCAGATTCAAGGTTATTCAATCCACAACCTGTTCCAGCTTCGTCAGAATCTTCGGAAGAAACTTCCCTATTGTTGTTGACAGCCGGGTTCCCATCTGCGCCAAGTTGGACGGGCAATTCTTCACATTCGTCAGCATCATAAAGAGTTTCGTCGGTGGTGGCACTCTCGGGACGCTTCCTCTTTTCAACAACCTGAAAATAATACATTTTACAAGACGCATTCTAAACTACAATGTACTTAAATAGGACTTATTTTTAATCGTCCTCGGCTCTGGGAATTTATTTCAAAATTCTGGACGACAAATTTATAGAGACGATATTAACATTTAAAAAAATATACACTCCAGATTTTTACAGGTTTTGAAGTAGGAGATCTCAAATTTAAGAGACCCTCATAGAAGTTAGAACTCATCGAAACTAGCTGAAAAAACTCACTACCATTCTATTAATCAACTCACTGGCTACAAATTTGTCGTCCAGAATTTTAAAACAAATTTCCAGAGTGGAGAATTTATTTTAAATGTATTGATTTTGGCAATTTTGGTGATGAGTCCTCCTATGTCAAAAAGAGAAAATACTAACTTGATTTCGAGCCGCAAATCTATTTGCAGCTTCAGCTTCGTCCATTTTCGGTTGCGGTACGAGATGGACGCTGTCCGTCATGGGGTCTCTGACTCCAAATAATGTATTGAACTTTGGAATCAATCGTCCAAGCTGGCTCAGTCGTCGACGAGGGGATAACTGAAGTAGAAATGAGATTATTCGACCTTTCCTACTTTTTACCAGACTTTTGACTTAAATACGTAATTAAGCCTTACAGTTATCCTGCCTCCATTTGATGATGATGATTGTGAATAACGCTTCCTAGGGCTGGCAGTAACTGATCGAATTAATCGGTGCCTTATAGCTCGTAAAATGTGCAACTACATAACAATAGAAACATGTATCAGCGAATCAGGGATGGCCGAAATACTTTGTTAAAATACTGCATTTTGATTTCCGCTCTTGCCAGGGTTTGAATTTCCAGGGCCGTTACACCCACAAAAACACGACAATCTGCATGCAGAATGCAGCAGTAGTGATACGAAAAAACAGGTTTCGCGAAAGAAATGAGCATTTTATTGCTGTCAAAATACTTTACATTATTTTCTAAAAATAAAGTTTTTTGATAACGATAAAATGTTAATTTCCTTCGCGAAACCTGTGTTTTCGTATCACTACTTCTGCAGATTGTCGTGTTTTTGTGGGTGTAACGGCTCTGGAAATCCAAACCCCATATTTTGGTCAGAAGTCATTTAGTTTTACATAAACTGTTAAAATCCAAGTAGGTAAATACTTACGGAGGCCAAACCTAACGTGGACACAAGTTGAGACCACCGTGAAGGAGGCTCCTCGTCCATGATTTCGTCTTTGGTCGATACACTGACAACTTTTGATGAGCCCTTCGGACTAATACTTATGTCGACCAGCAATTTGATCCTCTTTAGTCGTTTAGCTGAACTGCCAACTGCTGCTGCTGCTGGAACGGCTTCTTCATTTTCTTCGCTGGGACCTGCAAATAATAAGTTCCCGACTTGTGGTTAAACTATTGAGTATAGAGACGCGTTATGGTTCACTCCCTAGTAACTTACGCCATAGTTAAATATGACCTCGGTATTAACTTTAGTAATCAGGTGAGTGACAATGAAGAGCTCGCAGGGTATGCTCCCCGATTTTGACCAAATTAGTGTCAATCGATCACAAATTTAATTAGTATGAAATTTGTAAACGATACGATCTCCTAAGGGGAACGTTTGGCAACGTATTTGGATCCCAAGAGGAGAAAATGTACAGAAAATTTGGAAATTTAAAATTTGTAAAATTTAAAGCACGTTTTTTGGCAAACCTGCGCATTGGTAGATAGTGCCTTTTACAAATATCATATTAATTAAATTGTGATCGATCTAAGCTAATTTGCTTCAAAGAGGAGAGCATACTCTGCAAGACCTCCATTATTAGTAGCATTGTGACCTTACCTGTTGCAAGGTTATCTGTCTCTTTTGCTAAATAGTGGGAACAATCTGCAGGCGTTAGAACTCCTGTAATTGCACGTTCCCACATTTCCAACAAGACTATGATAAAGCTGATGATAATTCTAAGCTTGGATGCCAGGTAGGAACGAATTCCGCGTAGAAAAACCATTTCGATTTTTTTAGAAATAGAACTGTATTAGAAAAACAAATAGCAAATCAAAAATACTTAACGAAAGATATAGCCAGAGATAATTGGGCTTAACTGATAAAAAATTTTTAAATATAAAATCAAGAAATCTTCAACAACTAAGAATAACATGTAGCATGGACAAATGATCGAAGACAATTAAGAACACGGCACAAGGTTGTGCCTCTCTGTTCTCGTTTAACATAGTTGAATGTTACTAGAAATGTTAGATAAGAAAAATATGTAAATTCTACATTTGTTAAAAGGTATGTAGCTTTGTGCAAGAAGTATGCACCAAAAACGAACAAAGGACAAGATGATGATAAGTATATGGATAACAATGTATGCAAATCAGTGAATATATAAATTAGGTACATTGACTTAAAAGTCAGGGAATAACTATGTAACACATTTTGCATTACATACTTCCATGTACGCAAAAACTCGAAAAATTTTACTCAAGTCTACATACATTGCATATAAATTTGCAATTTCTGGCCAAAAATTAAAATATCGAATTTGCAAAGAAAAATATTTTGCCCTGTGTAACTTCTGATTCTAAAAAGCGCACTATGTAAGGTTTGCAATATACAGACCTATAAATTTGCTTTACATCATTCATTTACTATACGGGATAAATTTCATGAAATTTCCGAATACGATATTACATTACTTAGGACGATCACACCATCCACGAAACTGAAACTGGTCCATTGATTCTCCTTCAATAGTGAGGAACTTGACACGAATTTGCATGGATGGACAAATACTTTGTCAAAATGCAGGATTTTGAGCTCCATTCTTTGGATTTCCAGTGGTGTTACACCCACAAAATGACGAGAATGATACATCAGCCATATAAAAATACAGGTTTTGTAAAGAAATCAAAATTTTATTGTTGTCAAAAGTACTTTATTTTAAAAAGATCGCGAAAATAAAGTATTTTGACAGCGACAAAAAACTAATTTATTCTCAAACCCTGTAATTAAAATCCGTTTCACGCTATTTGATTTCATACGAAATCATACGAAATTGAATAATTTAAACGCCAAAATAAAAATAACCAGTGTCAAAAAATACAATAAGTCGGCTCATTCGACTAATGTGATGAACTCAAATAGCGTTAAACGGAGTTTACATGTAGACTCTCGCTTTTTTGTGGGTGTAACACCTCTGGAAATCCAAACTCTGGCAAGCTAGAAATGCTGTTTTTTGGCAAAGTATTTTATCCATGCAAATTTGCGACGCTAATGATAAGTGACGATGATAAAGTAAAAAAAAAACATGGGAATTGGCTCTTTTCTTGTTTCGCCCCCCAACCCAGCGCAGCATTCGAGCCGTCCAACAACAACTTTGGAAAATGTCATGTCATATGTGTGGCCAGATGAGAGTTCAAATTCGCACAAGAAACGGCAAAAAAGAGTGACGAAGTCGTCTGCGAGACGGAACATTGTTGAATGAAATTGCAATTTTTAACCAACACACAGCTGCAATTATTATTCTGTAAATAACCTTTTTGTAACAATTGCTAATTAGTCAGCAATTCGAGGAAAGAGAGGATTTTGCAGAATTGGGAATAATAGCGAATCCTTATAAAATTTTTAGTTATTAATTGTGAAATTAAGTAGTTGATCGAGTTAGTGAGTGCTATCGTGGTGGTGGTGGGTGGTGTAGTAGAGGGGACAACGAGAAAAGGGCCTGAGTCACTGGAAGGAAGGACCATCTTTCGTTGGGTTATTAGCGAATAATTTTATTTCGTCGTGTTTAATGGAGGTGGATGATTAACATGTTCCTTAAATATATAGGTGAGAAGAAGAAGCAATGTCACAATTCCTCTTTGAGGGACACTATCGTCGAACGCCGCGTCAAACTTTGGGTGGAAATTCGCGAGCGTCGGAAGACCGAGGATCCCTCATTCAACGGGCAGATGCGGAAAGGAAGCAGAGAGAGGTGGGTGTGGTTGGTGGTGATAAAGTTAATTGTTCAGGTAGAGACATTCAAGTATAATTGTGATTCGTTATTTTAGAGAGAACGCCAAGAACAAGCCTCAATTCTCAAGCTGCAAGGATTTTTCCGTGCTTGTCTTGACAGGAAACGGATCCACGCCGCATGGAGGGTGGAGTTTGACCAGAAGAAAAAGTTGCAGTTGAACGATGAAGAATTCCTCGCCCAAATTTTTCGCCTCAACCTATTTTACCGGAATGATAAGACCGAAGACACGTCGAGACTGTTGGAACTTGGAAAATTGTTGCTTACCAAGTACCAACTTGTTACAGGCGCTATGAAGACAAATAACACGGTGGCGTTTGCAATGAAACAAATAATTCACAAGTGCCTGCGCTGTTTGAACATGCCTAACGTTCCGTATGCGGTGTTACTTAGACTGATTGAGGTGCGTTGTTTGTCCGAAAGAAGAGAAAATAATAATTAGAGGTCCTCTAATAGAGGATTAGACTTAATGATTTGCATGTTGTTTGTTCTAGATCTACACGGATGCCTCGAAATATACGGATAATAATCCTTCCGAACCTTCTTCCGAACCTCCTCTCCTAAAGGACGACATAGTCAAACTAATTTCTGGCATTTGGCTCTTTCTGGTGGAAGAAGCCGATTTATTTGTGACTTATAGAAGATTTTTGGATCATAAAATTCCTCCCATGCAATCAGAAGCGGAGCAGGAAAATAGGATTACGCAAAACTATGACTATTTGCTCGTGTATAAACGTGTCCTCCATCTCAAGACAGACTTGAAGAATAGAAATTTACAAATTTCCATGAAGTCAAAAGTGTACGATTCTGAGGCTGCAATAGACTTGATAATGGCCAAGTTTGCAGAATCCTTTTCTGAAAATGTTATCCCGTTGGAAGGCAATAATGGCATTGCGGCGTACTTTATACTTCCCCGATTGTCTAATTTTATTCCATGGGAAGAGTGGGTAAAAACAGCACCTTTGTCAAAGCTGGCTGGAAAATCGGATGGGAGTGGAATGCGCCATATATTTTATGTTACTCTTCTCCTCATGCGCAACATGACTTTGACGGACGCAAATATACCGACATTCCTCAAAGCTTTGAATGAGCTGCGTCCCTCGATAGATCCAATGTATGAATTAATTACAATTTAAAACCGTATTTTTAGTTATGAAACTTCTTTTACATGTTATTTCCAATTACGACTTGTAGATTTGGCCCTGGCGTCTCAAATCATGGCCTTACCCGAGAAATCGAAAACATTGATGAGGAAATGGACATTCTTGATGACGAAGATGAAATGGAGACTGATGAGAATTTTGCGAAACACTCCAATAATATTTATCTACAAGAGTGTCGAGTGGTAAGTCATAAGTCAGTCGAATCTATGAAATGACCGATTTTATTGTGATGTTAAGTAGACATAACAAAATCACTATTAAAAAACAAAGTAAATTGCATAAATCAATTCTGTCCTTCATTTTTCCAGATTTATGCAGCTTTAAAGTCAGTTTTAAACAAGGCTGAAATCGCTTCATGGCTTTATCCATTTCAACTCCACAAGTGGAAACTAATAACGGAAATAATTAGTTGTGTAATCAGACTAGAGCCGAAATTATCTACGATTGATTTCAACTTTTTGTCTTCAATGTCCTATCGGAGAGACTATGTACGCTCCTTGTGTTTGCATGTAAGAAATCATACTTTGCAAATACCCAGAATTTAATTTAGTGATATGTAACATTAAATATACGTAACAAATATTGTAGGTAATCGGGACACCTATTCTACCGGAGGACGACCTTTTAGCCTTCTGTTGGTTCATTTCCCATCTCTTGGGGACGCTCCACGATCCCGAATTTCTCACTGGAATACCCGTCCAGAAGGAAGAACTTGTCAGACTAGTGGTGGTATTTAGAGATTTGTTTAGCGAAAAAGTTATGAAAGAATCGGCGTGGGCTGGGAATGCTCCAGGCGCTTCCGTTCTTGTAAGTCAACAATCATCTTTGTAAATACGTATTAAAACTTGTAGGGTCACAAAATCTTATACAATTTTTTAAAAGCAAAACTAAAGTACGCAAACGAACGCGTTTAGTTCTGTGAACTTTGTAAGTTTTTTTAATAAGGTTTATTTTTGTAGTTTGTGTTCTACAAACTAGCCTCAGAAAACTTGGATAGTTAGTTAAGAGATGTGGTGTGAATATTCTAAGTATTATATTTTATAGCGAAAATTGTCTACGAAATTTGCAAAAAAAATTATATTTTGTTCACAGGCAATCACTGGAGTTTTGATGAAACTTCACGATCGTAATTCCAGAATGAATCTCTTTCCTGAAGACATTTTTATTTCAAACACTCTGTCCAAAATATGTCCTGTGGAGACACATTCCATCCGATTAGAAAGTTTGACCTCGGAAAAGTTGCCAAATGATCTCACTCCAATGGAAGAAAAACTTTTCAAGATTCTTATGTATTTCCCTTTCGCCTTGTCGTTCCATGACCGGGTCAAAGTGTGGAATCGTCTACTCGATTTGGACAAACAGACGAACGAACCATTTCCAACTGCGGGCCGAGAAGATATACAAATTCGTAGGAATTACATTTATGAAGATGCGTTCGAAAAATTGTCTCCAGAAAACGGTGTGTAAACAATGAAATCTATGATTACCTTCAAAGTATGAGAGCTTTTATGAATTATCATGATGTTTCAAATCAATCTAGTTCCCGATCTACGGCGACACATAAGAATTTCTCTCGTCAATGTGGTTGGTGTTTTAGAAGCTGGGATCGATGGGGGTGGTCTCTTAAGAGAATTTTTAACCGAATCTACTAAAGCAGCCGTTGATCCGAATAGAGGATTATTTAGATTTGACTCACAAAATAGAATTTATCCAAACCCCATCGCTAAAAAGTTGATGTTTGATTTCCGAAAACATTTTTATGCCGTTGGGAGACTGGTTGGGAAAGCGTTGTATGAACAAACCCTCTTGGAACTTCCCATCGCTGCGTTTTTCATCCAGTATTGCATTGAGGGAAAGGTTACATCGGCGGTGGACTTTTTAGCAACATTGGATCCGGCTTTGCACAAGAATCTGTTGACACTAAAAACATTCAAGGGCGACTTGAACACGATGGGTACATATAAACATGCAATTTATTAGTACTTAAAATCTTGGATTTTGAAAATAACGTTTCTTTGGATTTTCAGGATTGGATTTCACCATCGCTGCTGAAGAATTAGGAGAAACCCGAATTATAGACTTGAAACGGAATGGGAAAGAAATTTCTGTCGATAACACCAACGTGATTGAATATATTCATCTCGTCGCGGATTACAGAATTAACAAGTGAGCAACTAACTTTTAACTAAGTTTCTCAAGTTTGTGCCAGGTGTGTTAAGTTGTATTTTATTTTATCCCTACAGAGAAATGGAAGACGAATGTCGCAATTTTCGTGCCGGTATGCTCGACGTAGTTCCAAGTGTTCGAATGTTTTCATGGAAAGAACTCCAAACGTTAATATCCGGTTCTGATAAGCCAATTAATATCGACGACTGGAGGGCGAATACCAATTATGGAGATAACTTTTCCGACAATCATGCAACAATTCAAATCTTTTGGCAGGTAAGTCTCAAGCACTAAATTATATTAAATTTCAACGCACTTAATAAACAATACAATTTCTATAGGTTGTCCGAAGTTTTGATGAAAAGTGCCTTAGGATGTTGCTAAAATTTGTCACGTCCTGTTCTCGACCTCCTCTTCTCGGGTTTAAGGATCTCGTACCTAAATTTGGGATTCAAAACGTCGGCAAAACAGATCGATTACCGACTGGTGAGTTTATATTTTTTTTTACTCCGAACTCAACTCTTAATATATTTAATTTTTCTCTATTTCAAATTTGATTTTCTTAATTCACAGCCTCCACTTGTATGAATTTACTCAAACTACCTGAATTCACGGATTTTACCACACTCAAAGAGAAACTGATGTACGTGATCAATGCTCACGCCGGATTCGAACTGTCCTAATTTCACCGTGTCAAACAAATTCTTGTGTTAAAAACCTACCGTTTGAAATGGGGAACAATGATGCTTTAATCAAGTTTATTTATCATGAATCAGTCACTCATCGATCAACAGCAACTATTAATACTACAAAACAAACAGTTGTAATCAGTGTCCCTTCCTTGTATAATAACCCTGTACAAAAAACCACTACTATACAACCACCACCACCATCATTATTTAGATATGATGACTTTTCTAAGGATAAGCTTAAATATCAAAACGTGAACAAACTCAAATTCGTAGTAGTAACAAACAACGAAACCTTAGTGGAGCTGGTTGTAAAAAATATATGTTTAGTAGATATGCATGTGTTGAAATTTCAAGTTGTGATATACATACGATAACTCGCAGTGGCGTATTAAAATTCCAGAAGAATAACTTTACGACGAGGACACACACGACGCTTCGTAATAAATTGATTGTGAAACTATTACATGTTGTATGTGGAAGGAGACATGGCTTTATTGACTAATTTTTTCACCTCATCATCTCCCATTTGTTGTATTTTACACGAAAAAATATTTTGGAAACTTGATATCAAGGAGGATTCAGCATCTTGTGGGGAACAGTCTTCATTTAATTCATGCGAGAGTGAGGTGACCCCTTTATCTTTGATTCCGCAAGGAACAATGTGTTGAAACCAGGCCAAGTCTACATTGCAATTGAGAGCGAGTCCGTGCGTGGTGACGTGTCGCTTACAGTGGACGCCTTTAAAATGAAATTATGATAAGCAATTAAATGACCTATTACATTGATTATTAATTAAATTATATGAACACGTACCAATAGCACAGATTTTTGCGTCGTTTGCCCAAGCCCCCGTGTGCGACACGTCTTTACCGCTAAGCTGCGCCAGCACCCCGAGCAGGCGACACGTCTGCACCGCGACCAACTCCAACTTGGCGATATAACTTCTCAGCGGAAGTTTTCGAAACGAGCCAAGGTGGAAGATTGGATATGCGACGAGTTGACCGGGACCGTGAAACGTGGTCAGACCGCCGCGATCAGAATGAACTACTTCCGCCCCCGTGGATATCAATTTGGAGGTCTCGTCGGGGTCGGGATTTTCTCGCAAGCCGAGAGTATACACTGGAAGAAGGTGAATGAAATGTGATAACACATTTTTACGTAAGTGAACAAAGACATGATAACCTTCTTACCTGGCTCATGCTCGACTAGAATGAGGGTGTGACCAGTGGGGCTGCCTCCTTCTTCAAGGATAGACGACCGGACCAACTTTTGAAGGCGGAGAGCCGGCAAGTACCCAAGGCGACCGGCACGGAGCAATTTCACAACGGGGGAGGAAATTGCGACCATTACGAAGTGGCATGTAGATACATATAATGGTAACTATTACTGAGATAAGTCCTTATCGATCACACACGTGGAGATTATTAATAGCTTCGCAGCTGAGTTATTTTTTTATGATAAATCATTGTCTCATCTCAACCTTTGAGTCCCAGTCCGCCAACCATGTGTTTGCGAGAACTGGAGGCAAAAGAGTGAGCAGAAACGTCTAATTCACTCGTCTCTTGTTTTTTTTCTTACGTCAATTTTTACTTAATTTTAACTACAATTAGATATTATTATTGTTAAGTGAGACACACCCACTCCACTCACGGGTAGGCAAGGATGAAGCCGGCCAAGAAAATAAAGAGTTCCGAAGTTGCGGCAATTGAAGGTAAATAAAAACGTCATACCATATTTTCCGGTATTCATGAATCATGACGTTTAATTACTCTTTTATCTTTATTTCAATCATGGTTAGACTGCAAGCGCCGTCTTCGTGTCCAACTTAGTCGGGGGAATTATGTCGAGGCGGCCGAGATTTTGAATACTTTAGGGAACCAGCAACGACTTCTGGGTCTGTATGAGGATGCGCTGGAAAATCATAAAGTAATTGATCGCTTATTCATATCTAATTAAGATACTAACACTAATCATAAATATCTTGATATTATAACAGCAAGAGGTCACAATCTGTAAAACTCACAATAAATCCGACCGCATGGGATTGGGTATCGCATATCGAAACATTGCCGAAGTTTATATCGACACGAAGAAAGGATGCAAGGCTATCGCGGCCGTAAAAAGGTACCTCGAACTGGCGAGAGAGGTCGAAAACTGTGTTGAGGAACAGAGAGCCTTGATCACCATGGGGCGAGCAAACCTACTCGAAGCAGAGGATGATGAAGAGGATGAAGATGGCAAACATAACGATGCCCGAAAGACTGAACTCCTTAAAAATGCGGAAAAGTGGTTTCGAAAAGCTTACTCCTTACTGGTCAATGAATCTGCAAAGTTAGTATTATCAGATTCAGTTAATTTAATTCGGTTTCTTTTAATGCTTTTTTGTAAAATTATTTTTTGGGTGTAGATTCAAACTTGAGTTGCCTAATGAAAAGGAGTATATGACCATGAAGTGCAACAACTGTCAGAATTTGGGAGTCACCCTGGACATGATGGGCAGTCCTCAGGCGTTGAAGTGGTTCCGACAGGTAAGAAGGAAAGCCTATCAGTCCTTTAAAACATGTTTCGTTTATTTAATTGTATGTAAATACAGGCCGTCGATATTGGGAAAGAACACGGTCTCGTTGAATACCTCCAACCCTGTCATGCTGCCCTTTGTAATCTTTACCTCAAGGCGAAAGAACCAAAAAGTGCCTTAGCCAGTGCCAAAGAAGCGGTGAAAGCTGCAGTAGCTCTGGGCAGTGTTTCGCAGGAGATAGAAGCAAAGATCTTACAGGCAAGGGTAAGTGGTTCGATAAATAAAATGTGATCCAGCAAATTATATAAATACATAATATGTAAGGTGATAAGGCTTAATTTTATTTCGCTCTTTTTGTAGGCCTCGTTTTTTGACGATGAGATCGAAGCTGGAAAAAAGATTCTCAAAAAGTTGCGAAAGAAAATTGTCGGGAAGCAAGCAAGCGCATATGCCCCATATCGGGAGGAATTGGACACTTTACTCGCACCTGGTACGCATACGGAAAGTTCACCTTATTAAATTTTAATTCTGAAAGTTTGACATTATTTAATAATAATTTTCCTCCTCCTCGCCAGCCATTAGATTGTCGAGGCTTCTAGATCAGATATTTCTATGTGATAAAAACAATGAGAAAAAATTGATGCAACTCCACGAATATGCTGCGGATCGTTATGCAGACCTAAATGTGTTTTCTTTAGCTGCTGAAAACTACCTCAAAGCTGTCAAGGTTAGAATGGTCTTTAGTTTTCTTCAGTCAAGTTATAGCTGAGTTTGGTTTGGTGGAGATATTTGCATCCAAAGAGGAGAAAAGGGGCCTTAAAGTTGACAAATTTTACACTTTCCACATTCAATCTGTCTTTTCTCCTCGGATGCAAATATCTCTGCTGAAAGTGAGCATTGGGACATCGTATCGTTAGCAAATGTGATACTAATTAAATCTGCGATCGATTGACATTAGTTTGGTCAAAATCTAACACCACACGCTGGGAGACCTCCATTGTTAGTCGTATGCTAAAACACTATTAGCTAAATATAATTGTTATTCATTATTATACAGTACGCCATCAAAGCGGGAATCGAAGGTCGAAAATTGTCCAGCCTGTACTTCTCCATTGCAGAATCATACAAGGATTGTGACCAATATGAAGAGGCTTTAGAGTATTACAAGAAGGAAATGTCGCTCTACGACGATAGTTCCATTGAGGTTCGTTTTCACAATCCATTCTTCAATGTGTTACACCATTACAGTTACACCATTCTCGCTTAAAAAGTTGTATACTTTCGCGTCGTATAGAAATTCAAGACGCAAACACACATTACTCAACTAGTAGAGAAATGGAAGGGTGGCGAGCTAGCGGTTGAGAACCACAAAGAATCAATCCGTTTGGGAAAGGCGACTCAAAGCCAAAAACGACTCGCCACAGCTTATCACAACTATGCCATGTATCTCAAAAGTATTGGCGACTCTGATGCGGGTATGTATTTGAGCCTTCTTACTTATCACTCCTATTAATCTGGGGCCATCAATCAGAAACTTATTTGTTCTCTCCCTTTGTTTGTAGACTCCACTTTGAAGAAGGCACAAGAGTTGAGTGAAGGGTTGAGCGAGGATTTGGTAGACTCGCAAGACGACATTCTGGATGATGGATCTGACGAGGAAAATGAGGATGTGGTCGACTTGGATAATTTGTCTTGTACGTGATCGTGGCGTTAATTTGTTTACAAAGTTTTATCATTGCAATTCTTGTATGGTTCTCCTTGGTCTTTGCAGCCGATGGGGACAGCGGCGAAGAGGACGACGATGCAAACTTAAAAAATGTGGCTCAAACCAAGCGTAGAATAGCCAAGAGGAAAAACGAGGCTGGAGAAACACCTTTGCACATTGCTGCTAAAAAGGGCGATTTGAATGGAGTTCGCAAGTGTATGAAAATGGTGTGTGCATTAATTATACAATAATCGGCTTACAAAATTCAGTTACCGACTCATAACTTTATTTATGTTGATTCTGTAGGGATTCAGCGTGAACGTCCGTGACACAGCAGGATGGACTCCGCTCCACGAAGCTTGTAATTTTGGCTGCATCAAAGTCGTGAAAGAGCTGCTGGACAAGGGAGCCCGAGTTAATGATAGAGGAGGAAGTGAATGCGATGGAATCACACCTTTGCACGATGCTCTGGGAAATGGTCACTTCGACGTGGCTGATATTCTCCTCGAAAACGGTGCCGATGTTTTGGCCCGAGACAAGTTTGTAAGCTGAGCTTCATTTTTGTTACGTATCCTGCTCGTCAGAATTGTCTAGCTAACCTTGAACTTTTTTTTTCCTAGAAAAATTTTCCAATTGATCAACTCATCATATGGAGAGGCACTTTAGCAAGAGACGACTTCGAGTCTGTGCACGAGGAGTATGCACGTATAAAATATTTGATCAAAGAAAAAATGCAGCAAAGTGAGTGCACGAGAGTTCAAAGAAATCAAATAAAAGGTTTTTGTTGTTTCTTCTTTCTTATACGTGTATTTTTTGTTGTACACAGAGGGTCGCCCGTATACGGCAGAAGATGAGAAGAAAGCGGCTAAAAAGAGTCAGCAACGCAGCAAAAGTCCAGAATTTACCTTACTTCGCTCATCATCATCCAAAGCGTGCCCTATCCCGGTTCGTATTGCAAATGATGACTTTGACCCAGACAATGCCGACGAGGCAACGAAAGCGTATCAAAGTACCATGCAAAGCCTGGCTCGTCATACGACCAGGAGGAGAGAAAATAAAAAGAAGAAATCTGACAAGTTGGACCCTCCAATATCGCCCGGGCCGAGAGATGCTCTTATCCCATCGGAACTTGACGTTCATGAGGATTGGATGGTGCCTGATTCTCAGATTGAAGTTCGACCACCAGTATCAAAACGGATAAAAAGTAGGAAAAGGGATGTCATCCGGGATGATGACAACGAAGAGGAGGAAGAATTACTCCAATTGTCGTCGTCACCACCGTCACAAGGTAGCTTTAGAGGCGGCTGGTCTCCTAGTCCGACGAATATGGAATTATCACCACCCACGCAAGCAAGATTCTCACCACCTTCCCCGCCGCCATTAAATCGACGCCGCAATTATGTCGAGATGGAGGATGACATAATGGTTGTTGATGAACCAAGTCCTCCCGCACGTCAAACTCGTCAATCGCGACTGGTTTCTAATTCCAATTCTTTCTCAGACGAGGATGACGACCAGCTCGGTGCAAGAAGGTCGGTCAGCTCGAGACAGATTTTCTCTCCGTCTCCTCCTCTACGCCATGCATCTGAAGATGAAGCCATCATTATGGACACTCCGAGCCCTGTTGCTCAGCATCGCCAAAGTCGTCGAACTACGCTGCCATTTTCGAGACGGAATGTTCAAACGGTAACAACCTAAAACTAAAATTACATACTCTCGGTGAAATTATTTTAGAATGCGCAACAACTCGTTATTTCCAGACGATCTCCTCTTTTGTCACCACCATACCCAGTAGTTCTAGTACTAGTAACACTAGTAGTTCACGCGGCCTAACTACTACGACCACCACCGGAAACGGATCCACCACCGCGAAAAGAAAGCGTGAAGACAGTACAAATTCCGCCGTGAAGGATGTTCTCCGCCTTAAAATCCGTGTTCTTGACAAAATGCTTCTAGTCCCCGTGGATGTGGAGCACCAGTTCGGTTCCATTGAGTGGTTATGTGAACAAGCCAGCATTAGATACAAGCAGTAATACTTTGAGCTACATACTTCCAATTTTTCTCCTGCTCAATAATTCATCATTCCTTCTTTACATCCTTCTGAATAATCTAATTACTTTTTTGCAGATCGTACGGAGTAAAGCCCAACCTAAGTCTAAGCACGATGGATGGTGCTCTTCTCTGTGTGAGCGACCCCATCAACCTTGTCCTCGGTGGGGGAGAAAGCTCCACGATCGAACTCAACGCTTCCGTCCTCTCATACGATACCCCCGCAGTCACGACAAAATTCCAAGCGGCTTGCACAGAGTTAGGCCTTAGTAAGCAATGCAATGCAACGCAAAGAATATTTATAGAATTGTCTCATGTTATATTCGTGTTATTTATTTATTTATCGTCCTGTCTCACGCAGCCCCTCGACCTGCCATTCTCACGGCTCTGAAGACCTCAGAAACTACAGGAGTGCTAAATTTATCCGGCCTCAATCTTCACGGTCGTCCCGCCCAAGCGGTCTTTCGCTCCTTGAACGACACCAGTGGCAGCGGCCAATTGAAGGAGCTCATCCTCTCAGAGTGTTCCCTCTTTGACGAGGACGTTGAAGAATTGGGAGCCGTGTTGGACTCCCTGTCCGGCACATTGTCTAACCTAGATCTCAGCTGTAACGGGATCAGTCCACAGGGGGTGCGTACTTTGTGCAACAGGACAAGCCAAGGGGTGAGCAGATACCATAATATTATGACAATTGACGTGAAACTGACATGACACCACGGATTTGAACTTGTGTCTTACTTCTTCTTTCTTTATGTGTGTAGGTGTTTCGCCTAAAAGAGTTGGATTTGAGTCTGAATCCTCTCGGGAATCGAGTAGCGAGCAGTTTCACTAAGCTGGCAGACCTTTTCCCAAATCTTGGAGAGATTCGGACCAAAGCTTGCAACCTGTCCGGGGCTCGCTTCTACGCTGTCTTGGGAATAGAAGAACCACAAGGAGAACAAGGTGAGTAGTAATAGTGCTCTGTGCTCTAGTTGTACTCGAGTGAAAGTGAAGTGAGCATCATCATCATCATCATCATCATGACATCACGGTTACTTACTTTTACTTTATATATTTGCTTTGACAGGAGGAGTAGGACTTGATGTGGGACGCGAGGCCAGCTTCTTGGACTCTGTTGACTTGGACCTATTAAGAACATTTCGCCGGTGCTAATAGAGAGAAAGAAAGTGCAGCATGAAAGTAAATACATACGCCCTGTCCAAAATGTATTTTATTTTATACTCTCTCAACCTCGTCGCAACTCTCGGACTAGGAATATATATCTTATATAAATTGTGATACATTTATTTACATACAGATCTATCTCTAATCGATACCATTTCCTGTGACGTTCGCAGTATAGAAGAAGTTTTTTTTTCTGTTCACTTGAATAAATGAATTCAGAAGAAGACCAGGTGGGAATCTCAGGCAGGCTTTTACTTCCTACATACTTACTTATCTACAGAGTACAGAGAGAGAGATGACTTACTTATCCACACAAATAGATTCGTACAAGAATAAATGGCGTTGTTGTAAGACTACTCTCGCTCTCTTCTAAAGTAAAAGAAGACTAAGTGTGTCGTGTGAAGAATTGATGTCGTACGTAATATATGAAAGCAAAGCGACCAAGAGACCAGTAGAAGAGGACATGCATACAGACATCCACGAGTCTCTCTCTTGGTTTATTTATTTATTCCACTTTTGTGTATATCGCTCGTCCCCAGAAAGGAAGTAGTGCATAGGTCCCAGAGGAGGACGAAATAGTTTATACTTGATTGCTAGCCAAAACTAGGTGTGTGCATTTGTAGGTATGTATGTATACATATATGCAGGAGTATGTATGTATAGTAGCACTCTTTAGGTAGGTATGACTTGTGTGCAGTTTTTGCTGCTGGTCACCCCCGTCGTCAGGTAATAATAATGCATTTCATCCCTGCAGCAGATTCACACGACAGATTCTCTCTTCTTGTGGACAGTGGCCGCGGAAGCCGTGGGGACGTAAACATTGTAGAATGGGAAGAGGGAGGGGTTCATACAGCATGGGCAGATGATGGGGACTTCGAATAACCGTGGGGACATTGTCCCTCCATCCCCACGCTTCCACGGCCACTGGGGTTATCTTAGATATTTGTTTGTAGTGTTGATGCTGTTGTTGCTTATCTTTAGAGGGCATCCACCCTACTGCAACTATTATTCAGCTGCTGCACGTGTGAATGTCCCGGCATTTCCGGCATAGCGATTCCCGGTCCACCCCCACCACCGCCCAAGTTGTTGCTCCTCCCTCCACCCTGGCCTTGCTGTTTGACCCCATTGTTACTCGCCCCCATCCTCCCCGGCGGGAGGAGGACGGTGAAGAAGGAGAGAAACTTTTTCCGGAACTCTTTACTGCAGAGAAAATAGACGTAAAAGTTTAGGGCAAAGTTGCACAGCTCCAGAACGTTGGCAATTGCACGGAAAAGTTGAAAGTACAAGTTTCTATCGAGACTCTGCGAGTATGAGATGCCCAGGATGGCCACGGGCGTCGTGGTGACGAAGAAGAGGAGGACGATTGCCGAGAGCAGGGTGACGAGACGTTTTTCCTCCTTGTAAATCTTTTTCGAAATCCGCTCCCCCCTGAGGAGGAGTTGCGAGTTGCCTTCAGCCAGCTCCACCCCACCCGCCAACATCTCCCTCCGACGCTCCGTTATTTGGCGAAAGCGGAAAATGATGAGGAAATTCAGCACGGCGAGGATCGTGGCAGGACCGAAGCGGACCACCATCTCGGCCGAGTAGATGTAGATTCGCCAAGCGAGCTCGTGGGTGACCTGAGGATAAAATTGGGATAGTAGTTCGATTATCATCCGTAGTTATTAAGTAAGTAGGTTCTTAACAAACTGAAAAGGGAATTCAGTTCAGATTAACTATGTAATTGCATTAATTTCACAAACTAGTTTACAAGAGGCAAACTTGTCTCCTCAATACATATGGTAAGCTTAACTTTGTAAATGTTTATAGTTTCACTTGAGCTGTTAAGTGTTTACAAATTTGCAAAGTTACAAACTCGACAATGTGTTTCGTTTCTTGCGGGTTTGTTACATTTCTTGCATGGCAAAGGAAGAAACGCAAGAAAGTGCGAGAAATATGCGCTATCCACGCGCTCAGCGGTGGAGCGTAGTTTCTTACGCGTTGAATTTCTTCCAGGTCAAAATATTTAGCTGCAAGAAACCACTTTCTTGCCTCTATTTTTTGCAAGTGGTTACGTACATCCGAAACACTCCTAGAAATTCATGCCAACAATGACATAACTCACCGGTACATTTTCCACAAAGACGAAGGCATCCTCCTCATCGCCGGGACACATCGTGTTGATCAGCGCGAGCGGGGCGGAGACGAGAATCGCCAACACGGCCGCCGCAGCCATCGCCCTCTTCGAATGGTCCGAAGTGTGGAACTCTTTAAACCGCGTGGGCAGACAGACACTCGCGAAACGATCGACCGTGAGACAGAGGACGATGTAGATGGACGACGCCATGAACGTGTTGGCCAAGGGGTACTCGAGATGCGCGTAGAAGAACGTCACACCCCACGAATTCTCACGGTCGAAGCGGCTCTGACGGATCTGACGAGTAAAAATAAACCGTGTACAAAATTAAACCGGCATGTTGTGGTTGGGGGATACATATATTTTTCTAAAAGTCAGTCAAAAGAGAAGAAGGAAGCCATCATCATCTCGCGTCAGTCAGGCGTGATCGCAGCATAATAAGCGTGAGAAAGTGCAGACATTCTCAACTTCCCCCTGGAAAAGGAGAAGAAAGTGCCCACCCGACTTTCTCTCGCTTTCACCAGAGAAAAGAAGTCGCTCTTCTGAAGAGAGAAGGAGGAGAATCAAGGACAAAATCCGAACCAAGCACTCGAAACTAACCTTTTCATTCTCTCTCTCCCTCCCTCCCTGGTACTAAACTGACCTTAAAATCTTTATCCCATAATACACTTCAATTCACCCATTTGTAGGCAATCGTATGGCCATCGTGCAATCAAATACGATTGGATTGACCATTCCCACAAGTAAATGAGCCTCATCATCCTCAAAATCAGGATGCTGAGGGGCCGTTACTTTGTATCGTTAACTATTATGTGTGTATCTGGAGGGGCATCAAGCTCTTACTGCTGCTGCTGCTTCATGCCACCCGTCCCCACCCACTGACCTTGGCCACGAGGAGGATAACGAAACGATAAGCTGTTTGATTTCCCCTGCTCGATATGAAATCCACCTGTTACATGGCCCTCTTCTACTTGTACTTGGTGCATGGTGTTACTTTCTGCTGTGCACGTGACGTGACCTTGTCGTCGTCAACTCTCTCTCGCTTTCTCACCAAAGGATAATGAGAACATAATCATTTCATCGTCCTCGTCACGATGATGATCCGAGCGGCGGAGAGATGACAGGTCATCAATCACCCTCTCGTCACTCCCCTGAAAGGGAGGGTGATTATGAGCAGATGGTCGTATCGGATCCAATCTTTTACCCTACATTCTGACCTTGGCGTCGCTTCGTCGTCGTCACAATGTCGAGCAGGGATGACCAAAATACTTTGTTAAAATATAGCATTTTGAACTCTGTTCTTTACAGGGTTTGGATTTCTAGGGGTGCTACACCCACAAGAAGACACCGAAGTCATACGAAAATGTGGAGTTTGTGAAAAAATTAACTTTTCATCGGAGTCAAAATGCTTTATTTTCACGATTTCTTCACAAAACCCATATTTTCGTTCGACTGCTGTATTCTCCACGTAAATTCTCGTTCTAGAAATCTAAACCCTAGGAAGAAAGGAGATCAAAATTCTGTATTCTAACAAAGTACATATTTTGCCCATCCCTGAATCAAGATATGCAAATCTGAAAAAAAGCGAGCGAGCGAGAAAAAAGTCACCCACCATCATCGGTACGGCGCAGAGGAGGACGCCAATGTCGGAGCAGGCCAGGCCGATGAGATACGTGTAGGTGACCCCTTTGAGGGAGGGGCGCGTGAGGACGAGTAAGTTGAGGACGTTGCCCAATAAACCTATGCCAACCACACCGGGACCGATTATCTGCAAAAAAAGGTGGATTATCAAGGTCAAATCGAGACTCGGATATCGTATCATTCTTATTATCACGATTATTATTATGATGTGATGGTCATCATTCCAGTTCTGTGCATGTAGAATCAACCCATTCCACTCCGTTCGGTGGGTCATCATTAGATGAATGGCGCATAGTTAGTGTAACAGGGGAGCAGCATAGGCACACAAGTAAAAGCAGAACATAACACGATTTCGTCATCATCATCATTTCATTGTCATTTAATAATCATGATGAACTTTGCTCTCTTTCTCTCACTTGTTTGGACTGGTCGTCGTTCGTCTGGTCAGGGCCGTTGGGGTCATTATTGCTATTTTATTACTGTGTATGAAGATATTAATAGAGAGACAGAGAAAACCAGTGGGGGATGGGATAGCAGATTATTCTTATTATTATTATCATAGTCGGTCGACCACCGCACCACGAACTAATACGATTGTCATAATAATGCCGCAATTCTTGCCAACTTTCTTCTCAACGGATGGAATGGAAGATTCGGGCCGTGGTGGATTGCAGAGAAAGTATTGCGCCATAAATATACAACTCATTATATTATTAAGTTAAGACGATGGGAATACGAAGGCTGTGAATTTCTCTTACGACTTTACTTTCTCTCTCTCTTGCTACTACATATATTTACAACTGGGTATGTTTGCACCAGGGTTTCGCTGTTTTTTTAACTACTGTCCAAAACAGCCGTCCTAAACCAGTTTTGGACACCGAATATTGCACGTCCAAAATGTCCAAAAGTGTCCAAAATAGAAAATATGGCGCAATGTTACAAGTTCTTCATTATTAAATGTTTCGATAATCCATTGATGTAATCGCCCATTAATTTTGAGCATTTTGTTGTGTAATACGGCATAGTTTAGAAAGTTTCTCAATTTCTCAAGTAAGAAAACATGTTAAAACGAAAGTTTTCCCAAATTTCGTGATACTGCACACCAACCAAAATGCTCAAATTAATGGGAGATTATATAGGATTATATCGGATATCTGTGCATAGATTTGCAAGAAAGTCAGTAATAAAGAACTTCTAATATGTTTCCCACATTTTCCAATGTTGGACATTTTGGACGGACGTCCAAAATTATTTTCTCCAGTTTTGGACACTTTTCGACTTGACATTGTTCAAAATGGTTTTGGACGTCCACAACGAAACACTGGTACGCACCACCACTATGTCATCCATCCCGTCCTTTTACTTATCGGGGAGATAGATAATCTCGTCATAAAAGTGATGCTGGTGGTAGTGGGTGGTGGTCATGGCAGCCAAGATTGCTCCCTCTTTTACTTTACTTTCTCCACCCGGCAACTTTCACTTTACTTTATCCTCCTCGTATAATGGATACGTTCTACGTCGCCAACGCCCAACACAATTTTAAAAGCCATCGACCACCACCACCACGAGGACGACGAAAACGACGACAGAAAACTGCAGTACTTTCCTCTCTTTCGCTGCTGTAGATGCTGAGAGAGCACGGCATCAATCAAGACGAGAACAAAGAAGTCTACTTCACTTGATCGTATCGTATCCTGCATACATATGCATCCAATGAACTCCCTTTCACCAACTATAAACGCCGTGAAAGCAAGTCGCTCGGGAAGGGAAACCAGAGAGCTGCAAGTAGAACTGCTTTTATATGCATACACTTCTTCCATGACCAAAGAAGATCACGATGATGATGACCACAGGGCGGATATGTAGTTACGGAAAATGCCTGAAATATGGATTTAATATTTAGGGAGAAATAATAATATTTAAGAAATGTGTAAATAAAAAACGAGTCGTCAAAATAAGGATTTTCTCAGCATTTGCGCTTTGGGATTTACTCCGGATTTTTTTATCTAAAGAAATTTCGTCTTAGATGGTTAAACGATTTACAAATTCCATGTATTTTGAAAAAAAATATGTAATAGACTTGTGTATTTTTGAAATAATAGCGGAAATATTTGTATGTCTGAAAACATAGAAATACGTAAAAATATATGAAATTTTTGTGATCTACAAGAGTTAGGGGACAAACGCACAAAATTTGCGTGTACGGTGAAATTGCTTTTGTATAATGCATAGCATAGTTTTGACTAATTCGCAATCATGTAAATAGCCTGTTTACTTCGTAAATTGGGAAGGATGATTATTCCTGTATCACCAAAAACACATTGAATACCTTAGATCCTATTGGTCTATTGGTTTTATGTATGGATTATGGCCAAACGTGCATTTATCTTATTATATGAAATGAAGTTATGTAAAAACCTCTCTTATGTTAAGTTGTATTTATGCAATAAATGTTATGCAAGAGTGTGTTATGCAATAATTTTACATGAAACCAAAATTTGTTACCCGTCCGCCTTATCAAATGGCAAACTTGAAAACAAATACATATCCACCCTCTGACCATGATGATGGATAAATATGCTGCTCGCTCCAGTTTAGCCTTCTGTGACTCACTGCTCACAATTCTGGGGTGCAATGTTTACTCAATTACCACAACTTTGAACAATTTGCATGCTCAGCGGAGAAAGAAAAATGAAAGTTGTTCAACAACTGTGTGCCGTCTAAAGTCGTCTCATATCTCTCGTCGTGTCCGCCTGCCTGCCTGCTTACCCTGTACGCGATCCACTGCATGTACTTTTTCTTCTCCAGAAACTCCAAATCCAGCTCGACGTCCTCGTTCTCCAGCAACATGCACGCCGTCGATGAACTCGAGGACGACTCATTCCTGCAAACAGAACGAATCGTAGAATCAGAATAAAAACAGAGTTAAAAATCCCCTCGCAAATTCGGGAACAAATATTACACTTGATAATAATCCTATAAAATCCTCCCTGCGAGCGAATCAGGAGGAAAAGTAAATAGAAATGGTTTGGCGAGGTGACAATAAACCGGAACCACAAAAGTAAAACCAGGATGACGACACCACCACTGAAATAATTCCACTTGTGGAAATAAGGTGAGCAGGATTGGAAGCTGTTAGTGGTTTAGTTTAGTATCCTAAATAAGTTTCGTGGCGGTCGTCGTGGTGGATTCGTGCGGTTTTGCATAGTTTGGTTAGCTCATCATCAAGTCATGAATGAATTTCTTTCTACTTTCTTTCTTTGCATACATCGAATATCCAATCTCCGTCTGGGCAAAAAAATGATAAGTAAGTTTGCATGCTGCTCCTGCTTCTGCTGCTTGATCGAAGTAAGAACAACAACAACACAGCCAGCAAGTAAGGAACATTGGTGGCGGAAGGGGGGGACAAAGGGGCAATGTCCCCATGGTTAGTCGCCCATGTTATACAAACCCATCCTTCCCCCCATTCTACAATGTTAATGTCCCCACAGCTTCCGCGGCCACTGGTACGTAAGTAAACCAACCTGCTGCATGTATGCATACGTATGTGGCGTTTACTCTATTTTATCCCCATTTGCAGGGGAAAGGCAGCTCAAAAACACGTTCTTACACACTACACCCAGAGTTTCAACATCCTTTTGTAGGAAATTGGATTGACGGACAAAGATGCCTTTCATTTCGTTTCATTGGAGGATATGGGACGGTTGAATGGTGGGTGATGTCGTGGTACATAAGTAAGTTCTGGGGATGCAGATGTACCACGCCACACATGCCATGCCACACCAGACCACAAAGACGACGACTGCCAAACCAAACCACAAAGCAACCGAGCAAAACTATTTCCCTTTGATCTTAAGCTGCTACTACTACCCGATGGGTGGGTGGGGCTGGTAATGAACCTCAAAGAAGTCCACACCGCAACACCGCAGGCTCTAATTTTATGTTTTTTGCATGGCGTCAAATAAATAATGCTTCATTCGACACGTCGTCGTCAATCCAATCCAATCCACGTGCCGACGCAATAAGACACCGATTCGAAATCCGGGGGTAATGGGAGAAGAAGAACAATAAGATGGGAAAGACGACGACGAATTTATTTATTGCCTTTCTCAAATGCTTGCCCATTTTTCTCAATTTGTTTCTCCTCAGAAGGGAAGAAGGGATCGAGATGGAGTTTGAGAAAGTAAAATTGAGGAGAGAGAGAGAGAGAAAGTAAGAGAAAGGAGTAGTCACTTCGCCTTCGCACTCAGGATCAGTCAGTCACTCAGTCACTTCTTCTCCGAGTTGTTCCAATATCCATCCATTTCTCAGAATTAAAATGACAATAAAATCCATTTGCTCACACAATCAACTTCTTCTTCACTCTCTCTCTTGCCCCCGACCGACCTGCAATAAAGAAGAGCGAGAAAAAAACCCACGAATACTTTCTCCGCCTCCTCCTCTCCAAAAGAAATAAACCGTGTTAACCAAGCATAAGAAAGTGGCGTTGTATAGTAAAATGTAAGATTACAAGACATGAAAATTATGTGATTTATGACCTTTCACCGCATCCTTATGGTCATAAGTTGGTTGGTCGGAGGTCAAAAATATTTATGAGCGCTGATTTCGTGGTGAAATTTCCTTTAAAATGATACCCATATGAAAATTAGGGTTAAATCCAATTTTGGACCAGACCCCCTCGCGCTGTGGGGGTGGTCCGATTGACCCCATTATCAAACTCGACTGACTATGAGAACTAAAATTACAAGCACAATGGCGAGAACGGCGTTGGATTTCAATGTGTGTTGTATCGAGTCATTCTGGAGATATCCTGATTACGGACGGACAGATGGACGGACAAAACGATCACAACAAGCAGCTAGCCCTACTTAATAAGCGAGAGACAATTCACGTCTCGTAGTCAGGCTCGAGACGCAGTGCTGTGACTACTCCACTACTACTAATGCGGGACACGTGGCCGTGAGCGAAGATGAGATGGTGATGATGATGATGATGTAACTCGGAGAAAGCAAAGTAGCCCAGAGGCAGAAATATAGAATTTATTTGTCTAGTAAACCATACCCTTTGTGAGCAGTTACCTACGCGTTTTTGCTTGCTTTGCTTTCACCCACTTTCTCTCCCTCCCTCCCTTCTCATTCCTTTAAGAAGACGGCGAGGATGGATCCAAACAAACATCGGGCCGTATCGCATATCGCGCATTGCATCGCATTCCAGTCCAAAACCAAAGCATCGGAATGTAATAAAAGCTTTAATTTGCTTTGCCTGACATTCAGACGAGAGAGCGCGAATTACTCACACCCGACCAACTCAGTCTCCTCCAAAAACGTCAATCTGAAACAAATCTGACTAAACGAAATGAAACGAGACGAAACAAAACCACAAAACATTCAACCAACGGATCCAGTTCTGTCTATAACCTTTAGTCCTTCCTTTCACCCAGTGGCCGCGGAAGCCGTGGGGACATGTGGGGACATTAGCATTGCAAGATAGGGGTTTATATGACATGTCCAGATGATGCGGACCCCGAATAATTGTCCCCCTGTCCCCACACTTCCTCGGCCACCGCCGCTTTCACCATCGGCCACTGCATCATCACATCATCATCACGGGCAGGAGGTCCATATACATACTAAAGCCACGCTGGAATCTCTCCTCTCTCTCTGACGGAGTAGTTAATGAGGACCTTTTTGCCATATCTCCTCATGAATGAATGCGCCCAAAAGTTGATGGCAACCCGATGATGTTTGAGTTTTAATGTCAAATGTGACGGATGGATGGATCGGATCATGATCACGGTGGCTCAAACAACAAAAGTTTTCTGCCAAGAGAAAGCGAGAGAAAACCTCAAGGGCGAGTTAGGCAGAGGAAAAAGTAGAGGTAGGTGGACTATCGTGTAAAAATCAGGGTTTCGGGTGAAGGGAATACCATTTGCAAGAAATAGCGGGGAGAAAGTGGTTTCTTGCAGATAACTATTTTTTGACCTGCAAGAAATGCAAGGTGCAAGAAACTACGACCCCGGCGCTATAATTACTTCATACGGCGCGTGGCGTGATGGCGCATATTTTTCGCACTTTCTCCCATTTTCTTGCACCTCGCATTTCTTGCATTTCTCGCTTTGCAGTGCAAGAAATGCAACAAACCCACAATAAACGAAACCCTGCTTTGTATGTACCAAGTAAGTAAGTAGGTGAGTGAACAAGTACGTATCACGAGAGTGACTGTGTGCCTATGGGGTTGATGATGGTTACAAGTTTGGCTTGCGAAGTCTGGAATGTATAAGATTAGTCTGGGAGGGACGGAGGAGGAGGAGAGGTCGTTGGTTTGGTTGCCAAAGTGAAAGTGAATCTCGAGTCAAATCACCTCCTCCTTCTGCAAGTGGCCTGCTGGAGTGGAATGGAATGCCGGATTGGATAAATCTGGGCCATCACATCACCAAGAGGATAAAATACTTATTATCAGAATCAGATACCAAAACTTTTTAAGAGGAAAGACTAACAAGAGGAGACGCCGAGAGAGGAGAAAGTACACACACAGAGAGAGCGAGAGTTATGTTATGAGAAAAGAAATCCGTCCGACTTTCTCTCCATACTTTCACTCAGTCCCAGCGGGGCGAGTGAAAGTTGTGCGATAGATATTACTACGGAAATAATGATGTGTTTCCCTCTCCCCAGGAGAGAACGGACCAGTGTTTGTTGTAATTACACACACCACACACACATAATGGGCAAACTGGTGGATAACTACACCTCAGCCGGAGCAACATGTCACGCCATACTGAACACACAGTCCCCTTTATTCTAGTCCAGCCAGAGAGAAAGCATGTCATCAAAGAGGGGAAGAAAGGAACCTCTCCCTGCACCATCGTCGTCACACACGTAATAACTTTAGTAATCAAGTGAGTGAGTGACAATGGAGGGCTCTCAGTGTATGCTCTTAGATTTCGACTAAATTAGTGTCAGTCAATCACAAATTTAATTAATATGAAATTTGCAAAACACAAGATCTCCAAATTGTCACGTTTGGCAGAGATATTTGCATCCGAAGAGGAGAAAACGTAAAGGAAAGTGTAAAATTTGTGAACCTTACAGCCCGCTTTCTCCTCTTCGGATGTCAATATCTCTGCCAAACATGCCCATTGTGAGATCGTGTCTGTTGTAAATTTCATACTAATTAAATTTGTGATCGATTTACACTAGTTTGGCCAAAATCTATGAGTATACGCTGGGAGCCCTCCATCGTGAGTGAGTGTGAAAGCGAGAGACAAAAAGAAGGAAGTAAAACAACAGGCGAAAGAAAGAAAGAAAGCCGGCACACAGAGTCAGTCGTCGATATCGTGTTGGTCCACGTACGTGCATACAGTTTGACAAAGAAAACAATCCGTGGTGGTGGCGATGCTGGTGTGAAATGACGACGGCAATGATGTGAAGTTTTGCGAGCTAACAACGATCCAATTTCACCAAATAAACGGAGGCAAGTTAGCTGGGAAAGTACGCAAGGAAACTGTTTCGTAGGTAAACCACACCACATCAAGTAAACCAACAGATATAGGAATGGATTCGCTCTCTCTCTCTCATTTTCGTCTCTAGTTTTGCGACCAAACCAGACAGGCCAGGCCACGCATAATGTCGTCCTCAGTGTTTCGTTTCTTGCAGGTTTGCTACATTGCAAAGTGAGAAATGCAAGAAATGCGAGGTGCAAGAAAGCTCAAGAAAGTGCAAGAAATATCAAGACAATGCCGTTTGAACTATGCGCGGCTGGGCGTAGTTTCTTGCGCCTTGCATTTCTTGCAGGTCAAAATACCTGCAAGAAACCACTTTCTTCCCGATATTTCTTGAAAGTGGTTGCTTCCACTCGAAACACTGGTCGTCTTATCCCTCCCACCACGACTAAGACCCGTTATTATCAAAGTTTCTCCTTATTAGAATGCGTCCAGCGTCCTCGGTGGGACTCCTCCTTCTCGCAACGTACATGTATTTACACGCACCCAGCAGCACACTCCTGTCGGGTGTCGGGTGGGTGGGGTGGGCATTTGTCTGGCTGCATGAGGCATGGCCTGGTCTGATTTCGTCTGTCGTCTCTCTGGTCGTGGGGTTTTGCGCTGTTGATGTTCTGCTATTTGTTTGTTTGAACAAGTGCCTACATACACTGCTTCCTGTCCCGGCGGGTGATATGATGATGTGATATGTATTTACTTCCTCCTGGAACTGACACACTCCTGACGACGACGTTCAGCAACAGCATTTCCCCTGAATCCATTACACTCGTTGTGTGTGTAACTCAACCCACGCAGAGGAATCCATACATTTCCAGTGTTTCTGGTGCAAGTAAGTGATCACTTGCAAGAAATAACGGAAGAAGTGGTTTTTGCAGCTATTTTAACTTGCAAGAAGTGCAAGGCGCAAGAAACTACGCCCCGCCGCGATACTTTACACGGGGCGCAATTGGATGGCGCATGTTTCTTGATCTTTCTCCCAGTTTCTTGCACCTCGCATTTCATGCATTGCTTGCTTTGCAATGCAAGAAATGTAGCACACCCGAAAGAAACGAAACACTGCACATTTCCGCTTTAACGGGAAGAGAAAAATTTTCGGAAAACGTGCTTTCTCGCCTCCAGCGAAAACTTTTGTATGAAAACTGATTAGCTTCATTCCGTAAAAAAACGTCGCCGCCGCAGCAATGGGACGAACTATGCGACGAAAGTATGGCGAAACTAACTTTATATTCTCACCCCCGTCTTGACCACATAAATAAATTGGATGAGATAATAATAACGCCACAAGCCTGCTGCAACAAGTGGCTCCCATTTCCGTGGTCTGCCTCCTGTCCTTCTCAATTATGCCCCGCCATCCATTCTTCTCTCACTCTCTCGCCATTCAGGATCCCAAATTTAATTGAGTAAGCATCCGATCGGGGATGGATGGACGGGAAATGCGGTGATGCAGTTTTTCTCGGCCCACTCCATAAGTAAGCATTAAGAGGAGACGAGGATTTATAGCCAAAGTAATAATTTGAACCGCTTTCCTGCAGAGATTTGGCCCAATTTTCACCAGAAAACGTAATGAAGAGCGATTTGTGCATAAAACTGCAGAATTATGCACACATGGAATAACACCCGTCGAAATTTTGGGTAGGATTACGTAAAAAAAATTATGCAGTTTACAATATGCATCGAACTTTTGTCGATCACTGCAAAAATTTGAGGCAGTGATTTCTACTCGGGAGAGCTGGCTAGCAGATGAGGCTGATGACGATAATGATGCAAGTCTATCCCTCGCTCTCGTGCATTGTGTAGTTTGTTGGTTTAGTTTAGTTAGTCTGGGGGCCAAGGATAATAGAACAAAGTACACACATCCTGCTCTCTCAACCTCGTTGTCGTCAAGTCAAAATGCTCCTCCGCAGAATTACTTACTGTTTATTTTCATTCGTTTACCCAGAAAAAAAACTACTCCCGGTAACAAAAAAAATCATCATATTTATTGTGGTCCAATTCTAACTTTTGGCTTGTATGCATGAATGCAGCTCCCCATTTTATTGGCTTTATTGGAACGACGACACTTCCCACGACGGAAGAATTCCCGAGGGAGGCAAGACACCGATGTACCGTTGATGACGACGACGATTACTTGCACAGGTTGGTTGGACCCATAAATACACAAAACCAAGCGACAGTCAGTGTTTCGGGGGCGAGGAACCACTTGCAAGAAATAACTGCACGAAAGTGGTTTCTTGCAGTCCATTTTGACCCGCAAGAAATGCAAAGCGCAAGAAACTACGCCCCGCCGCGCATAGTACATACCGCGCGTCGCATGATAGCGCACATTTCATGCACTTTCTCCCAGTTTGTTGCCGCACCCCGCATTTCTTCCATTGCTTGCTTTGCAGTGCAAGAAATGTAGCCAACCCGCAAGAAAAGAAACACTGCCAAGCCATCACAATCCTCTCCCTGCAAACCAAGCCAAACCACCCACATAATACTAATAAATGTCGTAATATTCCCGTGTGGATGGATGGATGTGTGATGTGTGGGAACCAATATTACTATCGAGCTGGCAACAAGTGGAGGAATGTGTAGCACAGGAGCAGCAGAACTACATACATAAATACATAAGTAAGCAAGCACATATTTAGGTAAGCAAGAAGTGGTGCGGTCTACACAGCGAGCTCTCCTCCTCCATAGTTTTACTCGATTGGATTTAGATTTGCAGATTGGAATGCTCAATCAATCTTTCATCTTCAGCCTAAATCCTGTAATCACTTGGCTAACCTCACCACGAGCCAAACCACCAACCAACACGCTACTAAATCTGCTCCCCTCTTCACGAGATGATGATGATGATGACATTATAATGAGGTGTCGGAGTGTGGGGGGGAATGGGGGTGTGCCTGCTGACTTAATCAATCCCGTGTTACACTCACCTCATTTCGGCCAGCAAGGTAAAGTTGTCCATAATTCGGCCTCTTCCACAGAATAAATTCCCCGTCGAGACTAGACAATCGCACTCGACGAGCGGAAACCAGCCTGGGCTTGTCCCTTGTTCTGTTTTGTTGTCCTTCTCACACTTGACTTATTCCACTACTGACTCGGAATACAAATGGAGGCTCATTAGCCAACTCACTCTCCAAATATTAAGTAAGTAACAACTTAGCTGCTAATCACCTCAAAAAGTCAGGCAGCAGCAGCAAGAGTGAAGATTTACATCTGCAAATAACTGCGCCTTACTGGATATCTAATAAGAGTTATTATTTTCCACTCGCTCTCTCGAAATTAGGCGAAATCTTCATGTTGTCGAAGATCTACGAGAAAGTTTCCCCAGGGGCGAGGTGAGACGAGCGTTGTTTAAGAACGAAATGACTTTTTGCGTTCACTTCTTCCCCTGTTTTTGTTACGAAAGCGATGAAGTAAGTGCTTTCTAGATGACGATGTGCCTCGGGTGGGTGTCGTCGTGTCGCTTTTTAAGTGCCACACGGGACCAGTTATTCGAGAAGGGGGTCAAGTTGAGACGAGGGAAAGAATTGGGAGAGAAAAGATGAGATTGTGGTTCCTTCCGATCCGAGAACTTGGAGCCAACTGGGCACCTAACCTAACCCGCACTCGACTTGTCATTTCTCACACTTTCACTCACTCAGTCTCCGCTCAATCCTGCAGCATCAACAGTATCGCATCCTTATCATGCCTCTTTTCCCGTCCGACTCGTTCAGGAGGAGCAGCAGGAATTTGGATCCATCAGGATCCCATTCTTCCTCCCAACGTGCCCATGAAGATCATCACGAACATCGTGCCGCCCCACCAACCAAAAACGCTCCACCTGCACAAATTCAGTATTCGATACGTACTCTGAGACAGTGTTTCGTTTTGGACGTTCAAAACTACTTTTGGACTGGATACCGTCCAAAAGCGTGCAAAACTGGGCAAAATAATTTTAGACGTCCAAAACGTCCAGAAGCGTCCAACATTGGAAAATGGGGCAAAATGTTACAAGTTCTTTATTAACGATTTTTTGCCAATTTATGCATAGATATGTAATCTCCCATTAATTTCGTGCATTTTGGTTAGTGTGTAATACCACGAAATATCTAAAAACTTTTGTTTTCACATGTTTTCTTATGACAAATTAAGAAATTGTGTAAACCATGCCGTATTTCACAGCCAAATGCTCAAAATTGATTAAAGATTATATATACACGCCAACTTATTATCGAAAGATTCAATAATGAAAACTTGTAACCTTTTGCCCCATTTTCTATATTGGACACTTTTGGACATTTTGGACGTCCAAAATTCGGTGTCTAAAACCGGTCAAGTTAACAACCTAAGTTAACCTAACAAAACAAGACCCGTTTCTCACGGCTGTTTTGAACAGTGGTTAAAACCACAGCCTGAAACCCTGCCACCATGGCAGCAGAGTCCATATCAATTAATCTATCCATTTCCTCCTCCCACCCACACACCCACAAACAAATTAGCTCACCATGAGGAGAAGCATGGAGCCGAGGAATCCCAGGATCAAGATCACATAGGAGCTGAACAAGTCTCCAATGCGGATGGAGGGAGGTTGCCCAGTACCGTCCCGGAGGCAACGAGTATTAGTCACGATGTTGAAAAGTGTCACGAAACGGTGGTGTTGGCCACGTTCGAAGCGTTTGATTAATCTGGAGAGCATAATGAGCCACGAGTTAGCAAAATCTCAGTTTTGAGGAGTATTCAGCTCCAACCAGGATTTATTAGCATGCGGACAACACTTGTCATTTATTTATCTTGCACCAAACTTTCCGTATGGGAAACGCTGATATCTACATGTTTTACAAACTATTGGATTATTATGCATCAAATATTTGCATAATTTTCGGATTATTACTCAACTCTTCTTTTCAACAAGTTTTTTCCTCATTTGATACAAACTTTTTTCAACCAGTGTGGGAGATTATCTTCGCGGATCTCTGCGTAATTATGAAAAGTTCTTCATATAAATATGCGCCCGTATAGGTATTGATCATAAATGAGTCCCTTCTGTTGGGCATATTTTTTGCAACTATTCAAAGTCAAATTTGCAAAAAGTTTGGGCAAAGTTGCAATTAAAAAATGATATGATTTCTGAGAAAAAATTACATGCTGTTGTTGCGTCCATTGTGAAGATATTGTCAAAAAAAGTTGCTGTTAAATACATACATGTAGTTGAAGGACTCGAAGTACGGCGAGTTCTTGTACAAGACCATGGCGTGTGGCGTGGGGGACAGGGTGACGGGAATGGAGGAAAGGTGTCGGCACACCCACCCCTCCGACAAACTCCCATTCGCCGCGATGAGGTAAAAGTAATGCGGAAAGGCGAGGTAGGTCACAGCCCCCAGCGTCCTCAGCTTCTCGATCCCTTCCTGTATACTCACCGGGGGACCAAACCTGGCACGAGTTGTGGCCTTGAGTTCCTATAAAGAGTGACCAATTCAACGTAGGACTCGGCGATTCAGCGCCGAGATCGTTGAAAGCAGCACATTTTAAATTATTTTTCGGTCCTGGAAAATTATCTTAAAATTCTGGACGACAAATTTGCACATCAGGCCGTTGCCAATTTTTTTAAATTTTCACTCCAGATTTTTTGAAGGGGTTTAAAGCCTTCACAAAAATTTTTACTCGTCAAAACTGACTTAAAAATCCATTCCATTAATCAACTTGCGGCTACAAATTTGTCATCCAGAATTTTAAAATAAATTCCCAGAGATTTAAGACAATTATTTAAAATGTGTTGATTTTAACGATTTTGGTGATGAATCATGAAGACAAAAACGTATATACCCAATAATACTTTATCTACACAAATATGTAAATATTCCCCAACCTGCACCACATACGCCATCGTGCTGGACTTGCTATCCGCATACATTGTGAGGCTACTCGACAGCAACCCAGTCCTCGTGGATATCGGCACCATTTGCACGGCCAGAACGGACACGATCGCGGCAGAAAATGCGACATAGACCAACAAGCCGGTCCCATATCCGACCAGGAAGAGGATTCGGAGCGGTCCGGATGTTGGGGCACGATGCCAACCTAAATTAAATAAGTACACATTTATATACCAAACATATTACCGATTTCTGTCACCACGTGTGTCACCTTGTTGACACAGAGTGGCCAGAGCCCACACGAGCTGCTGACTGGTCAGAGCCACATCCTGTTCATCGTCGTCGTCTCGTCGTGGCGTCGTCCTCCACCTCGTGATGGGGACGAGGGCGAGCAGGATGAGGAAATAGGAGGCAAATATGGCAGCCCAGATGGACACTGGGAACGTGACGAGGACCAAGTCTCGCAACGAGGAGGCCGCAGGTTGGATAAAGAAGCCATTGATTCTGCAGTATAGAAGGGAGAAAGTTATGACATATTCGCCATCAGGCCTTTGCAGTGGTTTTAATCACTGTCCAAAACAGCCGTCCAAAGCCGATTTTAACCCGTTTTGGATACGGAATGTTGGATGTTCCAAAATGTCCAAAAGTATCCAAAATGGAAAATGTGGCAAAATGATACATTTTCTTCATTATTGAAACTTTGGATAATCTGTATGTAATCTCATATTAATTTTGATCATTTTGCTGTGAAATACGGCATGGTTTGCAAAACTTCTTAATTATCTACATAAGAAAACATATGAAAACAAAAGTTTTCACAAATTTCGTAGTTCTATTACACGCCAAAATGCTCAAAATTAATGGGAGATTACATATCTTTGCATAGATTTGCAAAAAAAACTTCGCAAAAAAAGAACTTGTAAGATTTTCTTCTATTTTCAAATGTTGGACACGTTTGGACATTTTGAACGTCCAAAATTATTTTGTGCAGTTTTGGACACTTTTGCACTGGACAGTGTCCAAAAAGAATTTTCGCGTGTATGACGACTTTACCCACCCATCGGCATAGGACGGTTGGAGGAAGGTGAGCTCAACAGCCCTGTACGGAAGGAGGGACGCCATGCCGATGAAGATGTCGATTTTTCTCGTCCTAAAACTGGATACCGTTTTGCCCTTGAGGGTGCCATTGGGGTATCTCGAGATCCAATCGCCTCTCGACAGGCTGGCCCTGAAACGGGATAAATAAACCTGGAGTCGCAGTAATCCTCTCTAATAATCAATTATGACGGAGTGTAGTGAATCATGTAATGAGCGAGGAGAAGGAGGCTTATTCAGAGCGGAGGGCGAAATGGATGGAGATCATGATTCAGTTCACTTGACAAACAATGACTTTTTGTGCTCTCCCCGTTTGATCGCCTCGTTGCCTGGTCGGTTTTCGGATCGGATTGAACATTCAAGTGAGGGAGTCAACTGCCCAATTAGTAGGGAATAATGAGGTCGTATAAGTACGACGAGTGGAGAGGATGTAAGTAAGTGAAAGTGCCGGTTTATGCGCAGTGGCCGCGGAAGCCGTGGGGACATTGGGGATAGTAACATTGTAAGATAATTGACGAAAGGGGTTCATATAGTTTAAGTTTGGGCAGATGATGGGGACATTGTCCCTCCGTCCCCACGCTTCCGTGGCCACTGGTTATACGTGAAGTTGAGGGCAATTCCCAGCTCTGTGAAGACCACGGCTGCCGTTCCATCCTCCAATATCTCGAGGGGATTATTACCACCGACATCATCATCTTGCTGATTGACTGCACCACCACCACGACCACCAAGATTTCTTCTTCCTCCGCCCCCACGGAATGAGGCCTGTCGTGCTGGTGGTTCCAGCCAATTTGTGGGATCTCGCTTAAATTAAACAAACAAGGGCAAGGTCACTATTTACATGCGAATAATCAAATTTGCACAAATTATGGTAAATTTCGCACATACGGCGGACGAGGCTCGCAACCTGATTCCCCGGAAGTCCGTTCTTCGCCCAACTTTCCCCATCTGCAGAATCGATACTTTTTCCCTTCCGCTGCGTCCTCCTCCTCCTTCTCCTCCGTGGCGGTGAACCACTAATGAGGTCGCATTGTTGGAGAGACTATATACTTCCGCCACCACCACCGCGACGGATATCCGGTTATCTGCTCTTGTCCTCACGATAAATACTTCTGACGTGACGCTCAACCCGCCCGAGTACGCGGTCGAAAGGAGGGCATCCAAGTGATCAAGCGGAGAATCTGGAGGATACGCGAGGAAGACGATGGGTTCCCAGACTCGCACATTTCCGGCCCCCCAGGCCCCGTACGTGGCACAGATTGCGAGGAATGTGGCGACAAAGTGGGACAGACTGGTGGTGGCGATCAATATCCGGAGGGGGCCGGTTGCAGGAAAGCTGGGGAGATGGCAAGTCGAGGAAACTGCTAGCATAACGGTGTCGTCAAGGTCAGGCGTCGTGGTAAAGTTGACCTCGACCCCACCACCAGCGCAGAGGGTAAGGTCGGCATGGGGCGGAATTAGGGACGACAGGAGTGTCGTCATCTAGGGATATCTGGTTGTGTGACGCTTCTTATTTTATCTGGAGGAACCAAGAATGAGAAAAGGACAAGGACAAGATTCATGTGTCATGTTTGATGTCACTCAGTGTCACCTCATTTCCTCTTTGAGTGGACAATAACGAGAATAATGAGGATCTGATAAAACTTGCATGTCTCCCCACCACTGGACTGAACTTGACTGGACCACACACAATGTGTCGAGTAAATATGATAACAATATGTGTATAAATCCTGCAATATATTTTTGATTGATTGGTCTCCGCACGCACGACATTTTTCATGCATTTGACACATGACGGAGGAGTCATTTATTTCTCGTCAACCGCAGCAGAGGAACCCACACTTTAACGAGTGTGACACATATGCAGCATGTCGTCGGCATAATGCAGATAATAATAAACCGCCTTAAACGAGTATAAAAAAGTGGCGTCGGCATATTTACAGTGAAATGTAAAGTGACACCAAATGAAAATTAATAATTAATAATAATTAATTTTGCATCAGACCCCCTCGCCCTTATTTTTGGGAGTGGTCTGATCGACCCCATTTTCATACTCGTCCTGGAACTACAAATTAGCAGCACAATGGCGAAAACTGCGTTTGATTGTGCTGAAGCGTATCCTGCCCACAGACGGACGGACGGACAAATCGATCAAATAAGCGGCTTAATAAATAAATCCTTATAATACGGATTTCGCTACTCAGAATTATTCATATGCATTGTGCATACATTTAGTTTGCGGTGTCATTCCTCCACAAAATACCTCCATGTGTGACTCAACAATAGGATCACGGCACAATATGCACATCGCCCTATTAATTGTTGGCCGACCTGGATGGCGAAAAAGAATACAGAAACCTGGCCAAGAGGCCGTGAGAATACGGCAAAGTTGGACTTTATGTCATCCTACGAAGCTATGAAGACATGGCGTAATCAAAAATATTTATACACGGCTGCAATATTTCCCACGACCTTGGCCCACACGGCATCACACACACATATTTCCGCATGTGTGCATCCAACTGTAGCCCAGAGTTAAGACGAGACAATGGTTACAACAGCAAATTTAATAATGTTGCTGTTGCATCATCATCTTCTTCCAAGCTACACAGTAAATAAAACAATGAAACGAAAGCCCGCATTTCATTAGGTTACGTGCAATCCCAGCGTCTCAGAGGATGAGCTCATAGCATAACAACGACGTAGCAGCTCGAAATTTCAGCCAGGGAATGAGAAAAGATAGAGCAAGATAAGGTCAACCGAACCACCAGACCAAGAAGCACAAGTAGCAGGAGCAGCATGTAATGTAATGAAAATAAAAGTGAGCCTGGATAAGCTCCAGCTCGAGCTCCGAGGAAATGAACTCATCCTGACCAGTTAGTTCTCTCTGGATACCTGGAGAATCACAATCTTGACTAAAAAGTATGGCCCAAGGAGTGACGATCGTGTTGGTTGTGCTGCTCGTCGTTGTCACCCCGTCGTGTTTGGGGGGCAGCGTCTTCTTCCGCCAAGGAGGTACCCGGTATGACTTCACCATTCCGGATGTTGCCCCACCACTCGTCCCTCTTTTGGGGGATGATGTAACCTTGTCCGAGTCCCAGTTGAGGAGCAGGCAGGCCAAACCACCACTCGAGGAAGGTGTCCTTCTCCGTGGGGAGGAGGATGTGAATAATAATGAAATTATTCAAGGGGCAAGAAATCTCAATAGAAAAAAGAAACGACCGCGGAGACCGTTCCCACTCTGCTCAACGTTGCGTTGGCCGTACGTCACGGCGGTGAACCCGGTCCCCTGTGTGGCAGATAAGGAGCCAGGTCAGGGTCTGGAAGAGGGGAGAAGCAGGTAGATTGAATACATATGTAATTCGTGACTGGGGAAAATGAGACTTGGGACGGCATAAAGATGAGACAATTAATCTAGGTTTGGACGTGATGAGGCCACGGGGAGCCAGTATTCTCGCTTTAGTCCGACGTCACGCCAAGTCCCGTCGAGACTGTGGGTCCCATCGCCGTCTTTCGAGGCTAGTTTTATCCAGCAGAGGAGCCAATATGGGGTCGAGCCTGAGACAAATGGGTGGGGCAGTGGGGGCGGAAATGCTGCACCGACACCGCCACCAACGACAACGACAACGCCGCCACCGTAATTGATTTTGATTCTACAAAAAGGTCACTCATTTTCAATTTCGACTCTTTATTTGAACTTGTCTAGTTCACCACCGATTCAAAATGGATGGGGTCAGCCGGCCCAGGAACATACGCCTGCACCGCAGAGATGGAGTCTGCTAGCTCGGGAACAGAGCGCGCCCCCACCGGCTCAAAACGGATGGGCTCAACCGGCTCAGGAACAGACTACGCCTGCACCGAACCTAAACGGATGGGGTCAGCCAGCACAGGAGCAAACACCTGCACCACAAAGATGGGGCCAACTAGTGCGGGAGGAGACCACACCACCACCCACTCAAAATGGTTGGGGTCAACCGGCGCAAGAACAAACCACTCCGCCACCGACTCAAAATGGATGGGGTCAGCCCCCTCAGGAACAGACCACGCCTGCACCGCAGAGATGGGGTCAGCTAGGGCGGGAACAACCTACGCCTCCACCGAATAAAAACGGATGGGGTCAACCAGCTCAGGAACAGACCACACTCCCACCGAGTACAAATGGATGGGGTCAACCGGCCCAGGAACAGACCACGCCTGCACCGCAGAGATGGGGTCAGCACCATGCGCAACAGAGACAACAACAATATCTGCCACAGCGTCAGCCATGGGGAACTCAACACACTCCACCGCCCGCTTTGCGACAATCGGATCAAGGTTGGGGTCAAAATTCGCCCCCATCCAACCCAACTATACGGAATGAAAATGGAGAAAATAAGGGCTGGAGTCAGCAGCAGCAAGCTACACCTGGGTCAAATAATGAACCTCAGTCTCAACAACCCGGACCTGGGTCGAACAACGGACCACCTGCACCAGGATCCGATTCTGGGTATGGACCTCCACCTGGACCTCCACCACAGCAGCCTCAAACTCAACAACCACAACAGCCGAATGGGGGGTCAAACTATGGACCAGAACCAGGATCAGATTCAGGATATGGGCCTTCCCAACAACCAACCCAATCGCAGCAGCAACCAGCACAACAACCACAAGAACAGCAACAACAACAACCAGCACAACCTCCGCCTGCTTCAGGGTCCAATTTCGGCCCTGAACCCGGATCCGATTCCGGATATGGGCCTTCACAACAGCAACCACCGGCCCAACAACCACCCCCTTCCGGATCAAACTACGGTCCTGGATCTGCACAACAACTTGCTCCACCACCACCAGGAACAGACTCCCGATTCCAGCAGCCGGGGTCCCGACGACCCGGAGTACCACAAGCCTTCCTCCCACAGCCAAACCGGGACCGTGAAACTCAAAGGGACTCGACCGACTTGGCTCGAGAGTTGGACCGCTACAGGAAACTGGTCGCCGTTTTGCTCAGAAGACTCCACACACAAACAAATGGACAACCGCAACCACAACTCCTGCCTCGACCAATATCCCCACTACAGACAGGTCCCAGATTAATTATGTAAATTAAACTTAGGCGAGGTCATGACCTTCATGCATTCTTTATTCTATAGGACCAACTAGAAATCCATCACCCAATGATCAACAGACTGCTCAACCCGGTGGATCAAACTATCAACCACCACCATCACAAGGTCAGCAGCAACAAAATCCCGGATCCAATTATGGACCACCTCCTCCAACAGACGGGTCGCAACAGCAATCACACTACGAGCCACAAAATCCACCCGGAAATTCAGGATACGAACCACCACCACAGCAACAATCACCTTCACAGCAACAGCAACCTTCCCCCGGATCCAATTACCCCGCAGAATCTGGATATCAACCACCCCCATCCCAACAACAACAAGCCCCACCCAATTACGAACCACAACCACAACAACCGAATTATGAACAACAGCAGCAACACGCACAAAACGGGCAGCAGCAGCAACAACCACCGCAACAAGTCACTGGACAAAAATCCCCACAATACCCCGTCCTTACCCCATCACAACAGGAACCTCTTCGAAGTAGTCTACGCGATGGGAAGAGTTACCAGCAAACCTACCAACAGCAGCCTTACGCCAACGGTAAGTCATACTTTGACCATCTTAACAGCCACTAACTTATCCATATTTCAGGTTACACCTACAATTCCCCAGCATACGTTCAGCCAATCCTCTACGGACCACCGTCCCCTCCCAACAACTACTTTGGCACTGTACCCCTATCACGATCCGAGGGGGGCCCTGACACCGCATCCGCCGTCATTGAACCTGACGACCCACCACCACCACAACCACCACCAGAACAACAACAACAGCCGGCCACATCGATGGGATGGGGACAACCTAATCCTGCCCCACAAAATCCCAACGCATACTTACCACCACCACCGCAACACCAAGTCCAGTATCAGCACGAAGCTACCACAGTGACCGTTCCACTTCTCGCTGGTACGATTAATCATTATTATGACGACCAAGTCCTTCTTCCACAAACGCCATTCTTCGTCGTGTTTAAAAAATAAATACAAATTCACTTCGTTAATTCACCGTCTCGTTGTACATATTTTTCTTTATTTGTAGACCCAACAGACCTCGACGACAATGACAAGCTTGAGGCTACATCCACATCCAGCACCTTCACGAACGACAATAAAGACAATGCCACATCCGGTGTGATTCTCATTCTGCCCCTCGTCACTCCAACGACAAATACTACCAGCACCAGCACCACTGCGACCGCTGAGGACGGCGTGACCTCTGACACACCATCCCAAATTACCGGCAACACGGCGGAGGAAAACGCTGCAATCGAAAAAATACTGGCTTCCATGTCGCTCGACGATTTAGAAACTTCTCTCGGAATTGAGAAGGATAGCGTGGCTTGAGTTTTTTATCCTAATTTTCATTACCTTAACTTTTATGCTTACTTTTATGATTAATTGGTAAATAAATACGCGTCGAGCTTATTAAACAAATAATAAAAAACTTTAATACAAACACTTGAATCTTGTATAAAAATAATACTGTTTTATTCCCATTTAAAAATTTCCATTGCATTTCTCATTAAAAATCACTTCGGATTAAACGTCCCTTTCCAACACCGCGTCGAAATGCCGGAGCAACGACATAACTTCAAATCCTCTCCGGCACAGGTCCCCTTGTTGCAAAAGGCTCTATTTTCACAGATCGTGTTGCACCGCCCACACTGACCTTGGACTAGTTTCCGAAAAAATGGAGCAATCAGAAACAAACTTTCTTCCTCCACTTCCTGGAAATCTCAGAAAGGTAAAAAAAATCTTACCCGAAATTGCGAGGGCGACGATAGCAAAGAAAATTATGGAGAGGAAGACGCACCACCGCATCCTTAATTTTTTTCTGCTGAATGAAACGCCTTGCTTTAAGGAGAATCCTCGACTGACTGATGGGGATATTGCACCCGTGATAAAATACTACTAATGACTCGATTGGGGGCACTTTTTCAACAAATGTGGAGTGGTTACATATGCTCAGTGTTTCCTTTTTGCGCACATTTTTGCATGGTGCATAAAATGCATGAAACGCATAAAAATGCACAAAACTGCATAAAAATGATTGAAATGTAGTCCACCATGTAGGGATGTCATATTTTCGAGAAATTTTATATTTTCCTATCCCGTAACATTCAGTATGGGGTAAAATTCAGTTATCTAAACTTCTAAACCGATGTTAAAAGTTTGCATGAAAACTGGCTAAAATAAATTCCCAGAATTGGCCTTTAAAATCTTACAAATCACCGATGCTTATTTCACCAAAAATAAGGGAATTAAGCCCGTTCATAAAAATCGTATCGAGCTATAATCCCACACATATTTAAAAACATCCATACATTTGTCATATTAAAAAAATTCAGAAAATATTTAATTTGACGCTAAAATACTAAAATCATTTTCGTGAATTTTTATCCAATTTCATGCTCTTTTCTGGTGGGCGTTTAACCACATTTTTGTGCACTAATTCCGTGCAGGCGTTTTTTAACGGCAGAAACACTGCGTTATGATCCACAAGTTGCAAGTACTTATTATTATTGTGTAGGAAGGAACCAGAAAAAAGAGGGTGGGATGATGCGAAGATGTGTGGCGTTGCGTTGCGTCTTGCATTTTAATGAATAAACTACACACATCTTTACAAACAACAACCACTTTATGAATCACGACCAGCAAATAAATCGTGCCTACCGTCGTCTCGTACTGGAGTTGTGCAATAATATCAACATCATTTAATTACAATATCATCGTGTTGCATGAGCGCGTACGTATTGCAAAACTGCGATAATTTAGTCTACATGGTGCATAACCTTTGCAGTTTTATGTGCTATTTGCCTAAATACATATGTCTCGTATGTACGTATCAAATCTTTTATGTAAAATGTCATCTCATACATAACAGGACATAGTACGTAACTCATTAATTAAATAAATTCCTCGTACGATACACAAGTTTACTTTAATTTATACACAGTTTTATGCATTTACTTATAAATAAATATTGCGTAAAATCAACTCAACCTGAATGCACACATTATTTCTCGTAAATCTTGGTGCTAAACCTCGACACATTAATTTGAAAAAAGGAATTAAAAAAATATTAATAAAAAATCTTCGCGTGAAACAGGATGCGATGCGAATAATAATAAAAAAAGAGCCGAGCCCAAACTTTCTCTTGACTCAAACTTTCCCCAGAACCCTCAAACAACAAAAAGGAACGGGTTGGCTACACCTGCAACCAACCAACCAAAAAATAAAAATCAAACCGGACGGATATGTGTTTTCCTAGTTGTGTAATAAATAATTATACGGAGGAGACACTAATTCCCAGAAATCAATCCATCATCCTGCCTCCCTCACAACCAACATCTGTCAGACTCAAGAACAAGACGCTTCCCATCATCATTATCGAAGAAATAGGAGGATGCATCCCCGAGAAAACAATAATATGATACAAAGAACAGGAGAGAGAACAAGTCTGATTATTAATTAGGCTGACAGTCGTCGTCAGCAAAATAAGGTAGGAAAGATGAAAGATTAATGAGGAGGAGGAAAGAACAAAGTCTAACAACGCCTGCATCCTGACTGACTCCTTTCCCCAGCAGAAGTTTGCAAACAAATGATGCCTTGCTTGCACAGAGTTAAATATTTATTGTTATTTATTTACTTTTTATGCATGTGTAAGGAATCAACGAGACAAGAGTTGTTTTGTAATGTTATAAATATGACTACGAGATACATACATAGTAATTATTGCACACAGACGAACGAACGAACGAACGACGACATGTTCATCATTTCCATCATGGCGTCAATTTGGTTGGGCTTCATATCCTTCCTTGCTTAAGTGGGTGGACCATCACCAGCACCCGTCATTCCAGGACGGCCGGATCCCTCGCCCGGCACGATTATCCCTTTCCCCTCCATCTCCCTGTTTGAATAACAAATCCCAAAATAATTATTGCACATCACTCATCGTTAAGTTTATGCACTTGGTCCGCTAAATTCTGAGCAAACGGAACAAGTTTCGTCATGAAAGCATAATTTAATACGTTTCCTCTGAAGACTGGCAGGTGGACGGGATTTACAATGTAAGTGAGTGAATAAATACAAAATGATGTATGTTGGCAAAGAGCAAAACAGTGTAAAATTCTGGAAATCCATCCATCCGTCATCCGTGTGTGTCGTGTTGTGTGGGTGGGTGGGAATGTGGGGTTGTTGTGTAATAATTAATTGGTCGGGATTAAAATCTTTGCCACGTCTTCGTGCCAAACTTTCCTTTTTGGACTTTACTTGCTTTTACTTACCATGAGTCTGGCGAGGCGCAGTGAGATCCCAAGAGATTGGCGTCCTTGTACTGAGAAAATACCATGATCTGCAAAGGAAGGAAATCTTTACTTGTTTGAGCAAGCACAACACAACAAATAACCTTCTCACGAGGCTCATCATGGCTCATAATGGTAATCTTCTCATCACAAATCCAATCTGGACCGACGTCCGACCCACCGACTAACCGACATTTGGGCGGAAGTGGAAATTAAAGTCTTTTTCAAGGCCTCATCCATATATATACCATTATTTCTACAAGACTCTCGAGAAGTAAGGAACCGCAGTGATTGATCCCACCTGACACCACATACTACCGATTCATTAATAATGGAGGATGCGTCATGCCTCCTGAAAGACGCTACATCCTCCTCCACCTCCCTCTTTCTCACAACGGAGGTTTCTCAGCTTATGCTCCCCGATTTTGATTAAACTAGCGTCAATCGATCACAAATTTAATTAGTCTGAAATTTGCAGAAGTCAGTGCTCAGGTTTGGCGGAAATATTTGCATCCGAAGAGGAGACAAAATGCAGTAAATTTGGAAAGTTTACAATTTTTCGACTTTAGGATACATTTTCACCTCGTCTGAAGCAAATATCTCCATCAAACATTACTATTGGGAGATCGTATGGTTTGCCATACTAGTTGAATTTGTCAAAATCGGAGAACATACGTTGGGAGAGTTCCATTGTCAGAATGGTTGTGGCCGTTGTGCTGTTATACGCGTATGTGAGCATGATGCATGCCATTTTCACCACTTGCAGGCTCACAAACTTGTTTACTTTGAGATTTGCGAAAAGAGAAAGCTAGAGCAAACGAGGAGATGGATGGCTGGGTGATGAAGAAAGATGGAGAAAGTACTGCATTCAACTGGATCCGACTGCACGCAGCGGTTGGGGAAATGGGATTACGGCCCGAAATTAGAAGAACCACCGGGTGGGTGATGTGTCGGAATGGTTATTGCATGCCGCAAAATGGGTCACGAAATTATTCCTCACCTTGTCTTTCAGTTGTTGACAAAGCTGGAGTGCATCTGAGTAAAGGACGATCACTTCGTTCAACCAGGGAACAGAACAGTCGGCCTGGAATGTTTCAAACTTAACGTGACCTTGTTGTTGGCTTAGCAGGTAGACAGCAAAGATGAGTTTGTGGGCCTGGATGTAGAACGAGATGGTGAGGTCGGAGGGTAAGTTGGGAATGAGAGATTTCTGTAAAAGAAAATGGAAAGTAAGTTAAGCTACTTAAATAATGATAAAACATACAAGGAAGTAGTTTCTAGTTAGAAACCAGAGGTGGGCAAAATAGTGTGTCAAACTACAGGATTCTGAGCTCTGTTCTTCCAGGGCTGTTACACCCACAAACAGACGAGAATCCAGGTGGAGAATACAACAATCATACGAAAATATAGGTTTTGTGAATAGATTGGTTTTTTATCGCTGTCAAAATACTTTGTTTTCACAATTTTTTAAAAACAAAGTATTTCGAAGTTAATTTCTTTACAAAACCACTATTTTTATAAGACTATTGCATTCTCCACGTAGATTCTCGTCTTTTGTGGGTGTAGCACCCCTGGAAATCCAAACCCTGAGATGAACGGAGATCAAAATGCTATATTTTGATAAATAATTTTGTCTATCCATGTTATTCATACCATATTTCTACTCGACACGAGATCATCTATCGTCCTCTTTTTCGGAATGATGAGACAATTCCGGCCTTTGTGAAGGTATGCGATAACCTGATTCAAGGCATGCATCGCTTCTTCGGCCGATTTTACCTGGACAAATTTACACAAACTATAATACTCGTACCATTTCTTTTATCACGAAACTTTCGTTCCACCGACCTGACCATCGTCCAAACTATCCAGGAAGTAGCAACAAGTCTGTAAATGGTTGGCCGAATCTTGCGTCTGTTGCAATTTCCATTCCGTCTGTAACTGGCCGTGGTACTGAGACGTATTCTTATGCAACTTGATGGTTATGTCCTGTGGAAAAAAATCAAATGTCAAAATCAACACTTCCGTCCGGGAGGTGTAGCATAGTCGTAGTGTGATTGAAAAGGAAGAAAAAAACGTTGAAATTTGTCAAGACAAAGGTAGAAATATTGTTCTAATATCAATCATGACATTTTCACTAACAATGGAGGTCTCCCAGCGTGTGATATCAGACTTTGACCAAATTAGTGTCAATCAATCACAAATTTTATTAGTATAAAATTTGCAAGCGACATGATCTCTCAATGCGCAGGTTTAGCAGAGATATTTGCATCCAAAGAGTAGAAAGTTCATAAAGTTCATAAATTTTTCACATTGATAATTAATTTACTGTGTATCTTCTCCTCTTCGGATACAATATCTCTGCCAAACGTGACCATTGGGAGATCACGTCTTTCGAAAATTTCATATTAATCAAAGTGATCGATCGATTGGTACTAATTTGGTCAAAATCGGAGAGCATACATTGGGAGACCTCCTAAATAAGCAACCCAGTATGACCCCCAACCCCCCGTGGACACAAATTGAATCACACATCAGCAACTGCAGACAGACGACCAAAAGAGAAAAATTGTGCTAAATGCCACACCATTTTCCGTAGCCACTACTCCTTGTACCTGCATCATAATCAAAGGAGTGTGAAATCGTCAAAGGAATTTTTAGAACGAAATGTCACGTAACCCACCAGCAGCCTGTCACACAACAACTTTCTCTTTGATGGAACCTTATTTTTTTATTTACTGGGAGTACAGAAAATCGATTTCGCAATTATTCACACCTGGTCCGTCCTAGTCTCTGTGAGAAACTTTTTTCCTATAATAAAACCTGGAAATGCATCACTTATTTATGCAGAATGGTGGTTGGTTACACAAGAAACTTTTCTTATTACTTAATTTGCACGCTTCAATTATGGTCATGACAAGACCTGTGTTTTTCGTTTTGATCTCTTTCACCCGTTTAGTTACTACTCACTCAAATAAAATTCCGAAAATCGTGGAAAACTCTCAGACTTTCTTTGTCTGGGACAAGAAGCTGACAATTTATGAAATGCTGAAACGAGGGGGGCAACAAAACAAGCCTACGTGACAGTGTTGTAAATACCCGAATAAGGAAATCTCGTCGTCAACATTAAAGGCAATTCAAACAAATATTGTCCTTTTGTCAATTAACGCCTTGAACACACAGCCGCCAGGAAGAAGGAAAGTTTGTAAGCGACGACGACGTAACCCGGAAGGAAGCAAAAGTTGGTGGACAAGTTTGTTCAACAAAAAATAGGACAGACAGGCGAGGTCTATTTTAATCCACGTTTTGACGACAACGACGACAGGTGTATAGTTTATCGTAGGCGTTTTCTCACCGCATGTGTGATATTGTCCCCAAGCACAGTGACGATGCATTTGATCGAATCCTGAGCATTATGGGAGGCTGTGGCCATGACGAATTTCTCCAGCTTGGGTGGAGTCACGATCTTGGCGACGGATTGGGGGAAATGGCGAGCACATTCCTAATAATAATATAAATATGAGCTTTATTATAAAGTTAATTAAAGCCACGATTTGATGTAGAATTAAATAGATTCATGCATATTGCATATTGGGTGGGGCAAAACTAATAATATTATTATTTCGTACTTCAATGACCACACGAAGTCGACGAATAGCGGAAGGAACTTCGTGCTGTAGAACCCAGTCAAACTCTTGTTGCTGTAAATTTAAAGATAAACAATACTAATTTATATAAGTTATCAAAGTTACTGAGAATAAAGAGGAAAAGTGGTTTAGATTTCTTACCAGTGCTAAAAGTTCCCATTTTTCAGGATCCGCCATCACGAGATGATGCTATTTAACTGTGATGTGTGGGGGTGCGGTTTTGCGATGACAATCAGGCCAAAACTAGAATATTTTGCAGACTTTCGCACCACTGTGTAGTTATTTATATTTGTAGGATTTGAGCAGCTGCTGCTGAATTAGCTTACCCGAACGAATCTCAAACAGACCCAATACATACCGATGCCTCCTATGAATTTCTTTTGTCTCAGATTGTTCTTAACTGTATGGTGTTCTTTTTGGTAAAAAGTATGCTCATAATTTCATTCATGGTTTTTCATTACTTATTCAACCCGATCACTAATTTCCTTTTCCATTAATGAGAAGTTCCGACGGTTCATAACATCAATTTAAGGGCCCCTGTCGTAGGCGTCGTATTCACGACATTTTGTAATTTACTTCGATTAGTAATTCATATTTTTGCATAATTTTTCTTTCAAAATTAACAATTTAATTTCAGAAACAATTTTTTCATAAGAAGTATAAATCAAATCATGAGGAGAGTGAGATAAGATGGGCAAGATGCACATGGCCCAAGCCCGCTTTCCCCAGCAGAGTGGTTTTTGGTTAATTTTTTGTGTGTGGCCGGCAGTGTACAGCTGATGACGAGGTTTCTACAACTAGTAAAAACCAGTAATAAATATTGTTCCTCAAACTCGAATCGCTTATCAACCTCCAAGATAAGAATGTCTCCTCATTGTCGGGTCGGACCGTCCATCCTGAACGCGGACTTGTCCCAAATTCAGGCCGAATGTCACCGTTTGCTCGACGCTGGAGCAGACTTTCTCCACCTGGACGTCATGGATGGACATTTCGTCCCTAATCTGACCTTTGGTCATCCACTCGTCAAGTGCCTGAGGTCAAAGGTTCCGGACACATTTTTCGATATGCACATGATGGTGGCGCATCCGGAACAGGTAAATAATTCTACAGAATAATAAATCTAATTTAGTTGATGGAGTTGTTGAAAATTTCAAATTTTTTTGGTCATGTTTTCTACGATTAGTGGGTGGAACCCATGGCTGATGCTGGCGCGGATCAGTACACTTTCCACTTGGAGGCTACAAGAGATGTACCTGGACTTGCGAGGAAAATAAGAGAGGCTGGAATGAAGGTGGACTACACTTTAAAAATAGATTTATAAATAAATGCGAATCAAAAACATTAAAAAGTTAAACCTTATGTCTAGGTCGGAATCGGAATCAAACCAGGCACTGATGTTGAAGAGGTTTTAGCCCATGTCGAACTAGCCGACGTGATTCTCATCATGACTGTCGAACCAGGATTCGGGGGCCAATCATTCATGGCCGGCATGCTTCCGAAAGTCGAGGCTCTTCGGCGTCAGTACCCTGAGCTGACTATTGAAGTAGATGGCGGCATTTCGTTGGCAAATATTCAGGCCGTGGCAGAGGTATTTAAGAAAATGTTAACCACAAAATGTCAATTAAAAATAATTGAAATGATATTTATCTAGGCCGGAGCGAATATGATCGTCGCTGGGACTGCAATTGTTGCCGCGGCGGATCCGCGATCGGTTATTTCCTCGATGAAGTCGAGCGTCGTGGAAGTGTTCACCAAGGTGCAGGTCGAGCGGTGATGATGACGATTCATAATTTTAAAAAACGCTAGCTAAAAGCAATCTCCATTCCATACACTCATGGGACAATATATTACGTACTACACATAAATAATGTGACACTACAAAAGCAATATGATAATTAATATGAAAAGACTTGTACCTTGAGAATAAAAAATACATAATTTTGTGTTTTGACTAAAAATCTGTTCGTTTGTATATTGTTTTTACTCGTATTCGTTTGTATAAGTTTTACAAAAAATTTAGAACCATCAATCACCGAGCTTACATGAGATCATCATAAGTAGATATTGTCAGTTAACAGTAAGATGCAGTATAAAAAAGATACTACCAGAATAAGGTACTTCTCTATTTTCGCAAAGTAGAGATCAAGAAAGACGAAATTAGCTCAGACTGTTATTATTGCTCTGTTCCGAAGAAGACGGAGGTGTCTGCAGCACCCAAGTATTCATTTCGAGAGGAAGGGGACACTGGAGATCTGGATTTGACGAGGCAATTACAGCTTCTGTGGCGTATCTAAAGTATGGTTCGCCGTATTTTTCAGAATCCACGAGTCCGCGTCCAATCCCACCATTGCTTAGATTATTCTCCATTTCTGTGACAAGATGAGTCAGTTCGTCATAACTTGTCAAACTAGGTTCAGTCTCCCACCCAAAAATATTGAAATCGATGAGGACCATGCGATTTAACGTTCTTATTACATCGAAAATGTCTACCAAACGGGAAGAATTTTAGCCGATTTAGAATGAGAACAGATTCAATTAATTGTTCGTTACCCAACTCACATTTATTCAGTGGAAAACGACCGTAGATGTGTTGTCTGAAAAAGGAGTGGATGTCCTGTATAATACCATCCCGGTCTTGCATCATTGCAGGATAAGCTTGATTCTCGTCACGTTGAGTAATCACTGCAAAGAAAATTTTACACAATGAAAACCATTATGAATAAATTATATGGAAAACTTTCTTCGTTTATAAAACAATAAACTTACACACAAGCTTCTTATTCACTACGAAACAGCGGAACTCATACTCGGGTCCGAACTGGTCATCCCATTTAAAAAGGGTAATCGTATGAGGACGAGACCGGCGTTGAAGATGACTTTCAATCCTAGGCAACGGGGCAGCAACGGTAGGATCGTCCAATACTTGATCGACAATGTTGGAGTGCTTGAGCAACAGAAAAATCTCCTCTGCGCTCTGACAACGCAAACTTTTATTGAGCGCAAGCCAACGTGCGTCCTGAACAAAGATGTAAATACAAAGCACATTTTAGTATTTTAATTGAAGTATAAATTAAACCCTGCCCCTTCAAGTAAAAAAAAATAGATGTACTTTTGGCGTCTTAGCGTCCACCTTTGGAATCACCGCACCCCCCAGAGCATCAATGGCCTTATTCAATGAACATTTCAACTTTTCCACATCTTCCCACAACCCCGGCGGTAAAATGGGCGATGACGACCTATTAATCTCGATACTTTCATCTTCTGACGTCGAATCTCCCTCATCCGCTGGAAATCCTGGCACCGGCGAAGACGGAGATGACCCCCAACTCACAGCATCCTCGTTATCTTCCTCCTCCCCACGTCTTGGAGATGCTGGGACCATGTGCAACTCAGGGTTTTGCAAAAACACCAGTGCATTCTTTGAAATAGTAATACTTTTCGCTGGTTGCGTCAGATGTGAAAAGTTTTTCAGCCAACACGTAGGAAGAGTATGTCTCTTAGGATCTAAAATATCGCCAATCTCACTGGTCGAATCGGTAGATGAAGTAGACGACGAATTAGACAACATTATACTGATAACACCCAAATTAGCTCAAGTTGACTGGACGATAAACCCTGAAAAAAAAACAATGAATGGCACAAATTTATCAACAAATTGACGGATTATTGACAACATGAATAACGCGTGAATGAAATGCGAGATAGACAAGATACAACAAATGACCTTGAACAGGTTTTTTGGACTCGTCTAGTTAATGAACGTGAGAAGATATAATTGTTTTTGTTGATGAAGAGGGATCAAAGAGCGAATTACTTGTGAAATGATGAACAGATGAGGAGCACGATAAGGCACGACTTACCAGTTTTTGGTTAATTTTACTGTGCTCTTCTGTGAATGATGATGATGATGGTCAGTCAGTCGTGGTTGTTTCTGGTCGTTCGTTCGTGCGAGTATGAAGTGAACTTGGCCGGAGAGAGGTTAGGCAGCATCGAGTACTAGGAAAAGAGAGGCGACCAGCGGTTTTCCTTGTGGAAGGAGTCATACTTTAGCAGCAGCAACAGCACTGCGAGGATTTTTGGACTGATTTTTACATCATCTCTTCACCACCATCGTCATCTTTTTCTTGCCATAATAATATTAAATATTATTATTATTTCGTGTGGGTGAGGAGTTGAGGTCAGCGGCTGGGAAGAGTTAGTACCAATAATTCATCCATCCAACCACGCAGCACTCCACCATTCCATCAGCCAGTCCAGCCAGCGTAACAATGATCAGGAACAAGTGTGTCGAAATCAGTAGTTACATCGGGGTCGGGTCATCCGAGTGATTCACATTGAACGGGGCGACCAACGACGACGACGACACCGTCACCAGAATACAAATTGGATATGAATTTACTCCACAAGTGGGTTTTGTTTAAGAAAAAAATTGAGATTGGTAGTTAGTGGGAAGGATGGAGGTAATGTTTACATGGTTTTGTTTTTCAGAGCATGGTGGGTGTTGCGGGGTGCGTTGGTTCTTATCAACAATCTGTACTGCATCCCGACCTACGTGGTGTGGATGGCGGTGCTGCAACCGCTGCAGTTCTTCTCTCCGAAACTCTTCTGGGCCGTGGAGGGGATCTTTTTCCATTGGCTTCTCACTATGGTAGCCTTCTGGTCACATTCCGCCCAGTACAGGAGTAAGTCCGGGTTTGATAAGGTCGAGATGATAAGTTGTGACTCAAGGTTGTATGGGTTTGACTTTATAGTTGTGGAGACCGGAGACTGTGTCGAAGATCTCGTTGGGACTGAGACCCTGGTTATGGTGAATCATCAGTCCACTTCGGATGTACCTCTTCTCATGGCCGCCTTCGCGGCGAGACCGTCTCTCCTCCCCAGACTTAACTGGATTATGGACGCTGTGTTCAAATATACCAACTTTGGAGTCGTGTCAGCGATCCATGGAGACTTTTTCATTAATGCCGTGAGTATAAAATACAAGACAATTTATTCGCAGTAGCGTTAATTTTTGTAAATGTGTAAACTGGGTAAGCAATCTTTTTAAATGCAATTCAGCTTACAGATCAACACCTTTTAACTGTGTTTCTTAATATTTAGCAGTCTATTTAAATGGTTACTTTTTAATCATTGATGCACATTGATATTAGGGTCGAAATCGCCGTGAGGCTAGCATTTCCGAACTCGTGACGTATCTCAAACGCTCGTGGGTGCCCAAGAGGCGAAAATGGCTGGTGCTTTTCCCTGAGGGCGGTTTTCTCAGGAAGCGGAAGGAGACTTCGAATCGCTACTCGAGAAAAATGGGTCTCCCAGAGCTGGACCATGTTACGCTGCCGAGAATGGGAGCCCTTCAAGCCATCATTGACACGATTGGACCAAGGGTCTCTAAACGGGCCACAGAGCCTGTTACAAGCGTGAATAGGCTATCCATGTATGGTCCAGAAACCTTCTTACGACCACGTAAGAAAAAAAGACTAAACGAATTTCAGACTTGATGAAAAGCAATGCATATGAATTTTTCCTTACTTCATAGGTATCACATATGGCTCGAGACCATCTGAACTTAAGTGGATCGTGGACATGACGATAGCCTACCCGAACGGAGAACCCTTAGACCTTGTCGCCATTGTGACCGGTTGTGCACCACCATGTCAAATCCACTTCCACTACAAATTGTACCCAATTCAACAAGTAAGTTACCTGACTTAATTAATTGTTCACGGATTTTATAGCGAAATTTAATCTAAATGCCAACTTCCTCAGGTGCCGGTTGACAAAAGGGAACTCCAAGAATGGCTATACACCCGTTACATGGAGAAAGAGGGAATGTTGGGGAAATTCTACCGGAGTGGTCAGTGGGAAGCGGGGATTGATGAGGATGGGAGTGGAACACGCCTCGTAGAACAAGATGTTCTTCGCATCCTCATCCTGCACGTTTTCTTCATCCTCTCCACCCTCACGCACATCATCCTCTTGTGCAAATTGCTGTCCCTATTTTAACCCAACACTTACACCCTGCCTATTATTTAAACTCCATCAATTTTACCCACGACAGCACTTAAAAAATGCGAAACCGGTCCCAGGCCGTCAGCCGAAGAAAATGAATGATTTGTTCATTTAATTTTTATTGTTTGTCGTCAAACTATAAAATTATTGTGCTGCTGCAACTCACTCTACACTTAATACTTCTGCGCTGCGTCCTTGTCTCCACTTTCGTCACATCATCCGTCACTTAAATTCTCTCCAGGTTTTAAGTCAGCTTCTCTGCCTACCTAACCTACCTACCATACATACTTTAGTGAATGTAGTTAGTTAGTTAAAAATCAAAAACACTCCGTCTCCTCCAGCATCACCATCCATCACCGCCGCCAATGTACGACCCTCTCTCCTCTCCTCCCCCCACTCGTCGCCACCACATTCACCTTTAAAACTCTCCCCGTTTTTACATGCTGACATATTTCCTCCTTCCTGTAATACAACCTTGTTTGTGGTGGTGGTTGTGCTTATATAGGAGCGAGGAGATTCCAGAGTGCGTCGTTACTCGATGTATTACCAAAATTGTACCAAATGATGAGATTGACCCAGTTATGTGATTATATATATGACTACAAATTACGAAAAACAAGTCTTTTAGTCATCTCTCAGCTTCCTGCTACCTGTGGTTAATTGGTTGGTTGGTCTATTGTTGGTTTGTTGGAGGATGCCCATCTACTTTATAAACTGAAAACTGAAACATTGTTAGTTACCATGAGATGAAACTGAAAATGGGAGGTTGGATAAGTATGTAGCATGTATGTATCTCTCTCTCTGTGTCTAAGTGCGTGGGCGTCGTCGTCGTCGTCTTTGTGTGACTGTAGTGATCTCACACATTACATTCGCTTCATTTATACCGTCTGTGGATGGACGTATAAATACATTCAAAATTGCTATCGTCGTCATTGCTTAATTATTTAAGTAATTGTTACAATACTGTTATGCTGCTGCTATATTATGATTTGATTACTAGAGTCGCAAACCGAGAATATTATTATGATTTAGTAAATACTAACTAAAATGAAATCAAATAGGTCTCCAAGCATCATCTTTACGTGGAGATCATTGACTACTAATGCGGTCTACACTATACAAATATCTACTATAAATATTATATTGTTAGTGTGTGTAAGTACGTGTATGTACGTGTGTGCATGACTCGTCGTCGTCGTTGCCCTCGTCGATATAAATGGGTCGTCGGTGGGAGTATGCAAACAAGAGAAGAAGAAAATATTTATGGAAATGAAATGCATCTGTGAACACTTGTCTCGGGAATAAATTTTTGTACACTATAGCCAAACCAAACCACGAAACACTTGTGTCCACATAATATTAGCATGGATCGCATCATGCGGGTCTGTCTTTTACACGAATGCGTCGTCGTCCACTCATCCTCATTAAGTATTGAAATTAAGCTGCATAATAATCTCTCTCTCGAGAAACAGAAGGTGCAGATTATCTCCTACTCGAACGAAGGGCATAATTAATTAATTAATAATTTTGTCCGGCATCACACGGTTGAGATTATTTCTTGGTGCCTTAAAAAAGAATAATGACGACCCACTCTGGCAAGAAGGGAAGTCTGCAGTACCGCCGCGTGCGAGAAGTCGAAGATGACGACGAGGACAATTTGGTCGAAACGTTGGGGAATAATTCGTCAACTCCATGCTTGCTCCCTTGTCTCCTTCTCATCCTCATCCTGCTCGCTCTCAGTTTAACGGGACTCTTCTTCCTCAGTTCTGGCCTGAGACGGACGAGTCATCTTGGCAAGAAACATCACAATGGGACGACGGAATTGCCCGGAAATGGGACGACGACAAGCAGTCCCAGCAGTGATGGGGAGTCATCATCCAAGACCAGCAGCAGCAATGGTGTGACGACGACACAGGCGTCAACTGCGACGTCGACAACTCTGCACCCATCGGATCACCAAGTCATACACAATTTAACCGGGCTTTTACGCGAGAAGGACGAGTTGGTCAAGTCGATTCGAGAGCTAACGGCTTATCTGGAGAGAAAGACGGTATAATAACGAATAAAAAAACTGACGCTCGGGGATATCATTATTTGACCCATTTTTTGTAGGGTGTCGAAGGCGAGCTTCTCGTTCCGGCGAGCATGTTGCTCATCTTCTTTGTCGCTGTGGGGCTGGCGAGTTGTTGTTGTTGTCTCCTCTCGCGGCGAAGGGAACGACGAAGGAGGGAACTCTTTGGGGTGAGAGATTGTGGAAAAATATTGAAAAAAATGCATAATTCTGTATAAAAAATTGTAGAGGTTTTTTATACTTTGATTTTCACAGAAAATTATTACCGATCTGCAAACGGGAGACTCGAAACGCGTCCTGCTCAATCATTCCGATCTTGATGATTAAATCTTCTTATTTATTACACTAATATTTCTATTCTAATAATGAGCAAAATGGGAGAATACTTGTAACGCTAAATTTAAATTGCATTATATAGCATTACATAAACATATCAAAAACATTCTCCACTTAAAAGTTCCATACCTCATTACGTATTTATATCCACGTTTTGTTAGTACTTACTGTGACCAAGTATTTTAATAAAAATTTATCACTCGAAACGATATGTAATTTTGGTCAAAACACAGAATTTTAAAAAATTTATTGTATTTTGCAATTGTAATTGAAAATTCTCTGGACATGAAATATTTTAAATGCAGCAAAATATATTTCTGAGCAAGTTGTCTCAATTCTGCCTTTAAAATCATGCAATTTAGAATTACGTGGTGCATGCAAAAAATGTTGGATAAATGCCGACCGCCGCCGACCGGTTGTAAATACTGATAAATATAAGTCGATATCCTCAAACACATAATTTGCGTGATTTGTGGTCATTGTTAAATATTATAAAAACAAGGCATTTTGCATATTAAATCAAATAAATGAAAGTCTGTACATCCGTAAAACCTCCGACGCCATGAATCAAGACCACGGCATGAACCTGAATCCTATCTGGTCTTCACTAATGTTACCACTGATCAAGCGCCCCTGACAACGATACCGTTTTTGAATAACAACAATAATTTATGATTAGCATTGTGAGTGAAATCAATCTTGTTTTCTTGATTCCAAATATTGTCCCTGAAGATGATACTAGTGAGTATCGAAAGCTAGGAATAAATATATCTGAATTAAAACAACCATGTCGTCCGATAACTCTAATTCTAATTTTGAATATCATGGTTGGAAGGATCTCAAAATCTTTATAACCAGACGGTTCGGCACGTCTATAATGAACTGCATAAAACTTTTGGAGAAAGAAGAACAACGAACGGTTAAACTCAACAATGATATTGTATTCCTTAAACGATGCCGGACACACAATCTGACCCCAAAAGGAATGAAGATCAAAAACCATTGGTGCCATATTCCTGGATCCAACGATTTACTCAAAAAAGCAGAACAAACTTTGGTTAAACTGCAAATCCATTTCAAATTTGCTGAATTGGAGAAATTGAAGAAATCGATCTCAATTAAACAACAACAACTCATAACTCTTCCTCCAACTGTCAACGAGAAAGTGTCAAAATACATGCGTGATGATAAAATGGCTTTCAATCTACAGACCAAAACCCTACAAGCAAAGAAATTTGACCATCTCCTGAGAGGAACTATCACAACAAAAGCCACCAGACATCAACCCTTTCCCAGCAAAATAGCTACACACCACGACATAGAGAAAAGTATAGTAAATCTATCCCATCGCGAACTAACAGAGGACGAAACGAAAGCACTTCAACTAGGTCTAAATTACGCCCTCCCATATTTCAAACACAAGGACCTTATTATAGAAGCAGGCATAAATATAGAACTATGTTTGAATGACTTCGAAATAACGGAAGTACACAAGAATAAAATTCGATCAGGAATTTCCAGAATATTACACTCAGAGATCAACAAGCCAGACGAAGTGTCCAGAAACTACGAGTGGCTGAAACCAATTTGTAAAAATCTCAAACAAGATAAATCTATTACAATCGTCCCTGCAGACAAAGGAAATATGACAGTGATCATGTCCACAACCAAATACGACGAGAAAGTTCAAGAGCTACTTAATGATCCGAATTACACCATCATCCCCACCGACCCTACGAAATTAGTGGAACAAGAAATTCACACCTTGGCAAATAATTTATTCAAACTAAAAAGAATTGATAAAAATCAATACCAACACATTTCTCCTTCAAACTCAAAGATCCCAAAATTCTATGGACTCCCCAAAATCCATAAAGACGGTGTACCTTTTCGTCCAATTGTGGATTTCCGAAATTCACCTTCTTATAATCTAGCTCATTTCCTCAACAAGATTCTAAAATGTGTCACGTCCAAATTCCCCACTTCTCTGAAAAATTCATATGAATTTGCAGACAAAATCAAGAATTTCATTGTCCCCCCAACCATGAATTGGTCTCATTTGATGTCACCTCACTATTCACACGCGTCCCAATACAACAAACCCTGAATTATATTAAGAAACGACTGGACTCCTGTAACGATTGGAAAGCTGTCACAAAACTGACCTCGGAAGAAGTGATGAAACTAATCAGAATCACAGTCAACTCCAACTATTTTACCCGAAAAGGAAAGATTTACAGACAAAAAGATGGAACACCAATGGGAAGCCCAATTTCACCGGTCTTTGCAGAATTTTGTCTACAAGAATTAGAAGAACAATTAATATTGAACAATCCAGACATTCCTTTTTACCAAAGGTTTGTGGATGACTCCAACGGCTGTATCAAGGCAGGCAAGAAGGATAGTATCCTCCAATCTCTTAACAGTTTTCACCCCAGTATCCAATTTACATGTGAAACAGAAGAAAGTCGCAAGCTGCCATTTTTGGATGTCTTAATATCCCGAGATGAAGATGGAACCATTCACAGACAAGTTTATCGCAAACCGACGCACACTGGGAGATACCTCAACTATAACTCATACCACCACCCATCCCAAAAGTTGGCTGTAATAGATGCCCTCAGTTATAGAGCTTTCAAAATATGCGATGACGAATATCTAGAAAATGAACTCAATTTAATAACAAGGTCTTTGATGACAAACGGATATCCGAAAAACTTAATCAAATTAAGGATAGAAAAAATGAGGACAAAATTTTCAACCCAACCTACTAACCATGAAAATCAAGACGAGGCAAAATCACCAAGAATAATCTTACCGTATATGGGACCACTCACCCACCGATTAACGAATTACTTACGCAATAACCTAAATTGCGAGTTCGGATATTTGACTGGGAAGAAGATGAAACAAATAATCTGTTCCTACAAGGAGAATCCACCATCCGATAAAGTAGGAATTTATAAAATTAAATGCTCTTGTCCCTCCATTTATATAGGTGAGACAAGCCGCCCGCTTAATCAACGAGTAAAAGAACATCTAAATGACATCAAAAAGAAAAACGTAAAATCAGCGGTGGCACTGCACATCATGGAGAATCCCAACCACAATATAAACCAAGACTCAGCAAGTCTAATTCTACCCGAGCGGCGAAATTTTCACAGAAAATTTCTTGAAAGTCTGTACATCCGTAAAACCTCCGACGCCATGAATCAAGACCACGGCATGAACCTGAATCCTATCTGGTCTTCACTAATGTTACCACTGATCAAGCGCCCCTGACAACGATACCGTTTTTGAATAACAACAATAATTTATGATTAGCATTGTGAGTGAAATCAATCTTGTTTTCTTGATTTCAAATATTGTCCCTGAAGATGATACTAGTGAGTATCGAAAGCTAGGAATAAATATATCTGAATTAAAACAACCATGTCGTCCGATAACTCTAATTCTAAATAAATGCATTTTCTCCTTTACCTACCCACTGCAAATTTCATTGAAATGCATGCAAAAAATTGATTGAGTTGATTACTAATAAACAAGCGTTGTATGGGCTTGGAGAATGAGACGTTTTTATTTATTTAGTTCATTCCATGAATATTTGATCGGGTGGAATTACTTTTTGATATTTGTTGGGGGTCGGGTGTTATGGGTAATTATTATTTTATAATTATTAGTATTATAATTATTATTAATTATTAAATCATTTATTAATTTATAACTGGTAAGACATCATTCACATGGCGGCGGTATCACCACCACCTCCACGAAGCGATGACGACGACGACGACAATGGCGAAGAGTAACGGAGAAGGATACATGTAACAGGGCCACCCACCACCACAACCACTCAGGAGAAGACAAGGAGGAGGACGAGGAAGGTCTCGGGTGTACTGTCAGGAGGAGGAGATAATAAAGACGATCTACATTTTTTGGCACTGAGGTAGTAGCTTTTATACACGTTTTGAAATAATAATCTGTTTAGTAGGTGTGGTTTACTGTGGTGGTGGGAGCAACCCTCCGGCAGTAGTAGCAGCTCGTCATCCTCAGCAGGAAGAGGTCGTCATAACAATTTTTGTAATTAATTATGTCTACACATACATATGCAGCAAGCAGCATATTGATTAATACGTGCGAGTGGCGAGAAGATTGTCTGGGCGCGGATAATATTTGGTTATTTTTATGAGGGGAAGGATTCGGAGGAGGAGGAGACTGAGAGGAAGGGGTGGAGGTAGGATGACTGACTGAAAGACACATCTACTAGAAGCCCATCGTTCCAAGGAGTGTGGACACCAGGACCACACCCAGCACCAGAAGACATATCATGATTAAGATCTTCTTCTAGAAGTGGGGAGAGAAAAAAGAAAACATATGCCGATTTCATACCATGAATATCAAATTGATTAATGTACAATGAACAACATCAAGATTTGTCTTGCAATACGGAAGCGTTTCCTTTCTTTTACTTGTACATACAAAATATAAGAAGCGTGGTCATATTAAATAAATCAGTAAAATTAAGGAACAAAAAAATGACTAGAAAGTGTGTAAACTGGTAAAAATAAATCTAGGTAAATAAATAAATATGTAATAGTTGAAATCATAAATTGCATTGCGTTAGGTCCGAGTGGAGAAGATTCTTGATTGAGATTCCACTACTGAATAGGTATCATCAGATCGTACGTTTCTTCACTGCGATGGGAGGAGTCATAATTAATTAAATGTATGGGCTTGGTGGGAGAAGAGCAACTTAAAAAAACGAAGCACACAGGTCAATTCGCATGCGTTCAGGACGAAGAGCTGGGCCCTGGCGAGAGGAACGAGACGCTCAGCGCCACGCCAAGGAGGACCAGGACAAGGGCGACACAAAGGGCGAGAATTATCTTCTTCTGTTAAGACAGTCATATAACAATGTAAAGGATACACATTCAGATGAAGGGAGTGGTTTGACAACTACAACTACGACAACATCTACTACTAGACACATTTTATCACGAGGAGGAGGAGGACAAGGAGGAAGATAACTACTCACCCGCCTAGCTTTGCTTTGGTATTTAAGAGCCTTCTTCGTATCCTGTGTCGCTGTTTGAACATAGTCCACGGCATGTTCAACATGATATTCGATACGATCAATCATTTCACCCTGGAAGAAAGTAGAACATGGAACAGTTTATAAATAAGATATATATCAAAAGACATGTATAAATTAAAGACGAATAGACACCTGACTTTCCACTAGCATGGCCATATCCATAAACATGTCATGCAACTCTCTAATAGAATTCTCCAATTTTATGATGTCTGCGTGCCTGGCTTCAATATCGGCCAAGGTTTGTCGGGCTTGCTGCGTCTCCATAATAATGCCCTGAGTAAAGACGGATGGATTTCCTTGCTCAATCATTTCTTCTAGCTCTTCATCCGTCGTAGTTCTCCCTGTGATTTCTAATTGGCGTTGAATCCTCCCCTTGCACCGCTCCCGGTAGTCTGTCTGCGTTCGATTGTATTCTGTCATGACTTCCACAAATTTACGAGAGAGGGTGGAATGCTGTGTTTTTCGAATCCGGAGATCTGCCGAGGACTTATTAGTGTGCTCTTCCTGCTCAATGTTCTGTTCTATTACTGCAATTGTACATTAATTCATGAATTATGAACAGAACACTGAGTAAAATATTGTATTGTGAGAAAAATGTCAACAAGTGATATTATTGGTCAAGATAGCATGACGACGGCTTACCTTTTAATTTGGACCGTACTTGATTCGCCGTCTTTTTTATGCCTGCCATGAGATCCTCTAATTCCTGCTTCATCTCTACAATGAATAAAATGTATGAATTAATACATTTATTTCAATTGCATCCTTGTTCATTTTCCATGCAATTCTACATAGTATGAAATTACTTTCGTCCGTTGTGGGAGCGGAAAGAATGGCTGAGTGTTTCTTTTTGACCTCTTCCACGCTATACTGGATCCTATCAATCATCTCTCGTATCTCTTCCACCTGCAATTAGTTAATTCATTAGTTACAAATCAGTACAAGAAATTTGAATCCATCTTATGCACCCACCTCGGCAAAGAACTCGTCCATGAATCCATCCCTACTCTCCACCGTAACAGCGACCTCATCCCCACCCACGTCATCCTCATCGCTCTGCGCCTAAAGGAATCAAAATCCAAACGGAGGAAAACCCCTTTGAGAGAGAGTGGTCATCATCACCATCTCATCAGCGCAGTGAAACCGACACCGACTCACAAAGCCCCGAGTGGGCGCAACAAGTGTCGTCTACTTGGACGCGTGCCAACCCACCAAGAAAGAGCAGCGTGTGTACTGTATGCATCACACACCGATGACCCTACTAACCTACCAAGTAGTGATGACGGCATCCATCCATTTCCCGTATTTTCCGCACATCTCTTCTCTTCTATCTCTATTCTCACCAAGACCACCCACCACCACCTCCAAAGCGAAAAATGACCCCAGCCACACCCACTACACGCGCGCCCACCCACTAATCTAGCTAATTCCATGCTCCTTTGGCGGTCCAGGGATGATGGCGACAACGACGACGACGACGCCTCCGCCTATGCTACAACTACTACTTTCTCTTTCTCTGCTTCTCTTCTATGCTAGCTATTTACTATATGCTGTACTGTACTCTATATCTGCTGCTTGGTTGTAATACAAAGCGCTGTAAAAGTTAGTAAAGTAAGCAAGAGCGAGTTAGATTGTTAGTGAGCTTACGGCCTTGAGCGCGGCTAAGCGGTCCTTGGTCATGATGGAGGTTGGATGATGGTTGGGAGGAGAGAGGAGGGAACAACGAGGCGATCGTCGTCCAGGTCCCAGTCGACAGAGGACCAACGTGATGAACCAACCAACAGTTGCTCCTTCCTTGGGAGATGGCCAGCCATCACCCCAATACGCCGCCGCAACACCGCCAAACTCAAACCCGCCCGGGCAGGGGCGCCACTACCCGGGTAGCGGATACCTTTTACCCGGTCCTAAGACGACTCAGTCTTACCAGCTAGGATGTGAAAAATGAATAATCCGTCCCTCTCAAAATAGATGAAATGTCCAGAAAAGGGGCGAGTTTTGATGGTTCCGCCCCTGCCACGAAGCAACCACATGGAGAAGACCAACCGCCACACTCACTCATATTCACTCGACCTCCGTCTTCTCACTCGCACTCACTTTGGTTCCCTCTCCCAGTCGGCTACATTGTCAGCTCTTTGCTCTCTCTTGCCTGCCTGCCTACGTCGCCTTGTCATCGTCGCCAAGTGTTTGATTTTTTCGGGTTTGTCGTAGCTAAAAGTGGTCACCATGGCGGAGAAGAAGGAAGAGAACATGCCGACCTTCAAGTGTGTCTTGGTGGGGGATGGAGGGACTGGGAAAACCACCTTCGTCAAGCGTCACTTGACTGGAGAATTCGAGAAAAAGTATGTCGCCACGTTGGGGGTGGAGGTCCACCCGCTCGTCTTCAATACGTCGAGAGGCTCCATCCGTTTCAACGTGTGGGACACAGCAGGTCAAGAGAAATTTGGAGGATTGCGGGACGGTTATTATATTCAGGTAAGGAAGGATTATTGAGTGAATATGTACGTGTGTGTGTAGGCGATGGTGGTGGTGGATGGGAAGATGACTCATGTGAAATTTGAATTATTAATTTTGTATTTTATATTTTCTTCTTTAGGGCCAATGTGCCATTGTAATGTTTGATGTGACCTCTCGGGTCACATATAAGAACGTGCCGAACTGGCATCGGGATTTGGTTAGGGTTTGCGAGAACATACCGATTGTACTTTGCGGTGAGTTTATTAAAATTGATGAAAGTCTAAAAAATGATTTATCTGATGAGTGACAAATTAATGGCATGATTTGTTCTTTGTACAGGGAACAAAGTTGACATCAAGGATCGGAAAGTGAAGGCAAAGAGCATCGTTTTCCATCGGAAGAAGAATCTACAATATTACGATATCTCCGCTAAGAGCAACTACAACTTTGAGAAACCATTTCTCTGGCTGGCTCGTAAACTTATTGGGGATCCCAACCTTGAGTTCGTCGCCATGCCAGCACTCGCTCCACCAGAGGTCCACATGGATCCTGCTTGGCAACGACAGATTGAAAACGATCTCCAGGTAAGGGCACGATTTAAAACAAACCACTTTTTATCGGTATCGAACTAGGGAGTTATCTAAATTATTATTATTTGAATATTTTAGGAGGCAGCCAACGTTGCTCTACCCGATGATGATGAAGATCTATAAGCTCCATCTTTTCTCACTAACATCAAAGCTAACAGCAACATCTTCGTCACCGATTACACCTTTGTTCGTTGTCTATAATTTTTTTCTTATGAACTTTGTTTATGCAATTTAAAAATAAAATCTAAACTATTTGTACGTCTGTGAATTTGTCAGTGATATATTCAGAAGGTGAGGTGAGCCCACTTTTTCAAAAGTAAATATTTGTGTCGTCTTTTATGGTCACACACACAACCAAATTAAGTGTGTACATGCGTCAGTAAATTAAATAAAGATACTTGATAATGTTTAATTAACTTTCTGGGTATAAATACTACTGGATTTATTTTAATTAATAATATTTTACTAATATTTGTTCCAAGTGACACTCAGCATCATGGTTTATCTTTCTATATATCGAATATATATGGTGGATAAGAAGTATTAGACATGTCACTGACTTGTTGATAACTAGCATAGGTTTTAGCAGTAAAATGAAGATAATGCATAACTTTCTATATATATCTTATGTATTTGCTCATCATCATTATCATAATCGACTCATTCGCACAAGTACTTGGTATGTAAAGACGAAACTTAGAAATAAAGTAAATATTTAGAGCATGAAAACAATCAAAACATCAACAAAACTAGGAAATGATTCGCACTATTTTACTCTTCTCTCTGATTTATTTTATGACTTGGTAGTGGCAGCCTCTTTCTTTGCCTTCTTTTCCAATCCTTTCCTCCCCTCGATCATGAGTTGACGTTCGGCCTCAGTCATGCTTTTCATCATGCCGGTGATGACTCCTGTCCCCAAGGTGGTAAATCCGTCGCGAAGCGTGAACCGCTGACCCTTCTCCAACACCATGGGGCGAATAAGTTTCAGCTGCAATCTGCAATGATACGAATATAATTTATCGTTAGGAAGAATTGAAAGCATTCACTTACAACCTATCTGATCGCCTAGGTTTGTAATATTAGGTTACACTAATTTTTTGTAATGTTTAAGTAATCAGAAGGTTTGTCGTGAGAAGAGAATTAGCTCATTAAGGGAATAGAGGTATCGCTTACTTGGCATCTTCTCCCGGCATGATCATATCTTTTCCTTGGATGATAACTTGAACGGCAGCATCCCAAGTTCTGGAAAACATTTGTAGTTGGATGAGAGATGTGAAGGGACGAGATCGACCACCTTCTTCTTTACTTAGCACATAAACCTGGTATAGTATTGGGGTAATAATTAATATAATTCATTATAAAAGCATTATTTGATTCGAACGTTAAGTTTATTAAGTAATTCCTTGTGGATCTACCTGAGCTTCAATATTGTCATATGTCTTCATCGTGCCCGGTTTGCAAATGACCATTCCTCTTCGAATTTCATCCCGTTTAATGCCACGAATCAGGGCACCAAGTTGGTCACCTGCTTGCGCTTCTTCCAATATTTTATGAAACATTTCAATTCCTGTGACAGTAGTTTTGAGGCTTTTAGAATAGCCCAACACTTCGCATTCCATTCCCTACAAGAAGATATAAAAAAGTTAGTTTCAGTTTAAACTTAAACCAAACTTTATTAAATACTGACACTAAAGTTTATATAACAAAATTATATACGTACCTTTTTAAGCACACCCCTCTCTAATCGTCCCGTGCAGACCGTTCCTCTCCCCGCAATGCTGTACACGTTCTCAATGGGAAGTAAGAAAGGCTTATCCAAATCACGAACGGGCGTTGGGATGAAGGAATCCACGGCGCTTAAGAGTTCTTTGACAGCATTGGCCCCAATTTCTGGATTCTTCCCTTCCAGGGCGCACAAGGCGGATCCTTTAATCACTGGGACTTTGTCGCCATCAAATTTCATTTCGGACATTAGTTCGCGAATCTCCATCTCCACTAGGTCAACCATTTCAGCATCGGCGGCATCAACCTGTAATCAATAATGCAAGTATTTACCTAAATATCTATCCTTGCTATGATTAAAATATTTAAACCACCAATTTTAACGACCATCTCACCTTGTTAATAAAGACGACAATGTGTTCAATTCCAATCTGTTTTGAGAGGAGGAGATGTTCCCTGGTTTGGGGCATGACTCCATCAGTCGCTGCAACGACTAGGATCGCCCCGTCCATTTGGGCCGTGCCGGTGATCATGTTCTTAATATAATCGGCATGTCCGGGACAATCCGTGTGTGAATAGTGCCTCGCCTCCGTGGCGTATTCGATGTGAGCCACGTTGATCGTAATGCCTCGTTGCTTCTCTTCAGGAGCATTGTCAATTTCATCGTATTTCTTCACCTTCACAGATTTGTTGGATTCGGAGAGAACTAGCAAAAATATGAAGCGAAATTAAAAAACATAATCTGATCAATGTTTGATGTCTGCCTCACCCCTTGTGATGGCCGCTGTGAGGGTAGTCTTGCCATGATCCACGTGACCTATCGTGCCCACATTACAGTGAGGTTTGTCTCTCTGGTAGACTTGTTTTTCGGCCTCGAGAGCACGAGACGTTGAGAGGAACCGCCTTCGAGTCAAGTCACGCTGAATTTGTCGCCCACTGGTTAATCGAATGTGAGATAAAGCTCTTCCTCCTCCTCCCAGACGAAGAAAGAGTTGATAATTGTTGCCGACGGAGAGGGTGGCCTTGGACCTGGAAAAGACACCACTCCCACCATCACCGAGGATTGCCTTCATAACGACGGAGGCGCCACTGCCAACTAAAACATAGAGGAAAGGATAAGCAAGTATAATACTTAGTTAAGATAAGATAAGGTACACCACACCCACCTCTTGACCTGTTGAAGGCTATGAAAAAAGCCATGATTTGTTTGTCGCCAAAGATGAGAGATTATTAGATAAATTTTCCACTGGTGCTGGGCTGCAGCTCTGATGAAATGCCGAACTCTCAATTCTCGCGGATATTCTCCGTGTGCCCGAATGCAAAAATAAATTGCATCATGTGCATAAATTGCATTCATCGTATAAAATTATTTTTCCAGTAAAATATTTATGAAGTAATTAATATATTTATTAATCTGAACGATAAGATGTCGATGTGCATGACATACGTCTTTTTTAAGTAGCAAAATGTCTATTTTCTAAATGAGGAGATTGCGTGAAATAGGATGAGACGAAATTGAGACTTCTGGAAAGTATCAAAAGTCAACTTTGTTCATCAATTCAATTATCGTACATAAAAATGTTGCATACAAATGTTATTGCTGTAGCAAAATTCTAGCAATTCGAAAAATTCTACTTCATAAAACGTTAAAAATAATACGAAAATCTCAACTGCAAAAACTTCATGGCAATGGTTTTTTTGACGTACTTACCTAAACAAATTATTTTCTCAGGTTGCAATACAAATGAAAGCCGCTGTTATATACATTCTTGTTTCAATAAAAAATCTCATATTTTTTCATTGATTCAAAATCATAATTTTAGTATGATAATTTTTATGTCATACATTATTTCCTGTTGAGACCTCTTTCTTTTATGACTAAAATATGGTTTCTTTCTCTTTATTGGAAGAGATATGAAAAAGGTGGTTCTTGAGGCTGCGAGCTCCTGGCCATGAGCAGATCAACGAGTTTCCTCCAGTTCACTCATAGAGTTTTATTAATATGAGTTCACTCAACAACACATGTGATTCACTTGATAAAAAAAGAGATCAACTTTTACATCAATCTGACAAGGAAATCAGTCGGGTAAGAAGATATATATCTCGGAATTTAGTTTTCATCTAAAAATTCACAACTATCTTAATGTCATGTTACTCTAATTGTTAAATTAAGGACAATTATATATATATTCGTTATCTTCAGGTTACTGACCGAATGTGATTCTATCTATTCTCAGCTGTTGATTCGAATGCGTCGCACACGGGGCTAAATATCGATTTGTTATTATTGCATAAATTGTAATAAAGTTAATCGTAAGTAAAGACGATGAAGTTGCCGGCCGATGTTGCTAAAACAATCTTGGCGGAGGGTCGTCTCGGCCCGAAAGATCTCCTTCCTCCATATCCGGATGGGACAAAGGTAAATATTTAAAAGTCATGGGATATTAAATATTAATTCGTTCTTGTCCCATAGGTCGATTTCAATTTCAAAACTTGTATCGTCACTGATGAAGGGGTGGATGTGGAGGGCCCCGCACTGGACGATACCCGGTGTATGGCACAGCCCATGACTCTAATTATTGGGAAACAGTTCAAAATGCCAGTTTGGGAATTAATGGTTCACACCATGATTCCGGGTCAGGTGGCGAGATTTGTCGTTCCGAAACATGTATGTGAATCAAATCTGAGTTGTTCACTCAATCTATTCGTTCAGGGAGTAGATTAATACCTGTTTAATCACTTTGTTTCTGCAGTACGTCACCTCGTACCCCATGGTGTCCAAAGCTATCCGTGAGTCTGCATCTGGTGAGCGAAGTCACACCCACCACTGTTGCGGAATGATGTCACAAGGGATTGGATTTCCAGATTTGGACAAACTGATGCAAGCACCGCAAGATTTGAGCTTCCTTTTTGGTGCTTCAAAAATTAAACCAAAATCTAATCTATATTCATTCGTGCAATTTACATAATATGAATTTCATTAATCAGAATTGCTGAGCGTGTCCCCTCCCGGTGGGTATGAACGGGAAACATGGCAACTGACCGAATCGGAGAAACTAGCCTCCGTCCCACTCCTCCAAACCGAAGGAAATGCACTCTTCTCTGGAGGGGATTTTCGCGGTGCGGAACGCAAGTATTTTACTGCGATCTCCCATCTTGAACAACTTATTCTCAAGGAACACCCCTCCAGTTCGGAGGCGAAAGAGCTTGAGAGCCAAAAGGTCCCACTCCTCCTGAACTATGCCCTCTGTCTCATGAAGAGGGATGAAGTATACGAGGCCATCACCCATCTCGACACCGCACTCAAACTCCAGCCGGACAATGTGAAGGGCTATTTCCGCCGGGGCCAGTGCCATCAATCAGTCGGTGACTACAGGGAAGCGCGATCTGACTTCGCACAAGCACTCCAGCTCGACCCTTCTCTCCATGGAACGGTGGCTACACTGGAGCAACAAATGGTTGCGGAACAGCGACGGAGAGATGAGGTGGATAAGAACAAGTACAAGAGGATTTTTCAGGAAGAGCTAGCCGAGAATAAAGGAGCGAATAACAACAACAACAGCAACAACAATTAATTTTGACTAAACAGATTACATCAGATGATACATCATTCCAGATATTTGAAAAAACGAATACCTTCCATTTAACAAGAGTGAAGATGAAGAAATTAGTCCCACCGAACAAAACGAAAACCAAACAAACAAAGTCAGCATTACATCCTAACTTAAAACATTTTAGTCCAACCAACCAAACAAATTATCAGTTTAAAGATATCCATAATTGAATTATTATGTTATTATTTATCATTGTCTTATTATGATTATATTGATCATCATGGTTTTAAAACATATATATGTAAACATATACTTATATAGCCAAATAGTTGCAGTTCAACCAGAGTCCATTGACTGTGTCCAAGAAAAGAATACAGTCAATGGACTCCAACTAAAAGTGAATAAATTATATCAATCTATGCATCAAGATGCAGTAAATACACGCCACTTATTTTGTTTGATGGAGTATTTCAGAATTAAAAATTGATTTTATTCTCTTGCACCAGACTACCAAACTACTAATCCATGACCCATCATGTCATTCCATAGTTAGTTAAGGCAAATTAAACATTTAGACACCGTTCATGTTTTTCTTAACAAGAGTGTATATAATAATCATACGTAGTAAAAATTAGATAGTTTGTTGTGTACTTTGAATTTTACGAGTTTGCTTAGTAGCTCAGAATGCACTTCATCATATCCGAATCGTAAATTAATTGCACAATATATTTGTTTCTATTACTTAATCATAGAAGAAGACAAAGGTTTCTAAATATATATATTTTTTCATAGAATTTGTTTGTTGTTGCGTTGTTGGTTAGAGGCACACACATCTTTCTTTCTGAATTAATTCACATAGACACACATAGCATTATATCTATAATTTTTCTTGTACTGTTAACTTTTTCAGCTGGTAATTATTAAAATAACTAAGCAAACATCACCTTTATCAAGTTTATCATGCAGTATTATAATCAATATAGAACTCTGTATATATAGTATTTATATGGGTATAGAGCTAGTAGTAACTTTAGCAGCAATATCAGGGATAACAATAATATATATATATTTATATTTCTTTTTCATCGATTATGATAACCTAATCTAAGCTTTTGTAATATAAATCTCTCGATGCCGACTTGTTGTAGGACAGTGAAAGGAGAACTTCTCATTGCGGATTATTTCGAAGGTCAGAAGGATAGTGGAAAGTTGGGCTTTCGTTATAAAATAATATTCTCTGCTTGCATAAGTAGTACTATGATGTAGATAGTATTTAAAACAACGGAGGAGTATAGTGGTAGTAAATGATGTGCAGTATGGCTTAATTTGTTGGACGCTCTTGCAAACAAAGAAAAAGCTAGGGTTTTATTTAACCTGCGTCCTCCTATTCTTATCGATACGGTGTCACATGTTTCTCTTAAAGCAGTTTTGTATTAGTTAAAGTTGGGTTGAAATTTTTGAAAAATTGTAGAAATATGGACGTTTGTCGTTTATCGTGAAGTGTGTTCAAAAAATAGTAAATACGACGAGTGTGAGTGAGGAAGAGAGGATTTTTTTTCAATCTATTCATTCTTTGAATTTGTGTTCCTAGATAAGTTATATCATTCCAATTTACAGTTTTCCTCCCTCTTCAAACCTTCGACGTATTCGTGTTTCTTTGTTGAGCTGAGTAAGATCCTCGTCTTACATGTTTCGAGTCTCTTCAAGTTCTGACTTATGATTCTGATTAGTATTTTGTTATTCTGAATTGGAGCACCTTCTTGTTTTGTCACGTATTTAAATGTGTGTATTGTGTAGAAGTGGAGTGTGGACATGCACGCTGTACCAATTTATGGTCGTGGCGACATGCAGATTTTGTTTAAGCGCTTTTAGTTACCATTCTCTTCATTTCACTGGCTAATTACACGGGAGTTGGTTGGGGGGTATATATATTGGAGGAGAGAGATGTGGTGGGAGGGGGTTGGCTATCGGGGGCACTTGTACTTTATCCATTATTGGACTTTTGGGTGTTAATTCCAAGTTTACAACGTAGTGTAGTAGAAGCAGCAGCAGCATAGAGCAATCCAGCAGCAGAGTATGTTGTGGGATTACTGGCTGTTTAGGAGACAACGTTTTATCTGTGAGTTAAATATCAAAGGTCACAATTTCTTTCGTCATACTTTTACATGAAAGTGAAAGATGTTGGTTTTGCTGATGCTGATTACCTGGAGGAGGAATCACTACCTCCACCACCACTGTTATTACGATCCTGTGGTATAGGACGATTCACCGCTTTGTACGCCTCCTCTTGCAGATTGCCTGGATTGCTTAGAATGTCCGTTGAAGTACACAACTGGCGAAGGGAGGTGAGTACAGCTGTGAAAACGACAAAGGTTAAATGCCACTTTTCTAAGATATGTAGATATGTACCTAAAACAGATCTGGCTCACCTGGTCTGAGATCCACGAGGGAACAATGCTGGTCCACCCATGCCAAGACGGTGCGACAAAGTTCGTCAACACTGGCAGTAGAGACAGAGTTGTTGTACGAGTCCAAGAGGGGACGGATCAGGGTGGAAAACTAGATAGGAAATAAGTTTACAATGAATTATAAACGACGATCTGCTTATCTGGGAATAAACGCACTCCATAAATAAAGTTCACTCACCAGCCAAAACTTCCAATTCTCCAATGTCCTCTGCCTCACCCACACGTGAAACATTTCGTTCATTTTGGAAGTGCGTTGCCTCGAGACGGGCGCTCCCGTTGCGGGAAGCATGGACTGGCAGTTGTTGATGGAGGCGTTGAGACCCTCCACGTCGGCCCGGTGGCGTTCGATCTCATCCTTGAGTTGGGCCCGCTCCAGCTTCAACTGTCGAATGTACTCGGCCCCTTTCGCCAACATAGCAGCCTTGCTCACCTGCACGAGAGGCAGTGAATTAGGCAAGAAAGCTTTGACGCGGGTGACCCACATAATGTTAAAGATTACCCACCTTGGCGTTTGGGTTGTGACTCAACTGCGGGATGAGAGAGTGCAACGTGTCAAATCCATTTTTGATATTGCACCGCCGTTTTTGCTCCGCGTTAATGTGTGAAACGCGTCGATGCTCCTGAAAGAAATCACACCCACTCAAATACACTGATCCAGATTAGCGTAGAGACGATCTTTAACGTACTTTGTAACCACCCCGGTCACTCCCGTCTCCACCACCGCCGGTAGAAGAACTCGAGCCAGCAAGTCCCTTTCTCGCCCCTTTAGAAGGAGATGAAGGGTTGCTCGTCGGCGTGGTTGAGGATGGAGGCCCGAGAGGGGGAGAAACCGAACCCCCACTTCCACCAGAGCCACCACCTCCCGTTGGCGAAGTGTTGGATGCGCCACTAAATGACGAGAGCAAGGAGCCACTGCCACTCCCAAGACCTCCAAAATTTATCTGGAAAATGAATAAGTGTTAAAATTATCAAATATTTTTTGTGAGAATAAGTAAGTACGTACGACGAGTGGCGTGTTTGGCGCCGGCAAATGGAACTGTTGAAATTGTTCGCCCATAATCATATTGAGTGGAGACATGTTTCCGTAGTCAGCACCAGTTCCACCGCTGCTAGTTGTCACTGGTGGGGGTGGAAGGGCTGGGACATTGTGGTGATTGGATGGTGAAGAAGAAGACGTGGAGTGGGGGTGGCTGTGGCTGGTGTGGTGATTGTGGTGATTCGAATTGGCGAGGAGGTGGGAGAGGAGTGTGTTAGAGTTGGCGTTGTTCACGAGCTGCTGTTGATGACTGGGTTGGTTGGATGATCGTGACCCGGGACCACTGCGGGTGCGACCTCGAGGCTTGCCCTAAATCGGATAAACATAACAAATTAAACTCCATTCCTTCACAAACTGAACTAATACTAAACTCTTTAGAAATAACTGACCTGAGGCTTTGCAAATATTCCAGAAGAGGATCCTTGCTGTTGCTGCTGCTGTAATTGTTTTTCCTGTTGACTGACTCGCCCCTTATTGTGGTGGGGGTGATGATTGGTATGTTGTTCAGTAGACGCAATTCCATTATGGTGTGGGAGAAGGATTGTTTGATCGTAGTAGTTCTGTGGTTGCTGTTGTTGTTGTTGCTGCTGCTGCTGCTGCTGTTGGGCAGAAGATCCACTCTTGTTGCCTTGATTATTGTGGTTGTGGGTAAGGACATCATCTGAAAGGAGACTGTCGGGTGGGTCAAAATTTTCCAGTTCTTCCGGGACGGGAGGTAACAATTTCGAGTTGACGTAGTCTTGGAGGGGTTCCAACGTATCCATAAAATCGTCCAGGTTTGGTTGCAGTTGTACAAGTCCGGGTTGGATGAAATCGGCCACCATGCCTACCCTCGCTGTAGGTGGATTGGAGTTAAACGATTTAGTTTGTTTATCAATTTTTTTACAAGTTTCAAAAATAAAATTGGGAAAAAACTAACTTATTTCTTTTGGATTGGGAAATGCAAAGGGTTGATTAGACGAGAGAGATGAAAACAGAGTATCAGTGAAATCCATGAACATGTCGTCATCAAAAATGATGTTTGACATGGTTCCAAACGTTCCTGATCTGGACCAATCGAATCCATCGAGGGAGACTGGGTGCTAAAAATTACATAAGATTAGGTATACATTTTTAGTGTGAAATATGTAATCAACTAATAAGAATTATTTACATACTAAATCCGCCGTCGGGGTGGCATGTGTCCATCCCATGATTCTATTCCGGTAAAAAAGTCTCCATTTTTTGTACTCGGCAGCCACCGTGGAGAGCTTCCTCTTCCAGTATTTCCCTTCCATCACGACAGCCTGTGGACAACAAACCTATAACTCAGATAAGACAGTCTCATGCTCAGCATCAATGTTCCTTTCGTTCTGCTACGCCTAACACTAAATGGCACGCTCCTAACCTCGGGTTTGTTGTGACCGTCGACATCCAGTGGGGCGGCGAACTGGCAGACTAAGGTCTTCTTCTTCATTATAACTGACAAAAGAACAGCTCGTCAGTTTGGGTACAACTTTAGTGCTGGATTTCAAACTAAATTTAAAAAGTACTCACATTGCATGTGCCAACACCTCCAGATCACATTGTTCAACCTAATCTTGTCCTTCCAGCGGAGTCTGACCCCTTTGAAGCGGTTCCACTTTGGAGAGGTTAACTTTTGCCTGAAAATTCAAACAAACAGGGACACATTCATAATGATTATATAACAATGACCTACATATTTAGCATTATCTCCACTAGTGAGTAGAGTGACCTCACCTGTACGCTAAACTCATGCATTGGAAGAGTTTTGTGAGCGACCCATCAATCGAAATAGCCGTCCCTGCCGTGGGAGGTTCATCTTCTCCACCACCACCAGTGTACTGGGAAAGGGCTTGGTTGTACGGATTTATATTTATATGACCTCCCACTCCCGGCATGACCATTCCCAGGTCGGAGAGTGAGTTATCCACAATGCTCGAGCTGCTGCTTCTCTCCCTCTTCATAATGACACTGCTCCCTCGTCCCCCTTGTTGGTGGTGTTGCGAGTTGTGGGCATGGTTGGTTGATGAGTGGTGGTGGTTATGGTTCGACTGGTAAGACGAAGATCCTCCTCCCCCATAATTAGAAGGCAACATGTCCGAGGACTGGTGGGCGGTCACTTTTACAACAACGGTCTCCGGAGGCCCAGGCGGGATGGGCATGCCCACCTCATACTCTTCATCCTGCGCTTCGGACTCTGGTTCAAAGTCGGACACCTAAGAAAGACAATGATGACGAAACAGTTAAGAAATATATCTCAACTATTACAGTTATCAACATCTTAAATAACTTCTCACCATGAAGTGACCAGAGTGGATCGTCTCCCTCAGATTCGTCCTACGTCCCCCATCTCGACCCCCCCTCATGTTCCCTCCTTGCTGGTGCTGTTGTTGTGACTGCTGAGAGGAGGACGTCGACGAGGACTGGATTAAGGCTCTGACCGACATTTTCGTAGTCGTCGTCGTTACTACTTTACTTCCTCGCTAAAATTTGTACAATCAACTTTTCCTCTGTGCCTCGGTCGGGGTAATTTTTATGTAATCTTGTCACGTATATGATACCTAATTAATTATCCTAATTAACTTCTCCTCCTGCTTGGCGCCCCCACTCAGGTTATCAAACTAAAAAAACTACCACCACCATCGGGACGCGTGACCTTTCCAACTAGCCATCATTACGGGAAATGATGACCTTGATGATGTGGGATTTTTGGACTTGGTCGAAGATCCGTTCCAACTTTGTCCGTGGGGTCAATATTATCTCTCTGAGAGCAGCTCCTTGTGAAACTCTGAGTGAGGATTGAGTGAGTGAGAATGAACTACTGAGTGGTGGTGGTGGTGGTGGTAGTAAAGTAGTAGTTTCTGTTGGGAACTCACTTCGTCAAGGCCATCTGCATCATCATCTCCTCGAGTCGAACATCGGAGGAACAGTGGCGGCACACGGTTCGGACAATTGATACGAGCCTGCCGTGCCGACCCACCGACAGACCCACTACACTCCTCCTCTGATTGACTGACACTTGAGAGAAGATGATGATCTATGCAACAGGTGATAAACTGATTAAATTAATTGATAGTTGACAACGATATAGTGTATTTTTAGCCACGTCATAACATCTTTCACCCAACTAACTAATCATGAGGTGGGCTCTAACACCAGGGATTATTGGGGTCGGGTGGGGTCTCACGGGGCGACAATTTTTTGCCGGTGGGAGGAGTGCCAAACCGTACTCGACCGCCGTGCTCCTGCTGAACATGGGAGGTCCGGCCGAGTTGGGGGAAGTGGGTCCGTTTCTGCACAGGCTGTTTCAGGTGAGGTTCGAGAATGATATGCTGAGGAAAACGTGACATAATGTGCGTATGCAAATATTTACAGGACCGGGACATCATGCAACTCCCTATGCAAACTCAGGTCGGTGCTTGGCTCGCGAAACGACGAACTCCTTCCATCCGGGCGAAATATGCGGAAATTGGGGGTGGTTCGCCAATTTTAAAGTGGACGAAGATACAGGGTGACTTGTTATGTAAGGAGTTGGACAGCTTGTCCCCGTCAACGGCGCCACATAAGCCGTATGTTGGTTTTCGTTATGCTAATCCACTCACGAGGAGCACGTTGGAGGAGATGGAAAGGTAATTTCGGTCATAAATAAAGTGGTAGAAGGAAGGGTATTTATTTAGTTTGTTACGAATTTACAGGGACGGGGTCAAGAGAGCGGTTGCCTTTTCTCAATATCCACAGTATTCTTGCGCCACGACGGGCTCATCGATTCATGAGATACACAAGTTTTACATGGATAAGAAAGAGTCGTCCTCCATCAAGTGGAGTGTTTTGGACAGGTGGGGCACGAATCCTGGCTTTGTGGCGGCTGTCGTGGAGAGAATCAAGGAACAATTGCCTCACTTTCCACAAAATCAGGGTCCGCCAGTCATCCTCTTCTCGGCGCATTCCCTCCCAATGAAGGTGGGTACATAAATCTAATTTGTGGGTTAATTTTAATTTATGATAGTAACGGTCTGATTTTTATGGTTAGACTGTCAACCGTGGGGATCCATACCCCGTCGAGGTTTCTGCCACTGTAGAGCTTGTCATGAAAACTCTCGGCAGTACGTACCCCTACCGACTCGTGTGGCAGTCAAAGGTCGGACCGATCCCATGGCTGCGACCTTCCACCGAGGAGGCCATCAAAGGTGCATGAACTATTTAAACACGTGACGACAGTTGAACCTAATGTATGTACTCATTTTTTCCTCTTTCGTGCAGGTTTGGCTGCTAAGAAGTTACGCAACATACTCCTCGTCCCGATAGCATTTGTGAATGAACACATCGAAACGTTGCATGAGATGGATATCGAATATGGGTCAGACTTAGCGAAACAGGTAATCATTTATATCCCTGGACATAGTTTTTATTTATACGCCCAATTTCATTGTTATCTTCTCATCTAGGTTGGCGTTACCATCCGTCGCGCCCAAGCCCCGAACGACCATCCCTTCTTCATTAAGGGAATGGCCGAGTGTGTCGTAAACCATTTGAGGGAAGACGTCGCCGTGTCGCCCCAACTCTTAATGACGTGTCCTCTCTGCACTCGAGAGACATGTGGGAAGACGAAAATGTGGCTCAACACGCTCAACAGCTTTAACCAGAAGCAATAATTGTAGTCTTATCAAGTGTAATATTTAACCATGAAACAGATCTGATCGATATCTGTAATTAATCGCGCTCTCTCTGTGATGTCATTAATTTTTCGGGTCCGTTTCTGCCAGCGCATTTGAATGTAGTAGATTATTAGTGTGAAAAGCATGTTGTTTAAATCGAAAAATGTTACGTGTATATATTTTTAAAAGTGTTACGCATTATTATGTCCGATACCTCAAATTTGGAAGTGAATTATAATTAAAATGGGTACTTATGTGAGTTCAAAGAATGAAACCAAAGACAAAACAATATTGTTGTCGTTGTGTTGCTGGCTTATTTTTTAAGCATCGATCTTATTTATGACGGAAGCTCTTGGTTCATCTCTTGCGAAGGAGAGATACCGACTTCCGCTCTTAATCTGAGAGTATTGTAGTACCAGTACGTATGTAGTTTCATTTCGGTAGCTGAAGATGCAGACAACTATTTACTGCTTGTTTTCATTAGTTTGATTTTTCATAATAATCAGTCATGGCTCTTTTGTGCTACTCCTGGTTATTATTGCTCCTAGTCGTAGTAATTTCATGCAGCGGTGGGGGCGACGTTACGACCAACCGTACCGCCGAGGTTTTGAGTCCGTGCGACCACGCCAATCTGACCAGAATTTTGCATGACTTGGTTCAGCAACACTCGTCCATTGCGTCCCTGACCTCGATTGGAAATTCTAGTCAAGGTGAGATCATAAAATTAATCTAGAAAACACGAAAAGAATTTCAAAGGTATATGTTTTATAGGTCGAGCCTTGTGGGTCATGCGGGTCGGAGACTCTGTAAATTTGCGACCCGTGCTCAGACCACAGGTAAAATTGGTTGGAAATGTGAACGGATTCTCGGGTCCAGCATGTGCAACATTACTCTCATTAGCTCAGGTAAGTCATTTTCATGAGTTTGATTTTTTACCATGTTTAACACCAGTAGTAAAGCAAATGCTCACAATTACTTGATTTTCAGCGACTTCTCATCGGATTTCGCAAAGTTGGAACTCAAGAGCGTCGTCTCCTCCAGGCACTCGAGGTCCATATTCTTTTCGACATGAATCCTGACGGGTCTGCAGCTGCGAAACCGGGATCATGTCTGGATGGGAAGGGACGGTCAGTCAATTTGTGAAAATATGTCATTTCTATGCATTTCAATTACTTACTCAATTACTTCATTTACTAAATTGTCTCATTTTTTACGTGTGCAGTAGCAACGGGGCTGGCGTCGACCTCAATCGCGACTTTCCCCTCGTGTTCCCCACCTCCGAGGAGGAATATCACTACTCCCACCATAACCTCCAACCCGAAACAGCCGCCGTGATGCGATGGTCCCTCGCCAACAATTTTGTCCTCTCGCTCTCTCTCCTCTCTGGTCAGGCAATGCTGGTCCTCCCGTTCGACGACCGCCTCGACCTCATGACCTCTCAAGCCCACGAAACCCCCGACAACGACATCTTCACGCGACTAGCGGACAAATATGTGGCTGCCGTGGGGGGCCAAGCAGGCAGCTGGAACTGTGCCAATCTCCGCCGCAATTTCCCTAAAGGCTGGGTCAACGGGGCGGAATGGTATCCGGCTCGGGGGACGATGATGGACTGGTCCTATGTGAGAGCCGCCACACCGGAAATTACGGTGGGGTTGCATTGCTGTCGAAATCCGGGGGATGAGGCCACACTCTTGCAAATTGCGGCAAGGCATGAACGGGTAAGTAAAAAAATAATTGGTGGAAAATGACGTACAAATTATTGCATTTTTTTAGCCCAAGTCAGGGCTTATGCACCCGTCATGTCATGGTCGTCTGTCTGTCTAGATCACGCTCGTAAAACTTGACTCGGATAAATAATCGTGGGTTTCTTACAGGGAATTTACGCCCTTCTCGTGGAAGCCGCCTTGGGTGGCATCCGTGGTCAAGTGGTTGACACCCTGAGTCACGACGTGCTGGAGGGGGCATTGATGTCGCGGGTGAATAGCAGAGGTGATGATGACGGTCTCTCTCCACTATTTTGGTTCACATCGAGACAGGGAGAGTTTTGGAGGCTACTTCCGCCTGGGAGGCATACCTTGCAGGTGCAGTACAAATTTTATATATTTTTGCGTTGCCTTATTTCATTTACTTACAATTCCTAATGTAGGTCACATTAGACGGGTATCGCCCTACAAGGGTGCAAGTTAACGTTGGCGACGAGCCCACGCTGGTCAATATTCACTTAATGCCGATCAGTCTGCCCTCAACCACGACACCAAGTACCACTACTAGCACTACTACCACTCCCCTGGTTTCATCGACCTCAAGTGCCACAACTCCAGCGGAGGAACAAAATTCATCCCCGACACTAAACCTTCCAACACTACAGAGTAACAGCAGTACGACAAATACGACAAATAAGAAAGTGAAAGTCGTCCTAGATGGAGATTGGGGGCCCAAAATGCAAGGATTTCATCGAGGTTTGAGCATCATGTTGGCCGAGCTGTCGTCAAGGTCGTCCTCTTCGTGCAGGAAACCCACACCGCCGCCCAGATTCGTTTCGATCCCACTTTTCCTTCTCCTCTACGTTTCCTCATATTTTATTCAGCATCAAATTTATTGAACTTTAAGAGGCCGTATACAGTAATTAAAGGTGATGGGCTAAATAATCTGTTTAGCATTAATTAACTACATGTTTTTACACACAGAGGCCAGTTTTGCATAGACTTTGGCAGTATTACATAAGTGCATCAACACGCCGTGTCGATGATTATAATAATAACAATCAAGTTGCTAACTTACAACTAATTTGAACATGATTCGTTACTCTGCTATTATATATTGAACAGCGTCGCTATTTTTAAAAAATGAGCTAATTATTATTGCCATGTTAAAGCTGTAAGATTTCGATGCTTGGTTGGATTATAATGTCTGATAAATAATCCATTGTACATAATAATCATTTTTTGGAATGAAATTCTTGGATAAGCTGAAACTTATCAAAGTCGTCTAAATTGTATGTATTCGACTAGAACTTAGAATGTTATATTGTTATTAACGTAGGTCTGGATGACTTGTCACTAAAATAGTCAAAATCAACACATTTTAATCATTCCTGGGCCCTGGGAATTTATTTAAAAATTCCAGACGACTAATTTATAGTCAGGAAGTTGATTAATAGAATGGTGGTAAGGTTTTTAAGCCAGCTTCGATGAGTGACTATTTTTCTGAAGGCTTCTTAAAATTGAGATCTCCTCCTTCAATAATTTTCATAGTCTGGAGTCTATATTTTTCTTAATTGGCAATGACCTGCTCTACAAATTCGGCGTTAAAAATTTTAAAACAAATTTCTAAAGCCGAGAAATGACCAAAAATGTGCTGATTTTTACTATTTTGATGATACGTCCTACGTTAATAATGTAGTCGTCGTTGTCTTTAAATGTCAATGGACTCGCCACGATTCTGCGGCTGACCGGCGGCACGGAGCTTTGCTTCCATTTTTGAAATCATTTGTTGCATCCGCTTAATCTGGGGGAGAGTTTATTAACATCAATTAATATTATGAATCATAGATTACACAAAATACTTCTTATGATATTGAACTTACTTCCGCCTCCTTCTGTAATAACATGTCTTGCTGTTGGGCCACATCGGAAGAAGATTCTCTCTTCAATTTGTTTCGTTCCTTGTTGTGTGGATTTTGTGAAATTTGAGCGATTGCTCTCGCCCTGAAATTTTCGTAGTGTAATTCTTGCGTTGTTTCTTTCAAGTCATGCATGTGAGATTGGATGAGCATTGTACGCAGTTTGACAAAGTCGCTGTGGTTGGGATTTTCGACTGAAATGTCAAGTAAATAAATGCATAAATGTCAACGTTGTATATACAGTCTAGGAATCTGGTGAATTCACCACTGATTCAAAGACTGTCATATAAAATACCTAACACTGCCCGGGTAGTTTAGTGTATGTCTATGTACACCCGGGTAGTCGTGTACACAAACAAAATATGCATGTAATAGTAATGGGTTTTTCCACCTTCGACTATTCCCCAGGGGTAGACGCGTCCTCTGAACCTTTTTCCAGCAACTTCAACAAACGTATCGCTCGACGCCACTGCGAATGGAATTGCCGCTTTGAGTTCGCGATCTTGCTTTTTGAATTCCTCGTCTTCCTCTTCATCACAGTCGGGAAATTGGTAAATCTATTTTCAAATATCAGAAATTTTAACTTTTAAAAAGAATCGGATCGTGATTAAAAAATAAAATGTACCTGAATATGGTTAGATTTCAAATCTTCTAAAATCGAATCTTTTAACGTCCTCACTTCCGTTGGGGTTAATATGTCTGATTTTCCAATGACGGGAATTATGTTGACTCGGGTTTGTAACGTCTTTAAGGATTGGATATCCAGTTGGCGTAATCTGGAGTTAAGAATTGGATTAACTTTGCATAATTTCATTAAATAAAATATTTAGCTCCAAGGATAAGGAACAAAATAGGATATACATACCCTCGTCCATACGACGGGATAAAGTAGAGACAACAATGGACCCGCCCGTCCTGAATGTGCTTCCGGTTAAGACCACTTTCTGCTTGGAAGTATTGGTGAAACTGGTCGTCAATGTAGTCGACACATGTTTTCCAACTCTCCTCACAATTTATGGAGTCCCCAAAGCCTACATTTTATAAAGATGGTACAAATTTCTTTAATAAATATGCCTGTGCCGAAATAGTTTAGATAAGCAGATTATAAATCCCTTCATACTAACCTGGCGTGTCCACCACCGTGAGACGCAACTTGACTCCCCTCTCTTCAATCTCGATCGTATGCTGTTGAATTGAAGTCGTCTTTTTGATGAGGTCTACAAAATATTTAAAAGCGTTAGTTTTTCATAGATAAGAACAGTGTTTCGTTTATTGGGGGTTTGCCACATTTCTTGCACTGTAAAGCAGGAATCGCAAGAAATGCCAGGTGCAAGAAAGTGCAAGAAATATGCGCTATCTAGCCACGCGCCGTATGAAGTATAGCGGGCGTCGTTTCTTGCGCCTGTGATTGCAAAACACTGGATAAGAATTTATTGAATTTAAACTCGATAGCTCACCCGACACGGTGGGAAGTTTCCTATCATTATAGAAATCCGCCAGAAACAGGCTGTTGATAAGTGTCGATTTTCCCAGCCCCGACTCTCCCACGACCATGAGGGTAAAATCGAACCCCTTCTTCACCGACTTCCTGTGAACTTGCTCCGGCAACGTGGCGAATCCGATCAGCCGCTCGTTCTCTTTTCCTACACGAGGCACTAGTAAAGAAATGAGAAGTCGTATTAGTGACATGCAGAATGTTCCTCTACAAAGATATGAGAATCCAGAGGAGCATGATGAGGATTATAGTTATGATGATGAGGCAGCTTTTTATGATAATCAACATTTAACAGACTTGGAGTTGTTAATGCAATGGATTGCTCACGAGTACCGTATTAAGGTTATTATTACTGTTAACCCAGAGGAAGTAGAGGATCAATAAATTAATTTAACAACCTACATGTTTTAGCTCGATATGCATCCGAGAATTTAAACTCTGCTGGCGGACATGACAAACAGAACACGTCCGGAACGGAGTCACCCCCTCCCAGATTTTGGGCACTTTTACTCGAAACGTTCGACAAATTCGTGACGGATGGGTGGCTGGGTGGGTACTGTTGCAACCGCTGAGCTGGTTGGTAGTACTGGTGCCGAGATTCGTACGTGTTTAAGGTTTTGGGGGGAAGTTGTGCCGTGAGGGGTTGCAGTGGCTGATTCGTCGTCGTGGTGGCATTTTGGGGTTGTCGCGTGTACGCAGAATATGGCGTGGATGACGTGAGACTCGAGTAGGAGGAGGATTTACTTCCAGCCCCACTGGAAATGGTGGGATTGTTCGTGGGCATCATGAGGGTGGGGTAGACGGGGGTGTAACGGGTTGGTTTGTGCGGAAGAGACGGCATGCCAAGCCCGGTGGGATTGGAATTCGTACTATTCGCAGGGCCTGCCGCCTTGCCCTGCAGATTTAAAGTGGCAGGACGGTCAGTGGACACGGTGGGGCCGGAACTGCTAAAAGGGGGTCGGTGGTGGTAGGGTTGGGCATAGTTGGAACTGTGACTGTGCGACATTCTGAGTAATGTGATCTGACCCTAGTTTGCCACCAGACTGAGACGCAGCGTCGGGAAAATTCGCATTTTATTATTTTTCATGATGAGATGAGAGAATGATGACGGGAGGTGGATGCGGATGAGTTATGAACTTTTCGAGGCGACCCATTAATTTGCATAGTATGAGACTACCAAAACTATATCCGACCAACCAGGCATACATAAATAAATGTCAGAGATTGACATTTGAAACTATTCTCTCGCTACATGGACTTGATCCGGCTCTTGGAAATTGAAGCTTACTTGCACGCACAAAAGATGCACATATTATTACATTTGCATATCGGATATACGTGTAAATGAACCTCCACCACCAACCACGCTCCCTGATTTTGGTCAGCAGTGTGTAAAGCAATATATCTCCAACAATGAAAATGAAACAACATCATTTACAGTTTGAGTGGGATCCACCCATTCCCAAATTGGACGTGGTGCAATTATGCATCCTATAAAAGAACACGAGTGAAAAAAGAATAATAATTGTAAACCTACAAAGTCCGATCCAAAAGAGAAAGAAGGCACTGTGCAATGCAATTAATATTAAGATTGTATCATCCGCACGATCGTTTCCTTGTCAGTGCAAGATTAATAATGTGTGCGCATAGTAAATTTACCATTCTTACGGACTTTGTTAATATGCAAATGGCGATGAGATTATCTTGTGTCATGTTCAGTTCGTAAAGTTAAGCCACCCGATTCCGTCTCAAGTTATTGCGTATAATATTCTCCGTACCACAGTTTTTGATAGAAAATTGGACAAAAATTGGGTTTTTACCTGATCCAGAGGCCGACATTTTGATCACATTTAAACTCCTTGAATCAAATTCACTACACAAATCCCCCACTTGTATTTTTGAATCTTCTTCTTCTCAAGCGACTAGTTTTGAACTGAAAGACAAAAATGCGTCCATATGTAAATAAACGATGTAACCAACAGACCACCGACCAGCCAGTTACCAACCAAGCAACGATGTTTATTAAAACGAAACAATAACAAAATGGTCAAATTACACACAAGTATCAAAGAAATGGTTTCAGAGAGAGTCAGTTTCATTTCAATCCGTTCCATTTCCACGGCATGACAAATTAAATGCCTGACTGCGAGAAAATCATAACGCAAAAGTTGCACGGGATTTATTCAAAGAATAAAAAACAGAGTTGTGTAATAATGCTCGACTTGATTGGAAAAGAGCCATAAAAAATTATAGACCAGACCACTTAAATATTAACCCTTTTACTTATTAGTGGAGTTTGTACATGAACTTGTGCTGGCTCGTTACACGAAGAGGGTTGATTTGTTTTCACTACTTTTTCACATGCAATACACAACTTTTTTGTGTACATTTTATATGAATGAGAAAGAAACATTCGAATCTAATTCTTTAAAATATTTATTTACTTACCAAAGATTATTCAGTACGATATCCACTTTGAGAATAATATTGCATGTACCAGTGCCCGGCTGAGTTTTGTATTTACTTTAGTTATGTCTTTATTTATATAATTATCTTTATACGTAAAACAAACTATAAATATTATTGAGCTGATTTATTATCCGACAGTCAGAGAGAAGGATTAATAATAATACGAGAAATCTGAGCCTGACGTGATTTATTTGACAACATTTCTTGAGCAGTTACATACAGTTGTTTGTTATATAGTTACACCACACAATTTAGGTAATAACTTGGCTAGTATTACTACCAGTCCAGTTATAAATTATTATATTCCAGTATGTGTATGTTAACACCATTGTTTCATTTTCTGTGTAAATACACTGCCTGCCTGAAAAGTGCATTCTTGACTTTTCGTTTGTTTGTATTGATGATTCACCCTTCTTTCTGTATTTGTGTATATCAAATATATTCGTGGACTGGAGGGACTTATGCAACGCACACCAATAATATTATTGTTATGGACGGACGGAAAGTCCATATCGATCCGATTTCCCTGCTTTTCTGAAGAAATTAAGGAAGTGAAACGGAACCTGGGTTGGAAAAGGGGGAGATTTTTACACAAGCCAGAGTCCCACTGACTTGTTCCTACTTTTCCATGCGATTCAGAATTCAGATTCATGTACATACATGCAAACCAACGTTTTAATTTCTCCATTAATGTTCACAATTTTACATTTTTTTATTCTCGCTTTTACTTTTTCTCCAACAATTTACACACACACACGCTGTATGTAAATGTGGATATGTAAACATATATAAACAAAATATATAAATTCAGTCTGTATAGTAAAAAAAAACTTGCTAAAATATTTAACTTGACACAAACTATATGTATATGATTACAAGGAATTTACATGGATGACAATTAAACTATTATGTAATACACAACATATTTGATTAGGTATTTACGATTGATTAAGTAAGTAATTAATTAATTGGTATGCAAATTAAGCCGGGAGACCGTTAATTGTAACCTGGAGGGGTTGTGAGATAAGATCCGGCGTAATAATTTTATGTTGTCTCTGTCCCCCGTAAATGTCGGGGTGGTGATGGTGGCGATGCGGCGTCATGTCGTGATGGGTGGAAGAATTGTGTTTCTTATTTCTCGGCGGAGGCACGGGACCGGATGTGGTTGAGGAGGAGTTAAAAGTGGATGTGGGGTATGTCATGTGAGGATCGCCACCATAATTTGAAATATTTTGCGAATCCCGACCCCATTTTGGGTTAAATTTTCGCCTCGTTTCGCGTAAAAATAGGATAATCTCTCCCCGATAAAACCACCAGAGGACGAAACTGGCCACCGCGGTGAAGAAGAGGATGAGGATAAAGGCCAGAATGAAGGGCCAAACTTGTCCGGAGGATTGAGTATCTTGATCGGTAGGATATTCTGCAGGGTGCTGAGTAGTGTTCGATTTCGGTGTGGGAGGTTGACTCTCGAGTTTGTCTGGAAGAAGAATAAAAAAATAATTATATTGTACCCTTTTTAACGTAGGACTTGATGAATCATCACCAAAATCGTCGAAGTTAACATATTTTAATCATTTCTCGGCGTTAGAAGTTTATTTTAAAATTTTGGACGACAAATTTTTAGTTAGTAAGTTGATTAATAGAATAGGAATGAGTTTTTAAGCCATTTTAAATGAGTTCCAGTTTTTCTGAGGGCTTCTTCAATTCGAGATCTCTACTTTGAAAAAGTGTCAAAATTTGAAGTACATATTTTATTTAAATTGGTAACGATCTGCCCTACAAATTCGTCGTCCAGACTTGTAAAATAAATTCCCAGAGCGGAGATGTGATTAAAAATGTGCTGATTTTGGCGATGAGTCATGGAATCATAAAAATGTTTTGACAACATGTTGTCAATTCTGTTTGCATATGTACCTTCAGTAAATTCTGGCTCCTCTGCCGACGCGTAGCCCTTATCATCATAAACCGCAACGTCCGAACAGGCTCGAAACTCTTCTTGTGGTCCACACCCGATCCCTTCCGGTGATCCGTCGGCACATGGGCCTCCTGCGTTTTAATATGCAATTTCTACATAAAAAATTTGGTCCTAAATTTGTAATGATTTATCTTAAATACTGACCCCAACTATTGGCCGCGACATATCTCCACTGTAAAACACATTGCGTACATGTCAACCCCTTTGGCAGGAGGAAACGTGATTCAAAAACCTTTGTCCCTTCGCTAGGATAATACCTGTTTAAACACAACACAACATTGTCCGTTAAAATTTAGTAAAATTGTTCACCAAAATGGTGCACACGTTTTTTAACAGGCAATTAAATTCTTCCTTGTACAAAAGCAGAGGAGACACAAAAGAGAAACAAGAATAAAAAGGAGAAGAAGAAACGACCTTCCTTCCAGGAATGGATGGCCACATTGTAACAATTAGAATTGGACAACAATGGAATTTAGAAAGAAAATAATCTACCACGAGGAGAGCCCAATTTTAATACAATTTATGCACTCACCTGGGTCCCTCACTGTTTGATTGTTGGAGTAAATAATTGTCCAGACACTTCTGACTAACAACCTTTTTAGGATTATTATTTGGACAGAGTCTGAACTCAAAGTAACCTTTGTGGTTGGCAGTTAACTCCACTTTTAACCGAATTATCGAGTTCGTCCGGTACTTTCGGACTATAATCCCCTACACATACGACAAAATAATGGTCATGTATGTAGTAATAATTAGGTTTGCGAAATATGTAAATAAGTGGTGACGTGCAATACCTGAGCATAAGGGCCGCCAGCCTCGTTGGGTTTAGGTCCGTCGAAGGGGTCACCTAAAAATATTAGTGAAAAAAAACAGCAAAATTTTAGTTACACACAAATTCCTCCTCCCTGATGAGATGAGATGGAAAAAAATACATTTAATTTCTCTTCACTCACCACAAACCCCACATTTTCCACGGTTCTTTTGATGTTGTCGTGCAAATCCACCACAGTACAATTCATGATCATTATAGTTTGCGGTGGTGTTGAAACCGTATCTGTAAAAATAAATGCAAACAATGGATCAAAAATCAGAGTATTATTTATTGTTATCTTCTCGAAAGCTGTATATATAGTAGCAGTGGCCGCGGAAGCTGTGGGGACATCGGGGGACATTAACATTTTAGGATAGGGGAGGGTGGGGTTCATATGGCATGGGCAGATGGTGGGGACATCGAATAACCGTGGGGACATTGTCCCTCCGTCCCCACGCTTTCGCGACCACTGTATAAAAAAATATGTAGGGGGAAGAATATCATTCAGTCCTCCCGTCTCAAGCAAATAGGTGGTCGTGGTCATCATAAGAGTATCGTGAATTATTTGTGCAACTAATTTTCTAAACAATTCAACAATAAATTGCATGAAATAAAAGTCATATTGTAATATGACTTTACATAATATTTATAAATAACCGTGCAAATTTATTTATGGTTTTGATTAGTAATTGAATGCAAAAAACAAATATGATAGTGACTTTGATCGAGTTAGTGATGATAAAATTCTAATTTTTAAACAATTCAACAATAAATTGCACCTAATAAAGTTCATATTGTAACGTGATTTTGCATAATACTTGTGTGCAAATGATGCAAATTTATGGTTTTGATTAATAAATCGATTCTAAAAACAAATACGATAATGACTTTGACGATAAAATTTTAGAATTGCATGCCTGAGAAGAAAAGCGGTGTCTTTATCGCCCATCTTATTCATTGAAATGCAAAAAAGCGCTCTCGCGGGTGTGGCTCAATGTCAGGCTTATATCCATTTACTATTGAAAATATTGTAAAAAATTACCACCACCGCAAATTACTTGGGTGGGGGACACGACTCCAAAGGATTTCCGAGATTTGCAAGATTATTGCCAACCAAGCAACAATTTTACTATTTGTTTGTTCATGAGAGATGAGATTTACGATTTGGTTTATTGCTGTCAGACTAAAATTGCACACTTTCCGAGAGCTCTATTATGTCACATAGTACACAAATAAAAATTAAAATTAAGCCGACATCCTGTCTTTTCTTAGCAAAGGTTACGAACCATTTTGTAATTAGATTCGAGATCTCTGCTTGATTTAATAGCGGTTCATGGTGCAATCAAGCCTCAAACATAAACAACCCCATTTTACTGGCAAAAAAGGACGATGAGAATAAAGATAGGATGACAAACTACACAACTAATCGCTGTTATGTTAGTTAAAAAAATAGTTGTTGGTTAAATAATAAAAAGGATGTTGAGGTGACACAGGAGTGTCATGTCAATCTCGTTTCGTAAATATAAACACAAATTCAAGACGACGGTTAAACAAATTGGCCTTTTTTATTATTATTTTATTACGGCTTTCATGTACAGGGTTTCGTACCTTTCGGGTTTGGTACATTTCTTGCACTGCAACGCAAGGTGCAAGAAACTGCAAGAAAGTGCAAGAAATATGCGCCATATGGGGCGTAGTTTCTTACGCTTTGCATTTCTTGCAAGTCAAAATACCTGCAAAAAACCACTTTCTTGCCGTTATTTTTTGCAAGTGGTTACTTGCACCCGAAACCCTGTTCATGTGATTGCGATGTGATGGTTCAAATCTAGGATTGTGTAACATTTTACAACAATAGTTGAGAGAGTGGTATGGTATTAATGCCGGTGTCATGTCGTCGTGTGGTGGTTGGGATGTTGTGATTTGAACTGATTTGTTGTACTTATGACATGACTACAATTCATGAGAAGTAAAAAAGAATGAGAAATTGAACCGTTGTAGACAAACAATTGGTGTGAAAGTGTGTGTGAATAGTAATCCATACATATTTCATACGTGGTGTGACTGATGGAAATAAAGGAACGGTTGGGAAAGTTGTGGTGTGGTCATTTTTTTGTGCTCACCTCCACATCGAAGATCGGGACGGAGGTTCGATAAGCCTCCCATGGCTGGACACGCTGTGGGGGCAGGACGCCAAGAAGAGGAACGTGAAGAGGGAGACGCTCCCCCAAAATGTGAAAATGAGATGATGGACTAGGTCACTTTTTCGAGGATGAGATGTCCCCATTACAATTTTAGGCTCCATTTTTGTCACTTTTTAAAATATGTCGTCGTCAACTTTGATGTACGTAAACAAAACACGAGTTATTTATCACTGGAGGTCATGTTCGCATTCGCGAGTGGAAATTGGACACTGAATTTTATACAAGCGAGGAGGCATGCTTGACGGGGGTAGAAATTTGATCGGTATTCGAGTAATAGTTTTTTTTTACATTCTTTTCACTTATCGGAATAACTTTTTATAAAATGATTATCACTTTCGGGCCGGGTTCCATTCAACTCCAAATTCCAATCGTAACCTGAAAATTAGCAAAAACAGGACCAAATTAAGAGTTATTTTCAAGCATAATGTTTTAAAAAAATACGCACTGGTATACGCACTGGCACTGGGCCTTGAGATTCTACACATAAATTCATACTGCTATAGGTTTGTATGTAAAGTATAGCTAAATATTTACTCAAGATAACATATTATCAACATTACTATTTATTACTTGTTATTCTTAGCTAAACATAACTATGCAATTACTTAACTCCATTAAAAAAATACATAATTACCGATCGAACTAGTAAATCCACTTATTTGATTTACCTTTTACATATTACAATGGAATTCATTCTCACTCATTCATAAATAATTCCAAATTACAGTCGAAAAGTCAGTAAAGGAAAAAACTTTCTAATAATAGTGCAAAGTAAAACACGGCGAAGAAATAAAAACTGCGTGTGTAGCATTAAATATTGAGGAATGGCATGCATTGTTTGTAATGCACACCTTAAGAATAATAAGGATCGATACAATGCGTTGCATTCCGTCTCAAATCCTGTCTCAAATTTCAGTGGTAATATAATAATAATGTAATTCTAAACTAGAAACGTAACTAATTGCCTGCACTTCCTGAAGCGATCGTTACATGTGATCAGTGATCATGAAAAAGTCTACTTTTAGCAGTTTTCCGTCATATTTTGCAATTCTGCATCACTTCTTTCTAACCAACTCGGAAAGGATGTCCTGCTTGGCTGGTTAAATGTACAATTTTTAGCTCAAATTATTTAAAATAAATGCGAAAAAATTTAGCCCTAATAAATCTCAAATCTTCAACTTCTTACCGTGAAAAGGAGAAGTATTTGATATTATTTTGACACAAGTATCTCAACCAAGAAAAAAATGACATGAATTCCATCACTCAAAAACTTGTCGATGAAAAACTGTCTCAAAAAAATGACTTGGTGTTTAGAACCGGAAAAAACGCGTGTATGGTGTTCAGCAAAGAAAAATGCTCAATCTTCTCATTTCAAAAGTACACAATTTTAGCACAAATTATTACTTTTTAATTTGAAAAAATTTAGCCGTAATAAATCTTAAACTTTAAGAGTCTGTAACTTCTTACCGTGAAAAGCACTTCTGACGCGGTATTATTTTGACACAATTATCTCAACCAAGAAAGAAATGACACGAATTCCATCAAACTTGTCGAAGAAAAAGTGTCTCAAAAATGACTTGGTGTTTTTACACCCGGAAAAATGTGTGGTTTTTGAGCAGAGAAAATGGTCAATCTTCTCATTTCAAAGTCCTACCATAAACTGACCACCCGATAATAATAATATTTTACTTTGTCGTCACAACTTACATATTTTTCAGTCCCTTGTCCTACATCCTCCCAGACAACGTGTATCCGATCATGCACAACGTGTACATTTACGGAAGGGAACAAATAACAATGAAAACTCGACAATGACAGCTCACCGTGGAAGAAGGTGAGCACAAAATTTGGGTGGAATATTTGGGTTTATTTTTATTTTTGGTGGATTTACAATGGAAACTTTTCACATGTACGCACGTTACCTGTCTTACATGTCAGCAGGATTTAGGTTATTACTTCGCAAGAACGAGTCTGTCTTTAATCGTCACCACGATTGAGTGTTTGACTTTGACATAAGTTTTGGCTTACAAAAATCAACTTCCGAGATTCAAAGAATGTCCGAAAAAGACTGCATGAAGCATGAGTGATCGACCACCTCGGACATTTTCCTTTCTTACAAAATCGTGTCCAATACATGTGTACATATGTACAAGCATACATAATGGAGGTCTCTCAGCGTATGCGATCAGATTTTGGGTCAGACTAGTGTCAATTGGTCACAAAGTTAATTAGTATGAAATTTTCGAAAGACACAATCTCCCAATGGGCACATTTAGCGAAGATATTTGCATCCGAAGAGAAAAAGCTTCCTAAAGTTGACAAATTTTACACTTTCCAAATTTATTGCGCGTTTTGTCCTCTTCCGATGCAAATATTTTCGCCAAACGTGTCCATTAGTAGATCGTGTCTGTTGCAAATTTCATACTAATTAAATTTGTGATCGATTGACATCAGTTTTGCTCAAAATCTGAGTGCATTACGCTGGGAGACCTCCATGCTTCGTTTATACTTACAAGTATTCTTGTAAGACAAAGTGAGACGTGTGTATAGCGATTCTGCCCTAGTGACCATTTGTGTTGCGATGAGAATAATACAAAAATAACATGCATGATCAGACTGCACATATAAATCCACAGTGTATACAACTTCTTATTTTAAGCCCATATGCTTCTCTTACTGCTTTGATTTCATTCATTTATTTATGAAGGTGGAGAATAATGGATCGAATCCAACTCGGCTAATGCAAGGTGAACGAATGCAAGTACACCAACCAATAAAGACCTCGAGCTCGACTTTGCCTCCTAATGAATGGAAGCAAGCAAGTAAAGGGAAGGAATTTAGGGTATTTTATTTCAAAGTGCAGTACGTGCTCTATTTTTTTAGAAGACCAATTTACTTACTTTCTGCACTCAAATTTTTTTTTGTAGAAAAAACGTAAGTGGTTTAAGAGCTGAAGTCAAAAGAAATCATAAACGAATGAAAGGAACGAATTGTTGGATTCCTGTCAAATTTGTGGTGCGACCCAAGCGCAAATCGGATAAGGGTTTAAATACGTTCCAATAAATGGAAATGACAAGGCGCATTTACATACAAGTTATTGAGGGATATAAAAAAAAATGTGGAAATTCACTTCTTCGTCGGTGCCACGCAGTCTGAAAGTTGAAGTTGAACTTTAGCAAATACATAAAAAAGAGTTCATTTAACTCTTTTGTTAAATGTTGTCCACACCTTTATTAACAGGCAGTAGCAACAGCATCAATAAAAGCACGATGGGTAGCCAGTGTTTCGTTTTGTACGTTCCAAAAGCGTGAAAATCTTTTCAAAGTGTCCAAAGCGTTCAATATTTGAAAAATGAGGCAGCATGTTACAAGTTCTTTTTTAACGGCTTGGTGTGTAATACCACGAAATTTGGGAAAACTTTGGTTTTCATGTTTTCATATGAGAATTTCTCATTGAGAAATTAAGATATTTTTTAAACCAGACCTATTACACAACAAAATGGTTAAAATTATTGGGAGATTACATACATACACGTCAAAGGATTATCGAAATTTTGCCTCATTTTCTATTTTGGCCACTTTAGGACATTTCCAACGTCAATTCGGTGTCCAAAACTGGTTAAAACCCGTTTTGGACGGCTGTTTTGGTTGTGTGTTAAAACCACTCGTAAACCCTGTAGGTAGCGATACGTGAGAGGATAAAGATTGGAATTTATCACGTCTATAAAACAGTTTATATATTTTTCTCAACCTTCTCTTCTCCTCATTCTCAAGTCGGCTTCAATTAAAATCCCTTCACAATTGTCTTCCTCTTCTTTCTTGAATGGACAAAAAAGTGAAAAAAAGTCGTCACAAAAGTCTCTAAAATTGGGGAGACCATTTGGGAATGGAATTCCACTCACTCCTCCTTCCTTTGAAAATGAATTAAACGATCATCATCATGACCAAAATGATGACGGGCTGAAAAGTTGAGATGTTTTCATCTTCTTAGGACTGAATTCTTCATTTGTAGGATTAAGATTGGAATTGGATAATGTGACCAAGTTTTTCTAAGCAGATTATTGCACATGCATGATGATGGGTGAAATGAATATAGGCAGATGTGCGTGTAATTAATCGTAAGATGACACAACACATTGAAAATAAAAATACTTCCCAATTTGTACATGTTTTTCTTGCTCATTTTTTGGATAGGGTTGTTTTTTTTACCAAATTCAATTTTACATTACCTGCAAAATAAAACGCATGCAGCAATACGGCACAAAAACACCCCACCGAGTTTCAAATAAAAGTAACCTGTTCGCGTGTGAAAAAAATGACACGTAAATAAATGCGACACGCAAAGCTATCAACGCATGAAGATGATGAAATGTCGGAGTGGCGCAGCGTGAGAAAAACGTAAACTTTTCCTGGATGGATTGGATACATTGGATACATCTCTCAATACGAATTGCGTACAGGTCTTGCCGTTGTTTTTTATCGGACGAGGAAGACAATGCCCTCAATGAGATTAAAGTGAATCAGATTAAATTAAATGAAATTGGTGTGGGGATCTCTTTTCGCGATTTTGGAGGTGCGAATCACCATTCATTTTATCTAGAGCAGAGTGAATTCTGGTAGTAAAAGTGTTTTCATCTCGTTCTTTATACTATTGAGGCCGACTCACTACTTAAATAAAGTCCAACCTCGTAATGTACTTATGTGAAGTTGGTATATTTAGGATATTTTTTGCCAAGGAGCGACCATGATGCAGGACCGCAAATTTTCACGAGGAGAGAAACTACTCTGCTCGTGTATTTACTAATAATGATGCGACATGTTTTTATTTTTAATGATTTTCATTCATAATTTGACCACTTGTGAGTTGTTGATGTGCTTTATTCTGATGATGATACACACACAAACACAAACCACGACGAAATAAACCTCGTACGAACAGTAGTCCATAAGCCACGAAGAAATGCCATTATAACAATATTTTCCTAGTCCTCCGATGGGTTTCAGACACACATGCAAAACCTTATCATCATTATCATCCTCATTACTATTTATTTTATGACAGAAGAAGACGAACAAGGGTACAAAAAATTCCTGTACAAAGCTTATCATCATCTTTGAATATGCATTCATGTCGCATACAAAAATAATAAAGGGCACGATTCTTGATGAGATTTCCATTCAAGCGTGCCCAAGATTAATCAAAGTAATGAAATAATAATTATGAGAAGAAATAAGAAGCAAATAAATAAATAAATAAATAGGAAAGCGCTCATCCGCACAAATTCAGAAGAAGAAGCAGAAGAACGCAACTCTATTTCCGATGTGTACAACACACATTTCTTATTTTCTTCCCATGCGCATACCTACAACCAAATTATAAAATTAATTAGTTGAATCCTTGAGTTGATTGTTTTAAGTTCAAGAGCTGCAGCCATTACGACTCGTAATTTACGAGTAATAAGTAAGATATCACGATAAACTTGAGAGTTTAATTTGAGAAAAATGCAAAACTTCCTTCATTCCAATCCTCATCATTCAAATCCTCATCACTTAAAAAGTGAGAGGTAACAAGTGCAAGAAAATTATTTCGGTAAATTACTCATTGTCAATTTACTCTTCTTCTGAACGAAACAGAAATGAAATCCTGTTTGTGAATTGCGTGCAGGATAAAAGAACTCCACTTGTTTTAAATCATGACAAATTGTTTCTGTCCGGATTGAATTGAATTGTGGAATACAGAAAATTGCACTTTTACTTTTTTTTACCACTTTATTTCCGACGTCTTGACTAATTCCAAGTGTTTAAAGGAAAAACTCAATGCTGTCATGATAATAGAGGAGTCGATCAATAGTGCAGCGTATTTCATCACTTTTTGACACTGTATTAAAAAAAAGAAGAGAGAGAGAGATCAAATGCAGCCATGCAAACTCAGTGGCCGCGGAAGCGTGGGGACAGAGGGACAATGACCCCACGGTTTTCGATGCCCATCTTATAGATAAGCCCCTCCCTCCTAAATGTTAATATCCTCAGAAGTCCCCCCGTCTTCCGCGACCAATGCTTATCGTACATAAGTGTAAATGTGCCATATCCGATTTCTTGTTCTTCCTTTGCAGATGAAGTTGGATTACATACATAAATAAAGTGCTCAAATAATTGGTGAAGAATGACGGCAAAATAAGAGAGAGGCAGTAAATCAAATGAGTTCGAGTTGAATAATGCAGAAAAAGTTGGAACAAGAGAACAATGCGAAACTTTACATGGTTGGGAAGGAAGAAGAAGACGAAGAATGATGATAAGTGAGCAGATAAAGATCACTTTGTGTGTGCGCAATGTCTATTTTAGGCATATTATTTCATGGATGCAGGAGCAGGTGGCATGAAAAATGTTCCTTTTTAAATATAAATAAATACTACGTAATACTTACTTGGCTAAGAACAAGGACATTTTTTCTTGCTTTTCTTGTTCTGACCACGGCACAATTATTTATCTGATAGAAATGTATGTACTGCATTTCCTTGCAAGAATAGCTTTGCTTGGTTTGGTTGGAGGTGCAACGACTGGAGCGAATTCATGGTCAGAACAAACTGTAAAATTCACATGCCCTCGTGTGCAAGGAGTTTATGTATTATCATGGAGTACGAGAAGTAGGGTTTCGCCGTGGTGTGGTTTTAACCAATGTCAAAACAGCAATTCAAAACGGGTTTTAACCCGTTTTGGATACCGAATTTTGGATGTCCAAAATGTCAAAAGTGTCCTAAATAGAAAATGGGGCGAAATGTTTCAAGTTCTTCAAAACTAATAGGAGATTACATATCTTCACAGATTTGCAAAAAAAGTCGTTAATAAAGAACTTGCTACATTTTTAAATGTTCAACGCTCTTGGATGTTTTGGACGTCCAAAATTATTTTTCACAGTTTTAGACGCTTTAGGACGCTTTAGTCCAGTCTAACCAACCAGTAGTTTTGGGCGTGCAAAACGAAACACTGTACAAGTAAACGAAATGCATGCATAATATCTATGAAGTACTCTAGCATGCTGCTGGGCGTTGTTTATTTGTTAGGGTAGATTTGTGATGGATGGGAGATGATATTGGGTGGCAAACAAAGTTTGTCAAACCGGTAGTAATACATACAGAGCCATCCTTGAACCTTTGAACCTTTGACTCCGAAGTTGGTGATCGTAGTCATCGTGGATTCAGTTGCTCTAGAATTTTAAATAAATAATAGGAACCAAAACTACGCTGCAACTGAAACCAACCCTTCTCTGACCTTGTGGTATCTCTGGTGAGAAGTAGTGAACCCATTAGAAATATGGTGCATGCACTCACAATAAATAAGCGTCGTGATCTCATTTCCCATTCACCGTCACCAATCATCGTCTCATCAAGCATCTTATAGCATAATGTACACTACACGAATGCAGATTAAGAGGTATACATACATACTCGTGCTATCTATCTTTATGCCGACCAATATTTTGTATATACGGTCTGATTTTGTACCTCAAACTCAATTTTGACACAAAATAAGCAGAAATATACTTACTTGGTCATGAATCATCCAGTTGGCGTCGTCACTTTTGCATAAATTCCCTGGACTTCGTAAATTACCGTTTTCGTATGTATAACAGTAGCAAAAAAAAAGCGTGTAACAACTCCACGCGTCAAACTTCAATATTAACGGTACCAACTGGTCTCATTCGATATTCGGGTCTCGTTCACACGCACGACGCGAATTATAACTGGATCGTCAACTCCGTCAAGTCAGCAACGCTTTAATTGCAACGCACAAATATACACGCACTTTTATTTTATTGTTCTAGTCTTATTCGGTCAGGTATTGAACTCTGCAAAGTTATGGTTTTACCAACGCGGCAGCAGCGCCCTGCGTCAAACGTGCGTTTTCCTCCACCATTTCTGTCCGACTGCTTCGAGAGAGATGCAGACGTCGAAGTCTAAGTTATTCACTGCAAAGTAAAGTGCATCGCGTATAAAAACAACAATGCAATGTAAATCTGACGCCAATAACAATGTGGATGGGTGGGTTAGACGGTGAGTGAGGTGCTTGTTTGCTGCTTGGTTAGTGCATATTGTTGCATTTGTGGTGATCTCTGTGCTAAAAGTTGAAGCAAAGTAAAGTACAAAGGGCTGTTGGCGTGGTTTCTTAAGATGAGATAGATTCAACCCTTTCTAGGGCATGCAATACCGGGGTTGGTTTCCAAAACCGGTATTCGGTATTTTCGGTATTGGGACCTTCGGTAATACCGGTATTACCGACACCATATGTTAAATATGTATTACATAAGCTATGGAAAATACGAGGCAATAAATACATAGTAAAAACTCTGCAAGGCATTAAATGCTGATGTGTAATAAATATCACTAAAATGAACATTCTTCAAATCACTAAGAAAAAAGGTTGGTCATATGCCTCTTAACAAATTAAACTACGAGGTTCAAAGTTCCAGTGTTTGGCAAAGACAAACAATTTCAAGCGGGTTCAAATCAAATCAAATCAGCTACTGGTTCAAATTTTTAACTATGCATTATCTGATATGCCCACTATGTTCTATTGGCTCCTAATGTCGCAACTTTTACAAATTCCTCAAGTTTTCTACATACCTAAACATGTACATGAGCGAAAATGTCCAAAAACTCCAAAATTCTAACATTATCTAAAAATACATTTTGTGTACATATATATGTAACATTACTCAAATATGCAAAAGATATTTTCCGTGAATTTAAAAATTTCTGCCTGAGTCGTAAAATGGTTGTTGGTTGACTGACAATGGAACCTCTTTTCAAGCTACACCGGGATTGACTGACGAGTTATATCAAAAAATCAAGCCAAAAATTAGCACTCACATGGCGTTTATCGTTCCGTTGTATGGCCCATTTGAAGAAAAATATTGGGGGTGAAAATACCCACGAGCGCCGTGGGTTTTCGTCTCGTGGAGGAAAAGGGAGAGAAAATTTAATAAAAACTTGAACTTTATAAAAATTAGGAATCACATGACGCTTATCATTCCGTTGAATGGCCACTACTTTAATGAAAAATATTGGCGGCAAAGTTCAAGTTTTTATTAAATTTTCTCTCCCTTCCTCCACGAGACGAAAACCCACGGCGCTCGTGGGTATTTTCACCCCAATATTTTTCTTCAAATGGGCCATACAACGGAACGATAAACGCCATGTGAGTGCTAATTTTTGGCTTGATTTTTTGATGTAACTCGTTAGTCAATCCCGGTGTAGCTTGAAAAAAAGGTTCCATTGTGAGTCGATTTATCGGATTACGGTATCCGTGAAGCATTTCTGGGGTTTGTACCTTCTTAACAATAATGATTCGGCTATTTGAAATTTAGTATTTGTTCGCATGATTTCCGCAGATACGCGGTCTTTTATGAGTCTCGTTCGGTTTACCCGGATTGTGAGCTTCTTAGAAATTTTTATACACGACAATCTGCCTGAATAAACATCTTATTTAATATTATAAGTTATCGAGGCATCAATTTCTCAAGTATTTTTTGAAAATTTTCGGAAAGTTTAAAAATAAATGTTCTAGAATATTCATAAATAAAGTTAAATGTATGTTGGGTGTGAGTGATAAATTTCTCATAAGTTTCATCTGCCAAAAGTTTGATTTTTTTGGTTGAATCAGTTGAATTTGCTTGACTGAAAGACGGTATAAATATGTCAAATTTTTAACTTGAATACCGGTATTGAGCTCGTCAATACCGGTATTCGGTATTCGGTAATACCGGTGAATACCGGTACTCGAATACCGGTATTGCATGCCCTAACCCTTTCCTCTCGCCTGCTTCCTTCCTTTTACACGGCTCAAAATCGTTTACCAATTTACATCCATCTTCCATCCACTCTGCATTATTAATCTTTAACAAGTTGGTTGGCAGGGTTTGTTTTTTGCTGGTTTGCTGCATTTTTTGCAGTGTAAAAGCAAGCCACGCAAGAAATGTGAGGTGCAAGAAACTGCAATATGCGCCATCAGCCACGCGTCGTATGACCTGGCGACGAGAAGTCGTTTCTTGCGCCTTGCATTTCTTGCAGGTCAAACTAGCTGCAAGAAACCACTTTCTTGCCATTATTTCTTGCAGGTGGTTATTTGCATCCGAAACACTGTTTGTTGGATCATTTGTTGGAATGGAGCACTATTTGCAACGTCATAGTTAATGAACTTCTCGTCGGCGTCGAATGATTTGATCATTCAAAGAATCTTCAATATCGAGAAAAATGTAAACTTAAAAAAATAAATGTGCTCCTAATTTTTGCACTTTTCAAAAATCATTTGATCTTGAGAGAAGATATTTACGTTGAAATAAAATGAGCGAGCAGGTTTTGACTCGAGGTTGTCTTGTGGCTTTGTTTATATTTTTTTGCTTTGAAATCGTAGAGACGGATTTATGGCAAGATTTGAAGTCATGCAGAATACATTTCTGACACCTCGAGAAGTTAAGTAAATGAGAAAGTCGTGATGAGAATTGATGACGGGCTCAATTACGACGCTTTAATGAGACGAACTTAACGTGGTGGTCATTATATGTGCATTGTTTTAACTGCTTTGTTTCTCCTTGTGGTGTAGTCCAAGTACTTATCAAGTTCAAATCTGGAAAAAATGGAGAATTTTCTAACCATTTACATACCTAGGAATGGGATAGCATGGCAAGGAATGCAGATTTTTTTCTCTTATTACAAACTTTAGTATGCGTACTGCACATCGAAATTCTGCTAAAATGATGTATTCCTTAATATGATTGTGTTTTTATACATTTCAGAGCTTGTTAAGTTATGAATATTTATATGCTTAGCAATTACGCTGTAGTTTCTCATTAATTATGATGTTTTAATTACTCAACTTTGCCCAAAATTCACAAATAATTATGATATTATGGAACATTTATTGGTATGTATAAATAAGAAATCGCTTCAATAGCATAAATTTATGTACATGCAATACATTCATAGGAAATTGAAAAACTGGCGGACTAACAATAGAGGTTTATTGACGAAATTAGTGTCAATCGATCACAAATTTCAGTAGTATGGAATTTGCGAAAGACACAATCTCCTAATGCGCAGGTTTGGCAGAGATGATTGCATCCGAAGAAGAGAAAACGCACAGTAAATTTTAAAAAAGTATAAAATTTGCCAACTTTAGGCCTGTTTTCTCCTCTTTGAATGCAAATATCCGTCCGTCAAACCTTTGGTCTTTTGCAAATTTCATATTAATTAAATTTGTGATCGATTGACACTAATTTGGTCAAAATATGTGAGCATACGCATAGGGAAACTTCCATTGTGAGTATCGGATACAAAAATTTATAAAAACGAATCACAAGATTCAAACGTCTAACACGTTCACCGCATTTTTCCACTCTGCAACCACAAATTGACTATTGGGCTCCCCGGATTTTTCCAATTTGCAAATTTGAACATGTTTGTAAACTTCCCAATAACGACTCCACTCATTTTTGGTCATCATTTCTTGAACTTCCCCATAATTTCCTTCATGCTTGTCGAACATTTGAAGCATCCTGTGATTGAATCCGTGCAAGGCTTCCATTTGAAATGCTGTGAGAGGTTTCCTGTCTTGCCGGACGAAGACGACGTCGCCAACGTCGTTCTGCCATTTGGGAAACGGTGCAAACCCATTCGCCACGCTGATCATCATGCGTGTCGAAATTTGGTTAGTGCCGAAGGTGCTCTGGTCCTGGATAGCGAGGAGGGAAAGGCCAAACTTTTCGGGAATTGGACAAATGTCGCCAAACTTCAAGAGGTTATGGTTAACCTTGGCTTGGATGAAGCGTCCTGCGTCCAGGTTTCCGAGACAGGCCACCTTCACACCAATCACACCAGAGTGACCACAGGTGTTGGCCATTATGTATTTATAATCTTTGTAAAAATGCAAAAAAAGAATAATTTTTCTATTAGATTTTTTAGAAATGAAAGCGTCCTCACGACAATGTCTTATTTCGCATCGCAACTCATTTAGCAAAGCTCAAGTGAGGGGATTCACAAAATATGATTTCGCAAATGTCACAAGTCTACTTCTAAAAGCACATATTTTGATGTTGTTTCCATTAATTTTTGTAACTACTCTTGCTGGAAATAATTTTGCGAAATAAAAACATGCCCATCTGCTGGGTAAATTTGCGAAAAATCATATGGTTTGGATATGATGCTATGCTTAATTTGCTAAATATGCGAAGATTGTCGTGGGTACGCACAGAGAAAATTTTTGGACTTACTGTTAGTCAGTTAATTAGGAAATTTAGAAGATTATTTAATTGTTCCAATAGGCAAGTTATCCCGCTTAATTTAGTAGAAATAATGCGTCACTGATTCATAATATCTATCAAGAGAAATTGTATTACTGTGGATATTTTGTCTCTTGGTGGAAGCTTACTGATTAGTAATCATATTAGGAATCATACCACAACATTGACAAACCTGTCATGAAAATTAAGCAATTTGACTATGGAGTAAAAATAGCGATACGTAAATTCAAAGTGACAACTCGCATCTAACCAAATACAAAATTATGACCGATGCAGAATAGACTGCAATAATTTGTAGGGCATAATTTTCAGGAAAAGTTTTAGCCCCAATTCAAAATCAATGGGCCAAAATCTTGGTGCTTTCTGCATGAGAAGATTTTTCGATATGAAGATACAATTCTCCTGAAATTCAGATCAGCTCAACACAACGAAATGCAATCTCCATTCAGGCCAAAATTCTTACTTTCGCATGGACAGAGACAGCAATGTCTATGAATTTTGGTCCTCTCTAAATGTTGATCATCCGGACGGACAGGACAGGACAGCAAAACTGAGAATTACTCATGTGCATAAATAGACCAGAACTGAATCATCATATTTTATTTTACGTCCACTTTACTCAACTTACATAATTATTACTCTATCGTGTCAAGGAGACGAGAAATATGTGCGCAAGTAAGAAGAAATAAAGATCTAAATGAGTCCACATTTCGCAGTTTATCAGCTAATAAACAAACATACGCCACGAGCAGTGGCCGCGGAAGCAGTGGGGACATGTGGGGACATTAGAACTGCCGGATAGGGGAGGCAGGAGTTAAATATAACATAAACGACATTGGATAACCGAGGGGACATTGTCCCTCCGTCCCCACGCATCCGCGGCCACTGGACAGAGTGAAGCTAGGATGAGTCCTAACTTTGCTTCATACACAAAATTAAGATGCTCAATTAAACTGAAAGATAATGATCGTCTTTTTTTGCATGACAACATTCAATGCGTACATGGGCCACTTTGCATAAACAGTTTTGCAATCAAAGTCACTAAAGTCGAAACAGTTCCAGTTTTACTTTTGTAAAGAACGGACGCTATTTTTCCAGCTATCGAGCAAACACATACATAAAGCGAAACAAAGTACGTGCAAAATTATTATTTGGTTACGAATTAAAGCTTTAGTTCGTAATTTGCATGCAAATTCGCGTTATTTAAGTATTTATGAAAAAGACTAAAATATTTTTATTCATTTTATGGACTTTATTTCGTCAAATTTTTCAATTCACAATTTTTATTGTATTTCAATTTTTTCCAAGGAAAATATTTCCGTCTAATAAATTATTGAAATACTTCAAATATTTACGTATATATTTATTAGTTTCTGAAATGTTTGCGAAAATATCAAAACATTGAAAAATAAAAATAAAATTTTGTAATTCTATCAGAACTAGAGGACACATTTGAAAAGTTAAAACTTCGTGATTTATTTCCCATGAAAAAGACAAAAATAACCACATTCTGAAATTCAGCAACAGGGCGAAATTTATAATTGGTCTGAATTTTCTCCTAGAATGGTTGGACACATGAAGTTTTTGATTCTTGGACTGGTCATTCTCTCGATTGGCGTGATGTCCTCGGTTGACGCTGGATACGGGTGCAACGGTCCGTGGGACTACAACGACAACGTGTGCTCAGTCCACTGCCTCGCCACCAGCCTCTCCTCCGGCGCCTGCCGTTGGTTCACTGGATTTTTTAGGTGTCACTGCGACTAATTTACATACATGCAGGAACGACTCTTGCCACACTACTTATTGTTTGGTTAACAAATCTTTAATAAAATTCGTTTAAGCGTAAATTTAGATGCAAAATGTAGATTTCTTGAATAAATCATTGTTCTTGTTGTTACTTGTATATAAGCTTCGGATAAAATTTGCATGCACCTTTTATTTCCCATAACGGGGCAGATTTGACGAGGTCACAATGGAGGTCTCCCAGCGTATGTTCTCCGATTTTGAGCAAACTATTTAGTGCCAGTCGATCACAAATTTAATTAGTATGACGTTTGCGAAAGACGCGTCTCCCAATGGTCACGTTTGGTAGGGATATTTGCATCCGAAGAGGAGAAAAGCGCAGTAAATTAGGAAAGTGTAAAGTGTATCAACTTTTGGACCCGTTTTCTCCTCTTCGAACGGAAATATCTCTGCCAAACGTTCGCATTCGGAGATGTGGTGTCTTTCACAAACGTCATACTAATTAAATTTGTGATTGATTTACACTAGTTTGCTAAAAATAGGAGAGCATACGCTGGGAGACGTCAATTGTCAGGTTGTACTAAACAGATTGGATAATCATTTTACTGAAAGGATTAGTATTTAAGAGAATCTGGTCACAAAAACATGTATTCAATTTAATCTCACCTTATGGCTGGGTAGAAAGTGCGCTCGCACTGCCATGTATGTACATAATACGTACATAATTATACGTTAGACTAATATGAACTACCTTATATCAAATGAATACAAGATTATTTAGTTCTTGGACAGACTTGAAATTCTATTTATTTATGTTACGTGACTTTCCTCCCCTTCTGCTGGTTAGCTTGGTTGATAACCTAAGATGATGATATCGAGTGAAATGATTTGGTCGGCCTCATAAATCATATGTCCTCTTTTCTTAATGTTCCAGTAATATTTCAGGAAGATCTCATACATTCATCTGTAAATACATACATACGTGCAGGAAATGCATAACATGCAAATATATTAATTAAATGCTCGGTCCGAATAATTAACTCGTCATGAAATATTATTATTATTAACATAATTAATAACTTTGAAAATCTTAAATATAATTATAATTTTAGAGTGATACAAGTCTAATGGTACTCACACATTCTAATCAATTACATTTACGACAAGCAATTACTCGTTAGATTATCTTGAGTAAATTATTTAGCTTCCTGCCTACAGAAATAAATACAGCTTGTGTAGCTAAAAATAGTAATTACTTTATTACAGATTGTCAACCTCCTCTACTGATGCGTAGTTTCACTAAAAAGTGAAGAATAGCATGACAAACTGCAAGTTACAATTAATTTTAATGACATCTTAAAATTTAGTGGGACATATAAATGAAACTCTATAATTAAATTACACAATGTAATGTAAACATTCAGTTGGACAACGAAAATCAGTGCAGCAATTGCATAGAGCTAAATACGTATATATATCACACTAACAGAGCAATTAAGTTGCCAGTATCGCAGATATGAAAATTGAGACAATATTATTCTTCTTCTCGAGGCACTTGCAATCATAAAAGGTCCAGCATTATTTGATGATTGAGCATAATAGTTCAAGAAACTTAGTGGTGTACGTACTTTCGCCGTAATATCGAAATATTCACGTTAATTAAAAAACAATTAACATTTAAATATATAAAAAAAAATAGAAATTTTATATTTATTTTTTGTCTCAATTTGTTCCCCAGAGTTGGTTTTTCGTCTCAATTTGGTCGCAAATAAGTATCCATCGCCTCAAAAGCCTTTGTCTCACGTCTCCTCGCTAACGTTCAGTCGAGAACGAGAGCCTAAACGTCGCGCTGGTCAGTGCGGTTAAAGAAATAAACTCATTCAAATGCTCACCCGCATTCGGCAGCAATTCACAAACAATTTCTGTTTGGTTTTAATTTAATGCGAATTCAACTTTGATTTAAAGTTTAATTAAAATTAAGGAATAACTTTGGCACGTTGTTGTTAGTGGGTTTTGTACAGGGATCCATCTCCACTGTGAGGTTTTGGATTGTTTCCATCTCTCCGGTGTGCCTTGTTAGGTTTACTTGTTTCGTAGCATGTCTTCTTTCATCATCGTGTCAGCTAGTGAAACTACGTTGACAATGTCGGATTGTGAGAGTAGTCCTACTAAACCAAACAATTCGTCGGTAAGTGACCCCCCGAGGGAGTGGAATAGCAAGGAGTCCCTCCTCGTCGTTGCTATTGTCCACCTGTTGGGGAAAGAAGAAGCAGGAATGGGGGAAGAGGAGTATAATAAAAGCATCGATTGGTAAGCTATAAATTGCATGTAATAATGGTTACTATTTAGTTAATTAATTGTTATTACTCGTGCAGGGAGGTAGTTGAAAACAAGATGAATCAAGGGCCGGTAAAAACCTATTCCGCAGCTCAATGCAAAGAACAGTATTTGAAGCTGATGCGAATCATAGAAACGCACCTTCCAAGTGGTTCTAGTGCATCTCAAAAGCAGAAAATGATTCTTAAAACGATTGCTGATGGTATGCATAAAAGTGTTTTTTATAATTATTGATTTGCCTTGGTGGTTGAAATGACAAGTTTTCCTGGGTTACTAGGTCTCCTGCGCGCATCGAAATACCGGGAAGATGGTTTACAAACTAAAATTGCAACTTTAGTTGAAGATATTAGTGTTATGGAGGACGAAATTGAGTCGTTGGGGGAGACTCCTGGCAGCAGCAATAATCGTGATCATGTCGAATTGTCGAATCCGTCGGTTGAATCGATCAACAAGTTGTCTGATAGTGAGGGGTGAGTGAACTAGTATATTACTCATATACTTTTTATGAGAAATACAAATTTTGTGTTTTTATAAATAGCTCGGACGACTCTGATAGCAATTTATTACTTGATCAGTCGGCCGAAATCAAGAGCAAGACAGATTATGACTTTATTTGCTCGCACTTTGTACCGTCTTGTAAGTGAATCAAATGTAAAACTGTAATTTTGTTGGGGAAAGGGAGGACTAAAATGTTACCTTCAATAATATTAGTCGGGATTGAAAACAATGTCTACAATCAAGTCCACTTGGATCGGATCGGGAAAGACCAGAGTGTTCGAACCTATTTCGCATATTCTGAACATTCAGACGACGTTGCTTCTGTTACTCCGACTACTCCTACTGGGAATTCGTCACCGTTTAAGCTGGGGCTTGTAGGCAGTGGAAGGATTGAAAAACCTGGTGCAGAAAAAATTAGCCTCACTACAAATGAAGAAGGTGTAATAATTACTGGTGATGTGGCGAAACTGCAAAAGTGGCTGGCATCGACTCCAACAGAGATTGAGGTGCCAAAAGCCATGCAGACAAGTAAGTTTAAAAGTTTTCAGCCTTATCAAAGCAAAGTGTACAGCCTTTAAATATGCGCATTAATTTAGCTGGTGCCCCCACCCTGTCAAAATTGTTGGAACTTCCTCCCCGCGACAAGAATGAGCCTCTGCCCCAGATAAATTCTTTAATGAGGAATGACACCGAGGAATCCGTGATGCCAGCAGAAGATAGGATGGAGACCGAGGAAAGTGGCATGGAAGGTTCCACGTATGTTGTTGATTCGTCCGCGGTGACATCACCCTTGCAGCTATTGAGTACTAGCCCAGTTAAAATCTTGGCCTCGCTGGGTAAGTGAGTGAATGGAATAAAATGAAATATGAGCACTAAATGGCTCCTTTTTCCTGTTTATGGTTACTTTAATGGCTTATTGTTCAATAATTAATCTCCCATCCCATCGCCTCATGTTCTTTATTGTGTATGTTTAAATTTCAGGGACGACTACAACCCCGGTTAAAGTTAGGCAGCCATCCGAGTCAGACAGTGCGTTGTTGAATTTGTTATTTTTGCATAGGTGTCGAATTACATTTAGCTCGTTTGCTTGCAGAACTAGTAGCCAGCCTTCTGTTAGGAATGGCTCAATCGGGATCTCCGCTTAAGTCTATGGAAGAAATTGAGCTCGCGAATGATTACGTGATGGAGTCGGGGCTAATTTCGTGCCAAACGGATGACGACGTGGATCCTGCTGTAATGAACATTAAATTGGTGGCGCCTCCGTCAGAAGAAGTAGCAAGCGTACCGAAGAAAGAGGAGCCATTCGTGGTCCCTCTCTCCATTCCAGTGCTACCATTGACAGCCAAGGCTGACGGGGAGAAACTCGAAGGTAAGACAATGGATGGTGGTGGTGGTGGGGGCGATAGCAATATTTTCAATAGGGAGAAATTGACGAGAGCACGAACAATGACAATTCGTGGAATACAGTCACATTGTTCTGATTTCGTTTGATAAACATTTTGATGGATTGCCGTGGTGTTTTTGGTCGTATAGTTCATTCATTATTTTTTTGGGTCAATCCTACAGAGAGTGGAGATACAAGAAATACAACCCCCATCATGTCTGCGTCAAGTCCAACTAAAACTGTAGATGAAAAAGCGGAAGTGCCGGATAGTACTACGACCGCTGCATCGATTTCGGCGATTACTGGAGACGTAACACTGAACGTGAAAAATATTGGAGTGAGCAAGTTTGCAATTTATTTACTTACATAATTTATTTAGCTCATCCTGCTGATTTGAGTGTTTTGACAGCAACAGGGAAGCCCGGATGTTATTTTGACACCGACTGAATCCACCCCTAAATCCGTTCTGCCGGATGAGCCCACCTCCTCCACTAAGATCATTGAAGTCACTCGATCTGAAGACAATGTGGAATCTAGCCCAGAAAAGAGGGGCCGTGGAAGCAAGAGGGATCCTCCCTCAACTCCCGTGACACGACATTCTTCCAACAAGGAGAAATCAAAGCAGGCAGATCTGGACGTAGTAGAAGAAAAGCAACAAAGTGCTCCTAAAGAGTCGAATGTTACGCCGACAACGAGTTCCAGACGTAGTACGAGCCGATCATCGGGGCAGTATGAGGATCTTTCCTCTCCTTCAAAGGATCATGAAATTGCTCACGTTGGAAAGTCGCCCGTTCAACGGAGACTCTTCCGACCCACAACCCCTGAGGTGGTGACCCATACTCCGAATTTGAGGAGCCGACGAGGCCCAACCCCGACGCCTGGGACCACTACACCTACACCGGTTGAAGAAGAACCGAAACCAAGTGGAGGGACGCCAAAAAGATCCAAGGCTACTTCTTTGGTAGGGGCTACTGGCGAGGAAGGAAAAGTAGAACCGTCGATTAAGAAGGAAGAAAATCAAGAGGAGGTGACTGAGGCTGGGTCATCATCCAAGTTTGCGGAGGAAGAGAAAGCCGTCACGACGAGTGCTGACTTGGAATCACCTGTGAAAGAAAAATCGAGTGATGTTGGGGAAGAGGGGACCCAAATCCCGACGAAGAGGCGAAAGATCAAGGAAAGGCGAGAATCTGGGGAGGGAGCAGACGATGATAATTCTGTGAGTGCATAATTATAATTTTGTCTGTTAGTTTTAAACTCATCAACGATTTGTTTCATATCAACAGAACTCTGGAACTGATGTCCCTGTCAAAAAGAGACTTACTCGTCGTAGCATGAAACTTGTGTCGGTTCGGGAAAATGCTTCCCCTCCAAAAGAAGCCACTGGAGACGAGGCTGGAAGCAAACTATATGAGGACAAGGAGACAAAAAAGCTCCATGGAAAAGCTACGGTTGAATTTGAATACATTTTTTTCTTCTTTTTTTTGTTACTTTTGTGTTACAATTTTGATTAATTTTATAGCCGAGGTTAAAGTCTGTTGGAGAAGAATCTTCCGAGAAGGAGGAACAGATGGATGGCAAACGAGTCACCAGGTTTGTTTATTTACGTATTGGATCATTAATTGCGTTGAGTAATTATAACGTATATTTTTTGTTTCAGGGCTCGAGCAAACAAGACAAGTCTTTCACCCTCCAGGACCCGCACCAAATCTATGGGATCGAACAAGGCAAGTCTAAAGAGTGATGCAGAAACTTCCGAGTCAGAGGCAACCACGTCATCTCGAGCGACTCGCAGTCGTTTTGCAGGCAGCGGCGCTACCACCCCAATCGTGGTGGCAGAGTCATCCTCAGCTGCCGCTGCAAATTTGGATTCTAATCCCAACAGTCCTGCAGTCGTGTCTTCCAGCACCGCTGAGTGAGTAATCATTGTTGTGAATTTTATATATTTGAACGAAAAAAGTTATTTATGTCTCTTTTCTAGTGATGAAGTGAAGGACCTCAAAACCTTTAAAAAATCTATGCTCGGGATTATCACCCAGCTTATAGAATATAGGAATAGACAATATAGAATATACATTTTTGGTATGCCAGATCTCCGTGGTGAGGGTGTTGACGAGGTTGCCAGCTATAAGAAAATCGTCAAGACGTGAGTTTACTAAAGTGTTTTTTTAAATAAAAAGAGGTCTTTAATATTAATTTTTTATACGAAGGCCAATGGATTTGTTAGACATTAAGAGGAATGTTGAGAATGGCGTGATTCGATCGTTCACCCGATTTGATCGAGATATTAATTTGATGTTCATGAATGGCGTCATGTTCAATCGCTTGGCCGAAATGTCTCAGGTCACCGATTTTGACCTGCCTCTCCACGTTATCAACTATTACAAAGGTCTCATCGAGGTAAGCAGTTACTCTTTCGTACAATGGTTTATATTGTCCACGAATCAACTTTTTAATTTTTTAAAGGAATACAAAAATTCTCAAAAGGTAAAAGAAGGAGCTTCAGAATCCAAAAAAGAAGGTGTGTCCCATCATTTGTCGAGATTTTTTTTAATGTTGAGTCTAAAATTGCACCACCGACACTGAATTGTAATATTTATGTGGCTGTTAATTGCAGAATCTGACGGAGAGGCCGCCGAGCCAGTGGAAGAAAAGCCACAAAAGACTCCGACCACTGGAGATAAGCCCGGTCCTGGAAGGAAACGCAGAACTCGCTCAATTTCTACTACGGCAAACCAGGTGGAGGAAACACCTCATGAGACTAAGCGGAGAACTTTAAGTAAGTCCAATTATTTGTAAAATATTCAGATTAATAAACTAACTATTGCATACATTACTACTGTCGCAGGGACTAGCACGGCTGCTGCCACTACTGCCACTACCGCTTGGCAGAGTGCTCGTCAGAAAAAAGTACAATCCGGCTCACCCGACATTGCTACACTCGGCGGCCGAGGGGCTCGTCAGGAATAAATAAGAAAATCAACTAAAAGCTTCTTTTCGGATATACTCCATTGGATTAATTTTATTATGAATATTAATTGTATGATTTATACAAAGTCTTGTCATAACACTATCATAAAATTCTGTGTCAAGAAGAATAATAAATAAATAAAAATGTTTCTTTTGTACGTCACTTATTAATCAGAATCACTGTCAGTCGTGGCATCACTATCGTCCATATCATATGGAAATACTTTTGCAACTCCGAGCATTAAGTGTCTTGTGTAAAAGCGTTGCAGATGGTCCATGTAAAACTCCAACGTCCTATAAGTCCCTTTATTCTTATAACATCCGATTAGCATTCGAGAGGACAGCTCAAGGATAAACTTTAGCGAGTCGGGCTGAGCAAATGATTTCGGAACATGGTCGTCAAATTGGTTGAATGGCTGGAAGAGTGTCAATGTGGCATCGTCGTCGTCAGACGTTACATCGTTACATCGTGCATCCCCATCAAGAACGTTGACATTGTGTCCGTGGCACTGCAACAGGGTGACGTACTTATTTGGGTTGAGTATGAAATCGATCCGAGTCTTGGTGAAGGATTGGTTGAGCTGAGGCGGAGGCCCAAGGGGGATCGGATTTAAGACGGCTGGGTAGTTTTTCTGGTACTCTTGAAGAGTTTCTTCCTCGGGAAGGGATACACATTCGTTGCGAGGTATCGTGCGGAGTATTTCCTCATTTGTTGCTGCATAGTTTTGGAACATTTCTGAAATAATGTGCCTTGCAGCGACACGGTTTGGTATTGGATTTGTTAGCACTGGAATAGGTTTCATAACAAAAAGTCATGTAAAAATATATCCTTCATAAAAAATACGATATTCAGGCATTTCACGTCAGCGTTCGTAAGTCCGGAACCACCTCCACTTACGAAACTCACAAACTTGAAGCTCATCCTCAAAGGTAATTTTTGCTTACGGACTTACGAAGGCTGGCTTGAAATGCCTCAGTAAATTTAATAAGTTGGTGCAAAATAAGTAGTATCAACTTACTTTTAAACCCCGTGTAATTTTCAATAAAATGGTTCATAGTGGCGTATGGGAGATTCATAGTACCAGGAGAAAAGTATGGATTGTGCAACTCCCCATCCACAATTTTTGTTCTTTGACGCAAATATAAAAACCAATCTTTGATCACAAAAAGTTTTGAGTATTCATTATTACTACCACTTTCCTCAAGTGTCGAATTAACTTTTTGAGCAAAGTCTGACTGATATCGTTCCGTGACATCGTCGAGCCCAAAAAGAAGCCTTAGCACGATAATGATTACAGCGAGGATGTGAAATTCGGGAAGTATTTTTGATAATTGAAGATAAGTTCGAGTCGTTAAAAACTCATTGGTTGTGGTCGGGATGACTTTTTCGATTTGTAATATTAAGCATTCCATTTCTCCTGCAAGGAGAGAAATAAGGAGGCAAACATTAACAAGAATTTATTTACATACATTTTTTAAATGAATTATTACGTGGAAGTGCTAAATCGTCAATGAATTTGGGTAGAAATTCTTTAAATTCTGGATATCTGAAGTCACTTGAGAGACCCAAATATAGCAACATATTCTTAATCGTGTCATTATACTCTGGTGATAAAAAGTGATGGATTTCGTTCGACAAAATCTGGTCAATTTCCGGACTAATGCGTCTTTCCCCATCCATCACATTATTTTTCTGAAGAATAGTTCTCATACCGGAGAAATAAATTTTTCCAGTCCAAAACAGTCTAAAATTAGGAGAAAAACGTTAGCCAAAAGTCGGATTATTCATTTCTATTCGTACACACGTACCTGATCACGTCCGTCATACACACTTTGCACCCGACTTGTCTCAACGAAATAAAAATAATGGCGAGGAAAGACCTCATCGTAAAAACTTCAGGCGTCAACAATTTATTGCGTAAACGTCGTTCCCGACGTGCGGAGAGTCCTTTACAACGAAGAGCAAACAAGACCTGTCTCGATTGCTTTGTCAATTTTAAGGCACGTCGAAACAAAGAAGTATTCGAGTACCGATTGACTTTGAATTTTTTCTTTGGTGGTGGTTCCCATGTCTCGGGAACTTCTTCCATCAGTTCAGCAAGTTGAGCAGAGTAACTCGCCTCCATTGCTTTTTTCTGTACAAAACAAATTTCAGGAAATAGTTCACACAAAGAATAATAAAAATCGGCAAAGCTTAAAATACCTTAATTTGTGTGTGCCGTCGCTTTTGGACAGATATTGAAACTAGAGCTTCGGTAGGTTTGGGTCTCTGTAACCTCCGGCGACGCTTAAAGTATCCTGGGCGTACCCTTTAAAGGAGAGACAACTAAATGTTATCAGTTTTGTACATGTGACCAAATGAAGATGTCACGAGAATTAAATATTAAACCACAGCTAACCAATAGGATCTCCACGGGTCATTCCGAACCGACCCCAGTTCAGTATCTCGATGAACAAATACTGCTCTCCGCCTTCGAAGATACTTTGTCCAAAGGGTGAAAATTTGTTGTTTCACAGTGGCAGGAAATCCCATCTCGATCAAGCGATTCGACGCCATTTCCAAACAACAGTTGAACGCTTCAAAGACAGATACTTTCTCGAGCGCTATAAAATCGACGAGTGGTATCAAGCAATAAATAATTTTACTCAAATCTTAATTATTTATTTCGCTAAATATTACGTTCGCGCTCTTGGGTCGATTTTCTCCCACCACGCTCGTGAAACTTTGCAGTTCTTCCGAGATGGCTGACCCGCTGGTCGAAATCGTCGCGTTCCACAAATTCTCTGGCGTCCTGCAAAGCGACAATTCGTTATAATGTGGCACACACTTCGTACCATAAGAATAATGAGAATAATGATGTTAAGAATAACCAACCTGAGATTGTGTTTGGCACTCTTGACAAAAGAAAAATCCTCCGATGCAGGTGAACTCGGTATTTCCGCACAACTCGCAGACCACACCCACACCGGGAGTGACGGCTTCCTCGATCATGTCCGGATCCATGATGACGGGGAAAATGGGGGGGGGCGAAAAGTCTCAATGTCTAATGTCCCTTAATGTCTCTCAATGTCTAATGTCCCGTAATGTCTCTCAATGTCTAATGTCCCTTAATGTCTCTCAATGTCTAATGTCCCTTAATGTCTCTCAATGTCTAATGTCCCTTGATGTCTCCTAAACTCTCAATCTCTAATCTCTCTCAATATTTATTTGTAATGCCCAAATCCGAACTCCAAAACTCCAAAACTCCAAGCTCCAAGCTCCAAGTTTTGGCTGAGTTTTTGTCTCAAATCTATGCTGTCTGCTGCTGGTGTATTTGATCACATCCACGTGCTCACCATTCCTCAATCCTGTCCATTTGCACTTTTGGTTTTAGCCTGTGAATTGTTTAGTTTTCCGAAAATATTTTGAATAATTTGAGGTAAGTTGTGCAACACTTATGTCGGAATTACACGTAGTGTTGGAAGTAGATGGTGATAAGGTTCCTGGTCTTGCGGATTTGGCTAATTGGACCTGGCCTTGACTTTTGGTCAATTTCTTAGAAATTAATTAATTACGTTGGGTAAATTGCAGGATAAATTAAAAAGTACTCAAGATGCCACGACTTAGGAAATTGAGACGAAAACAGAAATATCGCTACAACGTGAATCGAAAAAGACTCAATGCAAAATTGACGAAAATGCCGGAAATCCAGTGGTAAGAAAAAAATAAATGTTGATTAATTGTCAGTTAATGAAAGTTTGCAGCAAATCAAGTAAGACTGTTGGTTTCTTAATTACAGTGATGCTGTCAAGAAAGCTTGGGACAGTTCTAAATCGCTAACAGAAAATGTTACACAGATGGGCCTTGTGCTTGACCCGAATAACATGAAAGGCCTTGCTATTCCAAAGCGAAAGGTGATTACATTTAACTTAAATTATTTCCCTTATAAATGATAACCATTTTACAACAATCATTTTTCTGATTTCAGGACCTTTTACGAAAACTTCAACTAGACAAAAAGAATAATAAGTTATCCACGTCGCCCGACTTGTTAGAGCCCGAGCCACCCTTAACGAAGGGCCACGTCGCCATACAACTCGAGAAGCAGGCAAGGGACGGCTATGCAGCCAAGAAAACCAATCCTCACCCACTTCCGAAAGAAATGCTGCGAAAACTAACCACACTTTTGGACAAGTACGGTGAAAACTTCAAGGTTGGTTAATTACATAATATACGAATTAATCTAAATAATCAGCTTCCTAAATTATGAATTAATTAAATTATGAATTAATAATCTCAATTATGAATCGATGCATTTCAGGCTATGGCGAATGACCACACCAACTACAACCAAGAAACGCCGGCCCAACTCCAATCTCAAGTAAAACGATTGAAAGCCATTCCTCAACAGTGGATCCCTTACTTGAAATCTCGCAACCTTTTAGAAAAAGAAGGCGACCAACTCCAAGAACCCATGTCCGATGACATCGACGACGAATAAAATTATGTTTCTACATCTAAATCCGTTACAAATTACTATAGGATAAAAGTATTAATATCATTCATTATCTGCGCCATGTTTTTCCCAGTTCTTCTTATTCTTCAAATAAGACTGAGTTTTTTTGAAATAAACGACTATTTACTGCAACAATGCAAAACCAAGTGGTGTGGTATCGTGTGGGTTTGTGATGATGGTTTTTTCCTTTGAGAGGGCAACCATTATTATTCCAATATACCGACTTCTTCTGGGGAGCGACAAAAACAACCAGTTGAATAGTTTTTTTGGGTGCATCCACCAAAGTCCATCACCACGACAAGTAGTATCATCTCCTCATCATCATCATCAACCACCACCAACTAAACCACCACCACCGACCAACCAACCAACTTGTAAATCTAGTTTAATTTCTAGGTCTTCTTATTACCATCATCGAACTGAAAGTTGTAGTAGTAAGTTGTTGAGAAGGAACTCTCTGAAGGCGAGTCATCCCAAAAGAAGAAGACAGCAGAATATTATTGTACCAAAGTGATGGTGGTGGTGGTCTGGTCGTTCATGGATGGACGGCTGCCTCATTTATTTCTAAACTATTTAAATTTCTACATTTTCTACGGCTACGTGACCCTCGACAGTCTCCACCCGAACAGAGCCAGGCACTAGCAGGTGACCCTTCAGTTCACTCACGTGATGCGACACACCCATGAAGAAACGACGACCAGGTGGTGTGCTCCTATCTGTCGAGAAGAAGATTGACATTATTGTCGGAGGAAGATATTCATGTCTTATCGCCTTTCATCGACTACACTTATCAGCAGCATCATCGTCGTGATACATAGTTGATCCTGGATCTTGTTTACTTATCCGTTGTTTTATTATTATTAATTTACCATCTCGGTATTGATCTGGTGGTCGGGTGAATATTTACCACGACCCATCATCATAACAATAAAACCAATGAAATGATGAGTGATATGTCCGCCTGTGTTGTTTCCGTCTGCTAAAAAGTGAGTGGATTTTGATTCAGCTGGGTGTGTGGATTATCATCGACATTTTTTATTATCATCATCTCGCCTTTGCTGCTGCCTTATCACAACAATAATGACAAATACTTTCGGCTTAGAGGACTAATCGTTGGTGTGGTGATGTGATAAGTTGATCAACAAGAATTATTCAAGGCCTTGGTATCAAATGTTCCATATTTTTTCGAGGAACATAATAATAATAATAATAATAATAATAATAAACTTATTTATTAGCAGTAGTAGTTGAGTGAGAGTGAGAGACTGAGATCATCATCGTTAATTAGTCATCGTTATAAAAAAATAAGCACAAGAAATTCATTATTCGTCACCATTGTTGACCATGTCTTTCTTCAGCGGATTGAAGAAGGCGTTCAACTTTGGGGGTGGGATTCGTGGGAACGATGGCAGTGGGCAAAGTCGGTGTCGAAAATTACCCACAATCCTCCGCATGGAAGTTGACCCTGCAGGATTTTGGGATTTTATAGGAGAATTGGGGGATGGAGCGTTCGGAAAAGTGTATAAGGTAATTTCTAGATTTAGTTAATTAATTGGTGTAAGTGTTATAAAATTGTTGGCATTATTTTTCAGGCGAGACATAAGGAAACCCATGTGCTTGCTGCAGCAAAAATGTGTCGGCTCGAAGGCGATGAAGACTTGGACGATTTTCGTGTAGAAATTGATATCCTAGCGGATTGTAGACATCCAAATGTGGTCTCATTATTTGATGCGTATTGCATGGATAGCAAATTATGGGTGAGTCAATTGTGAAAAGTATTGTGCGGATGTACCATATAGTAGTAATCTTATTTACTATTTTGTATACTTTTAGTTGCTGCTAGAATATTGCGACGGTGGTGCCTTAGACTCAATCATGTTGGAATTGGAACATGCCCTCTCCGAATCACAAATCGCCTTTGTGACATCCCAGCTTTGCATCGCGTTGAGTTATCTGCACGACAATAAAGTGATTCATCGCGACTTGAAGGCAGGAAATGTTCTCGTGACTGCGAGTGGTGGTGTAAAGTTGGCAGATTTTGGTGTATCTGCGAAAAATAAGTATACGCTACAGAAGCACGACACTTTTATCGGGACGCCCTACTGGATGGCTCCTGAAGTCGTGATGTGTGAGACTTTTAAGGATAATCCATATGACTATAAGGTATTATTTAACTACTAAGTTCTTTAACTAATTTCTTAAACGGAGTAAACACAAATGAATGATGATGATAACAAATTCTGTCCAGGTTGATATCTGGTCGTTGGGCATTACGCTGATCGAATGTGCCGAAATGGAACCACCGCATCATGAACTGAGTCCTATGAGAGTCGTGTTAAAAATTCAGAGAGGGGATCCACCCAAATTGACCAAACCAACCGCATACACTCCAGAATTTAATTCATTCTTGGCTAAATGTCTCATTAAAGATCCCAACCATCGACCCACGGCACAGGAGTTGTTACACGTGAGTTTAACTGAGCATTGCAAACATGCATCAAGAGCTAGTATTGGATTAACAATCTGGTTTGTCTTTTTCAGCATCCATTCATCACTCGTGCCACAGACTCAAAACCAATTCGTGACCTCGTATTAGAATTTAAGGCAGAAGTGGTGGAAGAAGTTACTGTTGATGAAGATATGGAGGTATGTACATAGATATATTTAGATAGGATTTGTAGTTTATTTGCTTCTAGTGTAACTAAATTTGAATTTTGCATCCTTCTTGCAGAGATCATCTCAGTTGAACGTTGAAATTGTGGAACCGACTGACTCTTCTGTTCCTGAACCGGCCGCCCCCGCAACGCCGAAAGACCAAGCAGCTTTTCGACTCCCAGAAACACCTCCGAAATCAAATGCAAGCGTTGAAAAGCGTGGCGTTCCAGTCTCAAATAGCGAGGAGAGTCAGGCTAAACGCGTCAAACAAACTTCACCCATTCCACCACCCCCACCTATCTCCTCTGAGAAAGAGAAGGAGAACAATAAACGGGAGAATAATAAACCGAAAGAAAAAAGACCCGCACCAAAACCTCCGATCGAGAAGTCATTATCTGTCCCTGAAAGAGGCAGTAGTTCAAATTCGTCAAATTTTAATTCAAAGTCCACTCCAAATTCAACTCCCAATCACAAATCAACTAACAATGTGCCACAGCAGAATGATTTCGTTATTTCTCCTCCTAAAAGTCCAGTCGTGGATAATACCCACAATAATTCCAATTCCACAAAAGTGCAACTTTCCAAAGACGTTGTGAAAGTGTCGTCGCCGAGTGATAGACAAAATAAACAGCAACAAGAAGTTCAAACTGAGAAACAGAAGAAGAAAGAAAATGAAAATGGTAACGCGGCCGAGATTCATAATCATGTCACGAAGAATAAATCAAGAGAGGAAGGGGAAATGGAAAGTGTACAAAATAATGGACATGTAACTCCCGTAAAGGATCTAGAAATTGATCGCATTTCACCCACCCAAAACCGACCCCCTTCCACTGAGAGTCGAAAGAGTGGGAGTAGTAGTGGTGGTCGTGAAGCTGAGCGGCGTCGAAGGGAGGCAGACGAAGAGCAACGAATCATTCTTCGTAGAGAAGAGGAAGAAAAAATGTCACGCCCCTCTTCCGAGAGTAACCATAAACAGCAACGTGGACGTCGCGAAAAAGACGTTCCTGCGCCGGCTGCCCCAGTTATTAGAGTTTCTCCCGAACCCACCTCGTCAACCCATGAAGGACAAGAGTTTGATGAACATCAGCACAATAGGAAAGCTGTCCAAGTCGTTCATCATCACGATGACCATCCTAAAGCGACACATTCCAATGCGAAACCTGGAAAAGGCAGATCTGCCAAGAACAAGAGGAAGAATCACAACGCACCCTCCGTCGCAGTGCTGAACGATTCTTCTGCCGTAACTATCGTACCTGTCTCCCCCTCTCCACCAGTGAGCATTGTTAGTGTCAATAGTGGAAGTGGGGATAGTACTGATCCAGTACCAGCGACTGGGACTGTGGTGACTGTGAATAGCTACCCGGATTCTGTTACGTTGTCACCGAGTGATCAGGTTTGTAACGTCCGTATTACAATAATAAAATTGTCAAGTCGAGCAACTAAGCAAGACGCTTTTTTTCTTGGCCCAGGTTGTTGTTGTTGCAAACAGTACGAATAAAACTTGGCTGAGTTCGAAGGATGTCACTGATGAGAGTTCTATTCAAAGCGGGAGTGATGTGGAATCCACAACGACATCGTGCAGAAATAAGGCCATCAGAAGTCAGAAATTGGACGATAGTGAAGTCATCGTTTCCACACCCGACATTTATGAGCAAAGTGAGCGATTAATTAATTAATTGGTATTTACTTGGGCAAAGTTTTTAATTGTTATTTTGATTTTTAGATTTGAATATTAGTCACATCTCGGTAGTGTCGGTGGGAGATGAAAGGATTGGGGAAAGTTGGACCCCGTCGAGGGGTAATGTCAGTGCAATCATGCTCCAGCAAGATTCCGCTGGTAAGAATTATTTTAAACTATTTACTTTGTTAATTTAAAGTTCGAGATAATTTAAGTTTATTATTTCTTTAACAGACGACGCCCCAATTTCCATCATTGTGGAAGGAACAACTATCGAAGCTACTGACGTGGATGCCGTTCCTGAAATGATGGAGTCAAATAAGCGGCGACTCGAAAAACACAACAAGGCACCACGCCATAACCCCCACGAAGACGCCGCCAATGCACCACCTGTCCTACGTCGAGCTGCTGGTGGTGGTGAGAAGGGACAAAAAACAAGACCCAGTTCCGTGGGTGCGGTGCTAAGTCAAGGGCAAGGTTCCTGGCCGTCAAAGGTGGGTAACGAGCTAGATCCTTAGTCATCATGTAACAAGAGGTGGGCTCAGTTTTTATTATAATGATTTCTGCCTTTGTAGGGAAGTGGAAATAAGGAGAAGAATATGGTATCTACCTCATTGAAAGATATCCCAGTACAAATTTATGAGGAAAAGTCAACATCCAGTCTGGATCGGTCCGGGAGTAAATCAAAACCGAATGGTGGTATTGAACAGGACGAGTTCAAAAAGCCGTCTCACACTAGAAATAGGTACAGAAAAAGACACATAAACAACTATAGAATGGTGATACAAATATTAATTAGTAACTTTGTCAGGTCTGATGCTGAGTCAATTTCCACATCGACCAGTCAAAACAGCAACAAAGAAAACTTACTAGAATCAAGCCCCTCTCCAGCGGAATCTACCGTGGCAGGGGACGAAGTCACGGAAGTAGTTTTGAGAAGAAAGACAGATTCTAAGGTATCCAATATTATTTAGTCTTTAGAAATCGGATATTTAGAAAATCATAATTTTCATTAAATGTTTTTTTTTGTCTAGGAGCGTGCAAGACTACGAGAGGAAATAAACTACAAGAAAAAGACACGAAAACGTACCCGTAAATTTGAAGTCGATGGTGTAATGGTTACTACTACGACGTCGAAGGTCGTCTACGGAGATGATGACGACTCCATTACGAACTACCATTTAAACCGGAAACAAGAACTGCGTGAGTTCAAATTGTTGCAAAAACAGGAAAAGAAGCAATGTCAAGATTTGAATTTGAGGGCACATATCGCATTCGAAGCTCAAGTAAAGCATCACATGTTTAAGTTTACAAAGCCTTTCTTAAATCAGTAAGTTACATTTTTTTTAATTCTTTTGCGCAGGAGAAACGACTAGAACAAGAAACTGCGAATATAAATCGAGCTTTTGACACCGACATGGAACACGTAAGTAGTAATTCAAAAATAATATCCCTGTTTATTTGATAGGGAAAGAGTAGAATTTCACCAAGTTATTTTTTTGACATGGAACAGAAGGCTCGACTGCAGAAGCAACAAGTCGAGAAGACTGAGACAAATCAAGAATCCGAGTTGAAACAAATGTCTAAACGGATTAGAAGTGATCAGGAAAAAGAGCTTCGTCTGTTTCGCGAAGGGTTAAAACAAGAAGTGAAACTCTTGAAGCAGGAGATTGATCAATTACCCAAGGAACAGAGGAAGAACGCGTGGAGATTGAGGAAAGAACAATTGGACCGGGATCAGAATGACAGGGTACAGTTGTGACACATTTATCACTAGTCTGATTAACTATTTGTGAGATTATCATTTGGTTACGTATTGTCATTGTAGGAGCGACAATTTCTCGAAAAGCTTAACGAGAGTCACAATAGTAGAATGAAGCAAGAAAATGAAGCGCATAGAGCGAGGATTGCTGCCATGGAACGGCAATATTTGGAAGAAAAACATGGCGTAAGTTTATGCCTTGCGTAGTAGATTTTTTCACGTATTTTTCTGCCTATACTGAACACTAGTAATTTTCCCCTGTAGAGAATCCGTCGCTACCACGTGACCAGTTGGGACACAGAGGAAGCCCACATGAAAGAAAGACATCAGATGAAGAAACGTCAAATCAAAGAAAGCTTCAACCTCCAACGGCAACAAATGTTGATTCGGCACGACAAAGAATTAGATCACCATCGACGAGTGAGCATGCGTAAAGAGGACGAATTGTTAAAGCGTCAAGCTGCCGAGAAACGTGCCCTGCCTAAGAGAATCCGAAGTGAGATGAAGATACGAGAATTGATGTTTCGAGAATCTTTACGAATACACGCACCTGGTTCCAATCCTGCCACCGGACCAGAGGACGAGAAGGATCGGTTAAGAAAGGTGAGAAAATTGAGCCATATCTTAACCTATTTATAAATAATAAATTTAAAACCTTTCCCTGTTTTTGTTACGCAGTTTCAAGAACAAGAAAAGAAGAAGTACAAAGCGGAACAACAACGCTTAGAAGAGAAGCATAACCGACAACTAGAGGAAATTCGGGGCAACATTGAGGCCACGAAGAGGGAACTGGAGCAGCTTCAGAACGAGAAACGTATTAACCTTTTTTGAAACTTTGGTCTTTTTAAAAACTAAAAAATCATTGATGTAAATTTATCCTTTCATTTCTTATGCTTTCAGGTGCTGACCTCACCCAACATGAAGATTCCAAAGTAAAAGAGCTGGATGAAGTTTGCTTTCAATCGTTACGAACCTTTAAATTAGAACTTCCTTACAAACTTGGGGTACTTTTCAATTAAATTCTATTCATAATTCTGCACGGAATTTACAAATTTAACAATGTTATTCATTCTATTCTTAGGTCATAGAAGAAGAGTTCAATGTCCAGTTGATGGAACAGAATAAATTTTACGGGGACATGATGACCGGACCTGATCGAGGTCCAAACGTTTCCTTCCGAAGTAGCAGCACCCTCAACTCCGGCACGACGACACCCCTCCCAGCAAGCTCGTACTCCAGTTTGGAATCCGAAACGTAACAATTTCTTCTTAAAATCATGCTTCGACCAATTAAGTGATCGTATAGTCAATTTAAATGCGTAATATCTCGTCGTTTCTCGCTGATTATAAAGAATATTTACTTATGTATTTATTATTATTATTATTTAATTCATATTCGTATAGTATGGTTCGTAGTTAGTAGTTATAAATAATTGATGATTATTAATTAGTAGTGTATATGTATTTAATTACTGCGGTGCCATATATATAGTAATTATAAATATGGTGGTGGAGGAGGATGTGGAATTTTAATTGTGTAAAATTCCAGCCCAGATTTCAATGCAAAAAGTCAGACTTGTAGAACAGCATTGCCTAATAGCAAACAACGCATGTATGCATATCTGTATAACGCTATCTAATTAAACTAACGCCTTATTATCCAGTGTTCACTCACATTAAGTAGAATAATATACGATACGATTACTCGGCCAGCAGCAGGCATTCTTCTTAATGCGTGTTTTTTTTACTAAATGAACCTAAAATTAAACGCCTTACCTCTTAACCAACATATTATGTAACTCAATTAACAAAGAATAACAAATTTCCAACGAAGCCTAAAAACTGAACGACAGAGTATTATCGCCTATATTTCTACACTAACCGTACGAATGCAATTTTTCCTTGTACTTACGAATCCAGAGAAGCTGTATAATATGTGCCTCAAATATTATCATGTATGTATTACTGTGCAGTATACAAGCTAGCTAGCCGTGCCGACTGACAATTATATCAAATCGCGCATGCATAACACTTGCAAAGTATTATGCATAAAAAATAATAATATAATCTTGATGTGATGTCTGACAAATACTTGGGAACTTACATAGAAAATTTATCTAGTTTTTACTAGCTAGAAGTGTATCTTAAAAAGACCAAAAACGAAAGACTATGATGGACTGTTTAAACCTATTCCTATCGTAAATCGTGTACCCGAATCCTTTTATACTCCTATCTCTTAATTATCTATATTGTGTCGAAATTTTCTTGAAATTAATTACACGTGTGCATAATCAACTAACCAGACACTATTTTATCAACGTTTGCTCGGTGAGGGATGAATATTGTATTTTTGCTTTGTATAATTTATCCATGTATTTAAAAAATAACTAGAAGGGATGGAGTCGTGGTCGATCGATCGATACATATGCCCCACCCACCTACCCAGTCCCCTGCCTTAATCCTGTGTAAATTGTGTACACTATAACTTAAAGCTCTACCGTGTTAAATACATAATATGTAATAGTTGTAGATTACCTACCTAATTAACTTATTTGACGTCAAATGCCATATTATTTGTACTTGTAGTAACACTTGTTGACGATGTTGTTGACACGACTACCGTTTTTTGAGTAATTTTGAGTATTATAAATTATTGCTATTATTATTATTATTATTATTATAAAGTGAATGAATCATCATCTACCGTATTGCGCCGTTATACTTCATGATTAATTAACAGTGAGTAATAATTAAGCGAGTACTATTTGACCTTGATTCTCGTTCTAGAAATAGATGATGAGTAAATAAATCAATAAAAATTCAATAATTTTGAAATAATTTTTACTTTGTCATACTTAACATGGTTTTATTTACGGGGTGAAAATGTTCCATAATAAAATTTAAATTATAACGTGTGTGTACGGGCGCTCAGCAACTCTCAGGTGTAGGAAAAGCTTACATAATCGTACGTTTAATTAGTAATCTCGTAACGAAAAAAAAACACGACAACCCAAAAATATTGTAATGGACTCATTCGAAAAAACAAGCATATCAAAAAAGCAACAGAATCATACGTACAACAAATGATAATCATGCGAATCATAATATATTTAGATATAACAACGCTATGTAGGCAGCATTTAAATAACCAACAATTAAATGAGTTTGGGAAATGGAACGTAACATTTTTAAGTAGTACAGGAGATTTGAGAGGAGAAAAGTAGGAGGTACATATGTATTTAGTAGAAGGATGGAGGTCTAAGTTTGTTAGTTCATCTTGATTAAAGTGTGGATTGGATCCTTGTTACATGGATGTCGGCGAGAAGAAATTTAGCTCACGGAGTTTCGATGGTTTTGGAACGTATCGGATATTCTTTGATCCTCCTGGCGGTCCTTGTCCGGATTGGATCTCAACTTTGGCTTCGTACATCATATTGCTGTCCTGTATGGAAAATAAATTTATGAAAATGATTAAAAAATAAGGTTTTATTACGTGAAAAGATTGTCATACCTTGATAGTGTTTGGTCGAAATAACCAGTTTCCATCCTCCTTTTTATTGGTGCTGGTGTGCTCACCAGTGAAGAATGGGTTAATACCCGTTCGACGAGGTATCTGAAGAGGAGAATCGAAATCATGGTCAAACTTGTGCTGCAAAATAAGATAAATTTGTGTACTACTCACATGTGGAGAAGAGACCGGTGTTATACTTGGTGTCGAACATGGCGTAACATCAGGTGTCGTCAGTGCTGACGAAAACTTGTCCACCAGTCGCATCGGACCACCACTACTGTCCGTCTTGGTAATCTACCATCAAAAAAGGAAATTACACATCTCCTAGACTACCAGACTACGCTGGTAAAAACTCCACGTACAGATGGGACACCTCCTGTCCTCGGCTGGAATTGGGGTAGATGATCGATTGGCGTGGGGGCAGTGTCGTGCGGCGAGTGGGTCGTCATCCCTCCCATGGTTCCCTCACCGCGAATGTTATCCTTTGCCCACCTCTCCAACTCGGTTGCATTCATGTTGAGAAGTTTATTCTTCGTGTCAACAGTTCCGGTTGGGATTTCGTTAGATGAAGAATAATTTCCAGGGGCGAAAGATTTCAAAAATCCGCTACGTTCAGTAGATGCACATTCATCAGCAGCAAGGTTAGTTTTGGGAATGTTGTTTTTGTCGTTTGCCGTTTTCACGTCGCACCCTGAAAATCAACAAATTTTTAATGTTAGATAAGAACACAAGCTTAATGGTAAGATAAGCGCACGTGGGGGGAGGTTACTTAATTAATTTGATGGTAATACAGGCTGTGCCAGTTTATTCGACTTTCCAAATAAAAAATAAAAAATCCGGACTTGGAGAAATCGAAGAATGTGTACTCTATTTTTTATTTGTAACCCTTGACAACGTTAAAAATAGAGTGCAAGTTTTTTGGTTTCTCCAAGTGCTGATTTTTTTTTTTTTTTTTTTAAAGTCGAATAAACTGACACAAACAACCCGTATTACCAACGAATTAATCCCCCATGTGCAAAAACCTTGCGATAAGCGAGAAACGCCACTCCACTCCATACCATTTTCAGAGGCCGAGTGTTTCAATCCTGTCGTCCTGCCGGTATTTGTTGCATAGAAAAATCCATCCGACGGAGGTGAAGAAGCACAATCGAAATCAACTCTGGAACATGACAACATAAATGTCAAACTCGTGGCAATGCAATTACAGACAGCATTTTACTCCACAATGCTCACCGATCCACTCGACGCATCCATTTCGACATGGGCAGGGATCGATCGTCATCGTCTTTCCCTGAGTAATCCATCACCAGTGGAAGTTAATGATATCGGTGGTCTGGAATTCGGCATTACAAAGGAAAGAAAAATATAATGGGCTGAATTTTGTACAATAATATTCCCAACTAAAATCCAAACTTTTATTAATAACGTATTGGCAATTTTGTAGTTTTATTTTATTATGAGGGAAAAGTTAAGTTTTTTTCCATGAATTTTTGTCAACTGTTTTTCAGAGGTGGTGAGGAATGCGACTAACTAAATAAATAAATTGACACGATAACAGAATGGACGAAAAGACGGAATCAATATCACCACCACCACCACCGAATAGGATAGGGTGACACTTTCTTCCAATTTTAATGTTGATAACCTTTCCGTGACCTATGTGCCCGAATTTGGTTTAAGCAATGCTAAATGAAATAAAATAAATTCAGACATAATAATTGTGACGATGATGACATGGTGAGATGATGACATCGCTGCGAGAAAAAATTAATTTCTGCCTGTGCCTGACCTGAGATGCTGATGAATATAAAGTGCGAAATTTAACGAAATAATAATAATCAATGTGCGGACCTGGGTCAATTTATTTGCCCATCATCGTCAACATGTTTTATTACTCGTAAATGTTGAGCCCAATTGCAACATGGAGCGGTATTAAATAACAAATGTTGATTGTAGGGAAACTAATGACTGGGGAGAAAGTTAGGTGATTATCTATCAAGGGCTAGGGCAGCAGTAAATAATGTTGCGCAATATTTTAACTACGGTAATTAATCCCATTATCTACTACGTACTACGCGTGCAAGAGGAGGGTTTGGTCAGTTTGACGTATGTATGTATCAGATGTTTGCAAATTGTAGGAAAATACAGCGGTCATTGTAATTGCGAATTGCTGTGTTTTGTAAGATTACTTGATAAAGCAATTTATACTTTCTCTCCAACCAATTCATTTGCCAATAATTGGATTGGAACTAAATCGATATTGCAATTTGTACCCAAAATCCGAGAAAAGGTTAAGTATAGTATGACCGCAATTTAAGTAAGGTCAAATGTTTGCAAGGCTGATACATCGTTGCATTGCATTTTATGGTTCTGAGCAGGAAAATTAGTAAAATTTACAATCCGGGTTTATCCTGAATAGCCAATTTTGTGTTTCGGTTCTTGTTTCATAAGAAGGTGTGCATTCAAATAATTTTCATAATAAACAAATTACTCAAACAAATTGAGTATCCTAAAAGAACAATGGATAATTATTCCGTTTTTCTCCAGTGACTTGTAACTTGAACTAACGACTAACCCACCTCCTTTTTGACCAATACGTAGTTATTTAGTTGCTAGCTCACATGCATGGCTAATTGAAAATGAAATGACGACGAATAATATGTAGCTAACTAACGTACATATTCACCGCTATGCTAATTAAAATTAATTATCGCTCACGCGATTTTTTCAAACTGTGACGTATACTGCAAACCTCCCACATTATTATTTTCTAACAGAAGGAAAATTCCTCCATTATTGAGAACTTTCTTCGCTCTTTAAAATTAAGACGTAGGATGACAATTCGCAAAAAAATCTCATTAAAAAAGATTTTAAAAAAAGCCCTGTCCAATTTCTAAAACTAACCTCCCACATTATTATTTTCTAATCGAAGAGTTAACTAAAATTAATCGAATTGAATATTTTCCCATTATCGAGAACTTTCTTCGCTCTTTAAAATTAAGAGCGTAAAATGACAGTTCGCAAAAAAAAAATCTCATTACACATTGCAAAATGGCAATTTTTTTAAACCAATAAATCAAAACAAACTAAATTTGCTCACCTTTATCAATATCTCGTTCTTTTATAGCTTCGATGTTCTATCCCCTCTTGTCCGTGTCCCAACCTCGAGAAGTTTTTATTTAACCGTGAACAATTTCAAATCGTGACAAGTTCTTCGACAAAAAAGGTGACGTAACACTTCATATTGAAATGACGACGATGAAATGATAGATAAGATGAAGATAAGGTCTCGTACGTATGAATGAAGATAACAGAGAGAGAGAGGAGGAGAGAAAGTTTTTTTTAGAAAATCCTAGGATTTCTAACTATCTAAACCCTTTACAAAGTTGGGAACAAATCAACTCGAAATTCATCCTGACGAAGAGATTTTCTTCTTCCCGAGTACACACCGGAAACGAAAGTTTTCAAAATATGAGACCGTTTCCCTTGGAAATTTCCAATTTTCACCAAAAAATCACCATGTGACGAGACGATCGAAGCTCTACTGTGATGACGAAATGTGATGGTGGTGGTAGCTAAGCTGCTGCGAGTTGCGTTGGTGTGAATTGAGATGATCTTGACTCTGACCGAATATTGTGCCGAATGAGATGCACTTTAGCAGTTGACTTGCCTCGTATTAAATACGGAAAGTTTTTCAGATAGTCGGGTATATATACGAGTATAGGATAACCACCAGGATTCGATTTTATGGCCAAAACCAGAATGAACCGACCATCATCATAGAATAACAACACCTATTCAATTCACTACCTTTTCCACACAATGCACGAGTCCAAACAATACTAAACTAACTAAGCAATTAATAACTGAACCATGTATTTAGGATTTAGTTCTATGTATAACTAACTGTTGGAGATGCAAAACTTGGCATGGGGACAGAGAAGTCAGGCGATGAAATTAGCGTGACTTGTGACGAATCTTACATACACGTTAGATAAGTATATATATACTGTTACTCTAGAAGAAAAAAAAAGTTGGATTTTAAACTGAGAGATGATGTTAAGAATGGTTGAGTTGGTTTAGGTTAGCTGAACTGCTGAGAAGCAGTAAATGAAAATAAGTTAGAGATTGTGTACTTGCAGATTTTTATAAAATGATGGCACACACATAACATATTATTAAGCTACTTAATCTTGAAAACTTGGCGTAGATAGATAACGTCATGTTATGCATGTTGAGATGTAGTAGACTTTCAGGCTCCGTCCGTACATTGCTAAAATCTTGTTATATGCGGAATCAGTGTCCGCGGATGCGTGGGGACAGGGGGACAATGTCCCCACGGTTATCCAATGTCCCCGTCATCTCCCTCTGTTGTTTATACCCCTCCCTCCCCCTATCCTAGAATTTTAATGTCCCCACAGCTTCCGCGGCCACTTTGTGATATATAAGAAGAAAGGAAATATTATAACCTCTAAACCAGTGTAATCTGGTTATGATTGAGTTTTTGGCAATGCAATGCAATCAAATCCTGTCGGGGTCGGTCGTCCGCCTTTTGTTATTGAAAAAGGTGACCATAGTCAGTTAGCGACTGACTACCTTATCTTATGACGTGGACGTGACATGGCCGCAATAAATCATGCACTGGTTGCATCATTTGCATTTTGTACAAAACACACGTTTTGTATCGCTTTCTTAAATAATTGCGGACTGAGTGTGCATTTGGAATGGTGAGCTGAAAGTTTAATAACCATTTAATTTTAATTGGAGATGAACAGGTGGCTTTTTGATTGATTGACGTTTATGGGACTCCTCCTCTTTATAACTGCAAATAAGCTATTGTTTCAGGTCAGGTACGTAGAATTGGACGTGAGTTAAATATCAGCACTCTGGGACTAAAGGATTTTGTTGGATTAAGCCTTATCATCAGTTTCGTACCAAGTGATCCACAAACTTGGTGTATTTAAATGTATGCGTAATTTAAGTTAGTAGGTACACATAGTATTATTGTGAGAGAAAATGGTATGCATTAAGTGACGAGATCACCGTTTATGAAAAAAATGTTGACCAAATAATTTGCATGATCGAGTTCAGTTTCTAATTGACAAAAATATAGCAAATTATTAAAAATATGTTTCGCGAGTGGAAGTCTCATTCTGCCTCCTTTTCCATGTGTATGTGGCAGTGTTTCGTTTTGGGTGTCCTGGATTGGACACCGTCCAACATTGGAAAATGAGACAAACTGTTACAAGTTCTTTTTCTGACGATTTTCCTTCCTAATCTAAATATGCCCACATATGTAATCTCCCATTAACTTTGAGCATTTTAGTGCGTAATACTATGAAATTTGGAAAAACTGTTTTTTAACATGAGTTCTTATGAGAAATTCAAAAATTTCTAAACCATGTCGTACTACACAACATTTTCTATTTTGGACACTTTTGGACATTTTAGACGTCCAAACTTAGGTGCCCAAAACCCGTTTTAGACGGGTGTTTTGGACAGTGGTTAAAACCACAACAAAACCCTGGTATATGTGTACATGAAAAGTTACGACTTCATTTATATTCTCCTTTACATACATTAAGCACCTACATATCTCTAAGTGAATGTAACAAGAAATCAATAAAATTGTGTGAATAACGAGCATAACAACGAGTCACTGTTTTCCACCGGGTGTGTATTTAAGTATTCATCCAAATTTGTATGTATTTCTCCATCCATCCATTTGGTCACTTCATACATTCATTGATTTACTTACTCATGCAATCTTTATCATGAGGTGCGTGAGGGCTTTTTAGCAAAGCGGTCGATCCCATCCGGGTCTTTTTTTATACATATACTACCCGGCTATACGCTACCCGGATCGGTGAAATCACACTTTTCCTCACCGCATGTTCTCCTTAGAGTTAGAATATTTTATACAATTCCGCCTCAATATATTTATAACTTTAAACCTAAAATTTTACACACAATTCACAAAATTTCCTGCAATTTTATACCAATTTGTTATACATATTAATAAATACATTAATTAAAAAGTATTTATTAGCTTGAAAGCTAAATATTTACTTATCATAATTTTACTCGATTATCAATACCACATTTACAGTGCATCCAACAAATTGTAAAAAAATTCTGTGCCTATTTTATTTACCCATCAAACTGAGAACTGACACTGAATAATATTTGGTAAGTGATTGATTTGATTCATGTTTTACTTGCAAAATATGTAAATAAACTGTTTATTTATAATTGAAAATTGAATGGCGATGCATAATGGATGTTTATGATGGAAAATTGTCAAAAAAAAATTCCAATAACAAGACTCGTGTAATGACATCACCTTTTTGCAAAAATATCTCCCAGCCCAGACAGAAATCAGTTCTCTTGGATAGAAGCGAGTGCATGCATGCATATACACGTGCACAAATACTTAATTTATAATTACATAGATGAAAAAAGCATTAATCTCATGCAAGAGACGACACTCTGTCTGTCCGGGTCTAGGGTAGCTCGTCGAAAACATGGTCGTCGAAAGAGTCACTCGTCGAGGACGAGTCGTCTGAAGGGTAACTCGTCCATTGGACAAGTGGTTGAAAATAATACTTGTCGAGAGTATTTTTTTCAATAAAATAAAATTCTAAATATAAATTATAATTTTATAAAATAACATTTACATGAGAACTCTCAGCAAGAATGCCAAACCGCCTGTTCCAGGTCTCCACTGCATTATCGGTTGTGGAAATTTTATCTAATACACGTTGGTGCACATTCCAGAAGAGTATTGAAACATTGGTGGATCGTACACTGTACTGATGTAGGTTTTTTGAACATGACTAAAAAATCATCCAGTACGAGTTTAGTTTGACCCTTAAAATTGAACGATACTTTCAATTCTCGGAATGCCACTCTTAAATCATCGGGCTGAACAAATGAGACACCGAATATTTTTTTATTAATAATGCCATTGTAACGTCTTGGTCGTACTGGTTCTTTAAATTGTGTGTCAAATGTCTACACAACGCTTGAGTATAGTGAAAATGACACCCTTGAAGTACGGCGTCTGGAAACGTGTCGTGTACATCTTTTATCTCAGCTTGTTCAAAATCCATCAGAACAGCTTATCTTTAAATTTAAGTTTCTCTTTGCTGCGTTACATTAGTTCGTCACAGTAATTTGACATTTTTAATGTAAAATGTAAGGGTGAGAAGAACAAAACAATCCTCCCAATTACTGCTGTATAGTGTTTTAAGTATTTTGGAATGTTCGCAGCGTATATCCGTCCCACGATGCACATGTGCTGTGCATACTTGTGAACTCATTATATATTGGTAGGTAAAATCAGTAAAAATCTTACATGAAACGCGACGAGTTTCATGCCACCTAAATTCGACGACTTGCTTTTCGACGACATAGGATTCGACAAGTAACCCGTATCCCGTCTGTCCGTCCGTCCGTGACTTGCCCTGCTTTTCGAGACTTATGCATCTTTACATTAAATTGTATGTACATAAATGTACGGGTATTAAGTTTTACTTTGCATGTCAAGAAAGTGGTAGGCACGCATTCTCAGCTCATTTTTAATGCAATGACTTAAAGTAATTTGATGTCATGTCGGGACAGGAAGGAAATCATTCAAAGTGTCGATTTCATTTTCTTCTTCTTCTCAAGTCCAATGTTCACGTATGTAGTTCATGCAATGCATGAGGGCAGTCAGATAAATGTAATTGTTCCCCATGTCACGGTATTGATTGATTCCGTTTAGTATGGAATATGCTGGAATTGATTCAAATAATAATAATAATCGACTTGGAATTTGACATGGCCATCCAATCTATTTGGAACACTGATACATACATTTATCGTGCATAGTGTCATTATGTAACCGGAATAAATAATGCGTTTTATTTAATTCCTGTTCACGTACATATATTGTTAAACAGTCGTCGTACATATTTATTGTCATAATGTATTTATTGTTTTGTCTCCTCGATGTGACATGGCATCTACATATGCAGAATTTATTGCATATTTATTAACCTAACCTAAACAGGCAATGTCAGTCTTCAAAGGTCTGCACTTAAGTTGAGACTGGTCAAATTACTTTCACAGTCATGGTCTCCTTGTTAGAGTGTCAAGTTTTTCATGACATTCTCGACACGAATTAAAGCAGGACAAAATCATATTTTGTTCATAATCAGCAATACGTGTTTTTAGCTATTCAGCTACATACATAGTAATTCTATCAAGTTTATTTTGTGGGCATATGCCAAGAGTGAACTGGACTGGACATGGGTGCCGAATTTGTTTATATATTTGACAGGATCCCCTATTCAATCCTACTCTCAGGATTAGAGTCGTAAAATCGTTGTTTTACATACTGAAATATTTTATGGCTTAAGACAAGAGGGTGCTACAACTAATCATCAGAGTTTAGCAAGGACTGGGCAAGTTATTAGTTAGTTTAGTAGAGTTAAATGATGGAGGGGTGTGAGTTACTTTATTAGTCAAGAACTCCGTCCCATGCTGGATGGATGGAGTGCAATAAGAGAAGAAGAAGAATTAAAAAATGACGGGCATATTGTGGATAAGACTGTAAAAATGCATGAGGCTGATGATACGAAGATTGTGCCGTCTCCGGCTGCTGCTAATAGTAGATCCAGCAGCAGGCGTAAAACGGCTGAGGAGATGAAGAAAGAGTCCCTTGTCCGAGACCTGAATCCCATTCAGAATATTATTTGCCTAGATTCGGAAGAATCAGAGAATCCGGACGGTGAGGAAGTCGTTGAGTCGTCGAAATCGCAAGGAAACAAGAGACGGAAACACAAGGAGAAGAAGAAGGATAAGTTGACGCCGACTTATCCAACACCCGGTAACGAAATGAAGTTCGACGCCTTGTTCCCCATCATTGGAGACTTTGGTCCGTACCAGAAACGTGTCTACCTCCTCCTCTGTCTGCCAGCGATATGTTGTGCGATGCACAAATTGGCGTGGGTATTTCTGGGGGCAAAGATAGATCACAGGTAGATAATCATACTAACAATGACCATACGTCTCCCAACGGGTGTGCTCTTATTTTGAGCAAATTAGTGTTAATCGATCACAAATTCTGTTGACATGAAATTTGCGCACGTTTGGCAGAGATATTTGCATCCAAAGAGGAGAAATTGCGCCTTAAAGTTGACAAATTTTACATTTTCCAAATATGCTGCGTGTTTTCTCTTCTTTGGATGCAAATGCATCTGCCAAACCAGAGTATTAGGAGACTGTCTTTTGCACATTTCATACTAATTAAATCTGTAATCGATTGACCCTAATTTCGTAAAAATCGGAAAGCATACGCTGGGAGACCTACATTGTAAGACTTGGTACAAATTCGTGCAAATGAGTTGTTATCACGATCAGGTGCCTATTGCCTGTGGAGTTCGAGAATAATGCGACCTATGACCACCTCCCACTCGGGATTTGGCCCAACATGACTTTTCCACCGGATCCGAAAAATTCCAAGGTTCCCTGGGATTCATGCTCTCGACTGGAAGTCAATTTTTCAGACCCGTCCTACTTCCAGGAAGGCATTCCGTCAAATAAAGCCATCTCGTGTGACGGGAAATTCGTATACGATTTTTCAAAGTACCAATCCAGTGCGAGGTTAGATGTAAGTTGAAGCTTATAAAAATATTTTCGCAAAACTGTAAATGTTTCTGAAAATATTTAGTACGACCTAAAATGCAAGCGAACCTTTCTCTACACAAATGCTCAAAACTTATTCATGGTGGGAATTATGTTGGGCTCCATCGTCTTTGGCGACCTGTCCGACCGATTTGGTCGACGACCAGTTTTCTTCTTCTCGCTCGTTCTCCAAGTCGTTTTTGGCATTTTGGCCGGCCTCGCCCCAGAATATTGGACATTCGTCATTGCCAGGATGATTGTTGGGTCAAGTACGAGCGGCATCTTTTTGGTCGGATATGTCATCGGTAGGTAGACCATGGACAATTTTATAATTTCAAGCGTTTGCTAATTTTCTGCACACTTTTTTTGCAGCGATGGAAATGGTGGGTCCAAGTAGACGGACCTTTGTGGGGGTCGCGTGTCAACTCTTCTTCACAGCGGGATATATCGTCACGGCGCTATTCGCGTATTTTATACGAGACTGGAAAATTCTGCAGATTGCGTTATCTCTACCTGGACTCGTGTTCTTGTCGTATTATTGGTATTTAAACACAAGTTATTCAAATTTGAATCAATTAACAGCTAATTTTTACGTTTTTTTTAATTATTTCTAGGTTTTTACCGGAATCGGTCCGTTGGCTGCTGGCTCGTGGGAGACGCGACGAGGCGAAAGCCATCCTGAAAAATGTGGCCCTTGAGAACAAAGTGGTTCTGACTGAGGATGTGTACGAGAACTTGTCAGCGGAGGAGCCCAGTGAAAAAAAATCGACCTCAATCCTCGCAATTTTCCGCTACCGTCGCCTCGGACTGAGAGCGATCAACATATTTTTCAATTGGTTCGTTAACAGCGGAGTTTACTACGGATTGTCGTTGAACACGTCGAATCTGGGGGGAAACGGTGCGTTGTAGTTCAATTACATTTTACACAAAATCTTAACACGATTTAGACAAGTCTTTTTATGCAGATTATCTCAATTTTACGATTGCTGGATTGGTGGAGGTTCCAGCCTATACGTTCTTGCTCATAAGTTTGCAACGTTTTGGGAGGAAGATTGTCCTCTGCGGGTGCATGTTGGCCGGTGGAGCGTTCATGATGGCGTGCGCCATAGTTCCAGACGAACCAGGTACTGAAAAATATAGCAGCGTTTCGGGTGTTATCACTCGCAAGAAATAACGGCAAGAAAGTGGATTCTTTCTTGCAGCTATTTTGACCTGCAAGAAATGCAATGCGCGAGAAACTATACCCTTTGCTATTAAAGTTTAATTAGTTATTAAAGGATTGCAATTTTTCTGCAGACTGGAACTGGGTAGTCATAACGTTCGCCATGATTGGAAAAATGTGCATCACGGCATCCTACGGGGTCATTTATATCTTCACAGCGGAAAGTTTTCCCACCGTGGTGAGAAACGGGGGCGTCGGGGCGAGCTCGATGTTCGCCAGGGTTGGTGGCATTGTGGCGAATAGTTTGCTCATTCTGGTAAGAAATATATGCAAATGTAATCGAGTACGGACAGAAAAAATGCATATTTTTATTTTGCTACCCAGGGCGAAATTTGGAAACCACTGCCACTACTTATATTTGGGTCAGCGTCCCTGCTCGCGGGTCTGTTGGCTCTCTGTATTCCGGAAACATTTGGCAAACAGCTCCCTGAAACGTTGGAGGATGGAGAGAATTTTGGCTTGTAAGTAAATATGTATATTGTTAAAATTTTCAATTTTCCGTTTATTTCGGGTTTGCTAAATTTCTTGCACTGAAATATGCGCCATGCAGCCATTATTTCTTATTTACACTCGAAACACTGAAAATTGGTCCAGTGACAGTGATGACTTTTAATAAACGAGTGGTTTTTTCCTCCAATTAGGAGAGACGCTAAGGATGCCGACCTTGACGACTTGACTGGAGGGCGAGAGGAACATAATAAAGATGATAAAGTTCCGTCAACGTCATAATAATAATAAATTTTGTCCTTGTATTTATTTCCTGTTAATGAGTGCAAGCATTTTATAACTTTTACTGTTTTCTACCCATGGGGAATGACAAATATGTATCCCGATGAATTAGCGTTAGAGTGAAATAAAGTTATCAAGTTATTTAAAGATGCTAAACTGATTTATTGATTAAGAACCGGAAGTTGAAAGCACAAACTTTAAGACTGTCTCAACCTGCCTCTATCAAATTGGAAGTTTGAGACGCAGCGTTAACTCTTATTTATGCATACCTCTGGGAACGTTCATAAAATACATAAAATAAAATTGGCGAGTTTTTACCCCTCCTTTCCCCTTGGTTACACCCCCTTTGTAACATGTGGCACAAATTGACCTGTAACAGAACAGCCCGATTCCTCCCTCCCCATCCACTGCGTTAGTTCACTCACAGTTTGACCCCAACAATCCAACTAGTCTAAAAATCCAAATTATACGTACATTGATTTCCCGATTTTAATTCTCAATTTTCAAAAATTTCTTATTTACACACAAAATTTGTCCCATTTCCCCGCAAGCCGGGTCGAAAAAAATGGGGATTGCGAATTTCTGCATGTGAGTGCTGATCCTTTATGTTAGTGGATGGTTGCAGCTGCTTGTGAGAGCACATGTTTACAACGACATCGGAACAAGATTGACCATTTTTCTATATTTTCCTGTGACCACGATGAGGATGTTGCTATTACGGAAAGGAATTTGGGAGCTTATCATCTCCCCTCCAAATAAACCACGACCCATCAGCATCGAGAGGTGGAGGTAGGTCGAAATCCGCAATTTTTACATTTATTTATAATTTACAAATTTACGACTCAGCTCTTCTGATTTCTTCCTCCCCCAGACAATATTCCGCTGCACCAGCGACACGAGCAAGGCAGAAGGAACGATGTGAGTACCAAGTCTTTAAATTGTTTACTTACTTACCGTTAATGTGTACAAAGTACAAACAGCTGGCGATAAAAGGATGAGGTGAGGCGAATAAGGTGATATCGAGAGGAGAGGGGAAGGATTGAGATGACGGGTTGGTTAGTTAGTTGGTAAACTTGGACAGATAACAACACATGTATAATGGGTTGGATGAGATGCATCCATCAATGAGCGAGATCATCCGGGATCCTGACCTGGCGACCTCTGCGTGTTGGTGGTGGTCTGTTAGTTGATAAGACACGGAGAATAAAAGAAGAAGACGAAGCCGTCGTCCAATTCTCTTACTTCTTACTCTCACTTCTTGACGGAATTGACACTGCCTGCATTGGGTGGATGATGAGTCAATAAGAAATAATGAATTGAGAATCATTCTCTTGTTGTGGACACACGTTTAGTCTACGTCAATAAGACAACAACGCAAGTCATTTCATTCAGCAGACAGAGAAGAAATTTGTTATAAAGGAGGACAAGGGCAGGGTCCAAGTATATATTTTTCTGCGTCGTTTAAACCACACCCAACCTAAAATAATAATGTGGGGCCTAATTCGTGCCATCCTTCTCCATTTCTTGCTCGCTTTTACCTCCATATTCATCCGGGAGGGGAAGCAAGTTCATGCTCCGGGATGGGAATGGCTGAGTAGATCGTCAAAGTCTGTTTTTTGGTCGTCTCCAGGTCAGGACTGGGTGGAGGAGGAGGTCGTGGAAGAGGTGGTCGAACAGCAGCCGAAATCTTACCCGGAACCAAAGTCATACCCGAGCCGGCGACGACGGACAGAAGATGAAGAACGGGATGACGAGGAGAGGGCGAAAGGGAAGAAGAAGAGGAGACCCTGGCCGATGACGGCGCTTTTGTGGAGCCCACTCCCACTCGCGGCCATCTACACGACGACAAAGTTGAGAAAATTGAGAGACCCCGAATATCCGCTGCGTCACTGGGAGGTAGATCATCGATATAAATAATCTATGTATTGATTCATGCATGTATTACCATAAATTATATTCATATGCATTTTTCAGATACGGGCTTATCGTCTCTTCCCCTGGCGTACCTTATCAAGAACATGGGGTTTCGTAAACTCCATACCCCTTCCTACCTGGGCCCGCACTCCAGTCCTCACCTGGTACTCCTCGACCTTTGGGTGCGAACTGTCCGAAGCGGAAGTCCAAGACCTGACCGCGTACTCAAATCTGGGTGAATTTTTCCGTCGCGGCCTCAAACCCGGGTCACGCCCTATTTGTCCCACGGCCTCCCTTGTCTCACCCGCGGACGGCACGGTGCTCCACTCCGGCCCACTTTCCTCTTCTTCCGGCATGGTGGAACAGGTCAAAGGTGTCGCCTACTCGCTGCTAGCCTTCCTTGGCCCCAACACATTCACGCTTGGCCCCCCATCAACCTGGCTCGGCCCACCGACGGATGACCCAACCGAATATGTCACATCCCTGCTCAAAAATCCTGAAGCCAATTGCCTCTACACGATCGTCATCTACCTCGCGCCTGGAGACTATCATCGCTTCCACTCCCCAGTCGAGTGGGTTGTGACGGCAAGAAGGCATTTTTCCGGCGAACTGCTCAGTGTTAATCCTCGCATGGCGAAGCGCATCTCTGGCTTATTTGCGCTGAATGAGAGGGCCGTCTACGTGGGGGAGTGGGAACATGGCTTCTTCTCCATGACGGCGGTGGGTGCAACGAATGTGGGCTCAATTCGTGTGTATGATGACCCCAAGTTGAGTACAAACAGTTGGTTGAGGAGTGGCCGGCCGGGAACGGCGTGGGAGGATCAAAATCTGCGTTTAAGGATGGAGAAGGGACAGCCCTTTGGGGAATTCAATCTGGGTTCCACAATCGTCCTGTTGTTTGAGGCGCCAAAGAATTTAGAAGCATTGGGAGACAGTAATAAGGTTCGAGTGGGGAGATCGCTTCTACCTTCGTCGCAGAAAAAATTAAGTCAATCATAAATATCTACCCCACCAGGAGAGGAAAAGACTGTACTTTTACCCTTCCCAGCTAACATTAAGTGAATGAATAATCCAATCCGCTGTGTTATACGAGATGAATGTAATCTATTTATTCTTCTTATATCAGTGTCGTAGTAGAAACTTATTGACAAGATTTAAGCTGAACGGCCTCTATTTTATAAAAGAAATATAAACAAATTACAGTGATAATCTATTATATCTAAAGTATAATGAAAGAACAATAATGTTGATAGTGATGATAATAATGAAATAAAAATAGTTCTACTAAAAATCCTGATAATTTCATATTGTTATTATTATTACATTCTTATTATTGAAGGTATTCATTCTGAGTTTGCATCGTAATTTACTTTTGCGAACTTGCGTATCTCCAAGCCTAGTATTTAATTCACATTTTTTAAAACTTATGTTACGATCCAAACTCGTAATGAGTACCTTCATTAAATTCACTATTTATTAGTTAATACGAATGACTATGTGGTTGGTTTCTTGCGCTCCTTATCAGTTCCTAGATGACTTTGGGCAATCTCTTCCAAGTCGACGTGCCGCGTTTTAAGGGCTTTCTATACAAACAAAACAAGTCATAAATATTTACTGACACGAATACATCGTATATTTGAACACTATCGATACAATTCTAATATTCTAATTATGCAATTCTGAATCGAAATTGCGTAAGTTTTTTATTACTAACCTTTACACAGGAAGTGTACGCAGCTAACAGGGCGTCACACGAATCCAGACCAGGTTTACTTTGACCTTTGAGGAATTTATCAGCAAACCAGGCGTTAAAACATGTGTCATAGGCGACCTTTAATTCTGTACATTCCGGTCCTATGCTCCCCATTGGCTCCTGTTGTAAATAAGGGTTCGTTGTTAACTAATTAATTAATTAACCAGTCTTATCTTTGTGTACTTATTCTACCACCTGCGATGTGGAGCCTACAGCGTCCTTGTCGCCTTCCTCCATCGTCGTCGTCGTCGTCCGTGTCGTTGTCGCGGACGGATCAATAGCAAGCGGTGTGTACGATGTGCAGTAAAAATGTGTGTGGCCAAGGTAGAGGGTTTCTTTCGCGGGGCAAAATTTGGGGAAGGATGCGACTCCAAGTGCGCAGAACCAAAGGAACCACCACCGTCAAATTCTTACACAATAAAATCCAAGAAACAAGTAGCACCACCACCAAAGATAATGGATGAATAGATCATTTCATTATCTTTATTTGCATAATGCAGACTATTGCATTCCGTGGTCACATTTCTCAGCGAATCTCGTCACGTCCTCGGGGGTAGAAGAAGGAAGGACGGAAGGAGGAGGAGGAGGAACGCGGCGCTGGTGGTTTGGTTTTGGTTTTGGTCGTAGGAACAAGTAGGACAGACGACAAATCATGTCGTCTACATCGAGTCAGGTTATGTCCAGATTCTGCGACTATTTTGTAGTCTGTGGGCTGGACGATGGAGCTGGACTGGAGGTTCAAGCAACGGTCGATGTCGACGGGACACGTAAGAATACACAATTTATTAAGTATTGTAAATTACAATTTGTAATTGGGAACTTTTGTTTTACTGTTTTGAATTTGGTGTAGGGTGTAGAATTTAGTAAATGGTTATAGTGTTGCTTAATTAAGGACAATGCCAAAGGCATCTAAATAGTTATTCGATATTTTCATCTATACCTAAATCTCTGTTAATTTTTGCGTTCTTTTCTATTTACAATAGGAGAATTACCCACCTGTGCTCCACTGGAACGGTCGTACAAACCTAAAATACTGGCACATTACCCGGAATCTGTCCCGTGGAATCCATTTGGTACATGACAAAATTTTTTTACATTGATTTTACAAAAATGAAAGAAATGCAAAGATTATTTTGTGAAACAAACAATTTTACTGTATTAGATCCCGACGCTGTACGGAACCTCTGCCTCCCAGACGGTCTCCTCTTTCGAACACAGAAGCAAAACTTGACCACGGCCTTTCATCCTTTCGTCATCACGAAAGAAGACGGGTCACGGACACACGGGTTTTCTCTCGTCTTCTTTGAACCACTCCGATCGAGCCATGTCACACAAGCAATACTCACACTGCAGGTCAGTCCTCCTCACCCAGTACGATCTGTTAGTATGGCCATTACTATTAATGTACTTTACTTGATTTGTAGGCCATGCATCTCACAGAATTATCCTCAGCCAAAAACTATCACCGCCAACGGTCCGCTCAAAGTCGCAAAATGCGATCTGCCAAAGGTCGCCTAGCCCCTCACCTCCTTCCCGACCATCAACGTGGAGGCGGAGCTGATACAGATCCTTCCTGCGACGAGCCAAATACTCGCTCCCTGCCACGCCACTTTAAACTCGCTGCTCATAAACAACCCGGATCACTCCTCTCCCAAAGTTTCTACGACGCCTCGAAAGATACGCTCTATGTCAGCAAGGCAATCGCCCTAATCTGTCCCCTTCCCTTCGTCCAAGCCCCACACACCTTCCTCCTCGCGCTCCATCGCCGTGCCATATTGTCCGCGACAAGTTCCGCGTCGGATCCTTCGTTGGAGGCGGCCATTTACCATTTTCTTTACCACGTCCCCCTGCCCCCACCGGGACGCTCGCTCCGTCTCGAAACTCTGTGGGGTGAGAGTTTGACCTGCCTCAACCCCAGCGCGGTTAACCGACTCCCCCTTTGTGACTATTTTATGGGTGATTTGTTCCGTCTCTTGGATTTGGACTCGTTCCTCCAACTTTTTACGTGTGTTCTCTTGGAAAATCAGGTGCTTCTTTATTCCAGAGGTGAGTTTGGTTATCCTCTTGTTTACTTATCCTTCCTCCTTAGCCCAATTGCTTATCATCCTACTTACTATTTACTTACTACCACTCCTTTCTCTACTCCCAGATCTATATCGCTTGATGTTGGTGGCGGAGACGGTGACGGCGCTGTTATTTCCATTCGCGTGGCAGGTTGGTTCTGAGGTTCTTTTCTCTTTGCTAATCAAGTTTAATTAACCAAAGTAGTTAAAAATGTACAAATGGTCTAGTTTTAAAAACATATTGAAAATTAAAATTAAATTGAAAGTAATTGCAGTATTTATAAAATTAAATGTGATTTGTGTGCCAACAATCTGCAAACATTAGAATACTTATTAATCGTGCAGTTGACAGTACAAATACATGAAGTCGTGAAAGCCATGTAATAATTATAAAGATTTTTGATTATGAAATTATAATCACTGTACAAATTTTATTGATTATTTAAATAATCTTTGTGGTAAAAACATGACAATTACTACGTAATTAGCGATAAAACGATTAATATTGCTTTTTATGTATATGTATCATTTTTGTGTTTGTGAAGTTACTCGGAACCTCGCATTATTACAAAATTATATTTTTTTCTAATTTTTAGCACGTCTATGTCCCCATCTTGCCCTCCACACTGCATCACTTTCTCGACGCTCCGGTCCCGTTCATCATGGGGCTTCATGCATCCGACTCCTCGACACCACAACAGCTTCCCTCTTGCGAGGCCAACCTTTGCTTCGTGGACATTGACCGGAACAAAGTGGGCGTACCGGAAGACCTCCCCGCTTTTCCGCACAGGCACGAGCTTGTCTTGGAGTTGGCACAAGTGTTGCGACAGCATGGCATCCCGTTGGGCAATTTAAACAAGTAAGAAGTAGGATATGCATTCATAAATTGTGTATTCTTGACTGTACATGTTATGGTTTCAACGAGGTGCTAAATACAGTATTTAGTGTTTTCGATGAGTCCCCAATGAGTTGAAGATGAGTTGGCCTTAAATGCCTATAACTAGTCACCAACTTGTGCAATATTGAAATTTTAAGCATTTTTGAACTCCCAGATAAATTTAGGATGCAATGGTATAAATTCTAACGAAATAACAAAAATTGCGAATTGACATTTTTTGGGCCAGCTTGTCTACGACTCATTTACGGCTCATTAATACTTTGATTTCAAAATTAAAATCTTAAAATTTGAAGATTTTCTTTGAAATGTGTACCATTTCATCCGAAATTTGTACCATTTCATCCTAAATTTGTACCATTTCATCCTAAATTTGTACCATTTCATCCGAAATTTGTACCATTTCATCCGAAATTTGTACCATTTCATCCTAAATTTGTACCATTTCATCCGAAATTTGTACCATTTCATCCGAAATTTGTACCATTTCATCCGAAATTTGTACCATTTCATCCGAAATTTGTACCATTTCATCCGAAATTTGTACCATTTCATCCGAAATTTATCTGGGAGTCCAAAAATGCTTAAAAATATTCAATATTGTACTAGTTAGTGACTAGGTATAGCACATCTAAGGCCAACTCACCTACAGCTCATTTAGAACTCATGGCATTATCTACAAATACGAAGTATACAAAGATTTACGCGAATTTTCGTACTACATAACTCTATGCATACATACAAATGGATAATTTTGACTAATTTGTCTATTTTGATATATTTCCCTAGATCCAACTCTGTCTCTAACATGCCCACCCCAACAGCAGCAGCAGGATCACCATTCCACACAAGGAGGGCTAGACCAAGGAAAAACTCCTGGTCTCATGACTCTGATTCAGGGATGTCGTCCAATGAAGAGTCTTGCATCAGCGGGGGCTCTACACTCAATCTGTCGATGAGTGCCTCGTACCACCCCGCATACACCTTGAGACCACCGAAATACCCGAATAGAAGAGAGTCTCCTTCTCAGATAGAAATTGTGACTCCTTCTCCACTTTTGCCGGTGGGAGGAGGGACGCCTTGGGTTGGTGGGGTTGTCGGCGGGGCAGGAGAAGAGGGCGGATTAGATGCAGTTTACCTCAAGAATCTCAAAATTAATTCGGCCATACGGGAAATATTTGCCAATCGTTTCGTTCACATGTTTGCCTCTTATGATCACTTTCTCAGTCAACCTAATGAGGTAGGTTTGCCATTAAACTACGTTGTTTCTATTATACAAATAGCTAAATCATTACATTCTTGCAGGACTCTGGTCGTCATTTTGTCCACAATTTCGACAAGGCTACCTTCCTTTCCGACCAACCCGACCAAAACCTTCCCTTTCTCTCTAGTTTCATCGAGACACAAATGTTTGCATCGCTCATTGACAGGAAGATTGCTGCTCTGGGAGGTGATTCTGATCTAGAGGCAAACCTTGTCGTGTTTGAGGGGAGGATTAAAGTGCTGAGGTGAATATTTGCAGTAATAATAAATTCCATTCCTCCTGTCGTGCATACCTAATTTCGAGTTATCCATTGCAGAGACCAATTTGGGGAGAGTTTGGTGCGAACCCCGTCTTACGAGCCATGTGTGTCTATCAAAGAGTCCGTGAAGGAGTTGGGGGTGCAATTTCAAAGGCCGGATTTTATTGCACCACCGATTCGGGAGATCTTACCGGATACGATGGCAGTTTATGGGGATTCATTTCCCGTGTTGAACGGACGCTATCTAAACTGTGGTCCGAAGGATACGAGGTAAGACATGGTATCGAATGTATGCATGTAGTGAAGCTATAGGAAGCAAGAGTGGCAGGCAGTGAGAGTCGGGTAGAGCTCCCAGAGCAGGAGCTGCTCTTAGCGCTGATGCTGCTGCTGCATACGAATTGCGAGTATTACATACGCGTCGTGTATCAGCATGTAAATATCTCTTGGGTCTATATTTTGAAAATCATGAATTTTTTCATGAATCGAATTCATAATTTGAAAAACTATTATTATGATTAGTATGAAATGAACGTAAAAAACAGTATATTTTATTATATCATGGCGATGCATATAAAAATTATGGAAAACTACTCACCCAAGCTTAATGGTTGTGAGCGGGGTAAAATTAATTGGAATTACATATGCAGAATTAAAATATGCCATAATTTTGACGTTATCCTAAACCTTATCAAATTTAACGATTTAATTTACTCTGGTCTTGTAGGAATCTGAAATTGCTCCGGCGAGAGATGAGCATCGCCACCAACACGACGAACAATGTTACCAGCACCGAAAGCGCTTCTGATCCTTCGAACCCCTCCCTCCGCAGCGTATTTCAACCGAAACAAAGCACCTCCAGCCCGTCTTCGGTGGCTCAAGCGAACTGGGAGTTTGTCAAGCAGTTGCTCCAGGTTAGTATTGATTTTGCATGGTGGTTTGGTTGTCGCACTTTTGTTACCTTTTTAATTTGCAGCAATATTTAAGTATTATTTATTAGTAAGAAACAACATGGCAGTGAATGGCTTGGAATGGCTTGATTTGATTAATACATATGGCTGCACTTGTACTACTTACCACAATAGACCCCGCATGTGATCTCGTCCAACTTCCACACCCGTCTGGGCCAGGAATTGCTCAAGGTGCATGACAATTCTAATGCATGACTAGTATTTATTTATTTGCCTGGTTTTGTAACAGTGGTGAAAATGGGTATGGATGGGTAAAATACTTCTCAAAATTCAGCATTTTGATCTCCGTTGTTCTCAGGGTTTGGATTTCCAGGGGTGCTACACCCACAAAAAGATGAAAATCTGCATGGAAAAGACAGTAGCCATACGAAAATACAGGTTTTGTGAAGAAATTTACTCTTTATCGCTGTCAAAATACATTGTTTTCACGATTGTTTAACAGTAAAGTGTTTTGACGGCAATATAATGTTAATTTCTTCACAAAACCTGCCATTTGGTATGGCTACTGTCTTTTCCATGCAGATTTTCGTCTTTTTACGGGTGCAACTGTCCTGGGAATCCATACCTTGGGAAGAACTAAACTCAAAGTACTGTATTTTCACAACGTATTTTACCCTTCCATGAAAATGGGGTTCGTAAAACACCGTATTCTTTAAAACTTGTAATTTTTGGGCGTCTTTGTTTGCTTCTTAATTGGTTTGATAACAGTATAAAAGTCGAGAAACATGGCTAAATTGTGACATTAATGAAGCCAGATTGATTATTTGACGCTTTATTACTCCCTTTCAAAATAATATTTTATTTGTAACTCGGCCATTTGTCGCAATCATTAAGGGAGAAGCAGTACCTGTTCAAGCAATCGTGCCAATAAAGAATACGGTGTTGTTAAATAGGAACCCTTAAAATTGGTTGGGTTGAGTGAGCGTGCACAGTAAATTTACTATTTTGTGCATTATTTGATCCTGTCCAGGAGTGTAAAACGAAGACGAAGCGGATGCTCGTGGAGAAGATGGGATCGGAGGCGGTGGCGCTGGGTCATGGCGAAGTGACGCTGCTGGGCGTAGAAGAGAATACCTTGGTCGCATCGTTGTGTGACCTACTCGAGAGAATGTGGGCTCACGGGTTGCACGTTAAGGGAAAGGTGAGAGTGATTGGTTTGGGAGGACACTGATGTTGCTATTTAACATAGGACTCATGGCCAAAATTGTCAAAATTGGCACGTGTTTAATCATTTCTCGTCTCTGGGAATTTATTTTAAAATTCTGGGCAACGGATTTGTAGAGCAAGTCGTTGCTAATTAAAAAAATATATATACTCCAGATTTTGATAGTTTTTGAAGAAGTGCTGATTTAGACAATTTTGGTGATGGTGATCATTGCGTCGAGAGGTTATAATTAATCTATCTGTAGTTAATCTGCGTTAACTATAATTAACCTAACTAAAGTTGTGTATTATTCAATAAAACAGGGCCGCTCACCGTTATGGAACTACCTCACCAATTTTCACGAGTCTGAAGCCTGCAAAGACTCTAGCAAGCCAATCGACCCGCAACTACTTACTCCAGGTTAGTCAATTTACCGTTAAGTTTGAATTTGATGAAGAAATGAAATGAAACTCTGTAGTACGGATGTATTCTCAAGAAAAAATGTATTTTAACCAAAATGTGCAGCTCTGGCGTGGTGTATACTACGGAAACGGCTGGACAGTAATGAAACGTCTTCTTTCTCCTGCATGACGTTGTTTTCGTTCGTTAATGTAGTGTGCCAATTAGTGTAGTTTGAACCTTTATTTTGTAAAGATTAGATAATAGTGAGTTATTTTGAGTATGTATGTAGTATGTTGTTTGCTGTTGCTGGTTTTTCGGGCATGAAACTCACCGCTGTCTGATTTTTGTCTAGACCTCTCTGCAATGGCGTCGGAACTGAACCTCAACGCGACGAGTACTCCAACTACACCGCCAGCGACTACTACGACTACGCCCACATCGCCACAGCGGAGGAGACCAATGGTGCGAGGAGGAGGTGGATCGACGGTAGGCCAGCTTCCTGTACTCCACCCACTACCTGTTTCCATTGCCTTTGACATGCAGTAAGTCCGTAATATGAATTTGTGTTGTATTACTATACGGGCATTTGAACTACATATCTATCCAACTATGATTCGGTTCTAAAATGCTGTAAACATCAAGTTTAGACCAATTTGAGCACAAAATTAAATGTATAGTGAACTTTGAATTTGATTTGATAAGAAATATCTGAGTTAGAAAGTGTTAACAATCAAGAAATGCTGTTCCATTTTGGGTTGTTGCAGTAAGAGGAGGAGAGTCGATACCAATTTTGCAAGTGGCAGTGGTTATATGATCTCTTTATTTGGTCCATTCTTATTCTTACAATATTAAATTAAGATACGCAGCGTATCATTCTAGGCCAGCATGTATATTATTGTGTGCGATATAGACCGTCACACATTGGTTTCGTCGTACTCCATAAAACGATGGTACATATCATTTTATGGATATAAACCGTCGAAATACTAAACCACATTTAATTATTTTTATGCTTATTGGAATTGAATCTTTGCTGCTCCACCAGGAATGTTCAGAGCATTTCGGAAATCAAGACGGAAATCGGGTACGCTAGAGCTTGGGTACGTCTATCATTGGAGAAGAAGGTACTGTCGAAGCATTTGCGGGGGTTGCTGGCGGACGATGAGCTCCTCCGTGGCTTTTACAAGAGGACGGCCTTTCTCCGCAGTGAGGATGAGAGGGAACAGTTCCTCTACCACCTCCTCACGCTGAATGCGGCTGATTACTATTGCTTTACAAATAGTTACCTCAACATTGGTGAGTATATATGGTTAGCATTGCATGACAACATTTGTGTCATTATTAGTGGAGGAGGTATGACATTGTTGACCTTCTCATAGTGCTGCCCTACCGTGTGCTCATCTTCCCCTTAAAACGATTCAACATCTCGTCCACCTCTGCCAACGTGTGGATCTCGGTGTCGGGCACATTGGGGGAAACGCCAAATCTACAACTACCCAAGAACAGCTTGGAGTTTGTGTTTCAGGTAGGCGTTGTACTAGGTTTTTCGGTGTTGAGTAGTAATGGAGTTTTAAATGCTACGTATTAATTTGCAGGCCAAAAACCTTGGGCTCTTGACTAACATGCATATCGGTCATGATAACAGCGGTGTCTCACCCAAGTGGTTAGTGGAGTATGTTCTAATCCGGAACGAGGTGACGGGCCATCTCGTCAAGTAAGTGGGAATTGATAAGCATTTGCTAATTATATTGGACAGTTATTTTATTTTATTGTCATCTTATCACAGATTTCCCTGTGGGCGCTGGTTAGGACGCGAGGTTGATGACGGATCCACAGAGCGGCTTTTAGTTGGGGAACAATTCTACGAAAGTGGTGGTGGCGGCGGTGGGGTTGGAGGAAGTGGAAATGGTGATGAACTTGTCGCACAAACCCCACCCCCGAGAGCGAGGAGCCCCAGTGTGCCCAGGAGGGATGACAATCTCAGAAATCCAGTCGAAATACAGGAGTGTTTAGGTTGGTGTATATATCTATGCATGCATTATTTGTATAATGGCAGTGTGAGATGTATGCATGGTGCTATAAGGCTACTCTAATTCAATAATATTTATTTGATTATTTATATGCAGGAAACGCGGTTAATTCCATTGTGAAATACTTTTTCAAAACGGATCGCGAACGTGGCCGTAACTTGACGGTGCTGCTGTGCGGGGAGGCAGGCTTGGTGGCAGCGCTGGAGCAAGTCTTCTCTTTCGGGTTCAAATCGAATCGCCTGTTTGGGCGGAATATACATTTGTGGGACTATTTTGGTGAGTGAACATCTACCACAATGATACATAGCATCAATCATGACCTATGACCTATCACTATATATATATATATAGTAACTTACAATATATGTATATTGTATATGTAACCTGTATTCATTGCATTATTATTTTTTCAGTCCAAGTTGGTGAAGTGTTTGCCGGTCGTCTCCAAGAAGAAGAGGACGAGGAGGACGACAACACGGCTGAAATGTCTTGTTACTGCACTCTCGTCAGGAAAATAAATGCTCACGCGAACACGCTCGGAAAACATGGGCGGTTCCAACTGCTCATTTGTCTATGTGCCAGGTGCTGACATACTGGATTGTAAATATTACTCTTTTTCACTTCATCTTCTCTTAATACCTCAAATATTATCTGATTACAGGGAACATCTCCTTCCCCGTCTCCCCCCACTCTTGTCTCGTCTCCAGATAACTCGCTCCATGTATGAGGACGTCTCCTTCCTCCGAGCACCAGAACTTTTGGGTGACTTAATTCAAGTCCTCCTCGCCCTTGACGACTATGACATCGTGTTGGAGCAGTCACTCTCAAAGGGGATCGAGTAACAAATAGTTAGAGTTTAATGCAAAATTTTAGAAGGTGACCATCATACATACAAAATCTGTGATATAGCGCAACTCTGCATGCCATACTATTGTTATATGCATACAAACATACCTGTAGTAAAGTATGTAGCATAATAGCCAACCAATAATCAAGTCTAAATACTTACACACATTACATGGTACTCCCAATACCACTTTAATACTATTGTGTACGTCTATTCAATCGGAAAAAAATATCGAGTCGAGTCAATAACAAGTCATAAATTATAGATATTATTAGTCTTAAAAAGTAGGACGTTCAGAAAATCAGAATCTAAAATAAGTTGAAAGAGGATACATTTGTCGAAACCTTACGTATTTATTGCATACGTGTATTAAAATTTGGACAGAAATGACTTATTTGTGCACAAATGGTTTTTTATTATTTTTATGCATTTGAATGCGTCACGTCGTCCATCGGATTAGCATAGGCAGGCGGAGAGAGAGAGAGAAGTGATAATGGAAGTGAAATCCACCCATGATTTATTGCACGACAATATTATCCAGTCCAGTCCTGGAATGGTGATAATGGAACGCCAGATTAATTAAGGGTATCGTCACGACTTTAGTTGTGGCTTGGCGTTCATGGGGCTACGTGGTGTAAATATGTACACAATAATTCCATTCTGCTTTTCTGTCCTCAAGGTGCGTTGCGTCGTTATTCAATTATTTCAAACTCGTGTGTGTGGCAGAATGGATCTCTGATATGTATTGACCGGAAGCAGCTAATTGCTCATGTCTCTGTCACCACACTAGCGCATCACGCATTATTACATTGTGTTTGTCTGATTGGAAATTCGGCCAAGTGTGTATGCATAGGCACCCACCCAGCCATTGATTAGATTATTGGATGTGACCACACCTTCTTGATTACCACCCAATTTATTTTTTGCAAGAGGTGTCCTCCAATTTCCGCCCATATCCAATCACGGCATCCGGCAGTACCAACCAACAGGTACACATTCAAGCAAGGTAACTAATAAGGCAGCTTGCTAGGGTCCAGTCCAGTACGTGGTGATGGTGGTGGTTGTGGTGGTGGTGGCACTTCCGCTGGAAAACTGGTCTTGTCTCTCTCTTTCTCTCTTTCTCTCTGGACAGACTCCGTCTCAGATTCAGTCCAGAGCAACGTCTCGCCTGGAGTGGAGCCTGGCTGAATTTCCTCCCGTGAAAGGAACGGTCAGAGGGCAACAAGTGGATTCCGCCCGCGTGCTTTACTACCGAGAAGGAATTAGTGACTCAACTTTTGGCACTTTTAGGCACCACCACCACCACCGGAAACAAGCGTCTCTCCTCCTGATTCCCACGCTGGGAATTATCCCACACTACTCAAATCAACAAACAATCAACAATCCAGAATCATAACTGCATATTAATCAAGCCAATAGCGGAGGGGGTTAGTTAGTCCGCTGCTGCATGCATGCATGGTGAGTAGTGGCAGTGATGTCCACGGGTGACCCCTACAGCAGCTTGGCGACAAGTCGGCTGATTTCAAGCCGTCGATCGGCCTCTCCTCCCGTCACGAAAGTATCCCTTCTCCAGGGTCGCCTCCTCTCCAAGGCGCACTCCGACCTGGTTTCACCCCCCTCGCAGAGTCACAGTCAGACCAGACTCAAGAGCCCGGCCGTCGTTCAGAGAGCACTCATGGGAAATGCGCTCCGGTCCGGGAATAAGTCACAAAACCAAAAAAGTACCAGCGACACTGCCGCAACCGCAACCACGACACCTGAAAAAGCAAAGCAGAATAGCACCAGCAGCACTGGGATCCGGGGTCAAGGACGCACCAACACAACCACAACCACTAGTAAGGGATCCACACCACCACCACAATCACAATCACCGTCCACCACCACGGCACAAATTAAGGTACAACTCCTCCGCACTTCGCCAGCCGCCAAGATGAAGGAAATCCTGACCGCGACAGCAACCACGATCAACAAGGTGTCCAGTGGTAAAAAGTCTTCCAGTAGCAAAGGGGCAAAAAGCAGTAGCAACAAGGTCGCCTCCACCACGACTGCCGCCGCAGGTACGCCACAGCCCTCGAAACCACCCAGGAAGGTGAAAGAGGGGAAGGGCAGCAAAAATAGTGGGAAGACGACCAAGAAGACCGTTATTGTGACACCTCCGCAAAGTGAGTGTCGCAGTTTGCCCCTGACGACGAGTGGTAGTGCGACTACGACGACGACGAGGTCACAATCGCCCAAGACGCCACCACCGCCACCCATCCTGTCAGCCACGGTGAGTCTGAAGGACACTGCACCGTCGCCACGCTTCACAGTGAAGCACAGGCCACTCGCACCTCCTGCAGAGTCACGGTGAGAAAATTATTCGACTAAATATTGCTGGTCATTCTGCTTCTTCTCATTAGCATATTTTTTACCAGACACCACCACCGATCCCTCCCCTCGCTCACTCCGTATTTGAGTGAGACTCGTCGCGTGACCGAGTCGCAGTTCCTCCTCGCAGCGCCTCGTCCCACGAAAACGTCACTCATGCGCCACATCATTGCGAGAGATCCGTCCACTACTCCGCTCGCCTTTCGGGACTCCACTTTCCGCTCGACCCCGTCAGAAGCTACGCTCACGGGCAATCTGACCTCCTCCGATCTGGGCGTGCTACCCAGACAGAAGCGACGCAGGTGGGCTACCACGAGACAAGTTTTAATATAAACTATACATATACATATCTGTAATAAAATCGATATAAAAATCAGTCTTTCTGGTACAAGTAACCACTTGCAAGAAATAACGGGAAGAAAGTGGTTTCTTGCAGCTATTTTCACCTGCAAGAAATGCAAGGCGCAAGAAACACCGCGCATACGTCAAACGGCACATGGCTAAATGGCATATATTTCTTGCACCTTGCATTTCTTGTGGTGCAGTGAAAGAAATGTAGCAATCCCACAAATACGAGCACTGATAAGAATGCTTAAATTAGCCATATTTTACTTTGTCGATGTCTAGGTCCGTGTCCTGCCTCAATTTGCGCGATTATTCACAATACGTCCTCGCTCTACGTCATTCACACACTCGGTCGCCCCGTTTCGCCCGACTCCACTCCCTCTACTCAAGTTTAGACCGTCTTTGCGAGTTAGAAGCGTCTTCCGCCGCCCTGCCTCCACTCCTCCCCCTCGCCAAGAAAAATGATTTCGACGCCTGGTGGAAGGTGCGACATCGACACAGAATGGAGCAGGAGATGGACACCTTGTCGAGGTAACAGAAAAATATCTCGCATTAATTTTGATCAATGCTTTGTGTGAAAGCACATAACCACTTGGAATATATTGCCGTACGAAAGTGGTTTCTTGCAGGTATTTTGACCTTCAAGAAATACAATGCGCAAGAAACTATGCCCCGCCGCTATAGTTAATACTGCTGTGCGTGGCTACATGGCGCATATTTCTTGCAGTTTCATGCACCTTGCATTTCTTGTTTTGCAGTGCAAGAAATATAGCCAATAAACGAGACACTGATTTCAATGTCCAATTAATTTTCCAGAGAACTCTTCCAAGCCCAGCACGAACGGGAGTTCTTTTTCCGTCCTAAAACACCCCCAATTTGGTCACCCGATTCACACCTGCGCTTCAAGAAGTGGCGAGTTGAGGAGCTCAAGGCCTTCCTAACCGGGCCGGACCGCTCTTCTGCCGCGTTGTGGAAGCTGGACTTGTACAAGACTCGCTGGCGTGGAGTTAGCGTGAAGGAGCTCGCGTTGAATTTGGAGGTGAGCGACTTGTTCAAGAAGGAACAGCCCCCTCATCCCGTTCGAGGCCATCCTACGGCCCCGGTGCCCCTCCGCCGAGCCTTCTCCATGAGCTCCACGCTTTCCAACGAGCAGAGGGAAGGGATCAAGAAACGGATTGGCATGCTGATTGTTACAGCAGCCAAAAATGGGCATGGTGCTGACAATTCTGGGCGACAGAGCAGGTTGGGTGGACGGGCTGCGGTGACGACGAGAATGGGATTTACCCTGTCGTCAGATAAAAGGAAGATAAGCCCTCCGAGAGGATCACCGGATCCAGGTAGGCACTATTATAAATTCTTATTTTTTAGCCTGAGTCAGGGCTTATGTACCCGTCATGGTTGTCTGTCTATCTATCTATCGTACAACTCATCCAATCGACTTGAAATTTTACACACAGGTAGAACATGCAAAATTAGAAATCAAATTGGAAGATGAGCAAAATCTGTCAAAAAACAAAGCAAAAAAGTTGTAGTGGTGGCACTACCCACCTCAATTTTTATTAATAACTCGACTCGGGCTACTCTGAATTTTGCATACAACTTTTTGTCCCAATGTCCAGGTCTGAGTGAGAACAAGAAGAAGGAGATTTCCCACCGCATCAGTGAAGAGCTGAAGGAGCGTCACCAACACCAAAAACAGAATAAATCTGCCTCGTCTTCCATCCCGATTGCGACACGGATCGCGCTCCGAAAAGCGGAATCCTTCAGTGGAGGTGGTGCAAATAATAAGCGTCCCATTTACTCACTCTACCTCAGAAGTCCGGTCAACCAGCGGATCAAAGCGTTCGAACAATCAAACAATCAATTAATCAATGGAAGTAACGCATTGCAGGAAGACGTCCTCCCTGCGCAACAAGGTGCTTATCATCGCGACAAGATAACGACGACGACGACGAAGAGAAAGGTTGTCAACGTGGTGGCCCCCAGCAGCGTGCAAGGTCCTGCCTCCCTGCCAGTTCTGCCCGTGAGAGCGACAACACCTCCGTTCCGGTCGAACTCGCCCAGATTGAGGTCTCCCTCCCCGCCGAGGAGATCGGTAACGCCAACGCCGGGAGGAGGACCGCCTCTCCCACCACCAATCCCCCGCGAGTACGTGTCCCATATGAACGTCATCTCCAAACTGGCCGCCCTCCTGCTAAGAAGGAATACGCAGTTGAAGGCGCTCGTCACTCGGGAAGTGTTGGAGAGGGATCGGCTCGAGAGGTTGAGGGCGTTGAATTATGGGGAGGTATGTCAGGTCAAAGTTCAGAGGAAGGGTCAGGTTGGATTGACAATTTGAACTTTTAGGTTGAACGCCTCCGTGACTATTTCGAATCTGATCGAGGCGGATCATGGGACCAGCTCGGTTCCGCGTTTGACGAACCAGTGAACCTCCTCCGAGTCCTGTTCTGTTCCGATTCCAACTTGGCGAGGCTGGCGGAGAAAGCGGTGAAAGTGAGTGGAGTTGGTGCAAAACGGGCAGAACCGAGACCACCGCCGGATGGAAGCTCACCCACGCCGAGGATGCCTCATCAACAGCATCATCAGAACAAAAGCAATAAGGAGCTTCATCTCACCACGAGGTGTGCTACTAAAATTTTACAAATTAATTATATTAAAAAAGTGACAAAGTTCAACATTTCTAGATGTCGGAAACCCATCTACCAACCGAGCAGCAGTCCAAACGTGTGTCAACCTACTCTCACAGCGCATTGTTACTTGAACCATGGAGAGTCACTGGACAGGTTGGATAATGATAACGAGTACAACTCGCTCCCTCCCGTCGTCACGAGATACACGAACTATGATCCGTCCATTCATCAACCGAGGTATCGATACGTGCCTCCCCCACCAATTATTCTGCCACAGGTACACAACTAACCCGTGGCCGCGGAAGCGTAGGGAATCAGGGACAATGTCCCCGAAGTTATGTACTCGATGTCCCCATCATCTGTCCATGTTATATACACCAGTCCCTCCCCTTTCCTACAATGCTAATGTCCCCACATGTCCCCACGGCTTCCGCTGCCACTGGAAATAACCACAAATATGTGAACACCCAGTTTTCTCATACCCATTCGTCTGTTTCGCGTCTTGTAGAGATCCGCAAGTGCAATGTCCCGCATGGGTGGTGGTGGTCACGGCGTAGGTGGTGCTCGCCGGGTAGAAAGTTTCTCTGTCGGACATCACCATCATCGTCCTGGGGGTGAGAGAAAGCCACGCTACTTTGACTACGGGCTGGTTTGATGTCCTCTCCCTCTTGCAGTTGGAGGCCTGCCATCGTCCATTCGCAGAGCCACCATCAGAGCCTTGCAACGCCCATCGGCACAGGAAACGTCGGTTTGAATGAATCCAACTTCCGGTCTTAACTTTTCACCCTGCAAATAAATCTGACACATCCGTCGCAGCCCCTCTCGCATAATGAATTAATGAATAAGTAATTATGATAATTTTAGACGCCACATTAAAAAAATCAGTAGTAATTTTCTTGTAATCTTGTTATTGCACACCCCTCCATGATGCTATGGATCACTTGGCTTTATTGATTATTTCGTTTTTTTAAAAAAAAAGGTACAAAATACTTGCTCTCTGTACGTCCTAATTTAAATCTTACCAAATTTTGGTTGAGGGGGAAATAAATAGTTGGGATCAATAAAGAAATAAATTCAAAGATCTTGGAAAGTGGTTGTTTTAAAATATTACAGTATCGTTAATTTACAATAACTTTGTTCCTAATATAAGTACATATATAAAAACACAGAGATGGAAGGAAAAGATGCTTATTTTTGATATATTCTTTCTGTTAATTAATTTCTATTTGTTTAAGCTATCCGAGAATTGTTTCCCAAAACTCCTCGGATGATTTCCACTGTCTGTTTTTCCTTCTCGAGGAGATGTTCTAGCCGTTTCTGTTCTTCTTGGCCACGTTGAACTTCAGTTTGGAGTCGGTTTACCTTTGTGTTTTGTTTCGACAAAACCTGCAACAATAAAAATGTGAGCATGAAAATCCATTTAGTTTAATCTGAGGGACCATTCATTCACGCCTCTTTTAAAAAAATGTGAGAAGGATAGCTGATCAACTGTTACAAAAAGAAGAGTGTGGATTATTTGAGAAGGTTATAAGATTGGGTTTGCAAAACTAAAACTAACTCATTTGCAGATATTTTTTTAACTTAGACATTTACAAGTTCACTTCATTGAACCTAGGACTCGACGAGTAATCGTCAAAATGATCACATTTGTAATCATTTCTCGGCTCTTAGAACTTATTTTAAAATTCTGGACGATCAATTTGTAGTCAGTAAGTTGACCAATGAAATTGCGGTGAGGTTTTGAAGCCAGTTTCGATGAGTTCCAATTTTTCTGCAGGCTTCTTCAGATCTCCTCCTTTAAAAACTGTCAAATCTGGAGTGTATATTTTTTAAATTGGCAACGACCTGCTCTACAAACTTGTCCAGAATTTTCACATAAATCCCCAGAGCCGAGAATAACTAAATATGTGTTGATTTTGACGATTTTAGCGATGAATAATCGAGTCCTACATGTATGGTCTTAAAACAGTTATAAATCTGGTCAACTTGACTACTCACCTCCTCCTTCTTTTTAAGCTCCTCTTCCACCTCTTTCTTCTTGATAGCATCTGCCCTACGACCATCTTTCTCTTTGCAGAGTAGTTTCTCTAGTCCTAAAAATCAAATATATTGAAATTTCAAACTTTGGCCTTGACTCCTCAGAACCAGCAAATATTTATCTTACGTTGCCGATTAGTCTCAATTTTCTCCACCTCTTCCTCCAGTAGTGAAATTTTGTCCGCTTGTTCATTCATCTTTTTCTGCGAGAATCGTAACTTCTCTTCATGAGCCTTGGAAGTCTGTGAAACAATTTGAAACAAAACACTTACATTAATAAACGTGTCTGCATGTGTTGAATAAATATTAAATAAACATTGAGCGGGTGAGGGTGACATTCACTTACCTCGGCAGAAAGACCTTCCTGTTGATTCACGATATCCTTCAGGCAGAGTATTTCCTTTCTCAGGGAGTGACAATTCTCCTCTTTCAGCTCCATCTCGGCCAACTGTCTAGCTACAATCTCACCATGCTGGTTCAACTACATGTATTAGTAAGGCAACAATTAGTAAGGAATAAAACATTTTGTTTAGGAATTTTGCCTTACGTACCAATTTATTCTGCCTATTGATAATCTCCTCACTTTGAGAAACTCGCTCCTCCGACCTTTTTAATCGCAGTTCCGCAACATCCAACTTACTTTGGTACATTGTAACCACGTAGAGCTGCGATACCTGTGGTACGACAAAAGTAATAATTTTGCATTTTTTCTCTCAAGATGGTATATTTTCTCTCACCGTGTCTGACACCGACTCCGTCACGTCACTCATTTGGCTGTCGTTAGTCACCGCTTCCAAAGCCGACTCGATCATTGAGAGACCCAGGGTGGCCGTGGGTGAGAGAGGGTCGGGCCTTTGCTCAATGGAAGCGTGCATAACCTGGTACTGATTCATTTTAACCAACGACTCTGATAACTCCTTAAGACTAGAATAGATCAATCAACCAATTAGCGCACAAAATTAGAATAGATTTATGCATTTGATAGTCCAGGTAATAACTTTGATGACTTACTTATCACCAGAAAACCCCACGGCCGCTGTGATTGAGAGTGCTCGCATCACCAGAGTGGGATGTGTCGAGTGTATGGCCATCGCCAAGTGGCGACTTGCACCATTTAATCCAGTCAGTAACAAGCCAAGGATGACTTTTGAGCGAGAATTATTCGCCAGAAGGCTGAGCACTTCGATTACACACCACACAACTTCCGTCGTACTTTCCACCTCGATGAGATCCTTGATGAGTTTTTCGCAAGAAGCGCTCTCCTCCTGAATTTTAGCCACAACACGTTCTCGGATGGTCGAGTTGCCTTGCATGGTCCCTTTTTGGGATAGGGTGAGCTGGAGAAGATAACTACTTATCCCAAGTTCCCCACCAACCAAATTAATCAACATATTTTCACTTACGAGCTGACAAGCTGTGGTGTTTTGTCGAATAATCTCTGGTGAAATGCCGGGCTGTAATTTTACACTCTCAATCACCTTCTCGAGAAGGTCAAGAACTGACTTTTTCATAAAGAAGCCATTTGGTAAGGTCGCCATGGCAGAGAGTAAGTGATGATACGCGAGGTAAATATCGCCTTGGTTGACAACATCGTCACCACGACCTGGATCAAGTTCCAGACTGTGGATAATGGAGAAAATGGCCTACATGAAAGAAATAGAATAATTAACTGATGACACAAATATTTTTTAGACTGAATTATTGTAATTTATTGCATAATTTAGAAGAAAAAGCTGTAGCGCCTTCGTTATAATTACTTGCATGGGTTAGAAATTGACTCATGATCTCACCTCGTAGGTATCTGGAAGTGTTAGCTCATTTGTTTTATATTCAGGTACGAGTGCCTTCAGTAGTTGTAGGATGGGCTTGGCAGTAACCGACGTCCGTGATTTTGCAACAGTCAGTTTCTTGACTTTTTCCACTGTCAGCTTGACCAGCTCCACATACGTGCGAACAGATGCTGCCATTGACTCGGGATCCTGTAGCAAAAAGTAATAAACGATCAGGAATCAATTTTCATAATAAACACTCCACAACCCACTAACATCGTCCGGTTTCTGCGACTCTGTAACAGGGTCCGTCCCCGCCCTGGACTCCAACCTCTTGACGAGTCGATCAAACACCACTGCCAATTCAGAAACGAGCTCCATCATGTCGTTCGAACCGCCCAGCACAATTCCGGCTAATGCTCCCAAATGATGCAAGGCGTAAGTGAACAGCGTCGAGGATGAGTGAAGATCTTGCGTCAGCATGAACTTCGCCAAGAGAATGGAATTTCGCACGTTTTTTTCGTTCGGTTGGATCCGTGCATTAAAAATGGCGACCAACTTGGGCCACACTGTCTTCTTGAAGCGAGCAGACTTTTGGATTGTCCTCACCGCTAGTGGTCCAGTGCTCGAGAGGTTGGTCAGGATGGCTAATGCCGACGTGAACTGGGTGCTTGTCTCGGGACGAGATGTCAACACGTGGGTCACGGCAATTAGTAGTTTGTCAATCAGGTGGGAAGAGAGAGTAAATGAAGCAGCCGAGGCACAGATTTTAGTCAAAGAATCCACCAGAGTAAGGAGATTCGTCATGTCTTCATTCGAAATGTGGCCTTCTCCATCCTGCCCTATCAAGTGTACTGGGAGGCGGGTGAGGAGAAGTGAGGCGTTGACATGGTCTGAAAACACTGTTGGACACACGATCGCCAAAGATCGGAGCAACTGAGAAAAGATAACGGACGGGTCTTTGACGGATGGCAGAGTCGGGGTTAAAATCAAACTCAGGATCCCAACCAGTTCCGAGCGGTGGGAGGGAGACAGTTCCTTTGCTCTTTGACCAATCTCCTATAACCAGCAACAATTAAAATATACAAAACTATTAATTTCAATTCTGCCGTGTTCTCAAATAACTAAAATAAAAATTAATTACCTGCAAGGCCGCGATTTGTTGACCGGAAGTAGGGTCCCTCAACTTCTTAAAAATCTCCTCCATCTTCCTGACAAAGTATTTGACACGGCTTTCCCCCAACCTGCCGACCTTTGACACAGTTAAAAAACAAAACCAAACCGTCACCAAGTCCAGAAAAAAGAGTAACGAGCGAGTGCATGACAGTGGACTGGCGGGCCACCCGGTAAAAGAAACCGATGCACTCTCCGCACCACCACCGACCAACCACGGGGCGAGGTGAGATCGTCTCAACCTTTTTTTCTGGAGGTGAGATGAGACGGGGCAGGTGAGACAATTATTTATGTACATTTCCATCCTCCAAAATAATCATCACATTTCGCTTTCGAAATTAAAAAAAATTTTTTTTCGCCGATTTTTATCATTTCAAATGACATAAGTTTCAAGTTATAGTTGGCTGGCTGGCCGGGGTTGATGTCTTGATTATTTGCTGTGGACAGGGTGAGAACGGATGTGGATGGATCTACGACCTACCACTGCCCGAGGGGTTTGGTTTGATGTTTCATTGTTGGAGAGGAAGTGAGGGGTGGTGAAAAAAGCACTATGCTCTGGTACTGCTCACCACACAGTCGTCGTCATATGTATGAGAGAGATGACATAACAGGTGGTCAGGTGGTTGGTTGGTTGGTTGGTATTTTCCCCATTGTTTCCTTCCTTCCGTCCGTCCTCCTGTAATTTTGTTGCCTATTTTTATATAATCCACTCCGCTCCAGTCAGTCAAAAGTCCGAGAGCAGAGGACAAACGTCTCATTTTTCATTGATTCCATTCAATTTTCCACCTCTCGTGGTTGGTCATTCCGTGTGAGTGGCGACGACGAGGATAAGCGAGGGCAACAAAGGGGTGAGTCCTTGGGTGGTGGTGGTGGTGTGGGTGGTGCACTGGAGCGTGACGACGAGTAAACTGCTTCCTGACCCACTCTGCCTGCACCTGAATTTCGTTTCGTTACTTGGTTGATCCTATTTTTTGGGGTAGAGCGGAAGTGCCGTTGGCCACCTCAGCTTCAAACCACCACCGTCACCACCACCAGCATTTGCATCTCTGCTAACTAACTAAATCTTAATTAGAATTTGGTTTGGGGCCCAAATATTTGTGTCACCCACCAGCATTCGACTACCACACAACACAATCTCTTTATACGTAGATACGTACGTACGGGTGGCAGAGGTGCTTGATGCACTATTTCATCTCGCTGCGATTTCATCAGTTGGATTAACTAACCTTAAATCAACTTATCAATCAGGGGGAGGAACAAGTTATCTGTGAAGTTGTGCTTATCAAAATCTTGAGTAGTGGTGGTAGTGGTACTACAGCATGGAGAGCTACAGCCGTGTGAGATCGGTCAAGTTGGGCCGTTCCAATCCGGAAGCACCGTTTGGATTCTCGGTTCGTGGCGGACATGAACATGGGACGGGGATTTTCGTGTCCTGTGTCAACCCAAGATCCGTCGCGTACAGGCAGGGACTCAAGGTAGGTGGTCAAATATACTAATTAAGATAAATGTAAATAGGCACAGCAATATATTTATACATTTGGGCTAGGGCACAAATAGCCCCTTTTAAATAGAAAAGTTTCTTGTCTTTATTACAAATTAATCGTAAGTAAACTCGTTTTAAATTTGGACTGATGCACAACCTGCACACAGAATATGTAAATACATGTATCAACAGCTAACGATAGTGTAAAAGTGATGAATATTCGTAATCTGTCATGATCAGTCGAGATACCAAGTGAAGCGTGAGAAAGTGGACGAAGTGATCAATCTCGTTTCTGCAAAACCACAATTCCAGCAGATTCTTGTCCAACTGGCGATGATGGCAGAGAAAGTGGTTCCAACTCTTTATCTTCGTCGCCTTCCGTCACTGTGATCAGACAAAGAAGAGGAAATTTAGCAGTGTTAGAAACTACTTGTACGAAATAATGGCAACAAAGTGGTTTTTTGCAGTGTTTTGACCTGCAAGAAATGCAAAGCGCAAGAAATTATCCCCCTCACCCCGCACATAGTTCATAGGCTTGATTGCGCATATTTCTTGCAGTTTCTAACACCTCGCATTTCTTGCGTGGTTTGCTTTGCAGTGCAAGAAATGTAGCAAACCAGAAAGGAACACAACACTGAAATTTAGACTGTTTGCATTTTGAGTAAATACTAAACTTTCTAAATTTGCTGTTTATTAATTCGTACCCGCTGATAGTGGACTACAATCGCTCGTCTTCAGTTTTCCTTCCTCGTCAACTTTCCTGCCTTCCATGGTTGACCGTTGATGTTCCCCTCGCCAGGCAAGAATGCGTATCATTGCGTTGAACACGGCATCGGTTTCATACGCAGCGATGGCAATTGTCAAGTCATCCACGCGTTCAAGCAAGTCGTCAATTTCTCGACTAGTTACGTCCTTCTGTTTGAGAGGGAGGCTCACATCTCCGTACACGACTTTCAACTCGCTCGTCTCCTTTTTTAAAAATATAATCAAGAATTATAAAATTTTTGGGAATTTTTGGGAACTTTCGAATAAAAGTGTGACATGGCAAACTAAAAAAACACACCGAGTAATCCCCATGGACCGCGGATGCCGCAAGAATGGCGGAATTTCTGGCGATCCTTGTCGTCACTTGGTCATCGGCAGCTTCTCTGATTTCCAGCTCTGGGTACACTTGAGCAATGAGACAGTCAGAACTGGGGGTGTGACGCCGATGATCGCCGCTCGTGTCTCCGCTACAACAAGGAGCTGATTGTTGGGACGGAGACATTTCAATAAATTTTAGATAGAACGGTCAAGTTACAACTGATGACTGGCTGACTGGCTGACTGGAACTGAAAAGAAGTGAAAGACGAACAAACAGTCTGGAATTGCATAGAAAGCCCATGGTGGTGGTTAATTATAGTTGGACAGCAATAATCATGACATGAATCTCTCATGAATAATCATGTTTATGAACGAATACATAAATTGTACACTAGTAGTCACTTAGATAACCAGAGGGCAGGTTGTCTGGATGAATGCTCATGTAATTTTATCTGATTTCCAGGTTGGTGACCAGATCCTCCGAGTGAACGGATTCCCCGTTTCGGCCGCTGTTCATCATGAATGTCTCGCCCTCATGAGGTTGCGACCTTCCCTGCATCTCAAAGTCAGAAGTGAGTAAAATCAGTTGTTAAAAATCTGGCAGGGTCAGATACATACTCCCTGATTTGGTAATAACTTCCTACCAAATTGGTTGTTGTTTGTTTCCGAATGGTAAATTCTTCATTACTGAACCGTAATTCTCTTGTTATTACCGTGCCAGTAGAGTAATGATTTACTCTCAGTTTTCTAAGAGTGTGGATCGTGTGGGTGTGATCACGGCGTTGTTTTATAATGTTGTTGCCATTGCAGGCGTGGGGATGCTGCCGGTGAAGGAGAAGGCTGGCGACGCCCTGAGTTGGAAGCTGGTGGAGGAGCAGGAGCCGTGCGGTGGGGCGGAAGCAGGGGAAGCGGGGTCGGGAAGTCGGGGCATGTCGCGCCTCTCGGACACCTCCTCCCACTCGCTCCCAGACTCGGTCCCCACAGAGGCCAAAGTCTTCATCGACATGAGTGGGAGGAATGGATTGGGGTGCTGGTGAGCTAAGAAATATTTGTCTCTTATTGTACTCTAATGAGAATGAAGTTCAGTTTTGATTTTTGTTCCGCCAGCATTTGCAAAGGTCCTGTCGAGCGGCCGGGAATATTTGTCCAGTCGACCAAAGCGGGTGGTGTGGCGCGAGAGGCGGGTCTTCGTCCGGGGGATCAACTCTTGTCCTGCAATGGACATTCTTTCCTACACGTCCCATTCGCCGAGGTTTGTTGGTTTATTTATATTTATTTAGGCTACTAGATATAGTAACTTTCTACGCAAAAAACAACTCTGAGATGAGAGGGGTAAACAAAATACTTTTTCAAAATACGGTATTACCAAATTGTAGCACTCACAAAAAGACGAAAATCCACTCGAAGAGTACAACAATCTGTATTCTCGACGCAGATTATCGTCTTTTTGTGGGTGTAACACCCCTGGAAACCCAAACTCTGGAAGGAAGGAGCTCAAAACATTGTATTTTGACAAAGTATTTTAGTCACCCCTGAATTCTGAATACAGTTAATTTTGTAATTTGAAGTACAAAATCATTTTCTTCATTCCAGGCTGTCCAACAATTGAAAGTGAGTCCTCAACTTCGCCTCCGCGTTTTGAAAGGGGTCGCCTCTGACCTTTTCCCTGGAGAATCGTCTTCCGGCTATAATTCTTCCGCTTCCAGTCTGAACGGGGATCAGGGCGGTGGGGGTGGCGGAGAGTCGTCGAAGCGGAGACTGCATCGCGTCTCAGAAGAACAGCAGCACCAGATGAACGGAAACCACCACCAGCACCAGAGACCCGTCCCCTCCTCGTCCAGCATGCACTTGGACCAGGGCATGGCGTGGGACGAGGTGGAGCAGGTGTGGCGGAGTGCGGAGAGGGAAACCATCCTCATCGAGGTCAAAGGGGGCAGCAGCACCAGCAGCAGTGGGGGCTGCAATGGGGACAAAAATGTTATCAGTGACGAGCAACGTCTTCTGGCCGAAGAGCGGCGCAAACTGGAGGAAACCCAGCGTCGCTTGTTGGAAGAGGCTCTCAAACTGGAGGAAGAAAAGAGACGGTTTCAAGAAGAGAAGAGACATCTCATGTTGAACTCGGGGGTTGGAAGTGGGGTTGCAAATGGTGGGGGGTCAAACGGGGTTGGGGCTGAGTCCACGGGAAGTAATAGTTTGGTGGGGGCCTTAAACCAAGAAATTCTCAAGCGAGTTGAGGTGAATTTAATTAATTATTAATTGTAGTTAGTGAGTTTGGCTCAACTTGTGACAAGACTAAAATGATAGTTTATGAATTAACTCGTTTGTAGCGACGTGAAAGTGAGGCTCCCCTCGGAGAGGATGAAACCGATCAGGTGGGATTAGATGGAGAAAGACTGCCACGACCTGGCACTGTGGAGGCGAAAAGGACTCTTTTCAATGCTCAGATTGACGTAGAAAAAAGGCAGCAGCATGAACAGGTAACGCAATTAAATACTAATTAATTGATACTTTGTCATTTTAACTTATTTCTTATTTTTCATGCCTTTAGTTGATCGAGGAATTTAAGCGTGCCCATCGCAAAATGTTCGCTCCTGGAGAACCCGATCTTCAACAGCGTGGAGACAGTGCTGCCGACAGTGCGGTGAGTGCAATTAGGACAAGTTGGGTTCCGTATTAGTGTGACCTTTCCTCATTTTCCTTGCAGGACGCCGCTGCTGCAGAGCTGATTCGGTCCCGTCGCGTCCAAAAGGAGTTGGACCACGAGCGACAAATGGTAGCTCAGCGGGTCGCGGGGATCGTACGCCAACGCCAACTCCGGATTGAGCGACAACATCAAGAAAGTGCAGAAACGGAAAGGGAAATCAGGTGCAAGTCGCCACCACCACCACCACCAGTAATTTAAAAATATCACTCATAGTTGCTCCTAAATAATTAACGTAGGACTCGATGACTCTTCGCTAAAATCGTCAAAATCAGCACACTTTCAATCATATTCTCGCTCTCTAGGAATTTATTTTAAAACTTAGGACTACAAAATTGTGCAGCAAGTCGTTACTTTCAAAAATGTACACTCCAAATTTTGACACTTCTTGAAGAGGAGATCTCAGATCTCAAGTTTAAGAAGCCCTCATAGAAGTTGGAACTTATAGAAACTGACGTAAAAAACTCACCGTCATCCTATTAATCAAATTATTACTACAAATTTGTCGTCCAGAGTTTTAAACTAAATTCCCAAAGCTGAGAAATGATTAAAAATGTTTTGATTTTGACGATTTAGGTGATGATGAGTCATCGCTTCGTACGTTAAAGTACACTCCCTGTACATTCATGTATGTATTTATTGCAGATGCCTGCTCCTGACCAACAGGAACATCAGGGACCTGGAAGCAGCAGCAATAGCAGCAATATTATTACTACCACCACTGGCACTACAATCAACAGCAATAGCAACAATCCTACCACCAAGAAGGCACCAGCTCCACCCATTCCCACTCTTATTCAACCCAAACGAGTCATAATTGAGGAGCGATCAGGAGGTAGCAATTCAGCCGGAAATCGTCCCATCACCACCACCACTACTTCTACGACCAATAATAAAGGAAAAGCGCCCCCACCTCCACAACGCGGCGGATCCGTCCGACCAGAAAGCCCATCTCCTGACTACTCAAACTCACCCAGTCCCACACCCACGCGACACCACAACAACGCTGGCAACAAGCCTCGCACCCTTTCCGGCGTGGATATGCAGTCACTGGAATCATTCAGACTCAAAGATCCTCCCCGGTCGCCGAAAAAACCGCCACCCGTCTACTTTCCACACGGAAATAATAACCCCATGATGAAACAGCAGCACCACAACCAACAAACGGTCCAGGTTCATATGGTAAGTCAGCGTTAATAATAATCAAAGATAAAAGCATGACGACCAGTGTTTCGTTTCTTGTGGGTTTGCTACATTTCTTGCAAAACAAGCAACGCAAAAAATGCGAGGTGCAAGAAACTGCAACAAAGTGCAAAAAATATGCGCTATCCAGCTACGCTCCGTACCAAGTATGGCGCAGTTTCTTGTGTCTTGTATTTCTTTCAGGTCAAAATTCCTGCAAGAAACCACTTTCTTGCCGTTATTTTTTGCAAATAGTTACTTGCACCTGAAACACTGATGACGACCTTTCAATTCTAATTTTATTTGTCTATCCATATCAGAGCTCCTCCTCCTCAAACTTCGTGGAAGGCAACAACGCCAAGAATGAAGCACTCAGCGGTATCCTCAAAGGCGCAAAAACCATCTCTTTCCTCGACAAATATTAATTAATGAATGCAAAAAAAACTTCACGGATTTGCAGTCCAAAGTTGCGCAATGCATCGTCACTCACTCAATATCACAATATCACCATTTCCTATATTATCGTCACAATATTTTATTAAAATAATACAATACTAATAATGATCAAAATAATGATAATTACTAGCAAAAATAAAACCTGTGCGTACATTATAAAAAATAAAAGTCTTATCTTTATGCGAGTGAGTTCTCGTAGTAAAAAATATAATAGTTGAGTTTTTCTTCGTGGATTTGGCCTATTCATCACCGTTCACAATTCATAATCTATTTAAATATATAAATAAACTACTTGGTCTCCTTGTCCTGCTCGATCTCCTCGTCCGGTTCGGTGGGGACATTGATGGGGCTGCTACTCCCGATCCCGCTGCTTCCACCCGATCCAATCGTGATGCGGAAGTTGGGTTCGGAAGATTCTGATGAAGAGGACGAATCAGAATTCGAATTGGCAGAGGAACGTGACCGACTGAGAGATGGGAACAAGGCGGCGAGTGGGCTGGATCCACTTCCACCGCCGAAAAGAGCGGCCAACGGGTTGGAACCACTCCCACCGCCAAACAGGGCGGCAAATGGGTTCAGTGAGCCTGACGAAGACGACGACGAGGAACCACTCCTCCCCCCGTTGACGAATGGCGACAGAATTCCGTTCAGCAGGTTGAGCTGCGAACTCACAATGGTTTGACCTAGCTGTGAAAGCGACAAGAAAAAAATAGAGCGGTGAGCGAGACTGGGACATAAATACGTGAGGAATTAATGGGGGTAGTAAATAAATAACAAAAATTAGTAGTGGTTACTTGATTAGTAGGAGAAATACAATGGGTGGTACTTTTATTAAGAGAGGGTCCCAAGTAAAAACTTGAACGGCGTTCCTGCATACACAAACTTAGCCCGATTTTCTGCAGAAAAACTTTATGCAGATCGATTTGAGCAGAAAAATATGCAGAATTATGCAAGTACCGTTCTGCAGAATTAAGCTGATAGAAATTTTCGGTAGGATTATGTAGAAAAAAATACGCCGAATGCAATATGCATCGAGCTTTTGCTGATTACTGCAGAAGACGCAATGATTTCTACTCGGGATTCGTATTGAGCGATCTATACAGAGCTCCACGCCATGTCACTATCGGCGGCGTGGAGCTTAGAAATCCAAATTAGAATAGAGTTCGCAATAAATAAATAGTTCAAGCAGGTGAAGATCTATATTTACGAGTGGGATTAAACTGGAGACCAAGATTAATTGATTATTCAGCATGTTAAGCTAGTTGGTTAGTTAGTTAATTGGTGTGAGTATTATTTTTTTATTAATTACATGAGAGTCATCAGAACGACAAGAGGGTTGACTAGCATTACGTATTATGTATTAGCTTATGTATTATTTTTTAGTGGTATTTATTTAGTTAGTAGTGGTAGTCTTAGTAGGAGGAATAAGGGAGTCGACGACTTATTAATTAGTGGGTGTGGTTAGTTAGACAAGCTTTTTCGACTCAGCTGCTGCTGCAAATACATTTGCAATCCCGCTGCTCGCACTCCCATCCGAGTCGCGACGTCCGAGGGCGTTAAAGTTTATGGCGTTGGGTCCATTGAACAGGCTGGAAAAGGTCGTCGTCACCGTTTGCGCCAACTGAGAGGCAAAGTTCACTGCGGACTAGAGTGAAAATAAATAGAAAAAAATAATAAATAAGTTAATTAAATAAGAGATTAAATTCTTAATTGTCTCAGTGGTTGGTTGGTGGCGTCGATAAGTTAATTATTTAAGGTAGTCGCGTTAAGGTACAGCGTATTTAAAGTAAGTTTGGCGTTATCATGTTCTTCGCTACACTCAAGTCTTTCCCATTTATTCAACATAACAAATAAAAAAAGTATAAAGTCTGCCCACCAAGTGAATAGTGGTGCACATCGTAAAATTAGTTAAGTACTTATGCACCCCTACAAATATAATTAATTATATTTACCGTTGAAAACAATAATAAACAAAAAAAAACAATAGAAAAAAAACACATCCACAACATAACCATACAAGCTCGTAATAAACAAAAAAAATATAGTGAGTATTTCCTCTGGTTTTTTTAGTAGTAAATAGTGCAGTCGTCGTTGTACAAATGTCATCGTCCCGACTTCATGGTCATGATGATCGTCGCGATGCATTAGTATAGTCGTTATGGTCGTCAATTTGTTCATTTCCGTGCCGCCCATCCCCCATTGTTTCCACCAAGTCCAAGTCCTCCACCACCACCCGCGACTGCGGCCACGCTAGCGGCAGCGTTTGCCTTAGCCGCGGCTGCGTTCGCGGCCAAACTGCCGAACGAGTTTGCCACGGCGGCACCAACCTGCGTCACTGCGCCGAAAATGCGAGCCTTTGCGGCCAACACGTCACCCGCCGTTCGAGTGACGGAGGCCAGAACTGGGGGTGCGGATTGCACAACGGCGCCGACTATTTGGCCCTTGGCGTTGAGCAGGCTGAGCAAGGTGGAGACGGTTCCCTGCAAAAGGATGACACCATGCTTGACGACATATATTCGACACGTTTTGCGCTATTCTTACCTGCAAAATGTTGGCGGCAACACCAACCAAACTGTTGAGCAATTGTGTCGCAAAGTTGACCGTGTTGGCGGCTGCTTGAGAGAAAACGTTGATAAAGTTGTTGGGTGTTTCTGCCACGGTGTTGGGACCCTAGATCATCATCGTCACATACATGACACTTAACTCCTTGACCTCTACATGACCTTTACATATTTATGGTGGGTGACATACGTATGACGACTGTGGAACCCCGTAACCAGAGTCACGCTCGTTTCTGAGGACAGCTTCGTCCGTTGAAGAAGCATCTGCCGTCAGTCCTTTCGATCCTTTCGACAAGGTGGATGCGACGCTCTGAAAAAATTCATAAATCATAACCAATCCCGAATTTTTGTCAAATACTGAACACGAGACGACACAAAATAGTCCAGTCCTGTCGTCCGGTCGGAAGTTGTTGTCGTATTTACATAGCAAAATGTGCACGAGTCACGTCTCATAAATATACGTCATCATAATTATAAAATGTATGTATATCACGTTAACATTAAATTCGTCATTAATTAAAAATAAATAAAAGTCATTATCGTCTCTCATGTCGGAAGTCACGCCTTTTCGTCACGGTCAGTCTGTCCACTTGATCGGTGGTCCGCTTGCTTATCTACCTCAAGCGCTTTCACGATGTGTTCCATGTTTAACAAGTTCGCGACCGCTGGCGTGTTTCCTGCCGCGGTGGAGTCAGCGACCGCTGCAGTTTGTACGGTGTCCTCTCGTCGGTCGGCGTCCGTGTTTGTTGTCGTCGCCGTCGTTTTTAAAACGTTTTGAAGCTGTGCTTGGCTATTTTCCACATCTTGAAGTATTTGGAGCATGTCGGCGTATACCTGATAGTGATAAAGTAAAGTCAACGTAATGAGAAACAAGTAAGTTGTGTGTATGTCGGTTACGTTAATAATTCCTTATCATCATCACGTCATTATTATTGCACATATCTTTGATCAGTCAGATGCATACATTGTTTAAACCGCTTGGCAGTAAATACTACGTCGCCACTCATTTCATTCATTCCTATTCTTAACAAAAACACACAAAACTTGAGACTACTACATAAGTAAGTTGTGTACTTTTTCATGCACGCTGAATGAAAATATTGTAAATAAAAACAAGATTTTCGAGAGCGTGGGACCAAGGATTGAGTCAGTCAGAGTAAGAGAGGAAGTTATCGAAAAATGATTACGTAAGGTAATCACGTCCCTCTCACATCATATCACCGACGGAAGGAAGCAGTATTACTCCACATTCACTCACTCTCATTCAAACGAAGGAAGGAAGCAAGGAAGGAAACGATCACTAACTCTCACAAATAATAAAATGTGGTATGTACATATGCACACCGTATGAGTAAGTAAATGTACACAAGAAAAATGTGGTTTTTGCATAAAGCTCACTAGTGAACTTTTTCAAGAGAGAGAGAGAGAACAAACGAAACGTAACGACAAGACTAATTGCTCGCTAGCCAAGAACCATGACTTGACTTGATTATAAGTAAATTAAGTAAACTTAAAAGGACCAATTAGTTTTTTAATGCGTCGTCACGGCTGTGCATTTCTTAATAATTTTATTTGTATGCATGTACCTTTGACTCCTTGCCATTCTCGGCGGCGGCGGCCGTCTCGGTGTCTTGGCTCGCTTCGGCTTCCTTTCCGAGTGGGTGTGCCAGCACGACGGAGCATGCCAACATTAGCGCCACAAAGGCCGCCGCCCATGCTGATGAGGAGAGCTGCATCTTTTAATATCTGCAAAAAGAAAAACGAGAGTGAGACGCGTTCCTATACTTTCCCAGGATACCGGTTGGACCACTTTCGCCCCTAGTGGCTGACCACTTGACCACTTTCCATAAGTTTTTTCTTCCACTTCTTCTTCTTCTTGACCAAGACCAGCGAAACATTGGGATACGATACGTCACCTCGTCACGTAACCTAAAACTTGCGCAATGGACGAGTCGTCATGCAACTATGGGGTTACTGTACGTACACTAAATGAATGGGTGCATGTCGTTGGTTGACTGTTGAGAAATGTTGTGTGTAGAAGGCCTCGATTACGCAACCACACCCCCGGAAGACTAACTAACCACCCCACAAACTAACTATTGGAGCAAGAGTTGCACAAAATATTTTTTATTTTTTTATTTTATTTTTTTTACCTTTTCTGGTTATCAGGTCTTAGTTTCCTGAGAATATTGCTGCGTTCCCCACTTCACACAGGGATCCAAATCCTAGCACAGTTTTAGGAACAAAAACGTAGAAAATTTGGAACAAAATAGTATTTTTTCCAAATCACTCTCGTACTTTGCCGTTATTTATGTGCGTGCGTGTTGACGTGGGAGGCGTCAAACTCGTGCCGTCCTTCGATTTCCGGGGAATATTTGATTCAAGGCCACCGAAAGGATTTTAATATTATGCGAAATCGAGCGGTGGGAGGCAGGTCGGTTGGGACGTTGCGAGTGAGCGAGGTTGCGGAAGGGAACTGAAAGTAAAAGTGACTGGTGGTCATCTCAGCAAGAACGTAAGGGTCGCTTGGTCGGTCATGATCGAGGCAGAGGGTGGACGTGGACGATGAATTATTACGTGAGGCCACTACCTGCATGACTGTGCATTACCTACGCTGCCCTCACCCCCAAGAGGACTGCAGTTTAGCAACAAAGGTGAAGGAGAGGGGTCGAGTTTGCTTGCTACTTGCTGGGTTAGGTTAGTTAATTACGGTAAATGTGGTGATGGTGGTGGTGGTGGTCGATATTTCTGTACCAGAAGGGGCATAAAAACTTGCTTTATTTTGCAGAGGCCACGCCGAGGCTTTCTTATGAATAGTATGCCCTTCATTATTCAGCTTTTGACTCTGTGGGGATGAGGTGTACGTGTATTGTTGGGATGGCCTTGGGGGGACAAACGGGCTGACTGGTCGTGGTGGTGGTAGCTGCATGATTCTGATTTTGGTGGAGGTTGCATAGTTTTGTTGTTGCGAGAAGAATGCACATCATGATTTCGATTTGCCTGCATTCTCCTCTCATTCAATTCATTAAATTTTTATTGTGTATTTAAATCTTCTTGGCTGGATTGGATTCATACATCGGAATGCATTGTGTATATTTTATACACATTTTTATTCCTATTTCGACCAGTCATCAAGACGCCGGGGTTCCCACAAACCCTTCACAATACCAAGAATCGTATTATGTATGTGCAAAAAATTGAGAGTGCAGGGCAGAGTACAAAAGCTATCTATCCAAATGTTCTATTTACCAGTTTAGTGCAGTTAAATGTTCTCTCGTTGATTTGGTATGTGTGTGATTCTGATTTATTTATCCTTTATTCTTGGTGAATGGGTGGGTGTGACGTGTACACAAATCTTCTTCTTGTCTAGAAATAGAAATAAAACTGAGGTAGCTTCTTCTCCTTCGTCGTCACCTTAGTCAAGCCAGGTATAAAAGGTGCAGCCTCCTTCCACCTCCCACGCACTTGCTTCTTCCTCCTCGACACAGAAACAGATATTTGCAACGTCGTCGTCGTCGTCCCCAATTTGCATAATAATAATGACGCCGGTCGCACTCTTGGTCCTTAGCGCTTGCATCATCGGAGCAGTAAATGCACGACCACAATCGGCCGAAGCTTCTGCATCCGGCCGAGCAATTCCCGGCCTTCCGAGAGAATTCCAAAATGTCAATATTGAAAATTATTTGAGGGTAAATTACATACTATAAAATTATGTACACTTTCGTTTTCTTATCATGAATGACTAATTTCATTTCCAGAATGCCAAAGCGGTCCAATTTCAATTGAAATGTGTCATCTACGATGGACCATGTATGTCATGATTTGAATATTTAATTACCGGTGTATCGGTAATTTCTTACCGGTTTGCTACATTTTTTGCGCTGCAAAGCAAGAAATGCGAGGTGTAAGAAAGTGCAAGAAATATGCGCCATCCAGCCACGCGCCTACGAAGCATATAGCGTCGGGGCATAGTTTCTTGCGCCTTGCATTTCTTGCAGGTCAAAATAGCTGCAAGACATCACTTTCTTGCCGCTATTTCTTGTAAATGCACCAGAAAAACTGTCAATCTCATTGAATTTTTGTACAACACTTTTTTTTAACTAGGTGACACCATCGGAAAATACTTGAAGCGCAACATCGCCACCTGGCTTCGCACCCAGTGCGAGAATTGTAACGACGAACAGAAAGCTCACGCCGGCAAACTGATCAACTTTTTCCAGACCAATTACCCGAAAGAGTGGGACGATGCGGTCGCCAAGTTTGGCAAGGGTTCCTTCACCGACGAAGAAATTGCCAGATTCGAGGTGGATCTCGGTGTCAAAATTATCCGTGATCCGAACGCTCCCACCGCGGCGCCAGGGTCCAAACCAGACCACAATAAATTAGCAGATCTCGCAAAGGAAGGCATCGCCGTGTTGAAGTCGACAAAAGAACCACTCATTTTGAAGAAAGATTCCACCACGGAAATTGTCCCGACAGCTTAATTATAAAAAATTGGACAAGCAACTGAACAAGAAATTGGGCTTTTTTTCAGCAAATTTTTCTGCACATTAATTTCTTGCCACTTTTTTTTAAGTCAGGTACATGGTAAAACTAATTGGTTCAGTTTTTCATCCTATCCTGTACAACTCACTCTCCTTGTACCACTCTTCAAGCTGTGATCGATCTGAATTACTGTCTTTCTTCCATCTCGATAAATAAATAAAAGAAAAATATGAAAGGTTTGAGAATATCGTAAATTGTTCAAGTTTATTTTTGTTCAACCCGTTCGTTCCCACATTAAAAGAAATATCTTTTTGTATGCACTTTTGGGCCAAGGTGGTCTGCTTAACTTTAACTTTAATTTTTGCTACTTATTAGCTGAGCTTCTCCACATTATTTTAACGTCATCATCATCAAATTCTATTCATCACCAAATTGATTACTAAACTGATACCATTTTGGTTTGGCAAAATTTCATCATCCATCTCGCAAATAGTAATAATAATTTAATTCCAAGTAAATTATTTAATACTCGACACATCATTCCATTGAATTATTTAATAATAATAATTAAGTAGATGTGGGGATGATGATGATACCGCAAAAAAATCAGCCTTTGTCTCTGAGTGGTGGAGGTGGTTGTGGATTGTTGATATTTTGAAAAGAAACAATAAAAATGATACGCCAGAATGATAAGCCTTCTAATAATGTATGAAATGAGTATAATACTTGTGTGCATAATGTGGTGCCAAGAAGTATGTATTGTCATCGTCCATGGGATTTCCTCTCTCCTGGGATTATTATTGTTCATCCTCAATAAATTTTCTGCAACTCATCCACACCTCGAGTGCATGGTATTTATAATGCTACTTATTGTAAAGGCGTTGTTCTACACTAGCAATGAGATTTACTTACAATGGAGGTCTCCCAGTGTATGCTCTCCGATTTTGGTCAAACTAGTGTCAATCGATCACAAATTTAACTAGTGACTAGTATGAAATTTGCGAAAAACACGATCTCCCAATGGGCATGTTTGGCAGAGATATTTGGACCCATGGATGTATAGGAATGGATGTTTGTTGCTAGTCAGTAGTCGATATTGCTTAATTGCTTCGTCTCTTTGAAGATAATTGTTAATCTGATTATTATTAATAAATTGGATCGATTTTGATGAGCATAATAGTCTGGAAGCATGGTCTGACTCTTTCCTAATTTACAAAATAAATCTTGTCCTCCCCACTGTGTCAAATCATGGGATTTTTAGTAATTTTGCTATTTGAATTACATTTAATTTGTTGCACAATTAAAAAAGTATTTTGTGGCATTTGTATAATTTGTATAATTGTCAAGCATTAATTCAATAGGAATATATACAATTGTATGACTACCACACCATTAATCTACCTGTCTACTACTTGTCAAAGCCACTCACAATTATAATTATACCTTTGTAAAATCGCTGTAATTATTCATGTTCAAACAATTTTGTCCCCACCCCAGGTCATATATAAACCAACCGCTGAGTTCTACTCTGCTGGACAATTCTGCTATTGATCCAGGGATGTGTATTTCTGAGGAGTCCTCCATTGCCCGACCCATGGAATTGGGAAGCATAGACTCCTCACAAATGGATATCAGCTCTCATGCTGGTTCCAGTTCCAGGATGGAGACAACTAGTATTCTCGAAATATGCCCATTTTGATTACAGATTTGAGTGCCAGTACACATTACAGTACCTTTAAAACATAGCTCCTTAAAAGCCTCTAAAATTAATTTACGATTTCGTTTTGAGTACTTGTAATTTTAACATTTGGCAACTTTCCATCCCCTTTCTACCCTAAAAACATGTTAAGGACAGTCCACCGCACAATTAATTTGACTGAGATTAAGGGGAAAAAAGTTAAAATGAGGTAAATCAAGTAATTACGATAAATCTAACTGGTCCCTCCCGCAAATTATAGAATGTACGCATCTCCATGATTGTTTATCGTCTAAAGATATAGAAATACGTACATGCAAACTGTTGCCTCTTGTGACTATGATAATGATATATGAACTTGTTGTGTTGAAGAATAAATGGAGAAAGTTGTTCAATTACAATTAAAAATTGACCGAAGAATATAAAAAACTTGTCAGCAAAAACAAACCTATGTAAATATACAGCAGCCATATTATTATATCAAGAGCACTAAATATGTTGAACTAAAAATCTGCATATTATTATCTATGTATACATAAATTAATCCAGATTGTATTAATAAAAAATTAGTGAGAAATTTCTACTTTAAGATGGAAAGTTGACGGCAAATTGATCACAATTCAATACTACAATAGTATATATAAATAAATTAAAAAAATAAAACTAAGGCGAGAGGCGCTATTAAAAACAAGAAACAAGCCCTCCCACCAACACCCCCGTCTCGCCGTGGCCACATTAATATTTTTATAGCTGGGGGGTGTAACCACAATTTTATTTTTTGAAATTCTTTCCTGCATTATACACAATTTAAAAAACCAATAATGTGATACATATGCCAACATGGGTTCATGTCATTTTCATGAAAGTGTCATAAGCTTGTCACACAAATGTCGGAAATCAAAATACCAAAGCTTGTTTATTTAACTCGTTTACCAGACCAGCTAGCTTAATTCTGAAATTTCTGAATGCAAATTTAGAATGAATTTAATCACATGATTGCCTACGTTAAAAGTTGGTTTTAAGAAGTAAATATTTCATTTTTTGTACGAAGGTTGATGAATAGACTCCGGGTATGTATATCTTCCAAACTTTTTCAACAACAATACCGATTGACTTGATACTTTAGGATCTCGGTTCTGGTAATAGATTTTCCTTAATCAAAAATCTTTAATTAAAAAAATGTTTTTATACATATTTCTCGATTTTATTAAACATTTTACATAAATCCCAGATAACAATTCGCTCTGAATTCTCTTATGTTTCGATGTTACATTCGCTTTGATATCGATATCGAATTCGCCTCGAATTTCCAACTTTCGAGATAAATTCGAGGAGATATCGAAGGGAAATGTCCGCCGATTCGACAGGGAATCGATGGAGAATCGTATATCGATTTCGCCGGTAAGTCTTCGCGATTTCGTCTTGAATTCGATGAACATGTAAGAGTTTATAACGATTTCTAAACGAATTCAATGCGACTTCTCCACGAATTTAATGCGACTTCTCCACGACTTTAATGCGACTTCTCCACGAATTTAATGCGACTTCTCCACGAATTTAATGCGACTTCTCCACGAATTTAATGCGACTTCTCCACGAATTTAATGCGACTTCTATACGAATTCACTGCGAATTAAGTAATAAATCGATACGATTTCTCCTATATTTCGAGTTAATCCAGCTTATAGTTTATTTTATTTATTCTAAATATTATGTAATATACATAACTGTTTCTATTAAAATAGACATAAGTTGAATAATCAGATGACCCTGGTAGTGAAATTGGCCGCGATGTTAAGTCACTTCCTATTGAAAATATACTAATGTTATTCCCAAAATCTTTTGCAACAGTTATTATCGATAGTATATATTTGTACCTCATACGCTTCCCAACTCTATCTGCGACTTTCTTAAGAGATTTTTGTATTTCTTCGTCAACTGTGCCCTCGTCTGTATGATTTGGAGTCCTAGGGTGAGCTGCTACCGCATCTGAGATTAACATATTTTTAAAATCTTTTAGAGTGTTGCATAAGATTGCATTATGAGGAATTGTAAATTCAAGGGATCAATTTTGGATACTATGTCTAATATCAAAAGTATCAATTTCACCTTCACTTTCTGAGCTAATAGTTTCAGCTGAACTTACTTCCGACTTCAATTTCTTCCAGATCTTCCTCGAACACTTGTTCTGAATAAATGTTTTCCCTTTCGGCCTGGACTAGGTCACTATTTAAATTTTCCTCGAAAATTTCACTTGGTGTTTTTACAAGTCTTCTTTTGTAGCGAGCACTCAACTGAAAAAGTCGTCTCCTTCCCATGAGGATAGATTTGAATGTGGCAGCTAAAATTACTTAAAAATACAATAACAGCGTGAAAGAGAGAAATCACAGTAAATTCTCTAAGAATTATTTACGAATTCGAGATTCAAGGCGAACAGTTTATAGTCTCCTATTCCTGTAAGAAGAATCCCTATCGAAATCGGGGAGAATTCCTCACTACAATAACAGCGAATTCCTTTAAGAATTCATAGTGAAGTCGTTTCGAATTCGATAGAAGAATTCTCTGAGAATTCGAGTCTAATTCATTACGAATTCTGAAATGAGCGTAATATCGAATTTAGATACGAATAATTACCGAATTCGATGCGAATTCGATACGAGAATAATAACGAAATCTGAGAGAATTCGAGTTCTCTGTTTTAACGCGACATTCTCTGCGAATTCTCTAAGCGAATTCATAGCGACCTGTTATCTGGGATGTATCGGCGTTTTTAAGAATATATTTATCCGGACTCTGTTGATTAATACTAGACTGCATGTTTAAATTGAAATTAACGTAAGAACAGGTAATAGGTTTTAAAAGTGCAGTGCAATATAAGATTGTACTATATATCGATTTTAAATGCAGTTTACATTAGTAGTTAAAGGTTTGAAATTCAAACTTTGAATCATAAATTGTGATTATACCCCCCAGATATAAAAATATTAATGTGGCCACGGCGAGACGGGGGTGTTGGTGGGAGGGCTTGTTTCTTGTTTTTAATAGCGCCTCTCGCCTTAGTTTTATTTTTTTTAATTTATTTATTTTGGGGTTTTTAAGTGAACAATTTTTTAACTCCGTCACTAAAAACCTACAGTGCAGACTTGGTATAGCCCGAGTCAGCGAAAGGTTGGAATTATCACCCAATCCGACTTTTTCAATGAAATTTTATTATAAATGCATATCAATATTTTTAAAATAAATACTAATGGTTCTAATTTAAATTCACATTCTTACATTAGTAGCAATTGGCAGCATATGTAATAAATTGCGGTTTGATACGACGATTAAAATAAATCCTTTCGGGTCATTCCAGATGAATATCTTTCCGATTTTACTTAATTCATATTGTTCCATTACGAGCCATTACAAATTTACAGACAGACGGACGTGACGATTATATAAGCCCTGGCTCGGGCCATCATTTACACATACATATAAAGAATTTCTTTACTATAGTTGCTATGGGTGTAACTGAATTTTAAGAATTTCAAACCTCCATAACTTCGTCATTTTGCATCCGATTTTCATGACCCTAAAGAATGATCTTAATAATTTTTTAAGCCCTTTCGATTCCCCTTTGCCGATTTTTCACTTTCAGCGGAATATTTTGAGATACAGAAAAAAAAGTCACTAAACCGAGAATTACACCATGAAGGTATGAACCGATTAAGCCCAGAGATCTATAAATAATACTACAAAGAATTTACTACCCGTTGGTCGAAACCGCATGTCTCTATGACGTATGGTTCTCTCACAATCTTATCTGACTGTTTTGAGGTGGGCACTTAACTGCATACTATGGCTTCGCCGTAACCATGCACGTATTTTTTTGGGTGCATGGTTACGTTTGGGTCTCGCCTTAGAAAAATCAGCCAGCATTACATTATTGGGCCATTTCAATTGCAACAAATCGGTTGCTCTCTTTTTTATTCAGTCAAAAATCAAGTGTGTCTATTTATAGCTAGCCGATAAGGTCAGAAATATTACTAAATGATTAATTTCAATGTTATGCATGTCCACAAAATAGTGATAAACGACAATTATGATGATGGTAAGCGATATTAAGATATCTATTTGAGTAGCTGGATAGGACGCCTTCTTGAGTTATATGCACGTAAGTTGTAGTTAATATTATTGTGATAAATTATTAAAAATTTGCCATCAAACATGTAAAATTAGTTGTGAGGTAGGTTACGGTAAGGTACGGGTACATATAATTTAAATAAATGTAGCAGTACTTACCAATATATTGATGGCTGCAAGTATGCATTGATAGAACGACATACTCGTTTCAATCAATTATGAAATATTTATGAAAATAAATATTGGACAATAAATGATGGCCAAAAATGGGAATTTATTTTGGGAATTTATAAAAGTGCATGAATTTTTTGTATTTGCCTTCATCCTATTTACCCCCGACGGAAGTAGTATAGACATTGATGATGACAGTTGATACACAGCAGATCTTTCCCAGGAAGTGAGTGAGTTTTGGCTGAGTATAATTAGTAATATATGACCTTGGTAAACAATAAGAATTGAAATTAAGATTGGCCCGTATCCCAATAAATTCTGGCAAATTGTGTACATATGTACTTCATTCCACTAAAAGTTACGATATTTTCTCGTATTAGTTTAAAATGCGTAAGAATTCCTCAAAATCTTCAATTATGACCGTTGCGGCTTAGTAGCTGTGCCCCATGGATGACTTGACCATAGCCCAGCTATGATGGCTGGAAAGTGATCTTCGCCCTGGTTTTTAGACACGACGTGAGACTTTGCTCATTTCATTAGTGCTTGGGTCTCAAACAATCTCATCTCACCCCATCTGGAAATTATCGATCCGAAATGTCATCCCAATTCGATCATCCTTTTTCGCCCAGACGAGACGATAGATAGGCAGAGAAGAGGACAGGACATACACGAAAAGACACAAGACGTGGCCTTGGAGTGAGTGGCATATCATTCATCATCATCATCATCGGCCGGAGGAGCAGCTCTGTGTCGTCATCATCGTCATGAGGGTGACCAAGTCGTCCCCTTCGTGGTGGTGGTGGTGGTGGTAAGTCAACTTATCAATTATAAGCATCACACATAAATTCATACCACACCCACCCACCAATCCATCCAAGAAGCATAGCATAGGAATCGTGCAGGACCATCAGTGTTTCGGGTGCAAGTATCCACTTACAAAAAATAACTGGGTGCAAGAAAATGGTTTCTTGTACCCGAAACACTGTCAATTTCAGTTATTTTGGCCTGTAAGAAATGCAAGAAACTACTTCCCACCGCTATAAATAGTTCATACGATAGCATATTTCTTGCAGTTTCTTGCACTTTGCATTTTTTCACGCTTCTTGCTTTGCAGTGCAAGAAATGTAGCAAACCCGCAGGAAACGAAGCACTGAGGACCAGGAGGCAGTGTCATTAGCTTCTCGTGTCGCAACACCGAGTTTGTCCTTGCGGACCGGTGGGATTTTGTTTGATGACAAGATCATCATCATGTCACCAGAAAGTCCTTATTATTACGTTATCCTTCCTACCCTCTCCGTCGACAAGACATTGACAAAATGCAGGCCAGCAAAAAAGCTGCAAGGCTAGGCTTGGTCTCACATTCTAGTCTAGATTAATCTGGTTTTATAGTTTAGTAACACACATACGTACACACACACAGTTGAGTTGAGGGTGGATTAGTGGACCAGAAAATGAATGGATTTTAAAAAGTACGTGCATTATTATTACGATTGTTATTATTATTACTATCGTGGGACCATCCACCCCTGGATTTTGCGGGACAGGAGGATCCCACCCTGTCTGCGTAACCGGTGAAACTTGGGTGGACGCTCCCTGACCGTTACAGTTATCTCTTGGTGCCTTAGGGCAGCCCACCGACCGCTATGCATACACACACACAACCACAACACCCGACCTCCAATCCTACGTAGATACCTCTCCCTCGTCATCATCTGAACATCTGAAGAGTAGACATGCATGCAATGATCGCAATGATCTGCATTTGCCTCAGCTGTAAAAGAACGAGAAGTACTGCTGCTGTCAGTCACTGTGTGCCGAGGCGGAAGTGGGGCAGTTGTGGTAGTCAATCGTAGTAGTGTTGTATACTTAGCAAACAGTTGCTCTTTGTCCCTTGGGTGTGGCACTAACAAAAGGCAAGAAGCACGTCACACACAGAAGCGTCGTCATAATTAATCGTCATCTTAGGCGCCTTGGCCACTACGAGGTTTTTGGAGAGAGAGATAGCATACACACACACTCGTGAGACTGGGAATTCCTGTGGTGGTCAGATTCCATTCGTTCCTCCTCTCTATTCCAGGATGAAACCTGCCATGTGGTACGTGAGCATGTTGGTAGTGGCCTTTTTCTACATCTACCTCACCTGCGTCCAGTACATCCGGGGAGAGGAGGCTGTCCCATCCGCGGTGGGGAGACTGGGTAAGTCGTCAAGGTCACTTGGCTCATCAGCATTAAGTGGTCAGACTAATGGCTGCGGAAGCCGCGGGGACATTAACATTGTGGGATGGGGGATGGGGACGGGTTCAAATAGCATGGGGAGATGATATCGGGGGACATATTGGACATTGTCAAGTACTGACACATATGGTTAACTTTTCCGACAGGCGGCTACCCCTGGGCGACGCAGATATCGTCTCACAAAATGGTCAAGAGGTCGACCTCTCCCCCCTCGCTGGACTTTAGTTACCACGATTACGAGGAGATGACCTCCTTCCTGCGCGGCTTGAACGCGGCTTATCCCAACATCACGGCCCTCTACTCGATCGGGAGGAGCGTGCAGGGGCGCGAGTTGTGGGTCATGGTGGTCTCCACGTCCCCCTACAAGCACACCCTGGGCGTCCCCAATGTCAAATATATCGCCAACATGCATGGCAACGAGGCCGTGGGGAGGGAACTTATGCTCCATTTGCTGCAGGTAATATTTCGCAATGCTTGGTTATATCGGTGTGGTTGTGTTAACTAATTGCTGGATAATTGTAGTACCTGGTGGAAGGTTTTTACGAAGGGGACGACTACGTGAGCTGGCTCCTGACAAATACTCGAGTTCACATTATGCCCAGTATGAATCCGGACGGGTTCGAGGTGGCGAAGGAGGGCACGTGCGAAGGCGGTCAGGGCAGGTAATACTTTATGCAGAACCAGTGTTTCGGGTGAAAGTAACCACTTGCAAGAAATGATGGCAAGAAAGTGTTATTTTTGCTAGTCTTTTGACCAGCAAGAAATGCAAGGCGCAAGAAACTACGCCCCGCCGCGATAATTAATTAATTCTGTGCGTGGCTATATTTCTTGCACTTTCTTGCCCTTCGCATTTCTTGCGTGGCTTGCATTTTGCAGTGCAAGAAATGTAGCAAACCCGCACGCAGGAAGCGAAACAGAATAATACGTAGCGATTGAGGTGATGATAGTAAAACCACAAATTGAGGAAACTACTTAACTACCGCTATGTTTTATGTCACCTCCGCGCAGATACAACGCTCGTGGGTATGATCTCAATAGAAACTTCCCAGACTATTTTAAATCCAATAATGCCAAATCCCAGCCGGAAACGGAGCACGTGAAACAGTGGATTTCGAAAATTCAGTTCGTCTTGAGTGGGAATATTCACGGGGGTGCGTTGGTGGCTTCGTATCCGTTCGATAACACCCCAAAATCACGTAAGTTTCAAGCATTACTTATTAATTGATATTCAATCGCTTAATTCGACGCCGACGATAAGCGGGATATTTTACATATTTATCAAAAAACCTGCACAATATTAATTTTACCTGCTAAAAAATTATAATAATTGTTATTATCTATATAAATACGTACTCCTTGTTGCACATGAAACGACTGACTGACGACGACGACGCAACGGACGTTAAAAATAACTGGTATACGGCTGCCTCTATAAATTTCAGGGCGTTTGGGGTCCGCATTTCTTCAGCAGGGTATATTTAACACAAATCCACTATGGCTTGTCACAGTATAGCTTATCTATCTTCCAGCTTATTTAGTCCGTAGATATTAGTTAGTTCTAGTTAGCTAACTACACACCAAGAAGCTCACCCTTAATCCCATGTATGTATGCGTATGTAGTCTCATATTCCTCACTTTTTATATGCATCCCAATTAACTCTAAAATTAACTCTTTTCCAGTGTTCCAAAGTCTCGCCTCCGCTCAATCGTTGACCCCGGATGACGATACGTTTAAGCATTTGGCCCTCGTGTATGCGGGCGCAAACAAACGGATGGCGGCGGGTCGGCCGTGCAAGGGTCAGTCCGGATTTAAGGACGGTGTCACCAACGGGGCCAAGTGGTACCCCCTCCTCGGAGGAATGCAGGACTACAACTACGTCTGGCACGGCTGCATGGAAGTCACGCTCGAAATCTCCTGCTGCAAGTACCCCGTGGCTGCAGAACTTCCCAGATATTGGCAGGAGAATAAGCATGTGAGTGACGACAATCCCGGCCGATTTTGACCAAACTAGGATCAATTTGTCACTAATTTAATTAGGATGAAATTAGCAAAAGACACGATCTCCCAATGGACACGTTTGGCAGAGATATTTGCATCAGAAGAGGAGAAAACGCGCAGTAAATTTCGAAAGTGTAAAATTTATCAACTTTGATGTGCTTTTCCTCCTCTTCTGATGCAAATATCTCTGCCAAACGTGTCCATTGGAGACCGTGTCTTTTGCTAATTTCATTCTAATTAAATTTGTGATGGTTTGGTCAAAATGGGAGAGAATATGCTGCGAGTTCTCCATTGTGAGGGGCGACGAGGTAAATTTTGATGATTTTTTAAATTTATTTAAATTTGCATTAGTCTTTGTTGCGCTTCCTTGGCGAAGTTCATCGCGGTGTGCGAGGTTTTGTCCGGGACGAGGCTGGCAATCCGATCGAGGGTGCCACGCTGAAAATTAAAGACAGAGACTTGGGATTTAAAACTACTCGACATGGCGAATTTTGGCGAGTCCTCCTCCCCGGTAGATACGTATTAGAGGTGGGGCATGACACATTTTATTTATTTCCGAAAAGTTGAGTTAGTTCAGTAATTGACAAAATCGCTACGATTTTGACAGGCCTTTGCAGAAAACTATGCTCCTCGAGAGTTGGAATTTGGAGTGACACCGACCGGGCCCACGTCCCTCAATGTCACGCTGGAAAGAAGCTTGGTATGAAAATTATTATGTATGCAAATCTCTCACAAATTTCTGACAAATCTGACGATGGTTATGGAGTCTATCTTAATAAGAGTCACGGTGGAGTGTATGTATGAATCTCTGTCCTCCTTGGTGGGGGTGTCTCGTGTGCTTGACAATTATCAGTGTTTCGATCGGGTGCAAGTATGTAACCACTTGCAAGAAACAACGGGAAGAAAGTGTTTTTTGCGAGTATTTTGACCTGCAAGAAATGCAAGACGCAATAAACTACGCCCTGCCGATGTACTTCGTACTGCGCGTGGCTCGATGGCGCAGATTTCCTGCACTTTCTTACAGTTTCTTGCACCTCGCATTTCTTGTTTTTCAGTGCAAAAAATGTAACAAACCCGCAAGAAACGAAACACTGGCAATTATTTACTGCTTATCTAACCTTATCTGACTCTGCTCCTCTCTTTCTTTTCTGGTGGTGGTGGCGTATGCTTATCAGGACTGGGACGGGGTCGTACTTACATCCGCGACGGGCTCTCCTGCTGGAGAATTTTGGGATTCTTCTCTCCTACTTTCACTCCACTACAATAACCACTCCGTTCTGGTGGCGTCTTCGTCTGGGAGTAGGAGGAGTCCCCTTGGCGGCGGCGGTGGTGGTGGTGGTGACTTCATCTTCTCAACCCTCCTACTGATAACCTTGATGCACTTATGCAAATGATACATTGTCATTATAACAGAAGAACTATAGTCTTTCCCAGTGACCTTATCTATGCAGCAGCAGCACTTAAAAAAAATCTCTATAAATACTTCTGTATCTTACTCATTCACACTGCACTACCAAGCAAAAAATGAGGCGCCGCCCTTTTAAAACCTTATCATTCATTATTAGTACTTTTTGTGGGTGGTTTGGTTGCGCAGGGGGGCGGACGGAGTGCCATTCATTTCCCGGCCACATAGAATTAACAAACAAAACGAGCGGAAACTACTGACCAGACCAGAATAAAAAAACAAGCAATACTCTCTCATCTCTCTATCTCTCTCTCTACTCTATAATTCAGTAATATGTACTGCCCAAAAAAACCAGTATAATATACGATAACCCGTTAAATGATAACCATAAATATGTATCAATGTCGAACCAACCCAACACACCCTCTTTTTTGTACACCAAAAAACCACACTGATCACACGTTGTTGTCCCCATTTGCCTGATATGCAGGAGGGAGGAGGAGGAGGAGGACTCCTCGGCGTGGGGTCGTCCCCCTTGAGGGATGTCATCCACCTCAACGGCGGTCCCGACTACCACCAGCAGCAGCAGAATAATAATAATAATAACCCCACCTTGTTCAATCGGCTATTCAACTCAATGTTCGGATGACAATAAGATAATAAAAAATGTTAATAAAGTTACGATGAGATCAATGCTCGGACTAGGTGCGTTTGACCAAGTTTTTTTTGTGTCGGCTTGACATCATAATTCGACTCAAATTCATGGAAATGTTAGTAAAGTTACGATGAGATCAATCCTCAGACGACCAATTTTTTGTGTCAGTGTGACATCATCTTTATTATTGTGACCATCGTCTCAAATTCATGGAGATTCATGGACTGGAGTCAAACTGCCCCATTTCCAGAGTGAGCATGTGTAAGAAAAGATTGACAAGGGTGGGGTCACCCATTCGTAGATTCCCAAGGGACGCGTTGTGTGGGTGGTGCTGTCGAGGTGACCCTTGACCTTTGCAAGGAATATGGTGGTGGTGCAGCCCATTGATCTGGTTCCGTTCTGGATGGATGCACCCGTGTGAAAAAAGTAAGGCCGGAGGAAAGAAGAGCCTGCAGAAGTGGAAGTCTAAAAGCATCTCGTATAATATTATATAAATCTTGTACACTATAGAGCAGTCGGTTCGGTAGCGGTGGTGGTGGTTTTATATATTTCCAACGTTCAGCTCACTCCACCCTTCCTACTTTTTCTTTATTTCCTTCGTCCCACCGGACACGGCCCATGGGCGAGATGACCTTAAAATGGGACCCCAAAAACTTAGAGATTCGAACAATGTCCGTCGAGAAGACGTTGGAGCCTTTGGTCGTGCAGGTAATTAATTGCGTGGGTGGTTTGGTAGAATTCCAACTTGTCTACATCTTAATTTTTAAATTAATTAATTAGGTGACCACCCTGGTCAACACGAAGGGGCCCTCGAAGAAGAAGAAGGGTCGTTCTAAGCGGGCCCACATCCTCGTCGCCGCTGTGGAAAAGGCGACCGAAAACTTTATCGAGCGAGGGGAACAGATCGCGCATGAGAATCCGGACATCAAACAGGAAATGTTAGCGGCGGTGGATGAGGTTCGCAAAACTGGGGAGGCGATGAGTCTGGCTGCTCGAGAATTTGCGGATGATCCGTGTTCCTCCCTCAAAAGGGGGAATATGGTGAGGGCAGCGAGAAACCTGCTCTCCGCGGTGACACGACTCCTTATCTTGGCCGATATGGTGGACGTTCATCTTCTCCTGAAATCCCTTCGCGTGGTGGAGGACGATCTCGAAAAGTTGAAGAATGTCTCCTCCCAGGGCGAATTGATGGAGAGTATTCGCTCCTTTGGGAGAAATGCGGCCGATTTGATGGTAGCGGCCGCCAAGAGGCAACAAGAACTTAAGGTGGGTGGTCTTGGAATCAAATTATAGTTATGATTAAAAATTATTCTTAAACTTACATGTTTGTTGCAGGATCCCCAACTCCGTGACGACCTCGCCGCTGCTCGTGCCCTTCTCAAGAAGCACTCTACGATGCTCCTCACCGCGTCCAAAGTTTATGTCCGACATCCCGAACTTATCGCGGCCAAGGCGAATCGAGACTTTGTTTTTAGACAGGTTTGCGAAGCCGTGAATACGATTAGCGATGTGGCGCAAGGGAGAAGTGGGGTCGGATCACATCCGTACGATGGGCCAGGAGAGTTAGCTGCGGCTCTAGATGATTTTGATGTGAGTAGATAACAAATTCAAAATTTAGGACAAAAAAATTATCTCCATTTGCCATTATTTATTAGGAACGCATAATTATGGAGCCCCTTGCCTACAACGAGGTACGAACACGACCCTCTCTCGAAGAACGGTTGGAGTCGATCATCTCTGGCGCAGCCTTGATGGCAGACTCGTCCTGCACTCGGGACGAACGGAGGGAGCGAATTGTCGCGGAATGTAACGCGGTACGACAAGCCCTTCAAGATCTGCTGTCCGAGTACATGGCCAACATGGGGAAAAAGGAGCGGAGCGAGAATCTCGAGAGAGCAATTGAGCACATGTGTCGGAAGACGAGAGACTTGCGGCGACAGTTGCGAAAAGCGGTGGTTGACCATGTGTCAGACAGCTTTTTAGAGACGAGTGTCCCCCTCCTCGTCCTTATAGAGGCGGCCAAGGCTGGCAATGAGAAGGAGGTGGAAGACTACGCTCAAGTCTTTACAGAACATGCAAACAAGCTTGTAGAGGTGCGTCAGTCAAGGAAGAATTGTTCTAGTTACAAGTTACACATAACAAATAATTTATTACACTAATTTCAGGTGGCCAACTTGGCCTGTTCCATGTCTGGGAATGAAGATGGGGTGAAAATGGTTCGATATGCTGCCTCTCAAATTGAAAATCTCTGCCCGCAAGTCATTAATGCGGCAAGAATATTGGCGTCCAGGTCGAAATCAAAGGTGCCTAGATAATTAATTTTAACTAATAAATTTGCGTCCCCATTTAGTAAGTTAATTAAATTGTAATTATAAATAGGTGGCATTGGAAAATATGGATGTATTCCGTGAGACGTGGGAAAATCAGGTTCGAATCTTGACCGAGGCGGTGGACGATATTACCACGATTGATGATTTCCTTGCCGTGTCAGGTGCTTACATACACATTAAATTATGTTGATGAGATGTCAATATTGAAATTGTATTAATAATTCTAATTAATCAGAGAATCATATCTTGGAGGATGTCAACAAATGCGTCTTGGCACTTCAAGAAGGTGACCCAGACTCTCTAGATCGAACCGCTGGCGCCATTCGTGGACGGGCTTCCCGTGTCGCGAACGTCGTTACGGCAGAAATGAGCAATTATGAACCGGGTCTTTACACGGAGCGGGTACTAGAAGCGGTGAAAGTTTTACGGGATCAGGGTGCGTGGCACGAATGATAATTTGTTGAATTATTAATGATTATACCCATCAACAAAACAATAATAATAATCCACATTATTTAGTGATGCCCAATTTTGCGCAACGCGTCGAAATTGCGGTGGAAGCTCTTTCCTCCCAGCCACCCAAGGACGTTGACGAGAATGAGTTTATCGACGCGTCCCGTCTCGTGTACGACGGAGTAAGGGAAATTCGTCGAGCCGTCTTGATGAACAGGGTGAGTTACATAGCACACGCAATTAAGTTTTCTCGCCATGAGATCATTACTAACTTTCTTTGACATTTTGCTAGGCGGATGACGAACTGGATCCTGAAGACGTTGAGTTTGACGAACATTACACTGAAACAAGGAGCAAATGTAAGTAGATATTTTTGATTGCATGAAATCGGTGAATAATTTATCAGAACGTGAGACACATTTGTTTTTTTTATTTAGCCTCCGCTCACACTGGTGAACACATCGTCGACGAATATCCAGACATCAGTGGGATCACGACGGCGCGAGAAGCCATGCGAAAAATGACGGAGGAGGACAAACTCCGCATCGCCCAACAAGTCGAGAGTTTCCGCACAGAGAAGTTGAAATTTGACCGTGAAGTCGCCAAGTGGGACGACACTGGGAATGATATCATCGTCCTGGCGAAACACATGTAAGCATTGTATTTATATATATTTGTGCGATTAACTACCTACTAATAATTACTTGTGTATTTAATTTTTTTTAAGGTGTATGATTATGATGGAAATGACGGATTTTACCCGAGGCCGTGGCCCCCTTAAAACCACCATGGATGTAATCAACGCCGCAAAAAAGATCTCTGAAGCTGGCACAAAGTTGGACAAATTGGCCCGACAGATTGCAGATCAATGTCCGGAATCTTCCACCAAGAAAGATTTGCTCGCTTATCTGCAACGAATTGCTTTGTACTGTCACCAACTCAACATCACATCCAAAGTGAAGGCGGACGTGCAGAATATTTCTGGAGAGTTGATCGTGTCAGGGGTGAGTGGATTCAAGAAATTCTGAATATTTTTAACCTGTTTTTAACCATTGATTACCATTTTTTCAGCTCGACTCTGCCACCTCATTAATCCAAGCCGCCAAGAATTTAATGAATGCGGTCGTCCTCACGGTGAAAGCATCCTACGTGGCGTCCACCAAGTACCCGAGACAGGGCACAGTTTCAGTAAGCAAAAATTCTTAATCCACCACAATTCTTTTTCATTTTATCATCTTCCTCTCAAAAAATACAAGGAGGTCACTGACGCAGGCTTTGAGCCTACAGACACGTCTCGCTTCTACTTTCCCGTCCGACCCGACTTCTCCATACTTTATGGCGTGGCGCTGGTAAACGGCCCACTAACCGAGCACTAAATATCCACACCCAGTCAAAGCTCTGTCCCCCTTGTGTAGTAATTTTAGAAATGATAACTTGGTAGAAAATTAATCCCCTCAATTTTTTACTCCCTGTGTGTGCGTGCTTGATAACGATACTACTAATAACTTATCTAGAACTAACAAGTATTAACCGTGTGTTCAAAAATCTAAAAAAAGATAATTATGCTAATCACGTCATGTCCTTGTTTCAGCTACCTCTCGTCGTCTGGAAGATGAAGGCCCCGGAGAAAAAGCCCCTCGTTCGGAGAGAAAAACCAGAAGAGGTTCGAGCAAAAGTGAGGCGTGGGTCGCAGAAAAAGCCGCAAAATCCGGCCAGTTTCCTCAGCGAGTTTCAAAGTCCGGCTGAGGCTGTTTAATAGTAGTAAATATTTAAATACCAGTGACAAGCACACCAATAAATTAACTTACACAATACAAACCACCACCCTCTCAGGCCAGGAGACTGACTCGTCGTGTAGTAGAAGAAGAGGAATTATTATATAATATAAATTATCTATTTAAAAAATAATTTAAAGCAGCACTCATTTCCAGCAGCAGAAAATCACCACGCCCACCATTACCAAATTTCGCCGTGTCTCACCTACTACATACATCGTCTTTATATTGTATTGTAACATTTATTATTATTGTTATTATTATTAGTAATATTCTTATTGTTAAATACCATATTCTTACGTAATTGTTGTGTTGTTGAGCAAGCAAAGCACTATTTTCATCATCATCTCATGTAAAGATAATAAAACACTTATTAATTACTTGACTAATAATAATAATCGGAACCTGTATTCAACAAAATTCATTTCTCGTCATGAATATCAAATATCATGATCATGCAAGCTGGCATTTGCATATCGGGGAATATAATGTAGCATTTGGGGTATGATAGTAGTATGGATTTGTGGCCGGGCTGGTTTATTCCGGGGCTTGGATAGAAGAGCATTCGTCCGCCTCATGAGCAGTAGGAGAATTCTTCTCAAGGACAACACAATAATAATAATTAACTAACTGTTGAGTACCAACCAACTGTTTGAAAATGGGTACCTACAAAATTGTCATGGTTCGCCACGGGGAGAGTGAGTGGAACCAGAAGAATCTGTTTTGTGGGTGGTACGATGCCAACCTGTCGGACAAAGGTGATACAAAATTTAACAAGTTTATTCATGATCACGTGGGTGGGTGTTACCTTATCTTCTTTTCATCGTCGCAGGAATCCAAGAGGCCAAAGCTGCCGGAAAGGCGCTGAAAGATGCCGGCTACACGTTCGACCTTGCCCACACCTCGCAGCTGACCCGCGCCCAAAAAACGCTGGCTTCCATCCTCGAAGGAATCGACCAGAAGGATCTGCCCACCCAGAAAACCTGGCGCCTCAACGAGCGACACTACGGAGGACTGACCGGACTTAACAAGGCCGAAACTGCGGCGAAATATGGGGAGGAACAGGTGGCCACATTGACTTTGATAACCTTCACGTTTCTTGACCTTGAGCTTGATTTATTTTTTGCATAGGTTCAAATTTGGCGTCGCTCCTTCGACGTTCCCCCACCCCCCATCACGGAAGAGAACCAATACTACAAGGTGATCATAGAGGACCCCCGCTACTCGGAGGGCCCCAAGGGGGACGAATTTCCAAAGTTTGAGTCACTCAAGTTGACCATTGCTCGTACACTGCCGTATTGGAATGATGTTATCGTCCCACAAATCAAGGTAGCTATATAAACAGTGGATGATTTAATATGATAAGAAAATGCATATATTTTTGTCTCTTTTAGGCCGGCAAGCGCATCCTCATCGCCGCTCATGGGAACTCTCTCCGGGGCGTGGTCAAGCACCTGGACGGGATGAGTGACGAGGCCATCATGGGACTCAACCTCCCCACCGGAATTCCATTCGTGTACGAGTTGGACGAAAACTTGAAGCCCGTCGTTTCCATGCAGTTCTTGGGGGATGAGGAAACCGTCAAGAAGGCCATGGCCGACGTGGCTGCTCAAGGAAAGGCAAAATAGATCCAGAAATTAGGATTCAGAAAATTGTGTCAATTCGTGTCAATTCGTGTCAATCTGTGTAGAGCAGTATGTAGTAGTCGCTTAAAGAGAAAATATAATATTTGTGCAATATGAAAAGAATATTTGTGCACTATGAGAACAATAATGATATCAGTATGTACGTAAATAAATGGCGATAAGCCGGTGTTCTTGCCCTAACCATAATAATTCTATACATATAATTTTTGGCTGATGATTTATTATTTACATATATTATACATATGTATACAAGCTGAGTTGGTTAGTATGTGCTCAGCATGGAGGCATCGCACAACTCTTCCTCTTCCCCAATTTCCTCGGACATCGCCGACCCGAACTGCTCGGCTGAATGAGGACGTTTCTTGTCCGCGTTCGGAAGCCTGAAGCCCCACATGACACGGAGCAGGGGGACCATTCGGACCAAGCAGAGACGACACAGTCCACCCGGAGAGGTTCGTCCTCTTCCAGTTGGGGGAGTGGGTTGAGGTAGGAATCCGATGGTGGGTCCCTACACACACGCAATCAAAATTATTGTGTGGCGTTAGCGGATTATTGTGATCGTTTTGTTTTTCTGTCCGTGGGCAGGATATGCAGGATATGGATCATGCCCGTGAGGGGGCATGATAAAAAATTAAGTTTAGCCCAAATTTTCATATGGGGGTCATTTTAAAGGGAATTTAACCACGAAATCATGATTTAACCGGGGGTTGCAACCCCGTCAATAGTTTTGACCTTCGACCAACCAATAACCGAGAGGACAATAAGGTCAAAGGTAAAAAATGCATGATTTTCATGTGGTGTCATTTTATTGTATAATGTCACTTTTTATGTCCATTTGATGCGGTTTATTTTAATATTGTTACGTAATAACTTACGTCGCCGCCCCCAAGTCCAAATTGAAACTCTCTTCTGACTCGAGATACGGTTGGGCTGTCGTCGGTTCGATGCCGATGAACCAGGTTCTTCTTAACGACGACGTAGAACTAGGTGGTGGATGAGTTGCAACCGTGGTCGTGGGTGTTCGAGCCGGGGGTGGGGGCGTTGTTCGCGTAAACGACGCTTTTACTGTACTTGTGATCGTTGTTGGAGTAGTTGTGTCCGTTGGTGGACTGGACGAGAGGAAACCACAGACTTGTTGGCATTCCTCCACCGAGTCGAATCTGGAATGGAAGATCAAATTTTCGGTAACAAATAAATTTGGGATGAAATGGTACAAATTTTAAATAAATACACAAATCGTAACTACTTTATTTTGCAACCAAACTGTTCACGAGCCGTAAATGAGTCGTGGACAAGCTGGCCTAAAAATTATCAATTTGCAGTCTTTGTATTTCGTTGAAATTTATACCATTGCACCCGGAATTTATCTGGGAGTCCAAAAATGCTTAACATTTAAATTCGCACAAGTTTGTAACTATGAAGCAGTTATATTTAATTCAGGGCCAACTCATCTTTAGAACTACACTAATTTTCTAGTCAGTCTACCCACCTGTTCCTGTTCCCCTTGCATCCTCCGTACGTGAAGGGGAGGCACATCCCTTTCTGTTCATGGTAGTAAAATCTGAGCAGGTTGTCTCGACAGGGTCCTTGGTCCGGGTGGAGGGGACAGAGCTGTTCAGCCTCCTCCCTCTGAACGGTGCACCCCTCCCCGTACTCCCCCACGCAGTCCTCCGCCTCTCGCAGAGCGTCCCCACTCCCACCACTGCAGGTCTCCGGGTTCAGCAGGATTCTGGACCGGAGACGGATCCCAGCCCCGCAGGAGACTGAGCAGGGTGACCATTCCGACCACGGGGAGAGGGGGCACGTGGGATCATCGCCCGATGGATCGGATGCTGATGCAGTGGGGACAACATTAGCCTGATTGTTGGTGCTACTGCAAGGGGCAGGCCCGCTACAGTCCTCGCTCCCAGTAAGGTCCGCACTGCCGCCGCACTTTTTCCGTCCCATGTGGCTCTTGTAGCGTCGGGTTCGAGTACGCGTCCCATTTCCGCACGTGGCGGAACATGGCGACCATTCCGACCAAGGAGTCAGAGAACAGATGCCCTCATCGTCAGGGTCGCTATACACGAAATGTTAGATAACGTTAATTATCAGTACCGATAAGTATTTACATAAATGGGTCTCACTCTGCGGGACAGTTGGGTTGTGCTCCGAGACACATTTCTTTCTCGACGAGCTGCCGGTCACACCGCATCATGTCGGCCTTCATTGGGATGGCGTAGTTACGTTTACGCATGCGCAATCCTGTCATATGAAACGTAAAAATTTGTCGAATTCCTAAATTGAATTAAATAATTATGCCAAATTCGTACCCTTTCCACACCGAACAGAGCACTCGCTCCACGGCGTCCAGTCCAAGACGGCACATTCGGCTGAAATTAATGAGTTTGCGTAAATAAATATCAAAATTTAGTAGGATCGAGTCCTTGCTACTCACGCCTTTCAACATCGTTCTGCGAATTCTCGGCGAGAAACAGGGTCGAAGACTTTGTCGTATCGGAACATTCGCGAGGATAGATTCGAGTCCGTTCAATCTTCAGTTTTGCGAATGGGTCGAGTTTAGCCAGGCCGTGAAATGGGGATCTAGGATCATCCGGTGAAGTCGGAGTGAGGGGTACGATCGGACCGGAGGGATTAGTTGGCGTATTGGGAGACTGATTGTATATTTAGATCGTGAATTAATTAATTCATTAAAAGACAAAGTGTAGATATGTCATTATTTTACGCACCATGTACGTGATGCCGGAATCCGTCCCCGCATCCAAGGGGTAGAGATCAATACTTGTTTCTGGGAGCCAGGTGCAGTTTGGGAGGCAGAGTTGGAGGCCAGACACGCCCACGATCCAATCCGGAGAAGGGCCCAACATGGAGACCAGCGAGACGAGAGAACGCCACCGGTCGACACGGAAAGCGGCGACGCTCGTCCCTTTCTCGTTCGGGTGCCAGAGACCACGAGCTTTGATAATTGTGTTGATGAACGAAGCCTGGATAGATTTTAATTTAAAAAATTGTAACGAATTGTAAAAAAGTGTTAAAAAATGCATACTTGTCCCATCAACTCGGTCTCCAATTGGCGAGTGGAACCCCATTCGGCGACTGCTCGGATTCCCTCCGAAGCGGGCTGGCCGATCTGGTAGAGGGACATGTTGGGCGTGTGGGAGGCACCGATGATGTCTAAAACATTAGTAGGTTTTTTACTTCCAAATTCTATGCTATTCTAACAATGGAGGTCTCCCAGTGTACGCTCTCAGATTTTGATCAAATTAGTGTCAATCGATCTCAAATTTAATTAACATAAAATTTGCAAAAGACATGATCTCCCCAGGCGCAAGTTTGGCAGAGATATTTGCACCCGAAGAGGAGAAAACCTGCCGTCAATTTGGAAAGTGTAAAATTGATCAACTTTAAGGCGTATCATATTCTTCGGATGCAAATACCTCTGCCAAACGTGACGATTGGGAGATCGTGTCTCATGCAAATACTAGTTAAACTTGTGACCGATTGACAAGAATTTGCTCAACAGCAACATATGCTGGGAAACCTCGATTCTAAGTTTTTGTCGCTAAATGTAACCTGAGAAATGGACAAGCCACTCATTATCTGGAAAGTCCTTGGGGTGCGTTTCCTTCGACCAGATTCCTTCGAACATGACATCGTACTTGGCATCGTCACAGGCACAGCACTCTTCACTAGAAGAAGTTGGTGCGGGTGGGGCCGTTGTCGTGGATGGCGTCGGTCTCGCAGTGACGACGTCAATTTGTGGACCTTGGGATTTTACCGGGGATGCTGTAACTGAAGCTATCGTCGCAGTTGTTGCCTCGGTCGTCGTCGTCGTAGCCGTCGGTGGTGGAGGTGGCCCTTGTGGGCAAAGTGTCATCGAGAGCTGTCCTTCGTCCATAAACCAAACATGCGGTCGCTCCACCACAGTCACCCTAAAAATGTGTCAAAAAGTAAGTCATGGTTGAAAAACTATGCCAAATACTAGAGATGACCACAATACTTTGTCAAAATACAGCATTTCGATCTCTGTTCTTCGCAGGGTTTGGATTTCCTGGGATCTTACACCCACCACAATGAAGAGAATCTACATCGAAAATACAGGTTTTGTGAATAAATTAACTTTTTTCGCTGTCAAAATACGTTATTTTTTAATCTTGAAAACAATGTATTTTTTGACTGCGGTAAATTGCAATTTCTTCACAATTTCTTCATAAAACCTGTATGTTCGTATGGCATTCTTGTCGTTTTGTGTCACCCCTGGAAATTCAAACCCGGAAGAACGGAGATCAAAATCCACGAAGGTGTGTACATAAATAGATTTACTAACTTGAACGTAATACACGAAGCGACCAGAACGGAAGGCGCAGTCCAGAGAATCGACACTTCCGCCTTGGGTTGCCTATTCACCGAGGTTACGCCATCCGGACAAATATCAGAAAATCGGGTCTTGGACTCGTCCACGATGTGAAAAAGGCCCGTCGTCACTAAACCCGACGCTCCAACCATCGCTTGCTTCTCAGACTCGGACACGAGCAGAAATTCGGTGAATTTTTGTGTCGAGTAGCGCGTCTTAACTCCTTGCACGGTTACTGAATTAAATAAATAAAGCGTTTCATTTCTTGCGGGTTTGCTACATTTATTGCACTGCAGAGCAAGCCATGCACGAAATGCGAGGTGCAAGAAACCGTAAATTTCTTGCCCCTTGCATTTCATGCAGGTCAAAATAGCTGCAAGAAACCACTTTTTTCCCATTATTTCTTGCAAGTGGTTACTTGCACATGAAACACTGAATAAGTAGAACCAAGGTCAAAGCCTATATGTAAATAGGCCACATTCTATTTATCTTACCCGTGTAAACTTCATTGGGCACGTACTGCCCCCGAGAAGCTAGAGGACCCAGGATACCCACGCGGAAGCCACCATCGCCTCCTTGCTTGATGGGAGAATGTCCTTCAATTCGACGCTGGTCGCAGGCCAAATGTTGTCCCGGGACGAATCTGGGGAGCCCACTGACGATGAGGAGGAGGGCGTAAAGGAGCAACTTTTCCGTACCCATTTTTCCGTTATTTCCCACTCGGTGGTACTTTGCAAGTATTTATTTTTCTTGGCCAGTCACGGGGACACCACGAGTACACACGCTTGCTGCGTATCTATGTCTGAAGCGGAAGAAGTAATTGAGCAGGAGAAGCCGTAATAAATAAATAAATGAAAATGAATGTGCAGCAGCAGTCGAAAAGATAGCGTGGTCAGTCAAGTCAGCAGACAGTGGCTGTGATGGTGTTGCTGTGAGATATCATTGTATGGAGTTATGTAGTACATAAAATTCAGTGAAATGTGATGGGATGCTCGATAAATGAGTTGCCCTTATGACCTTGCTCCTCTCTCTCTGGAGATTCAATCGACTTGTTATTTTTGTCCATTTATTCGTTATAAAATGAGCCGACATTACGCATGGGATCGTGCTGGTGGGACAAACAGTGTTTCTGATGCAAGTAACTACCGTGGTTTCTTGCGGCTATTTTGACCTGCAAGAAATGCAAGGCGCAAGAAACTATGCCCCGACGCTATAATTCATACCACGCATGCCTCGGTGGCGCATATTTCTTGCACTTTCTGGCAGTTTCTGGCACCTCGCATGTCTTGCGTGGCTTGCTTTGCAGTGCTAGAAATGTGGCAAACCCACAAGAAACGAAACACTGGTATCGTTCTGCTGGTGGGACAAGACTGTAAATACTTGAATACGTGGAAAAAGACAGGGAGAAATTATAATCTAAGTAAATAAAACACATAACGTGGATCAGTCTAATACATAGAAAAGCGAGGAAAATTAACTGAGTATGTAGGTACATGAGTAATTAAAGAGTAAAAAATAAATTTGTTGACGATGGATGAGCAGATGATGAATGGGACGTGCTGTTCAACTCCAAAATTAACTCCTCCGCCTGTTCGAGGCACTGTTGGCGTGCGCTCGAGCTCCCCGTTTTTTGGAAGGGAGGCACTCGCAGGTCCCCAGATTGAAATAAAAACCAGAACTGCAGTCGCGGAGTTCGCGACACGTGCAGGCGCAGTTGGTCGGGTCCCACACTTTCAACGGTTTTTCGCTACAGCTCATCTGCTCTGCCGTGTTGCGACAGACGCAGAGACATTCCGACTCGCGGTAAACTTGGCTGGGGGTACAGTCCTGGAAATGTTAAGGTACAAGTTAAATATCGTTAGAAATTTTTATGAAGGAGAAATTTCTCTGACTCACTTCCGGTTTCGTCCTGCAACGACACTCACATTTCGTGTGTCGTTCGACACTAACCCACTCTTGCGCCACGAAGTTTACTTTGGCCAGGTCAGCGACGTATTCGAATTTTTGAACCTGTATAGAACAATCGTTGTAGGAAAATGAGAGACACGGTATAAATTTTTATGATGATACTTAGGATTAGTGTTTCGGGTGCGAGTAGATAACCACTTGCAAGAAATAATGGCAAGAAAGTGGTTTCTTGTAGTTACAGATTTTGCCCTGCAAGAAATGCAAGGCGCAAAAAACTAAATACGCCCTGACGCCAGGTTTCAGAAGACACGTGGGTTGGTGGAGCATATTTCTGGCAGTTTTTACACCTTGCATTCTTGCGTATTTTGCTTTGCAGTACAAGAAATCCGCAAGAAGAGAACACTGATGGTAAATACTCACGGGAACATCAACTGTGCTCTTTTCACTGGCCTCGCAGGCGAGAATGTCAGTCCCACAGCAGCCTCCGCATCTTTATTGGGGTTAAAATCGCATCGTAAATAATTACCTGGCTGAATTTTTAATACAAATTTGCGTACCTTTCCACCCTGACGCATCTGGGATGATGGATGATGTGCGGTTCGTAGTGGACACCGACGGGGACGCTGCGCTCCTCTGGGCGACATGCGGCCACACTCCACCCCGGTGACGCAGGCTTGTTTCCCATTCGCCCTGAGCATGTCAAGTAAATATATCTTACGGCTTATCGAATGATAAGCGAGCTGGATATGTACCTATCACCGTTGGCGACTCCTTCTTTGGTTGCCCTATCGTTCTGTTAGCTGCGTCTTCACCGGGCAGACCGATCATGGTGAGCTGGGTCTTGGCCACGCCACCATCCCCGCCAACGATGACTTTCTTCCCTGTCGCACAAAATTATACACGTGGTAAGAAAAATTATGCAAGGTGTTCCCACTAGGATTTTCATCAGTTTTGGACACCGAATTTTTAACGTCCAAAATGTCCAAAAGTGTCCAAAATGGGACAAAACGTTCCTCAATTTTGAATCTTTTAATAATCCGTTTACATACGTAAATGTAATGTCTCATTCTTAAATTTTGAGCATTTTACTGTGTAATACGGCATATGGTTTAGAAAATTTCTCAATTTCCCACAGAAAACATCATGAAACAAATGTTTGCACAAATTTTATAGAATTAGTAGAATTGCAGAGCAAACAAAAAGCTCGCAATTAATGGGAGATTGCACATCTGTGCATATTTAGATTTGCAAAAAAGTCATTAATAAAGAGCTTGAAACATGTTGCCCCATTTTCCAATGTAGGACATTTTGGACGTCCAAAACTATTTTTCCTAGTTCCGGACGCTTTTGGACCGTCCAAAACAAACCACTGATTCCCATTGTACCCACCTCTCTCATCAAGAATCGGTTTTCCATCCATGTCCACGAGAAACTGTTCACCCGTCGTGACACTCGAGTTCACGCGAACATTGCCACCCAACGTTTTGAGCGTGGTGACCCAGTCTCCCGTTCCGAGCGAGCGGAGGAGATGTAACGGAGGCTGCGATCGCGGCTTCGTCGTCGGTGCGCTCATACCATTCCAACCTCCGGAATATGACCCTGTCGCCGTCATGACCGAGTTGGGAAAGAGGATAAAAGGGCTGGAGGATTGGTGGCGGTTGGTTTGAGCAAAGGAGGTCAGGAACGTGACGACAAAGAGGACGAAGAGGCAGTGAAACAAACGTTGCAACATTTTTACCCGATTTTTTTTTGTAAATTAGACTTTTTGTGAGATCCTCCGATCCGAAATGTCTCCCGATTTTTGCACAATTCTAAAAAATAATTCGCAAACAAATTTGAGACTTTGTGAGATTCCTCACTCACTTTCTGCAACGAGTCGCAATCTCACCCACCACACTCTAGACTCACGGCTTAGTAAATAGAAGCACAAGTTTGCATGAGACGACGAGCGAGACCCCAAAAAGCAGTAGAGCACAGAGTCCAGTCCTGTACTACATTCGTGATGATGGTCAGTTTTGCCTTGTGCCACTGCGAGTGAGATGCGACATGGTCAGTCTTGTTGGACGGATGGATGTGGTGATGTGATGAATGCTGTAATAATCCATCCTAGCAAAAAAAGAAGCTGAGAAGATTATTGCATGCAGAAAAATTATGATTTTACTCTTCTCTAAGCGAGTTCCTGGAATTACGAGAGGAACTGTGTGCGTGGGAGGATGAGATGATTGGCTTATTCACACTAACTTTAACTTGACTTGGTCAGTCAGTGGGTGGGTTGAAGCAGTTGACGTTATTCGTGCCTGTCTGTCAGAAAAAATTAGATGGATGGAATCATCATGCATGCGATGACGTTGGCGATGATGAGACTTTATTTATTTATTTTTTGGTGGTGCATTGCATGTTTTTTATGAGTATGTGAGCAGGGATGACAAAAATACTTGGTTAAAATACAGCATTTTGAACTTCATTCTTCCCAAGGGTGTTACCCCCACAAAAGACGAAAATCTCAATTGCGAATACAGCAGTCGTACGAAAATACTAGATTTGTGAAGAAATTAATATTTTATCGTTGTCAAAATGCATGGTTTTCACGATTTTCCAAAAATTAGTGCTGTGACAGCAATCAAATGTTAATTTCTCCACAAAACTGTATTTTCGTATGATTACTGCCATCTCCACATAGATTGTCGTCTTTTTGTGGGTGTAACACCCCCGGAAATCCAAACCCTGGGAAGAACGTAGCTCAAAATACTATAATTTAACAAAGTATTTTACCCATCTTTGTTTTTAAGTAGCAATCATCATTTCATGTATTTATTATCATTAACTATTTTTTAACTGTGTCCCCAATTGTGGGACTAATACTCGTTCCATTTGTACAAATAAACCACGAGATGAAATGGAGAATTATAACGACCGGTGATACTTTTTGTCGAGTGGGTGCGTCAGTCAGGAGTCACTCAATTATAGAGTAAATAGTTGGGTTGGTTGGAGGTCAACCAAGCAACATAGCAGTCATTACTGAGATGACGGACTGACACAGCACACCCCACACATATAACAGTACACCGGGCTCGAGGAGTAGTGGCATTCAGTAGTAGAAGTAGAGATTCATATTTGTTTCACAACAAAGTAAACGACGACGACGATGAAGATATTCTTCGTAAATGGCACATTATCCAGGAAGAAGAACACACTGACTGACTGAAGCTGAAGAAGAATCAGTAGTAGTAGTATAGTAGTAGTAGTTACAGTAGTTGCAGCCCACTAATCATTTAGCGATCCTCTCGAGAACTACCCTCCTTACTGCTGTGGGGGAGGTGGTGATGATGATGGTGATGATGGAGTGGTGGAGGTGGAATCAGTGGTGGTGGGGGTTGCTGTTGTTGTAGTAGATGACTAGACGGCGGTGGCAGGAAACGGTCACTCATTTGGAGCAGACTTTCTCGGAAGGAGGCCGAAGATGGGTCACCAGATGCGGGTGGGATGATATTGAAGGGGGCAGGAAGGCCGTATCTGTATTAGCAGATAATTATGATTTACTTAAACTTGCTTTTGAATTTAAAGATCATACTCTTTAATGAACTACCTCGATGAAGATGAGGATGCCGACGTGGAAGAAGTTGGGCGATGTGACTTGTCCTCGCTGCTATTATTTCCATCACCGTTGGTCCGTATGGGAGAACGATCTCTGAACGGGGAATTGGGTCGTCTATTATTGTTCATCATTTCTCCAATTCCACTTCCAAGAGATTGCTGTTGTTGCTGTTGTAGGTCCTCGCCCCAAACTCCACCAAGCCCAACACGGCCAAGTCTGGAAAAATACAAGTAATTTTTTATTATTACCAAAAACGCAAGACTTTATCTTGTGGAAGAACTAAGTAATACATACCTTGCCCAGGCATCTTGCATATTGGGAGCGGCTCCATAGTGGTACCGTCCTGCTAACCCAGCCCCACTTGCCGCAGCTGAATATTTAAAATTAACTACAACTTTATCCCAGTTTAAAAAAATGTATTCATTCTTATTTATGACTTATTTACCCAAATGATGAAATAACAATTGTTGTTGTTGCTGCTGCTGTTGTTGCTGTTGTTGATGATGATGTATTTGCTGGTCCATGAGTGATGGGGGTGGTCTGTAAAGGTCGGCCACCCTCTGAGCCGCATTGGGAGGATAGGAGAGCGGGGGGCGAAAGAGATCTGGTGGGGGCGGAGGTGGGGTTGGCTGCAGTGGTTTCCGGTCTCCTTTATTCTGATGTTGGTAAATCTCCCAAGCGATCCGGACATGCATTACGTTCCAGCGACCACTCCGCTAAAAAGTGAATAAAAAAATAGAAAAGATTGAATTGAATTCCAAGGTATCCCTTATTATCTAATGCTCCTATGTATACATACCTTGGGTGGGAGTGGATGTATCTGTGTCGGCGGTGGTGCGAATGGCATGAGTGGCGCATATGGCGATGGGGACAATCCACGCAGCAACCATTCGTGCGGGTGGGGTTGCTGCTGTTGGATCTGGTGGTGATGATGCATAGGCGGTCGTGGGATCAAGGGGAGGAGAAAGTCTCTCTGCTGACCAGTCCCAGGCGTAAAGTATGTGGAGGGTGCATGCCGTGAGTTTGGCCACATCATGGATGACGACGACGATGATGATGGATCAAGTGATGAAGGGGTGGGCTGTTGGAGCAACTTTGGCGAAACAGTGGGCGGAGGTGGCAGTGGAGGAGGAGGAGCTACGGCTGGAACAATAGTAGAGCTTGAGAGGCTGCTCACGGTGCTGCTGCGAGACAAGAAAGAGAGTGAATGAGTGAGTGAGATGAATTAAGGATGACCATATGACCAAGTAATTAACTGTGTAGTGGAAATGCGTGGGCATACCTATAACTATCCCTCTCTCGGGAGGGTGAGTGACCACGGGGGGAGTGGTTGTTAGGCTGCGTCGGGCTGGTGGATGACGCCGACGAGGATAACGAGGCTGTCGGTGAATCGAGGAGTCGAGCGATGGAACCAAACATTTGTGACTTGCTACTCTGATCTGTAGAATATAAGATACATAACAATTACAATTAGAAATATACTACGAATCAGAATGGAGATCACGTTTCTGCGTACTTTGTTGTTTCGCAAGTTGTGGCACTGGTGGAGGTGGTGTGACTCCGTTCATACCAGAATCCCCATTGTTTCCATGATTAATACCATTACTATTATTGTTATTATTACTAATTGATGGCGCCGGTATGAAAGGTTCCATCCTGGTCACCGCATTTTGTGCGTATGGTGCAAAGAAAGAGGTCGCCTTGACCACAGCCACTGGAGGAGGAGGAGGCTGTGGTGGGGTTGCATGGAGTAGCTGCAGTGGTGGCGTGATTGCAGTACTGTTGTTACTCGGACCATTCCCATGACCATTACTCGCACCGGGAGGTAGCTCTTGCTGCTGCTGTCCTGTGATCAGTGGGGGGTGAGTGTAGCGCATTGTTGGTGGCGACAAGTTTGAGTCATCATCATCCTCCTCAACATCTATCGGTGGTTCGGACAATGGAAGCTGTAGTTGTGATGGTGCTGCTGGTGGTAGTGGGGGTAGCTGATGCGTGTTTTGTGGAAGTGGTGGTGGTGGCGGATTAGAATTCGTTGAATTCGTGGTAGTAGTAGTGACCACCTTGTTCTTGGATTTGCTGTTGTTCACCTTTTTCTTCTTGGTGGGTGGGTGGTGATGGAAGGGATGGAGATTATGGTGGTGAAGAGGGGGTCGGGGTGCGTCCCCATTTTCTTGGTCCATCGAAGGGGTGGTGGGAAGTGCCGGCTGTTGGGACGAAATCGGGGCCAAAACCACTTTGGGCTGCTTATTCTTCGGAGCGAGGGGGGACGTGTTGGTGGAAGTGGAACGGTTGGTGGCCGTCTTATTCTTCTTAACCACACCCACACATGCTCCGCCTCCGCCCAACCGAAGTGATCGCTACGAAACAAAAGCAAAACATTAATTGACATTAATCCACCTCATATGCCTCATTATATCAACTACTCACCTGGAGATCCTCGTAGTTTTTGTACGCTTTGAAAGTAAACCCGTCCACGACGTCTTCTTCCGCACTTGGATTGCTGTTCCTCTTCCTCTTCTCCTTATCTTTAGGATTTTTCCCCTTCGCCTCCTTATCCTTCCCGTTGTTCTTTCTCTTCTTCTGCTGCTTTACCAGCTCACCGTCACTTCCGGACAGGCTAAGAATCGTTGTTCCTCCTCCTCCACAAGCACCACTCGTGCCACTGATATTATTACTAATGCAACCACCGTCCTTATTACTCTTATTGTTCTTACTACCCTTCTTATTACTGTTATTCGAGCCGAGGCTAATACTTAAATTGGCCGTGTCGTGTTTGTGCTGCTGCTGTTTTGTGATGTGCTTCTTTTGCTGTGGGTGGAAGTCTCTCTGATTCGGTGTGGAATTTGTCGGTGGGGTGGTTGTTGTTGTGACGAGGGTGGTGATGGCCTCCAGGCGGCCGCTCATCTTCCTCCCTACTCATAATCACACCATGACAGGTCAGGAGGAGGTTGCACCGTCACCACCGTTTTCGTCTCGGATGATGATGTGACAAGATAAGATCAGACTTGATGATAAGTCGTCGTCGTCGTCGTCCACTCAACTACAAACTATTCCCAAGCACGACAAACTTTATCATGATGACGACTGGTCAGGCAGGAGGAAGAAATCCATCCATTTACTTGTGACTATATTGTTTTACCTTGGTCGAGACCCTGCGTGTCGTGGTTAGGACGACCAATTTGGCACTATCCGGCATGTACCGGGCAGCATGCTTTTGCCACTACGAAATGTAAATTGGTGGTAGTTGTGGTTTGTTGTTTGGTTGGTTTTTTCTCCCTCGACTACTCTCGCAGTAATGTTTATTATTTATTTCACTTCTTTTATATTATACATACACCAAGAGACACGGAGAGAGAGAGTGACGGAGTGAATTGACGGAGTGAATGAATTGAGAATTGTGAGATTATGGTTTCTATCCGAACCCTGGGCGCCACCTACGACGGAAATGGGACAGGTTCTGGACAAGATGGCGACACGGGGGGTATGCGGTATGAAAACTTTGTTCTCAAAATTTAGTAAAAATCCAGTCCTGTGACTGCAATGATAAGCACATTGGAAGTATTCATTATGAGGTGGTGTGTTCTCACGGGAACATAGTTTCGAGAAAAAATACTAGCCCCCTTGAGATGCGCACATGAATTTTCAAGCCAAATTTCTTTGCGAACTTGCGAAAACCTGCTTCTTTTGTTAGCGATGCAAACTTAACTCGTAATGAACATCTCCATTTCTAAAGCAATAAGTAAAACTAATAAAGATTGTAAAAAACATTCCCAAACAAATTCCTTAAAATTTTGAACTTTAAAAAAATGTCAACCATTCTGAAAGGTTGAAAGGTACATGTCAAATAATGGCAAATAATTTTTTTCTAATGTTTATAATTTTGCAAGTTCGAACTTTTTTGAAAAATAAAAATGTCGGAAATGTGTTTGTTAAATATTGCAATTATTATGACTGGAATTACTAACGTTTATATATATTTTATTCACTTGATAAGTTGTAAATAAGACTTTTTTAAGCGATACCAATGCCAATCTCAGCAGAGACACAGATCTCCATCAACATGGACTGAGTTTGATAGATATATGCCCTGAATTCAATTGTTTCTCCAGAAAAGTAATCATTGGGCACGATATCATACCTGTAAATAGTGATTTATGGTTAGAATAATTCAGTAGTTTAACTCGAGATAAACATTACTTGGCCGTGTAAACGAATCCAGGCTGGACAGAGGAATTGGCGAGTTCCGTTCGTACGATGATGGAGCAGACGCTTCGGTGACAGATCTCAACCCAAAGTGATAACGATGGGGAAGCAGAACCTGGAATAAATTAGCATAATTACAACTATGTAATTTTGTTTATTCGTAATCTCTTACTTGGCATAAAATCGTTCTCGCAATTGTAAACCTTTCCGGGTTGAAGGTTACAGAATCCGTCGCATTCTGAAATTCGTAGACCTCGTTGGGTACCGACGCCTCCGCAGCGAGTAACCCTTCAAATTGACATCAACATTTCACACATTATTAGCTTACAGATTAATTTAGGATTTGCATAGTACTCACGGGGATACGGTGCCGAAAGGGTTGTTTGACCTGGCGAGAGAGACCTCACCAACCGCTACTTCACCCTTGGGGGCGATCGAGAGGGAGGAACAGGTCGCCACGAGGGCGAAGAAAATAGCGAACAGCGATCGGAACATTGTGTCCAGAATCGAGACAAATTTCAATTCACGAATGAATCGAATGGTCGAACAAGTTGGTGAAGTAAGTGAGGAGCTGTTAGAATAGTGATGAGTGCATGATAACATAACGTACAAGATAAGCATAATGAATGATTACCGTGTTGATATGCTTAAAGTGGGATTAAAGTTAATTAAGCAAAACATTTCTAGAGCTTGTGTGTCATGTTATCATGTACGCATAGTGGCCTTAACGTAGGGCTCGATGACTCATCGCCAAAATCAGCACATTTGTAATCATTTCTCGGCTATGGGAATTTAAGTAAAATTCTGGGTGCCATGAATAGTCAAAAGTTAAACAAAAACCTACTGAAAGTTATCGATAAATCTCAATGTAAATATAACAGTGCGTGAAATGCTCACATTTTATTATTTGGGGATAAACTTTCATTATGTAACAAACGAACTTTGAATTGTTTAAAGAATATTGACATCTGCAGAGACACAGGTTTCCATCAAATAGGACTCCGTGTGATAAATATATGTCCTGAACTCAATTATTTCTCCAGAAAACATATCATTTGGCACGATATCGTATCTGTGAATTGTTAACAATTTAAATAATGTTAGTTAGTTACATGTGTAGAAAATTACGTAACGCGGATAATTAGTTTTTTTATTACTTGACCGTGTAAACAAGTCCGGGCAGAACGGAGGAATTTGGGAGTTCCGTTCGTACGATGATGGAACAGTCGTTTCGACGACAAATCTCAACCCAAAGTGATAACGATGAGGAACCAGAACCTGGAAGAGATTAGCATAATTAACGCGATGTATTTAGTAATCGACTACTTTTTAGTTCAAATTAGCATAATTATAATGACACGAAAGAAGTATTTAGTTTTATTTCTGATCTCACCCGGCATAAAGTCAGCCTCGCAATTGTAAATCTTTCCAGGTTCAAAGGTGCAGGATCCCTCACATTCGGAAACTCTGAGGGCGATTTGGTTACCGATGCCTCCACAGCTTGTAACCCTTCAAGTGTTAACAGTGTACTCATAAATATTATTCGTTCTGATTAGTTTACACCGTAATTTAGGATTTACATATTAACTACTCACGGATCTACGGTGCCGAAGGGGTTATTGGACTTGGCTACGACATCCTTTCGAACGATGGAAAGAGGGGAGCATGTCGCCACGAGGGCAAAAATAGCGAAAAGCGATCGAAACATGGTGCCGAGAATCGAGACGAATTTCAATTCATGAATGGTTTAAGTGATGGATAAGCTGGTGAGGTAAGTAGGTGGGGAGCTGGAGTGACAACAGCGTCCAAGATAAGCATTGTGAATGATTATGATAATGAGGCTTGATATGATAATGGCTTAAAGTGGGATTAAAGTTAATTAGGCTACACTTTTTCTAGACCTTAAGTGTGTCAGAGGCAGAGTGCTCGTACTTCAAAGTGTGAGCATTCGATATGCAAAATAGTTACATAAAAATTCCTGTGGTTAAAAGTCTTAGAGAAACATGTAAATAAGTCTCGATTTAAATATAGCAGTTACGGAAAAGCTTGCATTTTATTACTTGCGAATAATCTTTTTCTTACGTAACAAATAAACTTCAATTTTGTTTAAAGAATATTGACGTCTGCAGACACACAGGTTTCCAGCAGTCTGGACTCCGTGTGATAGATGTATGTTCTGAACTCAATTATTTGTCCAGAAAATAGACTAAAAAACAATCCCAAAAGAATTTAAAAATGTACATATAATAAAATAGCATTAATTAATTTAAATGACAAATTAATACTCACTCATTTGCCACAATGTCGTATCTATTATAATTTGAAAAATTAGTTAGCTTAGCTACGAAGAAAATTACGTAGTGCAAATAATTCAGTTTTTTTAATTACTTGACCGTGTAAACAAGTCCGGGCAGAACGGAGGAATTTGGGAGTTCCGTTTGTACGATGATGGAGCAGTCGTTCCGGCGACAGATCTCAACCCAAATTGATAACGACGAGGAATTAGAACCTGGAAGAGATTAGCATAATTAATCCGATACATTTAGTTATCGACTACTTTTTATTTCTAGTCTCACCTGCCACAAAATCATTCTCGCAATTGTAAACTTTTCCGGGTTCAAGGGAACAAGATCCCTCACATTCGGAAATTCTGAGGGCGATTTGGTTACCAACTGTTTACTCATAAATATTCGTCCTGATTGGTATACACCGTACTTTAAGATTTGCACATTGACGGCGGAAGCAGGGGGACATTGCCCCCCCAGAAATTCAGCGAAATCGTATTTTGTCCCTTCTCCTTCAATCCGACAATGCTAATCCCCCCCCCCCACTTCAGTCGCCACTGCATTTGTATATTACTTACGGATCCACGATGCCAAAGAAGTTGTTGTTTGACTTGGCGAGAGGGATTCCTCCACTCATCGCTATGTCATCCTTCCGGACGATGGAGATAGAGTAGCATGTCGCCACGAGGGCGAGAATGGCGAACAGCGATCGGAACATGGTACCAAGAATCGATACACACTTCAAGTCACGAATGGATCCAGTGGTCGGACAAGTTGCCGTGAAACAGGTAGTGATGAATGATAACGTCCAAGATAAGTAAATGATTATGGTTTATGATAATGATATTAATGGGATTAAAGTTAATTAAGCAAATATTTGTTCCACAGCTTGTGTGTCATGTACGCATGCCCAAGTGGTCAAATTTCTATGCATGGTTGGTGCTAATCTAAGTTCGACGGTGCCATTGAATAATTAAAAGAAACCTGGATAAATCCCGATGTAGATAAATTTAATGGTGAGAAGTTCATCGTTTATTATTTATGGATACGATTTCCTTTACGTTAAATACTAGTAAACTTTGAAACTTAATTTCTTTCTAAAGAATATTGACATCTGCAGAGACACAGATCTCCATCAACATGGAATCCGTATGATAGATGTACGCCCTGAATTCAATCGTTTCTCCGGAAAATATATCATTTGGCACGATGTCGTATCTAAGGATTGTTTCCAATTTCAGAAATATTAGTTAAATTACGTAATATAAATGGGTTAATTTTTCTGATTACTTGGCCGTGTAGACAAATCCGGGCTGCACTGACGAGTTGGCAAGCTCTGCTCTGAGGACGATGGAACACACGCCTCGATAACAGATCTCGACCCAGAGGGACAGCGAAGGGGCGGCAGAACCTGGAGGAAATTTGCATAATGTGAATCACAAATTTGCACACGTAATTAAGTTATGAGACTCACTTGGCATAAAATCGTTCTCGCAATTGTACACTTTTCCGGGTTGAAGGGTACAGAATCCGTCACAATCGGAAATTCTGAGGGATCGCTGAGTACCGACACCTCCGCAGCGATAAGTCCTTTAAATTGGTTCACTCATATTACTTCCTGATTAGTAATTAAGGATTTGCATAGTACTCACGGGGATACGACGCCGAACGGGTTGTTTGACCTGGCGAGAGAGACTCCTCCAACAGCCGCTACTTCACCCTTGGGGGCGATCGAGAGGGCGGAACAGGTCGCCACGAGGGCGAGAATGGCGAACAGCGATTGGAACATTGTGCGGACAGCGGACAACAAAATTTAAGACACGAATGGGTGGAGTGATCGTATGACTGGCTGGTTTTGTAGTAGTCTCTTTTCCTCATAGCAATGTTGGGTGTATAGAATAAGTTGAGGTGCTGATAAGCGTCCACAGAGTTATCACTATGATATGGTCAGTTGTTCGGTCACGTCACCCTGTTCGGCCTCACGTCCTCCCATCCGAAATACGGTACGTAACTCTGCTACAACAGGTAACTATTTCAACTTTGATTGATTACAGGATTTCCAAACAACAATGCTATCCGGCCAGTTCATGATGACAATGACGAGAATGAATGCTAAGTGACGAACACTTATCATGACATCGGAATGATGGATTGACACTAAACACTTGATACATTTTATAGATATGTATCTCAATCTCTTAAAAACAACGCTGGGATTTGTACTGTCCCGACATACGTCACTCGGATCAATTTTTATGCCCAATTTTTTACCTCAATTCATGGTCAATCAAACCAAACATTGTTTATTTATTTATACGAGTATTTATTTTCTCCTTTAATATTATTTTTATAATCTTTGGCATATATTTAGTAGTACATTGAGATTAAAATTCTTATGCAGCCAAGTATTTATTTATTGGACAACTTGTTATTTGGACTTTTGTTTTTGTTGAGAATCCGGATTTCCAGCAGTTCTATCGTCTTCCTCCTCATTATCTTGACCAGATCCACTAGTCGTAGTTTCAGTGGCAGCAACAGCACCTGGGACACCGGACGACTTATTGCCCCTCTTTTCCTGATGTGCTTTAATCACCAATCTCCCCGTGTCCTTCGCCACGCGTTTAGCTACCGCCTTTGGAGCAAGATTTTTCGCATTCCACGCCGTTAGGGCGGCATTCCCTGCCGTAGCGGCCGTGTCGCCGGCTAATTCGCCAGCCTCGTCGCCATATCGATGTTGCACGACGGATACACTGTTGGTCGCCAGTGAGGAGACGAGCGTTCTGGCGGCATGTTCTAGGCCAAAGTAGACCGTACCGAAGCCCACGACTGCTCCGGTGGTGACTTCCAGGACCGAATCGACTCTATCACTGGCCTCCTTCTCGTCCAGTCCGCTGGCACGTACGAGAAATTTTGTGGATGCTTTGTGAACATGAGGGGCCATGTAGCGACCAAGGGCGATCGTGCCGCGACCAACTTGAGTCACTGGAAATACATGACATTTTTTTGTATCAGAAATTGTGGGTATTCACGTAACTCAAAAACTTTGCGAAATCGGTGTCGTGAACGATCCATTTTAAATGAAAATACATAAACTGAAAAAGGAGTGAAGAAATTAAAACTCGAGTTTGCGAAAAATAGTTTACGAACTAAATAGACGCTTTTTTGGCTTAGCATATTTCGAAAAAAATAAAGCAATCTGATTCTTTGTGGTATCTCAACTGTTCGCAAGCATTACAAAGTTGCGAAGCGACGTTTACGACACTTACGAAATTGACGTGAATTGTACATGACATTGTATAAATTCTACTCAAAATATTCCCCTTTTTTGGCAATTACTCAACTCACCAATAAATCCACTAACTTGCACGGCCTTTCCTGACACGGTTTTTGCCGTTTTCATCCCTGCCTTCACTTCAGGCTTAATCACTGACTTCTCCCGAGCCGGCTCAATCTTAGAGTTGATGAAGGCAGCCCCTCGATCGATCAGGTTGGATGTTTTCGACGCCCCTGCAATCAGGCCACGAGACACGACTTCCGCTCCTACATTATCATCACAACAGTTAGCATGAGGGTCTCATGGGAAAAGAAGGGTGATCACCGAATTTAGTGCACGCGACTACATATTTAGTGAAACTGCTACACACTGAGTAAGCGGAAGTGAGTAGTGTAATAGACAAAGAAAGATGATCAGAGGAGATAAGCCGCCGTCCTTACCAGAAATCGCTGAGAACCGGACAAGCAGAATTTGCACAACATGCGTCCCAACATTCTTACCCGATTCAATAAGATTAGTGATTTTTTTTAAAAAGAAAGATTTGTAAAATTTTTGAAATTCAAGAGTCAAAAAGAAACCGAAAGTAGAACAAAAAAGAGTAAAAGTATGTAAAATCAATTGGGTTTGTTTGTGATTGCAAGCAAGCGGATTGTGGGCACACCTGAAACCAAACCTTCGGCTATTTTGGTGCTAAGGCGTCGCTCGGCACTCTCCCCAGCGACCTGTGCCGCCGCGGCCGGAAGTGGGGCGACCTGACCTGTAGCCGGGGCTGGGGGTCGTGGAGGTTTTTCCGGCTTTGTGGTGGTGGCCTCTTCGGTGGTCGCAGTGGTGGTAGCGGGGTGTTCGAGGACGGGTGGGAAGGCGTTGGTGCCGACGAGAGAGAGTAGCGTGTCCTCAAAGGCAGTCCGACTCGAGGCTGGGAGAGATTCGGGTAGGATGAGACCCACGTAGGAACCTGAGACGGGTGAGAAAAATAAAGTCAAGTAGAATTGCGTTACTGGGCAATCGGTGGTGGTAGTTCTGGAGAAAACAGATTTCTTCCTCTTGATCGGGTTTCAAAGAGAGAAAGCTCATTTCCAGGCTAAATTTCGTAGCCCTCTCCGCCTACTGATTTGCTCATCTAATTCTACTCTACACTCACTCCTTTACTCCTCATTTCGTTCTCTACATTCTTCTCTTTTTGGTATCCTGCTGTTGCTTTGTGCAAGACAAGGAAAGAAAAGCAGCATGAAACTCGACCTCTAACTTTTTGGCACCCACGGGTTTTCAAGCGGTGGCTCCTACTCATATACTATACGGGAAAAGAGATTTATTAGGATGAGTTTTTAGCTTTGAAAATTAGTTTGGTGTGTAGGTCGAGAGAGACCTTTGGACCTAAATCTAGACGTAATCGTGTTAAACGTACGTACGTGATGGATCTGAGCTCATTTACTTTGCAGGAAATATTATAATGTTAATAAGTGAGATGCACTTTAATAATACATCAAAATCTGGAGATGATGAACGAGGTCTACAGGTCGTTCGGTCGGGTAGTAGGAGTTGTATAGCGTCACCACCGCTAAGCTGGATAAATGACTAGAATGAGGGTGGAGAGATTTAACTGGTTGATGGTATTAATCCTTGTGCAAATTTGCAGAGTTTTACGACTCTGCTGGACCAATGCATCGTTAGGTTAATATGATAATATTGTTTGTGTTTTGGAAGAGGGATTTAGATTTAGACATGATTTATGATATGTGAGAGAATAAAACGACGACACGCGTAAATGGAAATACGAGCCTACTCACTTACTCGCTCGCTGACATGGTGAGGAATAAAACTCGTAAAATTAAGGGGTAAAAGGTTTCTCACGTATGCAAATCTAGGAATACAGTGCAACACAAACCTCTGAGATTAGGCGAGGAGAGGTCCGGAAAGATGTAGATGCCTTCCGTGGATCTGAAGAGTGGGGAATGCTGAGGCACGAGGGGATAAGTCCAGTCCCCCACTTGAAGAAAAGCCGGCACACTTGAGGCTACCACACCCCCGGCACCTTCAAGCCCTAAAGTAAGTGGGTCACAAATTCATTTGAGCGGAGGTCATTTAAAAGTCAGTCCCAAATTAGCCAATAAATCTGTATGTTATACTCACCTCCTCCGCCCGGTTCCAAGGTGACCAATCTGAGGAATGACGGGTACGAGGGGGCGCTCACATTATCCTCCGCACTAATAAAGTAGATCTGCACCTCCCCCGGAATAAAGTAGACTTCCTTCGCATGTACGGGGAGTGGGTTCAGCCCTTCCGTCCCCCCCTCCATCTCTGCTGCCGCTATTTCCTCCAGCGCCGCTTCCAGCTCGCCATACGCCGGAGGGAATTGAGGTTGTCGGGGCTCCAGGACCGGCCCACTTGCACCAGTAGCACTATTATTATTATTGTTTCCCTCATGCTGCAGGTCTGTGACCCTTTCCAAAATGTGTTTCCGCGTAATACGAAGCTGCGTTGGAATGTCGATGCTACTACTCCCAGCGTCCTCCTCCACATGAGCGGCTGACAATGAGAGTTTGATAGCCTTATCAATAAGTGTGAGAGCCCTATCATACTCCTTGAAGGCTGCCTCCTTTGAACCTGACCCGTCTAGGCGTTGGGCGGAAGCGGTGGTGGAAAAGGCATTGCGGGCAAGAGAGGCAAATGAGTAGTCTTCGGTGGTAGTAGTAGTATCAGAAGAAGTAGAATTAGAAGAAGCTGCTGCTACAGAAGTTGACCCTGATGACCCTGCCAAAGATAAGACATTAGAGACGGCATGATAAGTGTGTATGTGTGAAGCTCATCTTCTTACTGGGAGGTCGTACTGGCGGTTGTGGCGACGGTATGTCTTCCATCCTCCTCAATTTACTCGTCGTGATGGGAGTGGTGGGTGGAGAAAGTGAGTGCGGATGCTGATGTAGCTCAGCTGTTGGGCTTGGCGCGTCGCATTCCGCCCCACAAAGAGGAACTGCAGATACAGCATCTCATCTGCCCCGGCCGCATCGCTTTGTCCCAATTTCTATACAAGAACAAGAACATCTCATCTGCCCCGCATCGCATTTTCTGTCCCAATTTCTCTCCAGATGTGACCAAAGTTCTTGTTCTTCTTGTGTTCTTTTTGTAAAGTGAGGAGGAGGCAAGAAAGAAAGTGGGGAAAGAATCTGGAAAAGTGGAAATAGATGATTTGGATGATTGTAACTGAGCCAACTGTTGATGGCTGGCTGGCAACTGGGTTTGATTTGATGATGGGGTTGATATTGCGAGGAGGAGGAGGACGAGGGGGCATCCATCCCACGACCGAGTCCGTCTCCGATAAGAGTATTATCGCTTATCATCACGAAGTCGAGGTTTTCGAGGCGACGTAACATTTGGGTGGCGTCCCTCTTTCTCATTTCCATTAATCACCCTCCACCGCATCTCATTGCCCCCAGAAGAAGACCAAGGAGATAGAAGTTTATTAGGCAATGATGCGATATTGGGTTTAGAAATTGCTCCCACACGTTTCCTTTTCTTCACTTAGTTCAATCTCCGTCTTCTTCTCCTTACGTATGATTACTATTCGGTGGGAGCAGATGGCGAGGTACTGCTGCTGCTGCCATGGTTGTCTTGTCTGCCATGGCAGAAGAGGCAACAGTTGGTGGCGTCGGAGAAAGCAAGGCAGGAGACCTTTCAACCAATAATCGCCATAAGCAGAGAAGAGAGACCACGGAATGATGATGCGTCCCTCGCCAGTCATTAGCTTTGCAATGCAAAGTTTGCATTCAGGTAGGAGAAGGAATGGCAGGGCTTACGTACGTACACGCTTTGTTGTGACCACTATCGTGCTGATGGATGAATAATATCCGCTAAATGGAAACCTATCAAGAAATTATTATATTCACTCCTCTTCTCCAACAAATATCCCGCATAATAATAATCGCATGACCTGAGAATGATGTGCCCGAGTAGAAATCACTTTCTAGAATTCTGCAGTAATCGACAAAAGCTTATGTATTCTTTGTAATTCTGTTTTACATTTTCCTGTACAAAATTTCTATCGGTTTTATTCTTCAGAACGGTATTTACATAATTCTGCATAGTTTTCTGCACAAATCGCTCTGTGTAAAGTTTTTGTGCAGAAAGTTAGCAGAAATTTCAACCAGGGTCACGTTGAGGAGAAAGCCAACACCGAATGAAGCGAAATTCCATTGCGAATCCATATAAATGACGAAAATTGGAGAAAGTGTTACACAATATTGTGGTGACTACGTTTCATAGTTTTGGATTTATGTATGCGACCTTTCCCCAAAATCTGAGCTCGTGTACCTAACTTCGTAATTAGCTGACTCTAATACCAATCTAGAAATTGAGACTGCCGAATTATTAGTCCCACTAATTAGTAGCCTCCACAGATGAATGATTGACTTAGTTAGTGGCAGTAGTGGTAGTGGGGTGACATATGTACAAAGCGTCACCTTACCCACCATGGTACCACACCAGCGTTGCTATGAAAATAGATTATATGCATCGCGACACGTGAGACGACGACTAACGGCAACTTGATCCGCGTTTCTTCTTCTTTTTATCCTTCAGAATATGCATTCGACGTAATGATTACATGGCTTCGTGGGTCAAGTAACGATTTGATTTGACTTTCTCAAAATAGATCATTCGCACCTGTGCCCTTCACCACACGACCGCAAAAGTGGAAGTCAAACTTGCGGAGAAAAGGATCGAATGAATGTGTATGTCATCTTTAAATTCATCCAGCGAAAAATTGGGAAATCAGGTTTCTTTCGGTAAAAATAGACGAAATGGTTCGACTTTATTATCCCACGAATTTGAGTGCTTGGTCGTTTGTTGTGATGGAAATGAATGCCAGTTATTTCCATTTATTTGACTTTTCTCCCTTATTTTACGGCTTCCTGGATGGTCTGTTGTTCTGTTCTGTTTGGTGTGCCAGCAATTTTGTGAGTGTCGTAAGTACAATTATTCGGAAAAGTGGTGGGTGGTGGGTGTCCATTGTGACCGAAAAGAGAGAGAAAGTACAGAATTCTCTCTCTCTACCTTCTTCTCCTAATTAAAAAACTTTCACCTGTTGCGGGTTGACCGAAAGGATGGGATGGAGGTGGTGGTGGTTCTGGTTCTGGTTTGGTTGACGACGACCGTGAAGATATGGGCATATTGTACCAGGGATTCCGTTCACGGGGAAAATGAGGGTCATCCATTCCGTGCTAAGTAAATGAACATGAGCGGAATGCAGAGTTCCGTTGTAGTCGGAATTGGAGGGAGGGGTGTGGTGGGTGGTGGTGATAAGTATGCTCATTCATTGGCGTGATGGATGGACGGATGGATAGATTTTCGGTGGCAGTATAAAAGTCGGGCCTCGTCCGCCTCTCCTTCACTCAGAACTTGGCATCAGGAGGAGAAAGAAGAAAGCAAAACAAGCCGTCGTCGTCTCACTCGCCAACTTTGTCGTCAACGAACGAAAAGACGAAAGCCTTTGCATTCCTTACAAGTCAGATTCTTCAGCAGAAATAAAGGTTAGTTTACCCGGGTTTAATTAGGAAAGACTGACTTTAATTAACAAATTGTTTAACTTTCTTCTCCCTCTTTGGTGCAGATGTTGAGGTGGACATTGGCCCTTTTGATTGTCGGACTCGCTGCCGGTTTGGCATTTGGGATGCCTCCGCAGTGCAGTCCCGAAGTTTTGGAGGAGATTGACAACCCTAAAATTCGGGAGATTTGCCATTTTCTTCAAACCTATGCTGAAGCTGTGGAAGGTGGGGCAGCGTTCGTCAAAGGTGAGAAGAAGAACTGAATAGTGGGGAAAGTGGGACGTGGGGGAAATTGAGACTAATATTTTAACCCATTTCTTCTTCAGGTGGGTCCCATTACCCCCTCGGTCTGATTGACAATGGGGTCAAGCGTCAGGACGTGGACCACGTTTTCCTCCGATTTGGACGGCGGAGACGATGAGGGGACGATGCGGGGGACAGGAAGCTGAGGGGAGGAGAAGAAGAAGCAATGATGAAGACGCAACACCACCACCAACACCACTACCCTCACCATGATCCGTTATAATTTTAGTGTAGTTTCTAGAGCAGTGCTGGACTGTTTTATAATCCAGACTTCTTTTAGTCACAAACAAAAAGAAAGAACGTCACACAGAGAATAAATTTTTATTCATACTTTTACCGCATTAACCACACCCCTTTCTTGGTCGGTGGTCTCTTTTGTAGATGGTATTCGCCTTACTTACATAAAAGCTTCGTTTCTTGGTAGCAGCCAGACACGGCTCGAGCGTCAACTTTCTTCATCCTCATTTTGCATATGTACTTTCTCCTCCTCCTCATAATCTCCTGTTGCATAGACACCCAGCAGGATTGCGTCAACTTTCTCTCCTAATTCCCAACCCCATAAATAAGAAGCAGGATGGTCTCCACCTACCCCGATTCAATCTTTCTCCTCATGTACCCCACTCACAGTTGAGGATGACTTGTGGATTGAAATATGTGATGCCAACGCATATATAATAATCTCTCATTTCATGTGTTCAGATTTCATCTCATTTATTATATCGACCAACAAACAAAGTTTCATCATTCTCAGAAACAAAAACAAAAACAAGAGACGAGTGGGCTATCCCAGTCGGATTAACAAAAACAAGTAGATTTTAGCTGGCTCATAGTTCTTGATAGCTTTCTCCGTCGTCGTCATACTCCTCCTCGTCGTGAGGAAGGCCTTTAAACAGGGCGGAGTAGATGCGGGTCTCATTTCTTCCCCAAAGGATGACCTGTGCCCTGTGGAGTCCGGTGGAGGAAAATGACACCGTTTCCAGCCCCACGGCGCCGGGGGAGGTCCAGTCGTGTTCTCGACTCCAGCCAGATACGCCCTGACGTGGAGAAATGGTATCGTTTAATTAATTAATTGCAATTTTTTTATGTAAATATGTAATTAATTATTACGTGAAACTTGAACACGATGACGTTCAGATACGTGGCTCGGGTGAGGGCAAAGAGAAACAGTTCTTTCGAGGCACCACCGACCAGGAGGAAGCGTACTTCCAGCACCCATCCGACATTTAGGAGAGTTTGGGTTTTCTCAAATTCCCCGGTTGTTTCGTCGTACCTGAAAATGTGTAAGTTTATTGTAATTCTCCCTTCGTTTTACCGTAGATGGGGAAAGTACTCTGTCAAAATAGAGTATTTTGATCTCCGTTCTTCCCAGGGTTTGGATTTCCAGGGGTGTTACACCCAAAAATACAAGAATCTATGTGGAAAATACAAGTCATACGAAAATACACGTTTTGGGAAAGAAATTAACTTTCGTATGACTGCTGTATTCTCCGCGTAGCTTCTCGTCTTTTTGTGCATGTGACATCCCTGGAAATCCAAACCTTGGGAAGAACGTAGATATAAAAAATACTGTATTTCGACAAAGTATTTTGACCATTCATGGGTTTTACTAACACTTGAGTAAACTTGAATACTGTTGAGGCCTCACCTGTAGAGAAACACGGCTCCCTGATAGTTCTTCGTGGGTGAAGGGGCCGAAGCCACGGCGAGGAAAGTGTGATGATTAGGACCACGGCCACTGTCAATGCTCACCGCGTTGAAAACGGGAATGCAACTCTCTTTCACAAAGTAGGAGTTGGGTTGGGGTTGACGCCACACTTCGATAAGACCGTCTTCCCGTTTGGTTGTCCACGTCAGGATCATGAGCAGGGAACTGACAGGTTTATAGCCAAGGTCGACAGAGGTCACCTGAACAAATTAGGTTAGAAAGGGACGATATAATTTGAATATTTTATTTGAGATGAGCTCCTATGCATGTACCAGTGTTGGATATGAGAGTGGAAGTGTCTGAAATTGCGCAAGTGGGGAGCCACACATTATCTCCCCACCGGAAGTCGTTGGCGATACGAATAGACATTCACCGATTGTTTCCAGTAGACCAAAGTCTTTCCCGTATATCGTGCTCTGCAAAACCCAGGTGGCCGTTACTTCGGAACGGTGAAGAATCAGGACTTGACTGTGACCTAGTTATGATACGAATCATTACAAAATTGAACAGAACCATATATAGCGGCGGGACGTAGTTTCTTGCACTTGCATTTCTTGCTGGGCAAAATAGCTACAAGAAATAAACCACTTTCTTGCCGTTATTTCTTGCAGGTGGTTACTTGCACCCGAAACACTGATTTTAATTCAGACTCATAATGGTTACTTTAATAATAGTTACTTTATACTCACCACTTCCTTTAAACACATCCGTATAGTTGACAGCCCTCGTAACGTGGGAAAGTGAAATCTGTCTCTGCGCCGAGATCGCCATGGCCAACATTCCCCCATCCAACTCAACGACACGAGAAACATTGCCACCTTTCACTCTTATCGAGACATCACTACCCATCCCAACTTTCCTGTAGAGGTCCTCCTTCACTGCAAACTCCCACTCGGTCTGACTCCCAATCTGACCACCCGAACCGAGCAACAAGGTCGGCGCGGTAGTGGTCAGCAGCACCTTGACGTAGGTGAACTGTGCTCCCTCCACGATCTGGGTAAGTTTCCAATATTCGACCCAGGCCGCTCTTCGTCCCGCAAATACAATAGCATTGTCCGTCAAGGTGTTCAAACTGTCGTAGCTGGCTCTCGACTTGAAATGGAGGGCAGGAGGAATGACAGAGCCTGAGTAGTAGTGTGCTAAGAGGTCAGACAAGTTCTGGCCCTGGAAGCTGACTCCCTCTCCGACCGTCAAGTGGACGGCGGACACTGGCGACGTAAACCTTACTGGTCCGAGCACGACGGCAGGACCGGTTCCGTTTTTGAGGAGGAGAGTGTCCAGTGTGTCTTTGAGTTCGTGCTCGTTTAAAGGTCCAGACTTGAGATGGATACCACGTGGGGCGAAAAGATCACCGTTCGTGAGGGTAAAACGACCATGAATTGTTTGCGGAGTCGATTTGAGGAGCAAATTGGCCACGGGGACGCCATCGACGAGGCCGGACTTTGTCCTAGAATCAATTAAAATATTTACGTGTTACTTACTCGCATTTGCATATAATTTCAGCAGAAAAGTTGCAGCTACCCACCTGAGATGCTTTCCTTTCGTGATCGAGTCCAATATCAAAGGCCGATCGAACGCAATGTTGGTATCAGCTTTTAACGCTTGGTCCCTCCATGCGGTCAAGTTGACCCCGTTGATCCCCGTTTTATGTGGAAGCACGATCTCGTGTGCTGTCAAGCTATTCAGTGTTACATCCCCACCACTGCCACTGTTAATCATAACATTCTGTCCGTGCAGAGTGACAAAGTCGTGATCCAGATTGGCCCCGTTCAGCCCTCCCTTGTGAACGAGATTGTTGACGGAGAAAGTGTCCAACTTCCAGTTCGCGTGAACCGTCTGATTCGTCCCGTTGGTGAGTAGGGAAGATAAAAAGTGAGACAAATCCGACACACCGTTCAACTTTGGGTAGGATCCGGTCACTTCGTCCACCTCGAGGTGGTTCATTGTCACGGGGCCTGGGAAAAAATGAGACGAAGTTTTCTCAATTCAAGTCAACTTACCGTAAACTATTTTTCGCAAACTCGCCGTCAAGCGAATTTTCGTTTCTCCTCTAATTTACAAGTTATGCATTTTCATTTAAAATCGGTTATTCACAACAGCGATTTCGCAAATATCGCAAAGTTGCGAAGATATGTTGAGAAGCGACGTTTTTGAATGAATTTTTCATTACACAATGACTACTCAACTCACCTGCAAGGACGACTTTTCCCGTCCAAACCTGACTCCTAGTCTTGCTTGCCACTCTGTCTTGCAAATGGTCCAATCGTATGCCTGAAAGTGTAGTGCTTCCATTCTGCAGTCTTGCCCCACCGGAAAACACGACCCGACCAAAGCTCACTTTATGCCTTAGCTTAGCCGGTACATTCTTGAACCACACACTTTTCAAGAGTGTCGACCAATCCTGCCCATTAACCGAACGTCTCGCCTCTGGCTCCCTGTTGAGGGCAAGATTTCCCACAATCTTCAATTTGTGAGGGGCAAACGAGGCACTGGAAGGGTCGTAGAGAAAGCGAAGAGCGGAGGAGACATCGGCCCCGGAGAGGAGACGGGTATCAAGATTCCCCGAAATGTGGAACGGATTAGACGCAGAAAACGTCTTGCTGCCCGTGATCCGGTTTGGCTGTAAGAGCGAGAAAGAAAAGAGAAAGTTAGTCCTCATTGTCTCACTTTCTCCACAACTTTCTTCTTATACCTTACTCCTCACGACTAGATCAGTATCTACCCTTGCCCCGTTTAAGGTCCCCTCTCTCCCCATCACGACTGACTCGATGGAACCACCCCCACTCAGATGTGCCCTTCTCAGATGACCCCCCTCATCCCGGCGGAGCGTATTCCTAGCCAGCGAGACGACATCAACGTCACCAACTTTCCCATTTGTCGTCCACACGCCACCACCATCGTTCTCGGCACCATCCACCAAAATCCCGTCCATAGCGTGGACCATTGTAACTATAGTTTGATTGGAGGATGACAAGAGCCAGCTCTTGCCCCAGTCGGAGGCAGGCATTTGGTCCAGGGTGGAATTATTCGTCAAAGAGAGAGCTGACACGGTGAGGCCGGAGAGAAACTGGAGTTGCGATGGAGTAGAAGTCGAAGAAGCGTGGAACTCGAGTGGGGTTTTCCTATCCCGACGGACCAAAGACGTGAGAAGTTCGTCTAGAATATAATCACGATAACTTTTATCTGTTTATTTACTTATTTTACAAACAGTGCAGAAAATGTCAACAAATTTATGATATCATTCAACTCACGCAGATCGACCTCATTCACCAGAACTTCTTTTGTTTTGTGCTGCTGTAGTAGTAACTGTGTCACGGTGAGCCCGGCGTCGAAGGCGAATTCACCCTGAACTACTTGTCCAGCTGGAGAGGGAGAAAAAGTGCGAAGCGTGTCAGCCACATCGCCACCAAAGTCACGTCCATCCAAGGAGTGGAAGACGAGGTCGGTCGACACGTTCAAACTTTCTCGGACTCCGACCAAGGAATCGAACGAGGTGGGAGTGGTGATGAGTTGATCACCTTTTCGGGTTAGGAGGGTGGCGAAAGGGACCCCAGCCAAGGACGTGGAGGGGCAGTCGACTCGGCCAGCCTACGAATACACATACATTTAGATAATTCAGTTCAATAACGTGTTCATGTGACTCAAAATCAGAGCACAAATTCTGCACGGAATCAATCATGTAACAGTTGTTAAATAAAGTCGAAAATATTTAAAGTTTACACGGTTATAGCTTAAAGCATCTAATAAATAATATCTAGAGTAGAAAAGCTCCTAAAATTAACATTTTTTGTTACGAAACGAGCAGAAATAAGGGCGCAGTAATTTTCGTTAACAACAATGTCACATGGTTTCACCAAAAAAAATCATGTAGAAATTTGGATTTCGGATGATTTCGGATATTTCCTAAAACTATACATTTCTCGTATATTTCCGGTAAAATTTTTCGGCATATTTGAGCTAAAAATAGTGACCGGAAAAGTGCGAGAAAATTATGCTTTTATTGAACTTGATTCGAAATCGAAGTTTTTGCATTATTTTTTTTGTAAAACTGTGTGACACTACGAAAATTATTGCACCCTTATTTTTGTTTGTATCGCAACAAAAAATTGTTGATTTTCATAATTTACCAAGAGCTTTTCCACTCTACATATTATTATCAGATGCCCTAACGTTATAAGTGAATTATTTCTCCATCAAATAAAAGCATATAATTTTCTTTCATTCATTATTTTGTGTCATCTTACCAGCAACATTTCCGTAAATATGGTTGGCCCATGAACTGTTTGGTTAGCCCCGTGCAACATGAGATCTGGCAAAATTGAGAGAATATCCTCCCCACCAATTTTCCCATGGAGGCTTTTCACACTCACATCTCCATCCAGAATGACATCACCGAGAAAGACCTTTGTCCCCGTGAGCGTAACTTTCGTAGCGTTTCGCAGCAACCAGTCTCCGGGTTTGAGCCCATTCACCTCTCTCACTTGGCCCGTGTCTCCGTCCACCTTGAGAGAGTCGAATGTGAGGAGGCAGCTTCCGGGGAGTTTCGTACCATTCTTCTCCGCCGCGTAAGACAGCAGGGGAAGGAGTTCTTTATGAGGAGATGACAAACCGGAAGTGTTGTGGGCTAAAGACTTTGTCACTTTTGTGGTGGGTGTGGTCAGGGTGCCATGAATGTTCACTTTACGACTGAGTGTATTTGTTCTCAGCTTGATCCGCAGGTTGGGACTCCATTTGGCGATGTCGACCCCAGCGAATAGGTTCTCGGCCGTTACGTCGTGACCAAAGTGGATACCGCCAAGATTTTTCGATCTGACTTTCTGTACAGAGTCGGAATTCTTGAGGAGCAGGCCAAAGTCAGAGTTCTCTCCGGGATCGAGGTTACCTAGTTTACTGAAAGTTAAACATGTCATAAGTAACAAAATATTAAATACTAATTGTAAGAATGGAGGTCCTCCTCTTCGGATCTTGTCTTTCGCAAATTTCATATTAATCGAATTTGTGACCATTTGTTTCCATCGTATTATTATTATCACCTTATTATTCGCATCTGTTCCACAGATCCACCCTTGCTCAGCACGATCTCACCAAACGTGTAGTTTCCTTCCACCACAGAGACGAAATCTTTCTTCAGGTTGTGTCTTCCGTTTACAAGTTCTTGTTCCAGAGTCACGAGTGGGGTGTCCAAGTGACGAAAGCGAGTCAACCCTAAATAACAATTAGCACACCAGTTTTAATGTCATCTCTCCTAACTTCATACTTAATTGAGGCATACTTAATTATCTAACAATAATTATTAGCATCGCCCGTCTCACCCTTCATTCTTTGCGACTCTTTCCCCCGAGTACGGATCGCGTCCGACATAAGACGTTGCATGTCCACCCCGTTCACCGTATTCAGTTGGACCCTGTCCACCGATACATTGTTCCACACATGATTCGCGGTGATGACATCATTTCCCTCCAGACTGACCGCGTCGTCAAAATAGTAAGAAATATTTTTCCCGTTGAGATATTTTGTGTAGAGATGTGTCGTTGAACTTTCTCCCACTACTTTTACCACACTGTTGAAAGTTTGATTTCCCGTCGCCAGGATAAAATTTGCACGTGCGAAATCTACACCGGCAAAGAGGCCAGTGTCGACAATGGAAACGCCACCCAGTTCGAGTTCACCACGGAATGTGACTCGGCGAACAAATGTGGCTGCATTAGTGTTGGGATCAGTTTTTTTGAGGGCGTAATCCGTTAGTGGGGCTCCGTTCAGAGAAGTGACATCCAAAGCTGCAGAGAAATTGGGTAGAAAAATTATCTCTTAAACAAATAGCCGCTTAAATAGATGCGTGGGTTCAATTTTTGTTTTCTCCAGAAAACGGGAGGAAGAAAGTCTCAGAAAATTCCCACTGACCCTGAAAAAGGGGTCCCTGCTTTCCCGGTAAACGCATTTCAACGCTTGTACAACAAATCGAACCTACGAAGAGATATGTATTTATCTACCGTTTTCATACTCTCGTTCTCCTATAAATTGCAGTTCTGGTCCGGTCAAAGAGTTTAGGCTGGTGGGGACATGCGTGAGCAGCAATCCCCCAACGACTTTCGCCACATCGACACCATTCCATATTCCTAGAGAGGCCCGGTCCGTTGATAAGCTGGGACTGGTGTACTCCACGTTGGAGAAAGTTACGCTCCCTCCAATCGTCGCGGAATGATGGCGATGTACAGCATTAGAGACACGGTCAGCAAGTTGGGGAACAGCCTGGCGGTCAAGGTCACCCTCTAAAGATGCAAGTTTGGTGGCTAGTACGTCATCGAGAAGAACTCCTCGTACTGTGACGGTCTATAAATAATATACGGATTAATTTCGGGATAACTTGGTCAATTATATAACGACCATACAGTTGTGGTGACAGATTTTGCATTGAGCCGTCCCTTAAACGTGAGGCTGCCATTATTCAGGCGGACATCGGCATCGTGTACTTTAGGGGCGGAATGAACTAGTCGAGCCAGGTTGGCCATGTCCACCTCGAGGAGTCGTTTCCTCGCACCGACGCACCACTTTTCCAATCCCTCTCCCAACGCTGAGTGGTCGTTCTTATGAGTGAAGGACAGCGCCCAGAATCCTCCCTGGAGTGACGATGTGAGGGGAGAGGAGAGGGAAAATGCGGGCTGAGAAGGAAACGCGTGGAGATGACGCAAACCGGCAGTGGGAGCCAGGTCGATGTGCTTCACTTGGACAAAGGACCACCCGTTGTATTGGAAGAGACGAAGGCGATCCATTTCGAGTAGGACGAGCACGAACTTGTCCTCCCACTAGCAGAGAAAGGTAATTAATAAGTAATTGGTGGGTGAAACTAGGAGCAGAAAGTTAATTTTTACCATAAATGGTAAGAACTGGAGGGCTCCTCTCGTCCAAAAACTCTTGAACGGGATAAACCGATGTTGACCCCACTTCATGATGAGCGACTTAACATGGTAATCGGCAACTCCGGCTTCGTCTACAAGTAAAATTTACAACAATTAATACTTCTTTTACTAGATTACACTATTCATTTGAATCCACTTACCACGAACACAGTGATTCGCCACAGCGAGAAAGTGTTCCATCCGTCCATCGTCCGCTTTGAACTGGAAATGTTTTATATCCTTCGCCCCAAAAGTTCGGATCCGTTGAAAACTGGTCCAACTCCCATCTCGATGAACGTATTTGAAGAGTTCAGAGTGAATAGTCGTGGAACCTGGAATTAAATAAAGTGAAATAAGTTTAAACAGTCCAATCCCCAACGTCACACTGCGACTTATTATTCAATTTCTCACCCGTTTGATCCATATAATTCGCCACGCCAAGGAAATGGTTGTTTAGCAGCGTAAAATGTGTAATGGCTTCGGGATTAGAGGCCTGGACTGTCGCTACAGCATCGAAATATCCACCCTGCCACCGATACAAGTCGACGCGACTGACTCCTTGAGCCGGTGCGACCCCGAGCCACACTCCGTTTGCGCCTTCATCACCAGAACCTCGCCAAAATATTGAGGTAACTGCTCCCGGTGTCGGAATTATTTGAACTTGGACGAGTTCACGTCGAAGAAGGTCGAGACGAAGGAGGGGTGAACCAGACGAGAGGGTTGAACTGGGAACGAGTGGCAAGATGTAAGCACTCCCGTCAATTTCGACAACTTGGAGAGAATTGGCTCCAGGGATGGTGGCTCGAGCCAGTTCGACTGGACTTTCCTCGAGTCCCTGTACACAAAAATAGAGTCAAATTGTATAATTTTACTTATCAAATTCTCTAATAACTCACCTTCAATCGGTGAAGAAGCAAAACCGGGTCTTTTGAAACTTCGTCCAACGTTAAGGAAGCGAGGAACGTTTGATTGTGCAGCTTAAACGGATAAATGTCCAGGGTGGCGATGGAGTCGAAAAATTGTGGATTTTGTCGCCACGAATTTGCGAGCCAGGCACCTTCATCTACATTATGCCATTAATTAAAATAAAATAAAATACATAGTTTTCCACTCAACAAAACAAATCACCTGGTTTTAAAATATTTATTTTTCTCCGTGTTCTTGGAAGTGATGAGAGTGGATTATCCGCCGTGATGGTGGCTCGTTTCGACCGTCTTTGAGGAGCATGACCAAGAATCGCGGTAGCAATGTCGTCCCGATAAAGTTGGAGACGGGCTCGAACAGCAGACCGGATTTGGTCAAGTTTGAGAGGGAGGTCATCTACAAATACGTGTATGAAACATGTTATTTACGTGTTATTTATAAATTTTAATTAATTTTCCTGATTGTAAGCTTACCTTTTGTCGCTACACCCGCCTGACTGATAAGAATGAGGGGGAGGAGTACCAAAAAGACGAACTGTTTCCTCCACGACATCATTTCCTACGTCGGGATGAATGATGATGGGAAAATTACTGATTCATTACTTAAGGTATATGTCCAGTAGTGGGCGGATTTTCGTCACATATCAAAATTATCCAGGTGACTGGACTAGATTACTAAACGAGCTGATTGAATAGTGAATAGAGGACAGGAAACTCGATATAATTGGATAATTTAATTTTAGATAAATAAAAGAAAACCAAGATTACTAGATTGTTAAATAGATTTTACATTTACACATGTGTCACACACAACTTGGTTCCAGAATTTGACAGCTGTAAGGAGTGAAGTGAAACAAATCAACTCAAAAATCTCATCCTATGCTACATGATTTCGTAAATTCAGTGATTTCATAAACGTGCATAATTTATTAAATTCTCAAAATTGCACTATATCATTTGTTACGGATTCATCTCATTATTGCAGAACAAAAAACTAACAGAACAGAAGCCTCTGTTTCTGCTTCCACCTCCCATAAAATCCCGTATTGCCTTTGCCGACTTTATTCACTTACTTATCTGATGACCACATCCAATCTAACCCACTCATTTTTTTATTTCTGTGACAGTTGGTACGTTTGTCTCACATTTTATGCAATAACAGGATGACACACAATTACCCAGAGTGACCAGACAGAACATATGCATGCAAAGTTTAGTAGATGACAGGCCTCCAGTCCATCCCGAAGATGAGATATATATTCCCCATAAAAATTTTACGACATTTGTCCCACTCGACTTTTTTATGACGACTGACCCACCACGGGCTGGACAATTAGATTGATGAAGAGAAAACATAATCCAACGACAACAAATTAAGACACCAACTTTTTTTATCACTCTCTCTTTATTTTATTACTATTTATTCTTTCATACTTTCTTCTCATTAACGTTAACTTGCTCTGTCGTAGTCGTCGTTGTCGCATTTTCTTCTGACCCTTCGCCTCCTTGTCCCTTCGTCTGCGGCCTGTGCAACACTCCCATGAACAACATTGTCTCCCGACACTTGTCCCAAACGCCCATAATGAAGGGATGATTCGCCACGAAGCGACTCTGATCCAATGGGCGCCCACTCCTCGTGCCGATCAGCGCCGTCCCACCCCCTGCACTCGCCCCCTCCTCGTTCACTTCGAGGAACGCCTTGTGAATCGCCTCCTCCACAAAGAGACCTTCCGGTTTTGTGGAAAAATCACCAAGTTCAGCCCCACTCCGGTTGAAGAGGGACGTCAACCCGAGGTCGGTGAGGGCCTGGGTGAGTGGGAGGGTGTGGGAAAGAGAAAATCTTGGCAGGACGACCTCCAACGATGTTCCTGCCAATTCTTCCATCGCTCTTTTGAGGCCTAAAAAGTAAAATAAATACACAACTATGAGAAATTATCTATTTAAGTTGCCCAATTCGTTCGACGTACGATGCAAAAATACATTTCCGTACTCATTTAATGTTATGACCCCTGCTTCTTATTTTAATATGACCTCATTGCAATTGATCGACGATTTCATACAATGTGAATTTGGTGTGGGACTAGAGATTCGCTTAATTTAGATGTATAATATGATGTATTTAGATGTGTTTGTATTTAATAATAGTTCCCGTTGTGTTTTGGTTCGTTTCTTAGTACTTTTCACAGTGTAAACCAATAGCCTGTGGTCGCTTTTAAATAATAAAAATCAAAGTTATTAACCGTAAACTTACCACCACGACCCAGGGCGGTCACTGTGCGGGTGATGGCGCCTGGCGAAAATGGAGGGAGAAGGAGAACCAGGGACATCGAGTCCCCCTCGTAGGGAAGCTCCAGCACGTAGGCGCCCAATTCTGGGGACGCTCCGTGGTGATAGTAGCCCTTGGTGTGCATCATGTAGGTGGGGACGACTTCCGTGGGGGAGGAGTAGAAAAGGCCGAGTTTCGTCTTGCTCTTTTTGAACTGGTGTTCCCACACGCCGCGAAAGTAGGCACCGTTAACGATGGCGAGGCGAGAGTTGGGCGGCAGTGGGGGGACGAGGGAGTAGATTTTGTTGTGAGTGATTTCCTCAACCCATCTTGAAACAGGATAATCAGCATGTTTAAATTCGAGTCATTTATGTTTATTTGGTTAATGGTTTGGTTGGGAAATTTATTGAAAATTGCGTTTTATAAAGTTACTACAAAAAAAATAATCTGCATATTTATGCGTTTTTAGGGGGTCAGTAGTTTGTGAGAAATTTGAAAAAAATTTCGTGTAGAATTTGTACCACTTAGGAATTCAGGTATCCCAGCGGAAACTCTTTGATGTTAACTAAACTAGTGTCAATCGATCACAAATTTAAGTAATATAAAATTTGCAAAAAAAACAAGATTTCCCAATGGACACGTTCAATTGACACTAATGTGGTCAAAATCGGAAAGCATACGCTGGTAACTACCAAGAAAATGCAACTCACTTATTCATGATAGCTCTCGACCCTTCCGTATCATTCACCAAGTCGAGCTGTTCCACTTCTGGGCCTAAATGCGTCAACACACAAGCCTGCAGAGGTTCACTCTTGTCGACAAAGATCTTATTGGCGACGCGGAGTTCCACCCCAGGACTTGACGGACAGATGGAATCCTGAAGAACCATGCACAAAATCAGTCTCACCTTGCCTCCTCACCATTCTCCTTAATAAAATCTCACCCGATGCATCCCATCCGCTCGAAGATGTTGGAGTAGCGACACTTTAGGAACATTTTCCAAGTTAAGAAGGCTCCTAAGTTGGGCCTCCGTCTTGCCACGCGCCCCCATCAAGGCCACCACGAGGGCTTGGTGGATCGAGTGCGGCGAGAAGAACAGATTTTCCCCAGCGTACAACGAATGAAACATGGCCAAGGTAAACTCCAATTTACTTTCTGTCCAGTTTCCCGTTAAATTGTGACCATCGATGGGAACGTCCCCCGCGCCGAAACACTTGTCCGTGTCTGTCGCCATAATTGTGGCGCAAGTCAGAATCAGCGACAAAATCGCGGAACGAGCTACCACCCTAGAATTCATGACGTTTTTTTTCGTTATGATTTCTGCCTCAGAATTAGTTTGACACACAGACAGAGAGAGAGTTATTGTTGGGTGTAGATTGTTGTATGCACATCCACAGAGCTCCTATGAGTCGTTGGTAGTAGTGGAGTGGGTGGTGGACAGGATGAGACTGAAGGTGTGGGATAGAAAGTGAAATTATTTAAGAGATCGAAACGAATAATAAGACAACAAGTAATCGTAATCATAAAGCGTCGTCATGGGAACCAAGATGCAAGACAACCACCGTCCAAACATGACGTGCATTCACTCAATCGTACATACGCAAGGGTGTCAACGTGTTAACAATGATTCGACGATAATGGGATTCCCAAGAATTGCACTTGCGTCTCTTGAGTTTCATGATCATTTTTTCAGCAAAATTATATATTTGGGACGGGTTTGGTTACTTATATGCAAATAGAATTATTTGCATAATCCGGTTTCGGGTCGAGTGACGCGGATTGGAAACCGCTCCCACAAAAGTGAATTTTTATTCCTCCACGGCCACGTGATATTTGTCCCCACCGCGGGTTTCCCCTCCGGCCTTGAGTGTCTAATCTGCATACGTATTGCTCCCTTATTATATTTCCACTCTCCTCAAATCCCCCATGAGTCAGTTCCTCAAGTCATTCATAACCACTTAAGGATACCTCTGCATCTTTATGGTTGGTTAACTACTTGGTGGCGTTATTATTATTAGCAGGATTCTACATGGTTGCGAATCGTCGTGTTTACTTAACGGCAAAATTCATAAAGCAACGCACAACAAATGAATGGATAACAAATCACGCTCTAATTGAAAACAAACAGGTCCTCGCATGTTTACAAATATCTGCATTTGGACGTTGACAATGGGGACTACGTGGCGTGGTGTGTGTAGATATGTACGTATGTAAACCCATAGTTTAAATCGCTTCCGCATCATTGCCCACTCCAGACCTTTGTCAATATCGGGACATCAATCACAATGCTGTACCCGATTACTCGTCTTCTTTTCGCCTTCATTCTCCTCAGAGTCGGGGTCACTGGACACCCCGGGTCAGGATCAGGTATTGACGAAGAACTCTTAATAGCCTGTAACGTTACAGTTCTCAGGGATGACCAGAATACTTTGTTAAAATACTGCATTTTGATCTCCGTTCTTTACAGGGTTTGAATTTTCAGGGCTGTTACCCCCACAAAAAGACGAGAATGCAACAGTCATACAAAAATATAGGTTTTCCGAAGAAATTAACTTTTTATAGCTGTTAAAATACTTTGTTCGCACGTTTTTGTAAAAATGCAGTGTTTTGACGTCTATAAAAAGTTAATTTCTTCAAAATCTTATGGCTGTTGCATTCTCGTCTTTTTGTGGGTGCAACACATCTGAAAATCCAAACCCTGGGAAGAACGGAGATCAAAATGACTGATTTTGACAAAGTATTTTGGTCATCCCCTACAGTTCTTTATTAAAATATAGTTTGACTCCTAGAGACTCTTGAGGATAGTGCGTCCGTTGACAAGACTCGCCTTGCGCGAGGCAGCGCCCCCGGAGGAACAAAGTATGAGGGTCTCCTCACCCACAAGAAGGGCCCTTCGCCTCCCGCTTCGCATAAAAAGGCGGCCCCGGTGACCACGCCCGCGCCAGAAACTCATCTTCCGGACGGGGAGGAAGGTGGTTCAGAGTCCTTCTCCCGTCCGACCTGGTCAGAAACCAAGTCAGACCAACCCGGCTGCAAGGAGAAGTGTAAAGCACCCCCGACCGATGCGGCCTGCGCCCCTGTCAACATTTACGACAAAACTGTTCCACGTGCTTCGGGACCGAATGCGCAGTGCTGTCCAACGCTGAAATGTTTTATGCCGGACGGATCCTACTTCCCGTTTCATGGTGGGTGTGATCTCCATTCATGCTTTCATGGAGGTCTTCCAGCGTCTACGCTCTCAGATTTTGAGCAAATTAATGTCAATCAACCACAAATCTAATTGATATGAAATTTACAAAGGACACAATCTCTCAATGATCACGTTTGGCAGAGATATTTGCATCGAGAAGAGGAGAAAACGAACAGTAAATTTGGAAAATGTAAAATTTCTCGATTCCTCTTTGGATTAAAATATCTCTGCCAAACGCGTCAATTGGGAAATCATGTCTTTTGCAAATTTCAGACTAATTAAATTTGCGATCGATTGACACCAATTTGGCCAAAATCGGAAAGGATACGTTGTGAGATCTCCATTGTAAGTACCCGGGTCTACATATATCCTTGTCCCGCTACAGGAATCCAAGGCAAGGGTCCCATCACCACGGTGGCCATTGTCCCCCCACCTTCCGCCGCTCCTTCCCCACCCACCACGACCACCACTCCGAAACCGGGTGATCCCTGGGGTTCCAGTGACAGCAGTACCACCACCTCCGTCAAACATCACGAACACGGCATTGAGGTCAACGTCGTCGCGACCGGGTCGGACGACGCCATCGCGAACGCTGTCGACGACGACGCACTCCCGGCCGCCTTTGACGAGGAGATGTACAACATGGAGAAGGAGATGGCCAAAATGAGTGCGCAGATGGACGCCGACATGGGCGACATGATGAACATGAAATTCAAGCGGGCCATCTCTCCACCCACACACACCGCGGCCTCCTACGCGACAATGTTGTACGGCGCGATGATTTGAAGTTTGCAAAATTCAAGAAAAAAATTATAATGATGATCATTTCAAAATTATTTATTTATTAATATAATACCGATGATACGATAATAGAGTCGTTACCACCACCACGAGTACCACCACCACCACCGCTATCATCCTCACTATCACAATAACGACGGCAGCTTATTTATGTACTTGATAGGATAGGAAGCCTCATTTTTTCTGCCAATTTCCCTTGCATCATTGCATTTTGTTATTGTGTTGTGTGTGACACGACGAGATTAGAAGAACTAGACGACCACCAACCACCGTGACCAATTCAGCGTGAAATGACCATGCACACGGGAACAATGCAGAGATGATGTGAAGCCCTCTTATTAAGCTCCGTGTGAGGGAAGAAAGTCACACATAATGACATTATTCTCTTCTATGTATGAACTTGACGATGAATATATGGGTTAAGTTAGTTGCTCCTTAATGTTTACGTGACCATGCAATGTGCGCGACGGATGAGGTGTGATCCCAATTATAGAATTTCGACTTGGACACCAGTGGCCGTGGAAGCGGGGGGACAATGGCCGCAGGGTTATTCGATGTTATATAAACCCTGGCCTCCTCCTATCCTACATTGTTAATGTCCCCACAGCTTCCGCGGCCACTGGTGATAACTATACGCGGCCATAAAATTTGTTAAATGCACAATAAGAAAACATCAAAACGCCAATTTTTAGAGAGATTCACACATAAACACAGGCACACACACTATTTTATTATTGTACATGTTGGAGTAAGTTGTGTAACAATGCTTTAAGTCGACCCCACGGAGCTCCACCTAAGTTTGAAAATTTTATACAATTATTATTTGAAATTCGTAATCAACTAGGATTTTCGATATTCGCACTACTTTCCTGAGGTGGAGGTGGTTGTAAGTAAACTGTGCAAATTTTTATATGCGAGATTATACGCGTTGCACGAAAAGAACCGAATTGATTGGTTGAAGAATCTCACCAGATTTTTGGCTGCACATTTTGCACGGTTTACGCACCTCATGATAAATAAGTAAGATATGGACTTACGTGGCAGTTGGCTGTGTGTTGGTGGCGTTGGCGACGTCCAGGGTGGATCTAGCCTCCCACTCCGTTCAGGCTCCCGGATGCAGGTCATCCCATACACGCGAATCCCGGGGACGCGAGCATACGCGGGTTGAGAGTGGGCAACGGGTCCCTCTACAAGTAAAAAATGATGGATAAGGCCCCTCTTTCATAAGTACTTATCTACGTACTAATCTGCATATATGTATTTGTATTTTACTTACCCAAATATCCTGGCGCTGGACATCTACAGATGACCAAGTAGTGGGCTTTTCCGGTCCTTGAGTTTTGGAGGGCAAGGATTGACCAATCTTTCGCCTTGTTGCATTCCCTCACCTCTCCGCTAGCTTCACACGTCTTGACCAAAGTGAGCACCTGGGAACTCGTCCCTGTCACGAGGGGGATCGTGTGACGATCATCCGTCCGAGTGGAGACAGAACACGGTTTCGCCCCCTGTAATTAAAAATTTGGAAGAATTTTCACATTCTGTAGGAAATTTAGACTTGGTGACTCACTCGAGTCCAATAATGAACAAGATGGTCTCATTTCGTATGTTTCGACAATTTCTCAGGCGAATGTCTTATTTTGCAGGGAAAGAGATTTACTAACAGATTTTTAGTAATTTTTAGTAACAATTGAAATATACTCCGCGTTTTCTCCTCTTCGGATGCAAATATCTTTGCTAAAACCTGAGCATTGGCAGACCGTGTCTTTTGCAAATTTCACGCTAATTAAATTCGTTATAGATTGACACTAATTTGCTCAAAATCTGAGAGCATACATTGTGACCTTCATAGTCAGGCCAATGTCTTAGAAAGAGATTTAGTAAATAGGTTCAATTTCTGTCGACTTTGACGCGAGTTATCCTGCATATTTTGGGATATCTTACAAAGTCTACTCTTCTGAAATTCCTGCTCTCAATCTAATTTTATCTATTCGAAGTTGAAATTGCACAATAATTGCGCACAACATATTGTACTTAATTGCTCCGCAATTATCTTATACGCACTTCCGGAACTACCTAACCGGATGTACCATCACCGTCATTATCAACACTTTCAAAACATTCCCACATTTTCATTCACTTAAAATTACGTGCAGACAAAAAAAAACATGAAAATAAAAAGCCACTCACTGACGGGCAAGCACACAACGGTTGTGAATAGTTGAGCCGCAAATACACGGCGGAGCAGACCTGTTGCGTCGCGCATTCTGGGAGAAGGTAGAGATGCTGGAAAATTAGTACATGAAAATAGAAAAAATAAATAAAGCACATCCACAAAAATATGAAACATGCCACACCAACAACAAAAAAACCAGATCGGCACAACACAAAAAAATCAAGATCAAAATCAAAATGAATAATAAGAAAGAGCGATAATAATAAAAAAAAAACTGGGTTAATAAGTGCTCATGTCGATGCGGGGGTCTGGATTGGATTTCATTTCACGCCATGACACAGACACAGACCTGATTGTGGGGGTAGTAATGGTACTTTGTTGGCTTGTCGTGTCCTCCTCCACCCTGCAAAAACAAATATAAAAAAGATTGAGGGAAATATAATAGGGCTGAGAGAGGCAATAATACGGAATGACATCCATTCATCATTATCTTCTCGACGACGACGACGACGAAGATGATGATGCGATGATCACGAAATTGGCGAAAAATCTGCAGCAGCATCACATCGGTTTATTAGTTAGTGTGTCTTCCTAAGTGCTGACAAGATTGAGAGACGAAGGAAGAGAGGCAACGAGAAAAAGGATCGAACGACGAATGCCAGTCCAACAATGAGCAACGGGACTGAGAATGACGCTGCATATAGATGCAGATGGATAGCGAGGAGAGAGAGTTAATAGCCAAGAAAAAGATGAAGATCATGATCATCGCACAGTTTTGCTTGTTAGTTAGTTGGATAGTTAGTAGCGTTGTTAGATCGGAATCGGCCGTGGTGGTGGAATCCACGATGATCATCGCCAGTGATGAGTGTGTGACCCAGTGCTGGCGGAAGTGGGGAAAGTGTAAAGTGCCCACTTCCGCACCACCACCATGCACCACCGCAGAATCCAATTCCGCGGAGGAGGAATGGCCCCATAAATAAATAAAAAGATTGCAGAGGAGAAGACTTTTTTGAGAGAAATTGATGATAATAATCGTGCTTGCTCAACAACTCGCGGTGCGGTTGGTGGGAAGTACTTACATAGTTGGTTGATGGAATCTTGTGTAGTTTTTTTTCTCTCTCGTACAAAACTATTTGTTTGTTTAGCAAAAGTATCAGTAGTATATATTACCTGGTCGATGTCCTCTTCGTCCTGTCTGCTCCGGTTGTGGGTGAGGTGGTGGTGATGCTGCGGCGTCCGCGTGGTGTTGGAAGCGTGGGCGAGCAGGGCGAAGAGAACCACACCCATGGCGGGTCGCATGGTGGTTGTGGTAGTCCTCGTGAGTGCTATGGCCTCCCGATGCACATGGCGATGATGATGATACAGTGGTTTCACCGAGAGCGTTGTGTTGCAGTCACCAAGTGATTCGAAGAACTGACGAGGTGCAGATGAGATGCGATGGATGGAGAGATAGTGGAGGGAGAGAGACTGAGAAATGAAAAGAGTTCTGCTCCACCAGAGTCCCAGTGTCACACTGATCTCTTCTTTCTGCATCCTCGAAAGAAGCATCTACGTCGCCTCGCCCCCCGAGATGGCCGCCCAGCAGCACCCGCACCACCCACCCTCCGCTCATCCCTCTCAAGTGGAGTGTGACCGTGTGACACGGACCAAGTGGAGCGTCGCATTAGCTTCTTCTTCACCTTCTTAGCTGTGTGTGTCTCGAATCATACGTCTCATCAGCATCATCACCCAGCCCTAATAATAATAAGGAGGTATGGATGTTGCACTTCGAAAAGGTAGCAAGAAAGCAACCCCGATCTCATGACCCACAGTGCGACATGACTACTCAACCACGGATTGAATCGGTATCATGTTGCTCGCTCTCTATTATTCTATTAGCAGACTTTTTTCCGTCACTTCTTTTATTGTTTAATCACATTATTCACATTATATACCTTGGCAAAAAAGTAGAAAAATTTTGGTTTCTTTTTCCCATTATTCAGCGACGACACCTTTCTCAGAGAATGTGGAGGCTAGAGCGAGAATGTCTCTGACATCGATGGGTGGATAGTTTTGGAGGAGCTTCATATTCGTGGCAAAGTCACCGGAAAGTAATTCGCCTCGCACGTGGCTGTAGGGGAGGAAATTAAGTTGGATTAGAAGATTTTAATTAGATCAATTTAGCTAAATGGGCCACACCCAATGTTTACTCGTTCAGATTTTTTTCTAGTCTTACATGATCATGGCACAGCAAAGATCGACGAGGAAATCGAATCGCTTTCTGTCCGCGAGAAGGGAGTCCCAAATACGGAGCACGTCCGGCAAGGGAAATTCTTGGCTGAATGGAAGAAAGAGAAATTGCAATTAATTCAATTTCCTGTAATTCTTGTGTACCTACAAAGTATGCATCACTTCATGACAAAAAAAACAATTGTGGAACTGTGCCAACTTTTTAAAGTAGCCAAAATTTCTGGAGCAAATTAAATCACTAAATTTGCACACATTTTACTCGCCGATTAATTAAACCCTCCTTAATTAATCGACGTCTCTTGACTTTGTAACAGTTTATAAACTGATATTCTCCCACTGACTACGAATAGATAAATCTCAACATAATTCAAGAATTGAATTGAAATGTTAGAAATTTCCTACCTGAGTAGGAGTGTGATCCATCTGAAAGCGTAGTATTGGGGGTGGATTTCCTGCTGAGCGAGGAGTCGGGCGACCTGAGTGTCCCTCCCGCCCACGCGTCTCATCAGGATTTCCATCATTCGGCGTATTCCAGAGGTAGAGTTGTCGAGTGAGCGGATAAAAAAGTCGCGCACTTCGCCCATGAGATGAGTAAAGATGTAAAAAGTGTCCGCCTCCGCCCAGCGCGCCCACTCTTCGTCCGCATCCGTTGCTAGCACGTAGTAGAGCGGACCCATGATTTCATTCATCCCCTGAACGTAGGACTGTCCTGGGTTGAGTTTAGCATAGACGAACAATATCCGCTCGACAACCTCCCAATGGGATTCGCCACCTTTGTTATTTGGTCGACAGCCGCCGTCTGAGGAGGAAGAGGAAGTGCCGGTGCTGGTCTGGAGAGAGGGAGGTAGGTAGGAGGTAATTATGCATTTTTCACGAAATCATAACTAACAATAAATGTGATTACCTTCGTGATGAGACCTATTCCCCTCTTGACGATACTTCCAGCCTGCAGTGACACATAGCCGACACGTTCGTGCAGCCGTGCCATGGCCCCACTCACGATCTGCTCGCAGGGATATCTGTGTAAAGCAAGGAACACGACATGCTACAAACTACCACAAACATCATGTTGTATCCATAAGAATTTTGACTTTGTTCTCCCTACTTCGTGGCACTTTGGAAGAAGGCGATTTCTGGGAGAAGCCTTCTCACATCTTTATCAATCTGCAGGAGAACTTCGTTGTCCCGAAAGAACTGTTGCCAGCGTGAGTCTGGGTTTGGATTGAGGGGATGGTCAGCCTCTTCTGCGGCGTCGGCGGCTTCTTCAGCAGCGCAGCAAGGTTGGAGCAAGTCTGCGACAAAGTTGCCATAATTGGTCCGCTTCTTAGCTAGGAAAGGGCCCCATTCTTCCCGGGAGGCTGGGAGATAGTTGAGAAGGAGGCGCCAGACCTAATTAGTGTGTAATTATTAATATGGCAAGTTGGCGACAAAAACAGCACTTATAATTATTAAATAAGGTTAGTAATTACCAAAGGTCTTGCACTCCCGTCTCCCGGAAGCCCTATAAATGACAATAAATGCAAAAATTACTACACAGTCACGGACACCTGTGACCTGTCAAGTTTTATGTACAGTAAATAAATCCTCCTCACCGTGAAATACTAATTCTTTTAATTGTTCCAAGTTGATGACCGCCTCTCCCAGAAGCAACTCCAATCTCTGCATACTGTGGATTCAAAGGTTAATTAAATTATTGACTAATATCCTTTTATTCTGTACCATTACCGTTCTCGATAGCTCATTTTTTCGAGCCGTGTCCTTCGAAGTTTGGCCCAAAATTGGCCGATTTTGTGACCGGAAGGTGACCTCCGACACAACTATTCTTATTTGCACTTTGTCGCCATCACAAAAGTGGAAGCAGGTCGATTTAATAAATCAATCAAACAATAATTGATTAATTGACAAAAGATAATAAATAATTTGGCAGAATTCCGCCTACCGACAGACGGCAATATATATATCAAATCACAACATCATCATCATCAACCACCATGTGAGTCGGGAACATCCACTCATTTCAGGGGAAAACCGCTCAACTTGTTCTCTTAAGAAAAATTGTTCTCAGAACAATTATGGTACACCCACTACCCCAAAGTCTTGGTGGAACACCCCCCGGGACAGATGAGACTTGGCGGTGGAAATGGCTTATCAATTTATCCCCCTTTACTTGAGAAGGGTCACCATGCTTGTCAACCCAAGACGATAAGCACAATGGAAAAGTGGATGAGATAATATCTTCAACTTGGCCATGCAAAATCTATGCAAAATGGAAGAAATTACGCCTTATAATTTACACCATTACTAGTAACACACGTATCCATATAACACATTCCGCATACGCAAATATTCATATCGTCTCAACTTGTTCAAGCCTCAAAACTACTACTATTGTTCCACATTTTCGGCATTTTCCATATTTTACTCTCAAAAACATTAAGGGTATTCATTACAAGTTTGCATTCAGCAGAAAAACAAAGTTCGCAAATTAACAAAATAAAATTTGCTTGAAAATTCATTTGCGAATTTGACATCTCCATGGGTCTGAATTTAATGCCATTTTTTCCAAGTACTTATGTTGCGATGCGAATATGTAAACTCCTAATGAATACCCTCATTAATTGAGATTGATTGTCTCATCTTGTCCAACTTTCGTCATGATGTGACGAAGGCTGGTCAGATTGAGAGGCAGGATGAGACATTTTTCACAACGGGGACGGTGACAGGGTGTACTCTGGTGCAAATTGAGTGTATTTTAGTATTATTATTTCCTCATCAGCTGAATGGATGCACGCACTCTCTCCTTTCTTCTCAATCGTCTGCCTGCTGAATATTTTTGTTATTATATTCTTTCGTCTTTCCCCACATTGTTCTTATCATCGGCTGGCTCTTGTTCTTCGCCAAGTGCTAAATACAATCGACACTAAATGTGACGTTAAATTATTATGGTCACAATTAATATGGTGCGTCGTCCGTCTCGCTGAAAATTTTTGTTCTTCGCCACATTAATGTATTATTGTCATATTGTTGTTATTTATTCGTCGGTACTTGTTCTTCGTTAAGTGCAAAATTGAATCGATAGTAAATGAGACATTAAATTAGTATTCATATTCCGCTCACACTTAACATGGTGTGAATATTTTCGGTCACATTGGTGTTATTCTCTTCGTCGTATTGTTGTTATTTTCTTCGTCACATTGTCGTTATTTATTCATAGGCTCTAGTGTAAAATACAATCGACGATAAATGTGAAGTTAAAAAATTATGCTGACAATTAATATGGTGTTAAACACTTGACCCAGATTTTTAAGAGAATTTCGCTTTCAGTACAATTACTATATTCTCAATGGGTTGGTTCTTGGGTGACAATCACGACGGTCCTGAAGAGCTGAGATGGATAACCGACCTGGAACATAAACGACGTCCTCCGCTTAATACACTGTTCAACATCTGCGCCAACTATGTCGCAAATCATTTGGAGGACACTGTTCTCACGGTGAGTAGTATTACACCCGGTTTATACTTGGGCAGTTCGTCGCACAAAAATATGGTTGGTTTAGCAATAATTAACTTATCTAACTTGTTATTGAGCGGAGAATGGCGAAAGCATAAATTTGGGCGTTAATAAGAATAGAAATATGCAAAATTTTTGTAAAAATTAAAAAAAATTGGCTACAATCTAACTTTCTGTTCATGTTTCAGACCGACTATCCCATCCATGTACGACCCCAGCTCTCCCTTCCTATCGAGGTGGCACAAACGTTATGGAATATGTGTCCCCTTGATGAGAAGGACGGTTTTACTACCACGATGACCGCATTCACGGCAGGGGATCAGCTATCTCCGAGCCCTCTTCCACTGAGTGCGCTCGATTTTTCGCTACCGAACCAAGTAGATTCTCACCTATTGGCGAGATATCTGTCCGCCCATGGTCGCACCCTGGTGAGTCTGAACGTGTCTGGCTGCACACTTCTGACCTCCATGGCGCTCGTGGCAATCAATGAGCATTGTTCCAATCTTAAATATCTGATCGTGGGCAAGGCGCATCAAATCTTCCAAGCCGACAATCCACCCCCAAATTATAGCTTTGCAGAGCTAATGGCGAATCGCAACATTATTCATGGTAAAAAGTATTTATATGAAATATGGTTGTGGTGATGCTGAAGATGAATAAGTACAATGATTTTAACTTGAATTTGTGAATGTTTTCAGGGCCTAAAAAATTGGAGAAATTAGTCGTGCACAGCGTCGGGCTTGACGATGTGGACGATTATGACAGATTCTTCCTCCAACTGGTTTCTCCGTACCAAAACACGCTGACATATTTGGATTTGTCTGGCTGCGATGTCGAAGACTTTCACTTTCTCGTCAATATTTCGTCCTTGAGAGCCCTCATCTTGTACCATGTGGACCTCGGAGAGGATAGTGAGAATGGATTTTTTGCTGTGCTGCCCCTTATTAGGGGGACCATTCAGTAAGTTTATATTCAGAAATAATGGTGCTGTGCGGTTAGAAAATCATGTTCACACGACTCACATTTCTATGACTTTAGACACCTCGACCTCAGCCAACCCTTGAGCAAGCTCAGCACATGGGGAACATACTACAATCCGAATGAATTATTGGATCGCATCGTGCGTACATTTCCTGAGATTATGATCCTAGAGGTGAGTCGTAGTTGGTACAGTTGGTTGAGGTTTGACTTTGTTGGCGAGACTTGGACACCCTTGTGATAATTTTAAAATGTATTACAATAGATTTCAGGGACGAATCTGGCAGGTGATGGGGTCGCCCAACAGGTGCATGGAAAGGAGGGAGGAAAAGCTAACATACAACTTGTTGAGCAATGCTGTGATATACCGGGACTTAATTTCAGGTGACTTATTTCTTAATTTCAATTTCGACACACATTCAGCAAACTTATAGCACTTTACAATTTTGTTCTTGTTCAGGTCCCGACGTCCCTTGGAGTACCTTGGTCTCTACGGGTCAGCCCATGGTGCCTCTCACAGGCACTGCATCCCCGCCAAAGTGATCGGTGGGGACAAAGACGAACTCCAAATAATCAGTGCTGCTCGAGTATTTATGGACCGACATGAAGTGCTGGAGCGAATTCTGAATGACCTCTTTGAACTTTTTCGAACGGAGGCAGGAAAATATGTCTCCCACTGTCTTCGTCTCATCCTATGCGCGATGGAGGTTCGCTAATTAATTATTAATCACTTAATGTATCTCTTGATGGTTCATTACCAAAATTGTCAAAATCAATATATTTTTAATGATTTCTCGGCTCTGGGAATTTACTTTAAAATTCTTCACGGCAGTCAGTATATAAGTCGATTAGGTAATAGAATGGCGGATTGAGTTTTTTAAGCCAGTTTCGAAGAGTTCCAATTTTTCTGAAGGCTTCTTAAACGTGAGATCCCCTTCAAAAACTGGCAAAATCTGTAGTGTATATCTGTTTAATTGCCAACAAACTGAGCTTAAAAATGTACTGATTTTGACGATTTTGGCGATGAGTCACCTAGTCACGTTAATTAGATAAATCTAGTTTCTCACCACGCTATATAAATACAAATATAACTAACTGCTAACTGCACGTCTCTTTTTCTCTTTCCTGTATATAGAGACACCCAACCGAGAAACATATCCAAATAAGTGGGAGTGCTTCATTGTTCTATATCGTCAAAAATAATCAAAATGTGGGCCCAATTGGTCCCGTGCATGCTCTCAAGAGGAGGATTTTAGACGTCATCGGTCAGTTAATTTTTTATTTAAACGTGAAAATTGTCATCAAACTTTAAATCCATGTTTAATTGATTTCAGTCAGGGCAATGGAACAACATGTCACGGACTCCACCATGATGCGAAACGGCTGTTTAACAATTTGTCATTTTAAAATTCCACAGGATGTTGTACGTGCCCAAAATATTCTCAATCTTCTAACCTTGATTGGCAATAAATAACACTTATTTCTCATTTTGGATAGATGTTCGTCTACGAGAAATTGGTGAAAGTTCTGCTCGAAACCTTAGGTGTGGTTGTTATCTCACAACCAAACAATGAAGACTTCAATGAACGCATTGCCATCTATCTCCTCAACTCTCTCGCATGCCAGGTGGAGGGGGAACACAAACGACTTGTCGGAAATTTGGGTGCTATTCATGTAATACATACATATAACTAAAACCAATATTTAATAGAGAGACTTAAACTGTTGTCATAAATTTTGCCGTTGTCGATTCCCCATGTGTAGAAGATGCTAGGATTGATACAAAATAGGCTTATACGTGCCGAATGTGACGACGTGATGGAGATTGCCTGGTCCACAATGTGGAACGTGACTGATGAAACACCAGAAAATTGCTCCAAGTTCCTCGAACATAACGGGATGGCTCTGTTTCTCCAATGTCTTAAGGCTTTCCCGAATCAGCCAGAATTGCTCCGGAATATGATGGGTGAGTTTATGAATAAAATGCTTGCAATAATTACTTAATTAATCAACTCAATCGATTTCTGTGTAGGTTTACTCGGAAATGTTGCCGAAGTTCCGGAACTTCGTGGTTATCTCATGAGAGAAGATTTCATCAAGGAATTTTACGAGCTTCTCAACTCGAGGCAAGACAATATTGAGGTCTCCTACAACGCGGCGGGTGTTTTGGCACACATTCTTAGCGACGGGGAGGAGGCATGGGCGGGGGTCAATGATCCCACGAGGGACGCCGTGTGCCTCCGAATGAGTGACAATATCAGACAGTGGAGTCTTGATTCTCTACGAAATATCAATTACCGTTCATTCAAACCCATCCTTCGTCTCCTTCTAGTCCGTCACACCATGCAGTGCCGGCTTTGGGCTGCCTGGGCGTTGGCAAATCTTACGAATGTGTATCGTAAGTGAACCCTCTACAACTACATCCATTTAGTCATCTAGTCTTACTCTATTCTAATCTATACATGTATTGCAGCCGAGAAGTATGTCACTCTGCTTGAGGAAGAGGAAGGTCTCTCCTATCTGACGCCGCAACTCGATGCACCTGACGCTCACACTGACCTCGTCAGGTATGCACGCATCGCGTACAACAATGTCCTCCGTGTCCGACAACAGCAGCAACAACTGACAGAATCAGCTCCAGATTCGGACGTGGAATCGACTTTCCCCCTGCTCGGTTAACGCTACGTTATTTGACGAAATAGATAACTCGAATTTTTTCTTTAATTTTCAATAAGTTAGCTCCCACGCATGACATGACATTACACTCTGACGACAATGAGATTTCTTAGGACCGTTAATTGTTCTGTTAGTTAATTTTTATTTTAGTATTTAGTATTTTTCTTTGATAACTAGTATCTTTAAATATATATGTATACATAATATGTATATTATATATTATATACTCGCATATGGATGACTAGATCGAACTTTAATTGATGAATTAATTAATACATAATGCTAATAAAAACGTATGACTTCTCAGCAGATGATATTTAAGTACTATTCATTATTTATTTGTGCAATTTTTTACTTAACAAAGATTGCAGATGGCTTATAAGATGGCTAAGCAAAACAATAGATAATCATAGTGCCAATTTAAAACTAAGTCACAAAAATCAATCACAATCCATAAAAACATATAATTATTAGCATTGATAGCGTACATATCGAATGGTGCCAGATATGTAAAAATTAAGTAAATAAGATTATACAATTAATGATTTGCCACTTAACTAATTATAGACTATAATTTATAGTATTACTACGACGTAAGTAATGGATAATAAATTTAATAATTACCTAGACATGCCATTTATTTACGTTTTTAATACAAATTACAAATCGAATATTAATCCAATTACAATTCTACTTCATACCATAAACAATTTTACTTTTTAGTACGGTGTACATGATTGTATTTTTGAGATCAATTGAAAATCATAGATTAGGCATTTCTCATCACACAATCTTCAACCTTTGTGACGAGAGTACAAGTGTTGACTATTTAAATTATTAGTTAGCTCGCATGCTTAATATACTTAATTAGTACTGGAGGAATCTTCAAGCCGTGGACGACTTGGTCGGACGTTTTCAGACACAGTGGTGTGATGATCCTCGCTACAAAATAGATAACAAACCATTTATTTATATCAACCAACACGCAGAAAACTAGAGGCTCGGACGCATCCTCCCACAATTTGATGAAAAATATAAATGTAAGCTCACGCTGGCCAAGACCCAATGATTTTATCCACACAATCTTGAGCCATCAGATTATGGTAGGTCACAAAAAGTCCTGGCCTGACCTTTTTCACGTTCACAGGAAGGGCCCGAGTCGGCTTAGCCTGCCGATAAGCCATCCTCCTGCTCAGAATCTTTGGCCCAAGAGCGCGCCCCAGAAGGCCAAGACTTCGACGACTTTCAGCCTCAATCTTTTTTTCGATCATCCTTGCGTCAACCTCGTTGAAGGAGAATACTGGAGATTTCGGGGCAGACGACTTTCCCAAAGACGACCTTTTACCCACCCACTTGGCCATAAATCTATCCCGCAAGACGGTCTCGGCTGACTCAAACTTGGCGATGGGTGTGCTGTCTTCTTCTTCCTCCTCTTCTTGGCCTGACAAGCCTTCAGCCTCTTCCTCTTCCTCCTTCTGCTTGTTTATCTGTCGACCTCTGTGAAGACGGAACATGGTGAAAAAGGTTCGAAAATGTTAGGACTAGGAAAAAGTTTAACTCGGAGGGCGGAAATTAATTAAATTTGATTTGATCGATTCCGAGGAATAAAAAAAGTAGGACAATCAATCACCAAAAAATTAACGAATCAACTGGTGACGGGGAGAGTCTGTGAAGGAGTGAGTGAAGGATCATGACTTACCTCTCGTCACTAGGACGCTGAAAGAAAATTTTATTTTTTCGTGAAAAAATGTAAACAATCGAATGACCTCTCACTCAGGAGAGCCAACGGCCAAGACGAGCGTGAGATGCCGCTTGGCAATCCAAAGATTACGTCGTGCCAAGAAATACATATTCGCCCTCTGAAAACCTAGAAATATGTATTAAAAAATAAAAATAAAAATTTAGAACTTTTTGCGATCTATGAAAGTTAAGGAATACACGGACAAAGTTTGACCGTCGGTCAAAAAACTGAAAGTAAATACATAGCCGCCCTCTGCAAAGATAATATCGTTGGGAATCAAATAATATGCGGATAATTAAGATGTTACTAAATTTCTAAACTTTTTTTTATGTAGAAGTCCGCCCCTCTACATCGTTTTTAAAAGGAATGGCGTATGCAAAAATCTGGTTGGAAATCTACTGAAATTCATGCATGGAGCATGAACTTTAGTGGCAAAAGGATATTTGAATGGTCGCCATTCTATTTAGTAACTAAATTTTAGTTTTATGAGGATTTTTAATTAATTACCGTAGATTTATTTATGAATTACTTATGATAATAAATACTAAAATTACATGGTTTCTTTTTAGCAGATAATGTGTATTCGCTATTTATTTATTTTTAGTTCATTTATGTAGAAATTATTTATAAATTACGAGTAGTATTTTTATTGCAATTATATAATTATATTAAATGGAGGCCAAAATTATGATTATTTTTATTGTGTTATATTTTTATAATGATTTTGATTTTGAGATTTTTTTGTTTCCTGGTATTGTATTATTAGGCGGAGGCTGCTTCTTTAGGTCGGGCTAGAAAAAAGAATGAGAAGACATTAGATAAGCAAAACCAGTTACGTTATCATAGTTAAAATGTCATCTTGGTTGAGGGTGTGGTTGTAATTGTTTCACCTGCACAGTCTCCTGGATGAAAGGAAATGTCATCCACGGCGAACCCCCCATTGCTCGCCATCCCTTCCAAAATGATGGTGAGGGGTCGACTTCTACATAAAAAAGTTTAGCAATTGATTAACATATTAATTATCCATATATTATTTGCTTTCTAATAAACTGTCTCAATGAACATAAAGCTTGTTATGTAATATGTTATGTTATATACACTTTGCATACAGTGTCATACATTACATTGTAAAATGACACCATACATGGAAATTATGCATTTTTGACCTTTGACCTCGTCCTCACGATCATGGGTTGGTCAGAGGTCAACAATATTGACGGGGCTGATTTCGTAGTGAAATTTCCTTTAAAATGACACCTCATATGAAAATTTAGGTTAAATTTAATTTTGCCCTCCAAAAACCCCACCCCCAAAAACACCCTGTGTTTTTTGGGGTGGTCCGATTGATCACATTATCTAATTCGACCGAGCACTAAAAACTAGAAGCACAATGGCGAAAATCGCGTTTAGGTATGAGACGTTTAGGAGATGTCCTTCCTACAGACGGACAGTAGGACAAACCGACGGACGGACAAAACGAGCCACTTAACAATATTATCTTATTGTCATTTAACTTACCCATCCAACGCCACTTGGGCAGGTTTCCATTCTGGACGTGCCGTGTTGAGGTGTGCGGCTGTAAGTTTCCACACTTGGCGACCCCCCTCGGCCGCAGAGTCCCCAGCCGAGGGCTCCTTCTGGTTGCTGCTGCTCCCCTCACCCACGAGGACGCGAAGTTGTGTCGTTTCTCCATTGCCGAAGGCTGCGTACCAGAACGAGAAGCAGACCCGGTCCCCCGTGGACGGCATCGCGGACACGAGGCGAACCGGGGGTGATTGTGTTTGGGAGAAAATGTCAAAGTAAACGTAGCCAACGGGAGCACCAAAAGTTTTGTCGGGCAAGTTTGCCGGTCGTCGAGTGATTGTCGCCATTTCCCAGCGGAAGGATCGGTCAGACGACGTGTTTCGCCAAGTGCACAAATCCTTTTCGAACGAACATTCGCCCGCATTTACGTATCCACTCATTGGGACGGCTGTTGTAAAAGAAGCATCATAAATTATCATTATAAATTTTTGAGAAATTATGTTGTGAAGATAAATAATTCATTCAAGTAAGTAAAAAAACATGTAGTGTTTGTGAAATAAGCTTTACACAACAAAATAAAAAAGCTACGACTTCGAGATTGAACATTTATAAAGTTTGTAAGTAAACTGGATTTGAGATTTTATCAAATTTGAACTTTACAAAACTACTCACTTGTACAATCCCCCTCGAAAAATGCGATGTCGTCAATGGCCACGAATCCGTTCGCCCTCGAGGAGCCACTCACGCCCTCAAATACCACTTGGAAGAGCTCCTGCTCCATGATTCGTGCCTGAGCGTACTTCCAGACGGGGGCTTGTTGATTGTACAGTCGCCAAATGGGGGTCATCACGGGTGGATGGAAAGAGCCGATGTCATTCTGCACGGATGACCCGGGCGCAGCCACGGTGTAAACTTTGAGTCCACCGAGTGACGGGCCACCCGAGTCGATGAAGGGTTCGTACATGTGATACCAGAAAGAGAGGCACTTTGGTTTCGAGGAGCCATTGATGACGGGTGACATCATCCACGCCCGGTCACCAGCCCGCTGGACACTGACGCCACTGAGGGTCATGAAATTCCCTAGCGAAAGCAAAAATGCATTAACGAAGGACTCCATAACTTGTAACCTAAATCGTCGAAATCAACGCATTTGCTCTGGAAATTTATTTTAAAATTCTGAGCGACAAAGTAGCCAGTAAGTTGATTAATAGAATGACTGCCAGGTTTTTAAGCCAGTTTCGAAGAGGTAAAATTCTTCTGAAGAATTCTTCAACTTGAGATTTCCTCCTTCAAAAACTATCAAAATCTGAAGTCTCCATTTTTAAAATTTAGCAACGACTTGCTCTAGAAATTTGTCCCAGAACCGAGAAATGATCAAAAATGTGCTGTTTTTAAAGATTTTAGCGATGGGTCATCGAATCCTATGTTAATTAGGTATTAGTCAATTAGTACTGCTTCCGGTTTGTCCTTACCCGTTGCAGCGCCCAGAGTATGGTCAGAAATTGGGGTGCGAGCATTGCTGCCCAATCTTCGTTCCCAATCCATCTCATCCGTCCGACCGGCCACATTCGCCCAACCGCACTCGTCAATTTCAAATGTGCAGTCACCCGAGAGACCCGCAGCCGTTTGAGGGGCACCTAAACACATGATAAATGTCCACTTATCAGTACAAATTAATGCTCGAATTATTAATTCAGAGCCACCCACTTGGACATGGTCCTGGAGAAAATGAGATATCGTCGATGGCAATGTCACCCAAGTTGTTGCGGCCGACTTCACCCTCAAACAGGATCTGATACATGCATAAAAAGTGAAAGATAAAGTTCAATTCAACGCTTTTTAGTGTGGAATCCAAACTTTGGATTGGATTTTGTGAAGGTGTGCAAACCTTGAATGATGTAAATGACGAGATTGGTACTTGTCCCTGGTACCAAGCGTTGCCCGCTTCCCCCGACAATTGCCAAGCGGCCCGTTCCTCCCCACTTTCCACATCGTGCAGCAACTAATTAAAGCATTTTCAAAATAATATAAAATTTTCAAAATACATTTAAGTGAGACTATTTAGAAGTTGTGAGAGTTAAAAAAGCATGCAAACTTACAACTCTCAGCGTTCCAATCCCATTGCCAAACATGTGGGTCCAAAATCTCATGCAGAGTGGTTCGTCCCCTTCTGCAAGTTTTAAAATAGAATTAATATCTACATATTTCACGCAGATTGACAGACAGCTTGGCGAAAATAAATGATAAAAAATATCATGAAAATACCGATGGCGAATGCGAAAATAGAAATTTCCTAAAAGCACATTTTACGAAATGTAAATTTCGCATTTATTCATGTCAAATACCTTAAAAGAAAATAATTCTGGCATAAAAAGAAAGGTTGGTAATAGTCTAATCAACTAATCGTAGATAAATCAAATTGAAGAAAAGTAAGTACGAAGCGCTTTTGGCAAACGATAAAAATGAATATTTCATACTCATATAGTTCTAATTTTCGCCAAACGTGACATTATTTTCGCCAAATGTTACTTTAAAAACCATGCGCATTTTAAAAAATGCCGTTGAATGAATGAATTTGTTTTAGCCAAACTGTTCGACTTTATCTTTACGTTCATCCTTGACTCACTCGTGGATGAAAATTCCCTCGACGATATCCTCGCCCTGTCGCCTGACCTTCTCGGAAACTCGGAGCTGATATACGCATATCCACCCGAGTTGCCCCCATGTCTTGAAAAAGAGAAACAATTAAAAATTAATTGGATTTAAGAGTACTTGTTAAACTATGTGATGTTATTTCCGGTTTCTATTATATTAATAAATGAATTCCTTTTGGTGTTGGTACGTATCTAGAAAAATATATAGATTATTTACGTATAACTCGCCCTGTCCATGACCGGTCCTGTACTCGGATTCTGACTCCCACGCCCCAACTTCCAGTCAAAGTCGTCATCTTCTCGTTCGTTCGTCCAGTCACAGAATCCTCCGTCAAAGTTGCAGTGACCCGGACAGGTCGTGGCCGTCTTGAGCATGACGCTGTCAATGGCGATGTAGCCTCGGAATCTTCTCGTCAACTGGGCCCCGTCTCGGGGGATCCCTTCCAAATAGATTTGGTGTGGGTGCGGCGATGTGTAGACGACCTCCGCCGTCCGCCAGACTCCATCTGTCGAATCTCTCGTCTCCCAGAGGACGACGTCTGCTGCATGCTCGTTCTCCCTCGAGAGTGACGTTCCATCAAAGATGTAGCGTCCCCCAGGCGGATGCGTCACGGGATGGAGGAGGACACGCAATTTTTCTGGAGATAAGCCATCCAACGCGTATCTGAGAAAATTAGTAGTGATAGCATGATAACAACTTATATCCAGGATTTCTGTTGTAACATAGAGCTCGATGACTCGCCAAAATCTCAAAATCAACACATTTTTAATCATTGCTCGGCTCTGGGAATTTATTATAAAATTATGTACGACAAATTTGTAGTCAGTAAGTTGATTAATAGAATGACGGTGAATTTGAAGTCAATTTCGATGAGTCCAATTTTTCTAAAAGCTTCTTAAACTTAAAATCTCCTCCCTCAAAAACTGTCAAAACCTGGTGTGTAGATTTTTTAAATTGGCAACTACTTGCTTTACAAATTCGTCGTCCACAATTTTAAAATAAATTCCCAGAATCGAGAAATTGTTAAAAATATGCTTATTTTCACGATTTTGGCGATAAGTAATCGAGTTCTGCGTTAATTGTGCACTTACTTGAAAGAGAGGCAAGACCCATCCGCCATGGAGGGGGAGAGTAGGGGACCCTCCAGGACTGCACTTTGAGACGTGCGTCCACTGATGTTGGGAATTTGAGACGTTTCAAAGACCACATAGCCACCTGCGACATGAGATTACTGACTAACGCCATTTGCGATAAGGTGCCTTGTATGATAAGGTTTACCTTCCTTGTCGTCACTGCCGTCCTCCGGAGGTCCGCCGAGCCAGTTGGCGTTGAGGCCGGAGGAGAGGGCGAAGTGGAGCGAGGAGAGGTTGGAGTGCGCCCAGTCGCAGAGGTCGAGGGAGCCCGCCTGCCCAAAGCCGCACGCCTCGCCGCTCCCTACAAGTCGAGCATAGGATCGGATCCAGCCCACGACCACGCCTACGTTTCGGGTGGTGTGGTTGGTTTTGGTTGGTTGGGTAAGAAAGGTACTAACGAACTAGAGCTACATAACAACGTGCGAATCTCTCGGATCCATTCCTCCAAATATTTGCATATTCGACAAAATTCGAAATTTCGCAAAATTATTTCCTTGATAATGGAATAGTTTTGAATTTTGTTCAGGAAATTAAGAAACAGATCAAATTCTGTGTTTAATAAGTTACATGAAACACTGACTATGGAGGTCTCCCAGCGTGTGCTATCTGATTTTGAGCAAATTAAATAGTGCCAATCCATCACAAATGTAATCAATATGACATTTGCAAAAGACACCTTCTCCTAAAGCGCAGGTTTTGCCGAGATATTTGCATCCAAAGAGGAGAAACTGCGCCGTAAAGTTGACAAATGTTGCACTTTACAAATTTTCTCCGCTATATCTCCTCATCCGATGCAAATATGTACCTCTGCTAAACATGCCCATTGGGGGGATCGTGTCTATTGCAGATTTCATACAAATCGAATTTGTGATCGATTGACACTAATGTGCTCAAAATCTGCGAGCATACGCTGGGAGATCTCTATTTTAAATTCTATCATATTTTGGTTTAATATACGGTTTATGTATAAGTTTTTAAAAAAACTTTAACGAAATAAACTTGTTACTTTTTAAAAAGTATTACCTAAAAGTTAACCTGACACAAATTGCGATTGAATTTAAAATACTGTACAATTTTTTGTACCACGCCGTATGAAATTGAATTCTCAACTATGCATGAAAGCAGATCGCCTCAAAAACCCTGGTTTTACTTATTTCAGAGTGAAGATGGAGTCGAGAGAAACGCACACGGGACAAATCGGGGACGACAACGCTACAACTTTCTCCACTTTGTTCGCTCTACTCACCTGGAAATACTTGTCGTTCCGAGCGCACCACACCCCCTCCACTGCCGCCGCCGGCGCGACTAGTCCTCCCCACGAGGACAGGACTGCTCTGATTAGTGACCTCCCCACTGAGAACGGACACCACGAGGAGGAGGAAGATGCCTGACGAGGGCTTCGTCGTGGTCTTCATTTCTGGGCGTCTTCTTTGGTGGAGCGACTGACGAGAAATGCGGAGCGAGGCCAGGCCAGGGCAATAGTCATCCAGCCCCTTCACCTGTCTCGCAGAGATGATGACTTCTTAAAGTTTTGTTGTGTCCCGGTGTCCTGGCAGCGGTTCTTGCTCTCACTTTCTCTCGCTCGCGTCTGTATGCACCTCGTCCTGGAATAAGTGGTCACACTCTACCCTACTTCCGGGTCGAGTCTCTCCCACACTCGCTCCTACGTTCGTACGTTCATACACTCAATCATAACTTTCTCGAAAGGACAACAAAAACAATCCCGGCCAGACTATACATACGAACACGACGGTACGCCATCCATTACTTCGTGTCGTTTCCCTCTCTCTCTTTCTCTCTCTCTTGGCATCACCTAAGCTTGCATGAAACTCAGTGTTTCGGGTGAAGGTAACCACTTGCAAGAAATAACGGAAAGAAAGTGGTTTCTTGCAGGCATTTTGACCTGCAAGAAATGCAAGGCTCAGGAACCTACGCCCCGACGCTATACTTCAAGCAGATAGTGGCTAGCGCATATTTCTGGCACTTTCTTGCAGTTTCTTGCACCTCGCATTTCTCGCATTTCTTGCTTTGCAGTGCAAGAAATGTAACAACCCCGCAAGAACCGAAACACTGATGAAGGCAATGGATGTATAAGTACGAATCCTAAGAGGAATGCAGTCCAAATTCATCGGGGGTGGCAAGCTAAATAAATATTGGAATGTCACCGGGACGACTTTCCCTCGTTCCATGAAAAGACTTTCACCTCAAGGAGAACGACTACTATTATGCACAAGTAAGTATGTACTACGTATGAAAATACGTCAAGCCATGAAGTGAATAATCACACCGTGGAATATTCGCAAAGTACTTGTGCACCGTAATGCTGCTGCTGCTGTTTTATTATTTTTCCGATACAATCCAACTCCTCCCGTGAATGAAATGATGGATGAAATGGGTCAAACCTTGCTGGTTGCCTTGTTGGTGGCATTTATTTATTTGCAAATATTTTCTACCTTCTCCTCTGGTTGACTCAGCCAGATTCTGGTTGGCTTGAAATATGTTCGCCTTACGTGCGAGCATATTAGTAATAAACGAGCCAGAAGAAATGGTGCAAAGTTTTTGTTTTTGTTTTGTCCGTCTGTCTGTCCACCTGTCCGTCCGTAAACATGATATCCCCAGAACGCTTCAACATAATCAAACGCCGCTTTCACTATTATGCTTCTAATTTTTAGTTCGTTGTTGAGTTCGATAATGGGGCCAATCGGACCACCCCCCACTGTACGAGGGGGTCTGGTTCACAAGATAAATTATCCAACGATACCCTATTCATGGGGCTATGAAACTTGAGCTTTACCGTTAGTGCGCAAAATTTTTTGACCTTTGAAAAAAATTAAAATTCTTAACGAATCTAAAAATACAACTATTTAGATAATTTTTCAGCAAAAATGAAGAAAATCGATCAAGAATTATTGAAATGCCAGAGATTTGAAAAATGGTGAGGAATGAGTTTTACCTCACTCGCCCGTCCCTTTAAATTAAACCTTAATTTCATATGGGGTGTTATTTTGAAGGAAATGAATTGAACAACGTCAATATTTTTGACCTCCGACACCAACCCATAACCGTGAGGATGAGGTCAAAGGTCATAAATCACGTAATTTACCAGTGGTCTCATTTTACTGTATGACGCCACTTTTTTATGTTCGTTTGACACGGTTTATTACATTTCAGTTTATTTCACGTCGCAGCTTGGGAAACATATTTTGGAGCACAATGAATGCATAATCATGGTTGTAAGGTCGGATAAGAAAGAGACGTTGTTGTCCAGCTCAAGGAAACCAGGCAAATTATATTTTATTTACCTTACCCTTGACTCTTGGCCTATTTCAGGTATTTTAATCCTTATCTTGCATGTCGTGACGAAGGTTGTGCAGACAATTAAGTCCAATCAATCAATCTGAAGGCAAATAAAATCTTAAATTTTCCATACCCTTATTAAACATGTGCAATCAAGGATGTTGTGCAACTGCATATGCAAATAGAAAAGAATGAGTACCGACAACTCCTAAACTCCACGAACTTGAAAGCCTTGAAAGCCTATCTAAGAAATATTAGAATATTTTTTAAAAAGGAGATATTCCATGCCAGTTTTGTATGGTTTTATCGAAATAAGTTCAAATCCTGTTGTATAATGAGGGCGAATATGTATTTACGAAAAACCGGTGAAATAGTATGCATTTAATGTTTATGAAAAGTATTTACCAAATATGTACGAAAAGAACATCAAAATTAGAATTTTTGAAAAACTTGTACTTTTTAATACAATATTCTGTCTTTATTGTGGTCCAATTTTTGTGAGGAAAAAATTCGTCTCCTATTTATCATTGCAACAGTTGACAGTTGTAAAATATTTCCGTATTTTTCAAATAATAGCGGAAATATTTGTATGTATGCAACCTAGAAATATGAAACAATATGCCAAAAAATATTCTGAAATTTCTGTGATCTATTCGAGTTAGGCAACACATGCACAAAGTTTGACCATCGGTCGTCATTAAATGAAAAAGTGAAAATAAATACATATCAGATACTAAGCAATATAGCTCGTATATGTGCAAATGTCTCGTTCTTTTCCAGTGTTCTTGCACCATGCAAAAATTGTCAGCCTAAAAAATACACGGAAGGAAAATACACACCAAACATGAGACTGAACAACGCTGCCTGGCAAGTAATATACCTACACATATTCATATGCACATACATACAACCAGGGAACAAAGAAGATCAAAAAGACTCCAGGCTGCTTTGTGCACATGTGAAACTTAAATCTTCAAAGACATAAAATTGTGTTGTGCAAACCGGAATGCTTGAAGAAGAGGGCTGATCATTTATTATTCTTGGTTTTATGTACATATGTACCCTGTGAGGATTATCCTGCATGACACGACGGTGATGATGATGGTCGGCATGGTCCGGTCCAGTTTTACATACGGTCTTCAACTTCTTTTTTCTATTATAAATATTCTATCCATCCAGCCATTGTCCATTCTATAACACATCCCCATAACCGGCTAGCTAATGTATGTACTACGTAGCCCAGTGTCCAGTTCTTCTATTCCACACGTACTCGGTCTTTTAACTTGCATTTTGATTACTGCATAAATTTACTGCCCAACAGTTGGTTGGTTTGCTTTAATATTTGGATAATTGGGAACACAATTTATTCCAGAAGCAGGAGTGAAATTTCAGTTCAAGTACATACGGTAAGTAATTCCAATAATCTGCTAATAAGTGGTGGATGGATATACAGTCAATGGAACAAGTATTGGCAACACCCACATAAGCTAAATAAAATTGGCTGTAACTTTGGCATGCATTATCAAATTAGCATGAAAATTTGTACGCAGTTAGCAAATCTAATGTAGTTTTCGATTATAATCATGTTTTACTGATTAAAATTAGATTAACGCAGTTTTTGAATAATTTGCTGGAAAATTTGCGAAATTAACCCACAAAAAGTATTGGCACCCTAACTTAAAAAATCATAGAGCAACGAAACGCTAATTTTACTGCGACAAAGTGCTTCTAATATTGCGTGGCACCTCCCCTCGACCCAATAAGAGCAGAAATAGGTCGTGGAATTTATTCGACAAGTTCCTATATAACGTTTTTTTATATGGCTGCCCACAGTTCTTTTAAACTTTTGACAAGCTCGTTTTCCGACTAGTGGTTTCCCATTGGTCTCTCTTTTCTTAACCCGGACAATCAGAATCACATCAGGAGACTGTGCAGCCAACGAAAGAATCTTTACCTTTTCGGTCTCCAAAAACTTGCATCGTTAATTTGGCTACATGTTTGGGGTCACTGCATTTTTGAAAATATGAAATTTTTTCCTAGGCCAGGTTTTTGTTAAATGATTTCAAATTATCGTTTGGAATGATTGACAACACCTTCCTGGTCATGATTTCATCGATAGTGACCAGGTAACTACGCCGAGAACTGGTCATTTAACCCCAAACCATAATCGATCCTCCTATGTGTTAAACTGCCATAAGAACGTTTTAGTATTTCTGAGCCTTTTATTGCATCCGCTAGACTTGAACCAATTAATGAGCTCCGAATAAGTAAAATATGCCTATGTCGGACCAGTAGGCCCTTTTTCATTGATCGGAACACTATTTAGGGTCATATTTAGCCCATTTCGATTTATTGAGGTGGTTCGCTTTGGGTACTCTCGCGTCGGTCGGGCTTCTGGAGCCTGAAACCCCAAGGCATAATTTTTGATTGATCACCATATTGTATGATATGTTGACCCTGCAGTTGATACTCCAATTTAACATGGATTTTTAAGCTGAAATCTTCCGCTCTCGAGTGGTTCGTTGCTTGAGTCATCCTTAGGTTTTGGGCTTAGATGACTTTTTTCTTCCGCATCATGGAAAAGTAGAAACTGAGATTGTCATTTTACATTTCTTTGCTACGTATTCAATAGTAAATATGGAAAAGTATGTTTTCTCTTTGATTTTTCGATAGTAAAGCTTTTTTCTGAAAGAGACATGATTATTTCTCGCCGCGCCAAATACAGCTCGTTTTTTGTCGCCATTTTGGCTCCAGACAACACAACTGTAGACTTAAAATGTAGCTAACCTCATATTTTGTCACCTAATTAACTTACCGTAACGAAATGTGGAAGATGGTTAAGAAAATTGTTTTGAGTAATTAATTTGGCCACATGTTGCCAATACTTTTTGCAGGTTTGCATCTGATTCGTTGAGGTCAAAATCAGAATTGTGTTATGTTTACCAGATATAAATCAGAAACATGATTATAATCGAACACTACATTAGATTTGCTAAATGCGTACAAATTTTCATGCCAATTTGATAATGCATGCCAAAGTTATAGCAAATTTTATTTAGCTTGTGTGGGTGTTGCCAATACTTGTTCCATTGACTGTATATGAGCATGACAGATTTTGCAAATATCTTGCACGGAAATAGTCACATGCGTATACATACCTACTTTGCATAACTTTTGACAATTATGGATTGATAACATGAAAAAAAATCGTGTGTCGAATGCCGAGTACGAAGCGACTGGTCGTAGCTGTGTACCCATTTTCAGAGTTTTCCAGATGGATCTATGTACATAAGTATTTATATTTAAATGTGTATGTATTTACAAGAGAGATTGTAGGGTACAGAGTTTAAGAAAGTGATTTTGACATGCACAACTCCTGATATCCAAATCCAGAGAGAGAGAGAGATTGACATGCATTATCTAAAATTTCTCGACTTTTGACTTTACAATTACATTAAGATATTCATGCATGGAAGGATCTGTAAATCTGCCTCGTTTCCATAATCTTGTCCACTCGCGTCTCGTATCAGAGTGGTTTCACTCCACAATTACTCCTATTCTAACATTTTATACCAAATTTTGATCTTAATTGCAGTAAACACTAGAATATTCAGAAACCTTAAAATGATACGGTTGGGTCGTCACCAACTGTTGGTCATCCTCGTGGCAGTAGGATTTCTCTGTGAGGTGACCACCGGGAAAAAGCATCATGGCCAAGAACTGCATAAATTACGTACAAAATTTCAAAAAGCACCACCCCATATTCACTCAAAGTTTGCGTACGTGACGTGGTCCAACGATACGGGATATGACATCAAGGTATTTATAGTCAATGGCGTTATATATCACTTTAATTGATTTTTGTTGCTTTTACCATATTTTTTGTATGATTTTAAGATTTTCGCAGCTCATCTCAGCCAACCCAAAGGACTCGACTGGGTGGCGAAGGCCAGATATCAGAATTTCGTGAACAAAACAGGGTGAGCGTTTTTTCAGTGTTTCGGGTGGAACTTCCACCCATAACTACAAAAATTTTTACCTTTATAATTTTAGACTAAACTTTAAATGAGTTTTAAATGAGTTTTAAACTCATTTAAAACTCATTTAACTTTAGCCTCAAATTTAAAATAATTGAAATTTTTCTGTTATTTGAAACTTGTACCATTCCAACCCAAATTTATCTGGGAATCCAAAAATGCTTAAATATTAAATTTTGCGTAAGTTGATGAAAAGTTATAGCGCATTTAAGTCCAACTCATCTCAACTCATTTAAAACTCACCGGCAACACTAGGTGGAAGGAACCACTTGCAAGAAAAAACGGCAAGCAAGTAATTTCTTGCAGCTATTTTGACCTGCAAGAAACGAAACACTGCGCTTAAAAATTTGCAGTCAATCACTTGACGGACTAATAACTTTGTTTGTTTAACCTGTTAGATGGGCTTTTGTGGAAGTGGAGTCGAAAACGACATGGCCGGATGAGATGCAAGCGTACGCTGCCGGAATGGCGGAAGGATACCTGACAAAAGACTTGATTTATGACTTTTGGCAAAATACCGTCGAGGTGGGTATGCTTACTTTTTGGGTGACAGTTGGCGTGATTTACGCTAATGGAATTTATGGATTGTTCACCTTCTCCCGTGCAGCATGCCTGTGATGACAAACCCAAAATTTGCCAGTACATTAAAAAGTACGTGGCGCAAAATGTCGACTGGACGACGCAGGCGGCCGACAAGTACAAAACCGCGGCACCCTATTGGCACCAAGTGAACCTCTTTATCAGCCAATTTGAAGGACTTTTCAACGGATTTCATAAAGCGGCAAATGGCTCCGTGGCGTCAAGACTGACTTGGGACGATCTCTTGTATGCGGTTCATAACCTAAATTCAAAAGTTATTTTATTTTCTTCTAAATTTTTGCGTATTTATTAGAACGATTAACATAATGGAGGATTTCGGTGATTTGGAAAACGCTCTGAACCCAAATCCTAATCCAGACCCGACCGATCGCAGTGGACATTGCTCTGCACTCATTAAATTGATTGGAAATCGGGACATTTACGCGTCTCATGTCACGTGGGCACCGTGAGTTGGCAATTTTACGTGACAAAAGCCTAATTTCTTCTAATTTCAATGACATTCCTGACACCAGGTACAATACAATGCTTCGAATCGTGAAACGCTACAATTTGGCATACAAGACCTCCGCGAAGGACGGAAGTCCTACCGTCCCTGCCGCCGAAATCTCGTTCAGTTCCTACCCCGGCATGCTGCACAGTATGGACGATTGGTACGTCTTATCCTCCGGTCTCCTCGTCACCGAGACCACAATTGAGAATTATAACAACGACCTCTGGGCAAAGGTCAAACCAACGAATTCAGTGAGTCTTAGAAAAAAGAGTCCGGAAATGTGTCCGAAATTACACATGAATTTATTTTCATCTTAATTTCCACAGTTGTTCGCTGGACTGAGAGCTATGGTTGCGAATCGCTTATCCACGGACGGTCAATCTTGGACAACTTACTTTTCTCGGTGAGGACACATTTTAATTTCCAATTAACCAAGCTAGTAATTAATTCATGCTTAATTTTTTTAGCTATAACTCTGGTACTTACAATAATCAGTGGATGATTCTCAACTATAATTTGTTCGAACCCACGAAACCTTTGAACAAAGGGCTGCTCTGGGTTTTGGAACAATTGCCAGGTTAGTTATGCTACGATTTTGGCAGTTGTTAGCAGTGGCCGTGGTGGGGTTATAACGTGTATAATCCGATCCTTGCCTATTTTTCTTTAAAAAACTTGAAAAATTATTAAAAAAATCATTTACAAATTTTCCTTGTCTATTTTTAAGCTCAAGAAATTAAAAAAATCAGTTCTTGAAAGAAAGTAGTATTGGGTATGATAATACAATAATCTGAAAGTTAAAACAAACATGAAAATTTCAGAAAATTTATAAAAAAATCGAAATCTAGCTGATTGTTATAAAATGAATTGCATATTTAATCAGAACTAGTTATACATTTATCAATTATCTTGAAAAGGCAAAATTATTTCCGAATTGCCATATCATTTTTAATTATGTTTGAGTTGGTCATATCAGATCAATGTTTTTGTACTTCAGTCCCAAAACACGGTGGGGACAAATGCATGTCATGTCCCCCACGGCAATATTTCCGCATTGTCCCAATGTTCAACGACCCCTGACATGGTTTTGATTAACGCTTCTATCTTCTCATCAGGAAAAATTCAAGCTAAAGATGTCACCGAAGTTTTGAAAAGTCAGGGTTATTGGTCCTCTTACAACTCGCCCTATTTCAAAGATATCTTTGAAGCGAGTGGGTCTCCAAAAATGGTGGAGAAGTACGGCGAATTTTATTCATATGAAGGAACTGCACGTGCCAAAATTTTTGCGAGAGATCAAGGTATCCTTTTTTGTTGGATCGATATATGTAAATTAGATTTCTGGAAACATCAGAGGAGTGTCAATTTATAATTGGATTTTTTAGGACAAGTTGAAGACATCGACTCCATGATGAAACTCATGAGATACAACGACTACCAGAATGATCCCTTGTCACGATGCAACTGCACCCCACCCTAGTAAACACATTGTGAATTATTTTAATTCGTATTAAAGCATCTTATGCAAATCATGACTTAATATTTTACAGCTCTGCAGAACTCGCCATTTCCAGCAGAAACGATATGAATCCGGTCGATGGCCAGTATCCGATTAAACTTTTGGGTAGAAAATTACAGTTTTGAAGTGTTTTACATGACTTCATCTCAGGGTAGACGAAAATACTTCGTTAAAATACGGTGTTTTGACATTCAAAATGCTGTATTTTGACAAACTATTTTCGTTACTCCTATTTCATCTACTAATTTTGACCCCTCGTAGGCCACCGTTCGTCTGGATCTACGGATATGAAACTGACGAATTTGGACTTGTTTCTTCTTCAGCAATTTGTTTCTTGGTCTGGTCCAGGTATGATTAAAGTCATTATTCATCGTATCATACTCATTGTGAAACGTATTAAAAAATACTCTAATTTTTTTAATTTTGAACTAAAATATTCTAATTTTTAAACTAATTTCCAGCCTATGACCCACTTCCACCATTCCAATGGTCCAAGACTGACTTTAAAGACCTTCCCCATCACGGGATGCCGGATCGGTTCGAATTTGAGCCCCTCATCCACAAGTGGAAGTGGCTTTAAAGTGAAGGAAGAACTCAAAAAGTGGTCCAATTTTCAGCTCAATATGGTTAATTAATTATTTATTTAATTAATTAACTGCTCTCTTTCCCTCTTGCTCTCCTCGTATTGATTTACTCATTTAATTAATTAAATGATTTATGGTTATCTTATTAGTTGATTAAATCCTATTTGGTTATCCAATTTATTATAGTTCAGTTTTGATGCATAATTTAGACAGCGTACGTTTTGATCCTTAATCAATCAATTTGAATAAATACTTAATTGATTACCTATGAACAAGCCCCTTTCAATTTATTTCGGTTTAACGTTACACGCCGTGGGGATGAATCTCAAAACTTCAAAATTTGAATTTTTAGGGACTACACCGCACTTTCTATTTATTTTCTTAGTCATTTTATTAAAATTTATTACACACGTATCCATTTAAAAACAATGTATTTACAATGCGTTAAAATTACATGTCGACACTACCATAACGTTTCATGTATGACTACTTATGTATGTAGCTGCATATTCTTGGCCAGTAATTTCTTCTGATTTCAACAGCAATAAATAAGTTAAAGATTATAAATACAAGAGTAATAACATGTCAAATTTGTAAACATAATGCTAACTCCTCTTCCTCTATAACAGAAGAAACTAAATTAAATATTATGCTACGATTAATCCGTACATACTTCATCAACTGAGAGAAAGTGTTTCGCTTATTGCGGGTTTGCCACATTTCTTGCACTGCAAGGCAAGCCACGCAAGAAATTTGTAAAAAACTGCAAGAAAGTGCAAGAAATATACGGCATCCAGCCACACGTCGTATGAAATTTAGCGACGTGACGTAGTTTCTTGCATTTCTTGCAGAGCAAAATAGTTGCAAAAAACTACACTTTTTTTGCAAGTGATCACTTCCACCCGAAACACTGCTGAGAGAACACATAAATGCGTGGAGAGAGTACAACAACAAAGTTGAGATATAAAAATAACTATTTTTACTGAAGCAATGATAAACTTATTTCGTCAATTGAAACGACAAAACGTATAACAAACAATTGCATGGTGGTATTTACGAGCTTGATTTTTTAATTGGTTAACAAATAATCGTCACGTATGTAAGATCTTCGTCACATAATTCGTCACTTAATTTCATCAGTATGGAATCGGGTCGCGGAGATGCGCTTGCTTTTTGTACTCGTATTTTAAACACTTCCCAAACCAGCTCATTTTACTACAGGTTCTTTCAGGTTTGAGGAGAAAACACTTGGTTTGGACGACGTTGAAGAAAATCTTCCCCACGAAGTTGGATGATCCAGTATTCGTCTGTTTGAGACAGGAGCGAAACCTATTTTTTTAGAGAGAAAAGACACAATAAGATCATTTCAAATCATTTTTTGAACAAACGAACAAGTAAAATGATTTTTAAACCCCGTCGGCCATTTTTTCCTCTACAATTGCACCCAGAAATAATGTTATTTGTGAGAAATTGTGACCAATAAATGCGAGAAGAAGACTTGTTTTCGAGATAATTGGATTTTCCTTTTGCTCCACGAAGAGTGAAAGAAGGAAACAATTCTCAATTTATTTCTTGTTACTTTCTCTCCGAAAGTGAGAAATAGTGCGTGACTTTATTTTCGCTGGAATCAGATTTGGACAAAAAAGTTATGGATGAAAGCATCTCGGTCGATGACATTTACAGTGTTTCGTTTTGGACGTACAAACCTACTTTTGGGCTAGACACCGTCCGAATGTGTCCAAAAATGTCCAAAAGGGTGTAACATTGGAAAATGGGGCAAAATCTTACAAGTTCTTTATTAACTATTTGTTTGCAAATCTATGCCCAGTTTGGGTACATTAACCCATTAATTCTGAGCATTTAGTTTTGTAAAAACACAACGAAATTTGGAAACACTTTTGTTCCAACATGTTTTCTTATGAGAAATTACAAAATTTTACAAACCATGCCGTATTACACAGCAAAATGCTTGTAACGCAAAATCAATGTACCAATATTTTGAAAGATTTCACAAAGAAGAACTTGCAACATCTTACTCCACTTTCTTCTATTTTGGACACTTTTTGACATTCTGGAGTCCAAAAATTCAGTGTCCCAACTTGCTTAAAACCGGTTTTGGGCAGTGGTTAAAACCACAGCGAAACCCTGGACGACATACACGGAGCGAGACAGACAGAAAAACTATGTCGTAACGTAATGTGCCTCATCAGAAACTTTTTCCACTTTCTCTTCTCTCAAGTCAACAAGGCTTTCTTTTTTTCTCGCTTTTCCCGCACGAGTGTTGGTTAATGGGATGTGTGTGTGTGTGACTGTCAAGGGTCCAACTTTTCTCCGTGAAGAGAGACGGCTTTCAAAAAGTAATTGACACATTACGCTCAATTTGTCCTCCCTCACTCACTCCTCGCACCGAGATTTATTTGGAGACGAGCGAGAGGAGTGCAGCGAAATAAAACGACTTGGATGGAGGAGAAAAGAGAAATTGTATGGAAACCAGAAAAGAAAGGTGATTAAGTTTTGTTCACCAAAAGTCGGGGAAAAATTGCCCAAAATGTTGGTGAAAGTTGAGGAGAAGATCAACAAATTGGGAGAGCGGGTCCTCCAGACAGTGGCCGAGGAAGCGTAGGGACAATATCCCCATCATCTGCCCATCTTATATAAACCTCTCCCTCCCCTATCCTACAATGTTTGTGTTCCCACAGCTTCCGCTGCCACTTGCTCCAGAAATATAGAAAAATAGATAAACGACTAGACAGAAAGACAAGAAATTTCACCCCTCATCTTCTGATTGACTTGATTGACCAATTATTACTACGCTAACTCGTAGAATTATCTCCCCTGCTTCGAAATATACTGGTCAGTCAAAAGTTCTGACCAGTTGTCCGACTTTATTTCCTGTCGTGGGTGGTGGTGGTTTACCTCTCGTCACACGTGCAATGGTTGATGGTGTACATTCTCCAGTTGAAGAGACCGTACTTCTCTTGAAACGCCTCAATGTAGAAGGGACACCCCAAGTCGTGGTAGCGACAACAGTTATCCGTCCCTGTCAGACCACCCAGTTGCGTCATGTCCTTGGCCGTGTAGCCCCGTCCGCACCATTGTGTTCCGGGCAGTTGAAGGGTGCTCATGTCACGCTTGGTGCGTCGCAGGACGACACTTGGAGTGGTATAATTTGCCCTAAAGGATAATGCATGTGGGTCATCAAGGGTCAAGTATAGATCGACACGATAAAATCTGGGCATCGACCCATTTCTTGAACTGAGGATAACCTTCAAACCGTGGGGAAAGCGAGGAGGGAAATGCACACGAAAAATTAAATGAGCCAAAAAACTGAGGCAATTATTGGTCAATCAAACTCAACTTCATACCAGGGTGCAAATGTAGAGGCGATTATGTAGCATTAATTAACACAAAATATAAAGAGTAATTAGTTAATTAATCAAAAGAAATACAACCTTTCATCACAGGTACAATGACTAATAGTGTGCATTCGGTAGTTGAACATTCCATACTTGGAGGACATGGCGTCGATAAGGTAGGGGCATCCATCTAACAAAAAATGAGGAGACGTGTGCCTTGTTAAGTTTAAGACGGAAATAAATAAATAAATAATAAAAAAAGTAATCACGACGGCGCATGCTTAATTAGTGTTTGTGTGTCTTTGTATACCATGTTCCCTACAACATCGATCCGCACCCACGTGGGCGCCCAAGGACTCGGACTTATCGGCCAGGGAGCCGTCCCCGCACCACAAAGTTCCTGGCATGATTCCCATCCGAAACGCTTCCCGACGCTGCCTGCTTTTCGTCCTGGTCATTCAGTGGAATAGTTGTAAAAAGGGAAAAAAGTGAGTATGAGCAAGCAAGAGGGACACGTTTTGTAATTAATTAATTATCATTCAATTGTTATATTAATAAATAAATATAATGTCATGCGCTGTAAAATAAAACTAAAACGGACACAACTCGAGCAGGGGGTTTGGTTTAGTTTGACAATGGAATGATTTTTTTATTGTGATTTCTGCAATTTATTGTAGGATCATAAATCAAGATAAACTTCACAATAAATCAGGAAACTAAATAAATCAGATAACGATTGATGATTTCTAAAATCTACCGGAATTTGATGATATTTTATTTCGATTTTTGTGAAAATATCATTGAAAAATGAAACCGGCTAACAATGGAGGTCTCTCAGCGTTTGCTCCCCGATTTTAAGGAAATTAGTGTCAATCGGTCACAAATTTAATTAATATGACATTTGAAAAAGACAAAGATCTCCCCAATTTCATGTTTGACGGAGATAATTGCATTCGAAGAGGAGAAAATGCGCAGCAAATTTGGAAGGTGGAAAATTTATCGAACGCGTTTTCTCCCCTTCGGATGCAAATATCTCCGTCAAACGTGACCTTTGGGAGATCGCGTCTTTTTCAAATGTCATATTAACTAACAATAAGTTTATGATCGATTCACGCTAATTTCGTCAAAATTGAAGAGCACATGTTGGGAAAACTCAATTGTCAGTTTGCATAACTGACGGGGAAAGTAACATACCTTTTGGACGATGACGACGACCCGTCAACGCCACTGTTACTCGCATCTTCATCGTCTGATGATGATAACTTTGCATCCTTGACACTCTTCACGGCTTGCTTCATTCTCTGGTGAAGCCGTTTGCATTGCCTCTGTTGAGCATGGACATTAAACGTCTTCCTCAAATTGTCCGACACTTCGGTGTCTCGGAGGAGGCGGACGGTCACGTTTTTGAATTCGTCCAATCTGAGGACGGGACGATTTGCGAATTGCATAAAAATAGGAAAATAAATGGATCTCTAAGAAATATTACCCTTGATTCAGGTCGATGGGTTCAACATCTGGTAACGAATTACTACTACTTTCATCCAGCAGTTGTGCCATTATTAGGTCGTCGCTATCCTCGTCGTCGCCAACATGTCGGTTTGCTGGGACTCCGAGATTTTGCAATCCCTGGGCGACAAGCTCTCTTCGAAATTGTGATCGAAACTCGTTCCCAGCCTTCCAATCGTTGATGACCTCGCATTCGACAAGCTTCCGGTGTTTGGAACCCGTCATCGTGCCATAATTTAGCTTGTAGATGAGTTGCAAAAAATGAGGACCGGACGCCACTTGACGAAGCATTAGACCCCTCCTGAGAAAAAAGGTACATTTTTTTTTACTAAATTTGTCAATAATTTGTGCAGCACGTGTACAACTACGCATTTTATCTTGAAGAAGAAGGATGCAATTTTCATGGGAAAAATGAAACACGCGATTCCAGAGCAGTTACGTTACATGTTTCTGCATGTGACTACCCGGTAGTGGGAGCACATTCAATATTGCGTCATTTAAAGAAGGAAAATACCAAGAAATTGTGGTCATAATTCCAATAATTTGTATATCTTAGGGAAATACAGGAGTCATTGTTTACTACGTAAATATGTGCGAGTACACGAGGATGCAATCTTCGTAATGGGACACATGAGAAATCTTGAACCAATAAGGAGCAACAAAGAGAGGAAATTTACCAAAGAAATTAGAATTGTAATCACCACGTCAAGTTTTTGTGCAGACTTCCCAAAATCATAAACCTTGCCAATTTTCATACTACAATACAGAATCAATGACATAATTATGATTCATCAAAATGAGGCCTAAACAATGAAGGATGCTCAGAATCTGAACAATGGGAACGTATCAGTCAATAAATACCAGTACTTGGTAAACTAATAACACAAAAAAATCCTTCAAACTAGTTAATACATCCAACCAGTCAGGTTTTACATAATGTGGTATTTGCAAATTTGTTCATAATTGGCCAAATTCACATTCATGTGCAAAAATTTCGGAAGGAATTTACCCCTGCTTAAAAAAATCTCATCCATCCTCCGTAATTGCAGGCTCCTAAATGCACGCCTTGCATGAAGCCAGTATCCCAACAATGATGCATACACATGCCTACCTACATATTGTTGCACTGCAGCGAGTGCAATAATGAGAAGCCCACTCGTTACTATTGTTGAGGGCATGATTATGATCCATGTCATCTCATCAAAATCAACCAACCAACCACACATCCATCGTACGATGCATCGACAAACCAATCACCAACGACGACCGACCGGCACATTACGTTACATTTTTACTTCACTCACTTACATTATTGCCCCTCCGCGAAAAGGAATTCATTGTGAGGAACGGAAAAAAAATGCTCAATGAAATGAAATAAATGAATGACTGCGGCTCACTTTTGTCTGGTGGGAAGTAAAATGAATCACTTTTCGCGTATCATCATTCCCTTTTTACGATGTGTAATAAATAGTTTTAACTTGCTGCACGTAGTCAACTATTTATACTCCCACCACCACCACCACTTTAATAAAACTTGACTCAATCACAATGAGACGGCGATTAATTGGATGACTGTGAAATATTAAGTGATCCCGTAATTTGTAGTAATGCTTCATTTCCGCTCGTTTTATACGTGCGATGCAGCAGAGATGTTAGTCACTATTTATTTATTGCAAGGAGACCTATATATTCCTCCGATATGAGATTGTGTAAATATGTATGACGCTGGAAATTTATGAATTATAAAAATCTACCCTTTTACATACATGCATGTGTCATATGTCCATATGAGATGAGTCACTATATAGTGCGAATCAGTTATGTATGTCCAATCGGTCCAATAATTGTATGTGGCCACTAGTGCGAAATATTTACATATGTATACCCAATAATTGTGTGTGGGCATATAACTATTATCCGTCTCAAATTCCCGACTAACCTAACTCAACAACCAGACCAGAGTGATTGTGCATTACGAGTACATTACACACACGTCTCATGCCTATTCACTGGACTGGACTGACTGCTTCTTCTTTTGGACAAAGTAATCTCGTCTCATTTGCGACTAGTCAAAAAAGTCAACCTTTGCACAGAACAAAGTCTTTTTGACTGATTTTTTTCTGCCTAACTTTATAATATACTCATTAATTTAATTAACTTTGTACTTTGGCCGATCTTGAACTTGAATGAAATGAGCCATTAAAGACTTCCAGTCACAAAACTATCACATGAGACGGGCACATGGAATTAATTAATTTGAGCACCTACCTCACTTCATCGTCTCCTTCTTGGGTGGGATTCGTGACGAAAGTCTCACGGACGAGGACATTTCCCAATCTCATCCGCACCTCATGTTCTCCATCGGGCAGGACGGCAGTGGCCACGTAGTTCTTGAGATCCGTGGTGGTGTATGAATCCCCATCAGATTCCGTAACGACGCAGGACAAACAACAAAAGATCACGAGCAGACAAAGTTTTTCCATAAAAAGGGCTCGAAACATATTCTTCGGAGAGAGAGAAAAAAAACGACACAAATTCCCAAAGAAAAGTCTTAAAATTCACTTATGAAGAGACTTATAGACTTATAGAGTAAGTCTGCACTTTGTGACACTGATTCTCTCGTCACTCGTCGTCGTGGGTCTCAGCTCAAGGTGATGATAACAATTGATTTGATCTGTGGTGTCGCAACTATTAAATCAACTTCCTCCCACGAGGGATGAAACAATTATTACTAAATATTTTGAAAGTTTGAAGGTAGCAATGTGCTCTACTTGGCTATGAGTTGGTTCGTACTGCAGACAGACCGGCACACATGCACACACACCACACAAGTTACATACAACAATGAATGGTATGTTAGGCGGAAGAGGAATATGACGAGAGGATGAATGAAGAAATATGTAGCGAGGCTATAGATATGACTTTGGTTTAGGCGAGTAAATCGGTGTGGGTTGACGTGTGGGTCTAATATTTGCTTAAAAATGTACGAAAGGAAGAAGAAGAAAGAGTGCTGATTTCCACGACAGAGACAGACCGGCACCTTCTATTTATGGCGAGGATTTTTTCCACTCCGACCAAAGACCGACCGATCTGATCTGAGGAGAGAGAAAGACTGCGTGCCTGTACTGCCAAACCAAGCGATGGGATACCAGACCGGCATCAAATATGACAGACTCGCTCCTGCTTCTCCTCCACGTCCGTATCGTGCTTATACCCATTGCATGAACCTAAACCGACCTAAACTTTTGTGTGTTGAGATGTCATGAGGAGGATGATGATGTGAGATGAGAATGCAATGTGTAATAATAATGCAACTGAACCAACTAGAGTGGAATTGTGGTGAAAAAGTGTCTTGTTTCAGCTTCCAGAGAAGGAAAAATACTCATTAAACCAGTAACGAGTCAGGCAGCCACTGATGATGAGAGTCAATTAGTTAAACACTCCCCCACCAACCAACCAACCACCACGGAACATTAAACTGTTGTACCGTTTACTTAAACCGTACACTCGAAAGTCATCAGATATCCCTTTTTGCTGGCATGATAATGAAAACGATGCATTCTTTCAGAAGGAGAAGAAAAAACAAACAGGAAGGAAAAGTCAGACTGTTTTGCCATCGATTTCATCCCGTTTCAAGTTCTGGAAGAAACTGGAACGAGTTTAGAGAGATGGGAAAAGTGGAAAATAATAATATTTTGTCTCGACATAAAGAGCGAGAAAATGCGAAATGACATGGGCACGTATCCACACAATCACGAAGTAATTGACTAATTCAATCCAATTGGTCACTTTAAATCGTGAATCCCCAGAGAGAGGCGACGATCGTGGTGATGATGAGAGGATCGTACGATGCTGAATGTTCTGGATTCTCATTGTTTCGCTTGATTCAGTGTTTTTCCCACCCACGGCTCTTCACAATTCGGTATGCACACACATACATGCTCGCACCAAGTTTATTGTGTGACTGACGGGGCACATATTATTGTGTCCAATTCAATCCTGCGATACGTATGTGGGCTAAATTGCAAACACTTTAAAAGAATCGGGTGATAATTTAGACAGTGATTTGATGACTCTCTTTAAACGAGTTGGTTAAATGATAAAAATTTTGATTTTTTAAATACCACGATGGATAGAAGAAGTGGTATGGTTTTGATATGCGTTAGTCAGCGTAGGAGTCGATGAATTATCACTAAAATCGTAGAAATCAACACATTTTTAATCATTTCTCGGCTCTGGGAATTTATTTTAAAATTCTGGACGACAAATTTGTAGTCAGTAAGTTGATTAAAAGAATGCCGAGTTTTTTTCAGTGAGTTTCAATGCGTTCCAATTTTTCTGAAGGATTCTTAATCTTAAACTTGAGATCTCCTCCTTCAAAAAGTGTCAAAATCTGGAGTGTATATTTTTAAAAAATTGGGAACGACCTGCTCTACAAATTTGTCATCTAGAAATTTTAGATAAATTCCCAGAACATTCCCAGAACCGAGAAATGATTACAATGTGCTGACTTTGGCGATCAGTCATCGAGTCTACGTTAAACAAAATTACAACATTTGGGATGATTTCCCACAAAGAAATAAAATGCTACTTTATTTCTCCCACATTTTTGAAAATTTTAATTTTTTTAATACCGCGATGGATCAAACATATATGAAAAAATTGTATGATTGGCATATACGTCCGTTAAGCCAGACCATGCAAAATTGCAATATTTTGGATATGATTTTCCACCAAGAAATAAAACGCTTTCCCTCTTTCCCCACATTTTTGAAGTTTCTTTTTCCCATATAGATTTTTATTTCCTTTTTAAAACCTAATCAATATTTATAGATCATATTGTTGTTCTCGTCCTCCGCCCTAAAATTATTACGCAATACACTCAACGGTACAAAATAAATCTAACATAGCGACCTTACCGACAGGCCATTTACATACATAATACATATCTCCTCTTTGTCCTACATAACAACAAGTAGAATATCAATAATACCAATAATAATTAATAATTAACAATTAAATAGTTTTAGCAAAACATGTTATCTCAATTTTAGAAAATATTTAGCAGCCCATTCGAAAATTCAATCTCAAACTTTTTCACGTGCACCTACGAGTTCAGTTTAGAGGAAAAATTCTAAAAATTTCACAATTTCACAATTTTTCTCTACTCGGCTAATAAAAAGTTAATTTAGGACGACGAAAACCACGACGATTTGCACCATTTTTCTTTCGGAGAGAATAAGAAGATAAGAAGAAGAGGAAAACCGGATGTACACATATTTATAATTTTTCCGTAATACGCTCTATAATTTAATAAACATATCGATCTCGCAATTGTACTTTTTCCATAATGCGGTTTGGTATATAATAGAGATAAATAGTTAGTTAGTTAACTATTCCTACTATTTTTATTTATTTATTTTCTCATCAAGTAAATAAGTTTCCGTATTGCAGAGTTTTCATTTTAGCACCAGATTATTCATTATTATGCACACTCAGAAATTTTGACTTTCAGAGATATTCTTTTCCTAATCATGCGATCGATCGGAGTGGTTTAAGTTAAGTAGCACTCAGGCAGCAGGGATGGAGATTTAGGAGGTGCATTAATACGTAATATCGATAGTTTTAGTAGGAAGGAGGAGGACCGAGAGTAGTTAATGCTACTAATTAATTAATTACTAATATATTTCATCATGTGCGATACAACAGGCAAAAGGGATGATGAAAGTTGAAAATTTTTTCGTGATTATTTTACACATTTAGAAAATAGGGTACACCGCGTATTTATTTCTTAAGCTGCTTAATACTTAATATTCTTTCTTCTCAAATATGTCTCGACTGTAGAGGATTGTTCTTTGCATTTTTTCTCTCTCCCTTCTCGTTAAATATTTTTGCATGCAAAATTTCTGCATCTACTTACTTATCATATATGATAAATACATATATGTATTTATGTACTTATCCGTTACATTTAGAAGAAGGAAGCAGGCAGGCTTATAATAATCATAAGTAAACTCTGACCCCCGACGGCTTAGATACTTTCACCGCGACGGTGAGTCTAATTAGTTAGTCACAATGGTGGTGGTGGCGATGGTGAAAGGTTTATAGATCGGAGAAGGCATAAAATATCAATATGTGGTGGTTGCTTGCTTGGTTGGTTGGTGGTTGGTGGTGGTGAATGTTAATTAATTAACAAGTGAAAGTGAATGATGTACCCGCACCAGCAAAATTTAAGGTAGGACTGACTTTCTCCCTTCAAAGTCATAAATGTATATTGCACATGGCAAATTGCGATTCGCAATAAGTTACAAATATAGAGTACAGGTCGGTCCGTCTGTCTGTGTTGTGTTGTGTGTGTAAACATTGTTTGTGGCCTATTTCAATATAGATTGCGTAATAAAAGCCAATTTCACTGCGTACTTATTCAAGTATCCAATAATGCCCGACCTACCTACGCAGTTAGCCAAAAATATAGGGAGAAACGGTAACGATAACTTTTTATGCGTTGTTTCTTTCTCCCGTGTGACATCGCGGTTCTACGTATTAAACAGAATTTATGGCAACGTGCGCCTATAGATTTGGTTAGTCGATCACAGAATTGTGTGGATTTTTTATGTATATTTTTAAAACTGTAACTTTTACGTAATATCATTCACTTTTTTAGGTATCTATAAACAACCCCTAGCCTTTTGTGACGAAGTGGTTCCTTGCATCCAGTATGGCCAACAGTGTTTCGGGTGCAAGAAATAACGGAAAGAAAGTGGTTTCTTGCAGGTATTTTGACCCGTAAGAAATGTCAGGTGCGAGAAATGACCTTGCTTGATGGCGCACATTTCTTGCACTTTCTCCCAGTTTCTTGCACCTCGTATTTCTTGCGTTTCTTCCTTTGCTGTGCAAGAAATGTAGAAAAACCCGCAAGAAACGAAACACTGATCGCGAACGCCAAGGAAAATGTGCGCTAAAAAGTCTGAGAACCTTGCACTTTAAACATAATAAGCTACTAAATAGGAACTAATAACGTTCCTAATTACTCTGCATCCAAGTATATAATGCATAGCATGCAGCATGACATAAATACAACGACGTCGCAATTACTAAAACCTTGTTATTAAACAGAGCCATAAATGCTGTTTAAACGAAGAAAGGAAAACTTGCAGCTAAATATTTAAATAAATAACGAGGAGGAAAGGACGAAACTATTAATGCAAAAATAAATCCAACTCTCCACCTCAAACTTTTCTGCCCGGAAAGTTTTGCATAAAATATTGCAAACTCAAAGTAAGTAAACGCAAAATAAATAAATATTATGAAAAAAGTAGTAAAAACTTGGACAAATCAAATTTATGTATAGCGAAGCAGCGTGAACATTTTATTTAAACGATAAGCGCAACTTAAATGATAAATCCGTACAAATTTACACCGATCTCTTTCTCTTTAATATAATCGATACTGGTAAAAAAAGTATTATAAAACAATTAAATATAATTAAATATCCATGCTAAATATTTAACTGGCGATGAGGACACATGCACATTCATCCATCCATCCAAAGTATCGAATACATAATTACGTTCTCTTTTTTTTTACATAAGTAACGGACTCCATGCAAAAAATTCTTCGTCGAGCTTAGTTTATAGAGTAATTAGACGTGCAAATTTTCTCAGTAACTACTTCTGTATAGCAGCTTGATGGATGACTTTTTAAGCTATTTTTAGTCGGGGTAAAACAATTTAAAAGTATTAAAAACTGGTTGTTGTTAATGAATTCAAGAGAAAAAGGTTGGATTAAAAGTATGTACGCAATTCTTAGCACGACAAAAAATCATCTCAACGTGGATGATTGAATTAAAATGTTACAATATATATTTCTAAAAACGTGATTAACTTTATAATATTAGTATATCTCGGATATCGTATCTATTTAATAACGAAGTTTAACGATTCTTTGTTGCGGGGTTCTTATTTTTAACAGCGATATAATAATTGATGTATTTATGTATATAATGTAGTGATGATGATGATGATGCGCATCAGGAGAGGATGAGGAGACGACGAGAAAAAATGGTCACGAAAAGATTTATATCATAGATTCGATTCGATTCGGCGGCGGCGACGACGGTGGCGACGGCGACATTTTTTTTCTTGGTTTTCTTCCTCTTTTTTCAGTCAGACATTTTGTATCACAGAGAGTGGGGCTTTGTTTCTCACAGGATTGTAGTTCACGGCTTCATATTTTATATTTTCATGCAGCAACAGCACTGTGTGGATTTCGATTTCGATAAACATTTTTCAAGAATTGTTAACATTTTTTGGCTGGACAATGGAGGAGTCGATCATTCTATGGTTAAATAGTTAGTTTCAAATTTGGGTAACTGAGCACCAATAGTGGGGATTGATTAATTGTTCGTTTCTTTTTTTAAAACAGAGCCGCTAAAATCATCAATTACTTCATAAGTGATGCATAAAATCTGTTTTGCTTTCTTAGCATTATCGCTGTTTACACCGTTGTTCTACATTTTGTACACATTTTTCCCTTGATCGAAAGACTACCACATTTTCACGCACGACAATGGTTTTTTTACTTGGTAAATAAATTAGTTTAAACATTTTTTTACGTAGTATAACGATCCGAATGATTCAATCCATGCCGCATAAGATTCATCTACTCTTTCTTTATGTATGTATGCACGTCTTAAGTTAATTTACATGCATTCGTACCTCGTCATGTTACATATTTATAGTCATTCACCACTAATAACACATTCGCCAGCGATTTACCTACATATAATTTAACAACGTAGATAGATATATGTATTTTTAAGCTTATAAATGCAATAACAATGAGTTTCCTTAAAAATGATCTTGATTCCGCTACAAGTAAACATATGCAAGTATGTGTAATCTTAGTTAGCTAAGTTTTATATATTATATAACAACGCGCGTACGGTTTCACTGTTTTCTTTCTGGTCTGCAGTTTTGAAGTTTTGATACTCCTGAGAGTCACAGAGAGGTTTTGGTTTCATTTCTTTGTAGTTTTGTTGTATGAGCTGGAGCCAATCTGAATTGGTGTGTAGTTGTTGCTGTTGAAGAGATCGAGAGACACGTCTTTCCTGTTGGACTGATTGGACGCGTATAAAAGTACATATCATGAATAGTAGTAATAGTAGTAGTAGTGGACAGATATTGAGTAGTAGTAGATCAAAGGTAGCATAACGTAGAGGGGGGAACAGGAGGAGGAGAAGGGACGACGAGACTCGGTGAATCTGGGGCGCCAGGGTCACCGCCAAACACTCTGCCATATGAAAGAGACGAGGCGATGGAAGAGTGTGAGACAGGAGAGGAGAGATGGACACCTCGCTTCGATGACGTCTTGCTGGTTCGGAACTTGTACAATGTTGATCATCACGACGGGTTCGTCAGGAATGACCCAAGGGTCGTAGAGAAGAGGATCACAGTCCTGCAGGGGTGATGTCGTCGGTGGAGTGGTGTTGTACAATTGCGTCGTCAAGCCGAAGATTTGGTTGACCCTGGCGGCTCTGTCTCAATCCCACTGATTCTCCTTCACCATGTGGGCTAATTCGATGATGTACTTTCCTTCTTTGTACTTTTGACTAGATTCAAAGGCATGCTCCTGGACAAAAAGGGGTCAAAGTAATAATAAGAATAATTGAAATTCCGACCCTACATCGTGATAAAAAGTGGAGTGATAAAATATTCCCGGAATAACTCACATATTTCCAACCCAGCGTGGTACGACAGCATTCACAATAGATATCAGCCACGGCGTGAAGTCCGGTGAGAAGGACGCGTTCCTCGGCGGGACCACAGCCCACGTTCACCCTGAAAACGAGCAAGAGTTAGAAAAACATTAACCAAAACATAAAACATTGATCCGCCCGTTCATGTACTTGCAGTGTTTCAGTGGTTCTTGCGGGTTTGCCACATTTCTTGCACGTAAAGCAAGAAACGCAAGAAATGCGAGGTGCAAGAAACCGCAAAAAATATCCGCCATCCAGCCAAGCGCCGTGCGCGACGAGACGCAGTTTCTTGTGTCTTGAATATCTTGCAGAGGAAAATATGTAGCTGCAAGAAACCACTTTCTTGCAAGTGGTTATTTCCACCCGAAACACTGCCCGCACGCAATTTAATATTTTACTAGCTTAAGCTTACACAGAATTGAAGAGGTACGCCCGTCCTTGACTCCCTTGAAATGACTGGAAAAACAAGAAGAAACAAAATTGCTCATTACGCTGCCTAATTTCCAGATTAGTTTTCATTTTGCAGTCTTAATACTTCATAAAATTTGGATGAGCTGGCTCGCCCAATACGTGGGCACCTTTGATCATATCATTCGCATCGCAAAAAGTCGGGAGAAAGTAATCATGAGAAGAAGAAGGCTAATGGATGGCAGAGAAAGAGAGAGTAAAGAATTAGGAATTCTTCTCCTGCAGTCAACCTTCTTCATAATTTTGGGTGTCATTAATTCAGGAGTACGAGAGAGAGAACAATGGGGAAAGCAGGAAAGTTGATGCTGATCAAACAAAGCTCGTCCCCTACATATTCTCTGCCAGCAAGTCTTACAACGCACATGTCAGACGTGTTTCTCACGGATCTACTTAAAGCCAGGACTAGAAAGTCAAGTAACTTAACACAAACAAAAGTTAGTCTGGGACTTGACCACTTCTGCAGAATTCACGGATTTGAGTTGGCAAAAACGCGCATTTTCACCATGCAAAACTCTCTGGCTGCGCTTTCCGATCGTGAAAATGCACCTAGTTGCCAACTTAATTCCGTGAATTCTGCCGAAGTGCTAGACTTCCTGTTGTTTGTGTTCAGCTACTCGATTTTTTAGCCCTGGTTTTAAGAAGATCGGTGAGAAACACGTCCGACATGTGCATTGTTGGCAGGCCTGGCTGGTAAATATTATTAATTCGGACAGAGGGAAACCAGCCGTCTTTTGGGACATGCATTATTACGCCATATGCAAGCCTGCTGAGCACTACCACAGGCATGTGACTGGTATAAGTAGGGCTGTGGAAAGGCTGAAAATCGATCGCCCTTGAAACCAGTTGAAGGACCATCCGTCGTGGTGGTCGTGGTAGGTTGTACTTTTCATGTTGTGCCACTACCACTACCACCACTGCCTACTTTCTCCTCTGCCTTCCCTCCCAACGGAGTAGTTGGTACATTAGGACGAGAAGTATAGAGAACAAGAACAAGATAATACTTTCTCTCTGTGTTTCTCAGCAGTTTGCGAAATTCCTACCCTGTCCGGCACAATGAGGTGAACATTCACACACACACAAAATTCCTCCTATTCTTTCAATCTACTAAAGTCGAAAAGTCTCAAGGAGCGAGGATGACGAGGATATCATGTCCATCCGTGCCTTCCCGTGCTTTCACTTTCGCAACAACAACTTGACTCTTCATTTCCACTCGGACCTGTCTCCCTTTGATCTCTGGGATGAGGAAAATGTACAAGGACAAGTCTCTACTCATTGTAATGAATACTTATGTGTTTGACTTGAACCTGATCACGAATGGGCAAAATACTTTGTCAAAATAGAGTACTTTGATCGCCGTTTTTCCCAGTGTTTGGACTTTCAGGGGTGTTACACCCACAAAAACATGGGAATCTACGTGGAGAAGACAGCAGTCATACGAAAATACAAGTTTCGTGAAGAAATTATTTTTTATCGCTGTTAAAATACTGTATTTTTTAAAATTGTACGAACAAAGTGTTTTGAAAAGTTTAATTTCTTCACAAAACCTTTACTTTCGTACGACTGCTGTATTCTCCACGTAGATTCCCATCTTTTTGTGGGTGTCACATTCGTGGAAATCCAAACCCTGGGAAGCCCGGAGCTCGAAATACTGCATTTTGATCCCTGAACCTGATCCGACGTATGCTTGTGACCCATCTCTCCCCTTTGACGACTCACCTTTGAAATGAGTTCATCATGATTTGCGAGATGAGCCCGGCAATGGACACACGAGTAGAATCTGTGACAATTTGCGAGATAGGCTTGAAACGTCTTGACCATGGTGCCATTCGCAGTGAAGGCGTGATGCTCACCCGTCGAGGGGTGACGAATCCGACCCACAGCAGCCATCCTTGCAGCACTCTGCAGGAAAGAGGGAAAAGACAAAAAATAATCGTAAATCAAATTAAGTACGTATCTATCTGTATGGTTCAATTTCTTAGAGCCAGAGGATATTACGTCCCTCGTAATAATTTAACCCGTCTCCTCTTTCCGTTCCACACTGTCAACGAAGAGCAATAACAAGCAGATTCTCATATAATCTAAGCTCCTCGTCAAACCAAACCAACAAATATAAACTCCTGCTATGAACCTACTTATTTTTTCGTTTTCATACAAAGTAGCGTTTTCAAAATTTTTGCCTAGTCAAAAAATGGCAAAGAAGGCATACATTTTTCCTAATAATGGAATTCTCCCAGCGTATGCTCTCCGATTTTGAGCAAACTAGTGCCAATCAATTACAAATTTAATTAGTATGAAATTGGCAAACGACAAACGACTCCCAATGGTCACATTTCGTGGAGATATTTGCATCCGACGAGGAGAAAGCGCGCCCTAAAATTGACAAAATTTATTGCGCATTTTCTCCTCTTCGGATGCAAATATCTCTGCCAAACGTGCCCATTGGGAGATTGTGCCCTTCGCACATTTCATACTAATTCAATTTGCGATCGATTGACACTAGTTTGCCCAAAATCGGATCGCATACGCTGGAAGACCTCGATTCTTAGTAAAAAGTCATTGCACTTGATGTCGCCTTTTATCCTCCAGTCTCTGTAAATTAACTAACGACGCATTTCTCTGAAGTTGGAATGTACACTCACCGTTCTTTCCTTGCACGGGTAGATCAAGCCAGTGCGTTTGACGGAGCAGGATCAACAAAATTCTTTGAAATCCTTTCCCCACACGGAAAATGCGACGCAGAGAGGAGCTATGCACGTACGTACGGAGTTCTGGTGGCCGTTGGGAGTGGAGTAGTCGAGAGATAATGCGACGACGAGGATGGTGATGAAAGTGCAAGTAGAAATTTCGGGTGACTTTCTCCCTTCAGTCGGAACAGTGGCGAGAGGCTTCTCCCTCCAGCAGCAGCTCGTCTAGTAACCTGATACATAATAATAAATAACAAAATCAGAATTCAATCAGGATTCAATTAACTGACATGTTTTGAAATTTAATACGCCTTTCACTCGTTCAACGTATGCACAGAGCTTTCTTTTCTACGACGCAATTTATTCCTTTCTCCGGAAAAGTGTGACGCGTTTGTATGAATGTTTTCATCAAATTTATTTTGAAACTAGGTTCTCTCTTTGTACAATTTCGTAATTTGTTGTTTGTTAGTTAGTTCGTTTAGCTGTCTATTCATCTGCGAGGAGGCAAAGGTAATGAGCAGGGGGCGGATATGCACTTATTTTCAACGCTTTCATTTGATGACAACCGACGGTCAAACGTGTGTTCCTTAACTCTTATGGATCACAAAAATTTCAAAATATTGTTTCATATTGGTACGTATTTCTAGGCTTTCAGACATAAATATTTCCGATATTATTTCAAAAAGACGTAAATCTTTTACATACTTTTTCAAAAACACATATATTTTGTAAATATTTCAACGATATGAGACGATTTTTTTTTCTCGAAGACATTGGACCACAAAAAATCCAGAGCATTATATTCAAAATTCCTATTTTATGATTTTGTTCCTACCTATTTTTGGCTTTTTTCGTAAATATTAAATACATATTTCATCGATTTTTCGAAAATACGTATCCGCCCTGTGGTAATGAGGATCGAAGAGGATGAAATGAAGCCATGGGAGGAGGAAATGAGTTATATGAAATTAAGAACTCTCGACTATAGCGTACGTTTTCCTTCTTTCCTTTCGCCATCCTCGCGTGCCAACAAAGTCAGAACAGAATACTGATTGCCACCCAGCCCAAGGTTTAATCAAGTGAATGTCATGAATCGCATCTATTTTCATTCAGAACTAAACTTTGTATGTATGCATGCAGTCGCCGCGAAAGCGTGGGGACAGAGGGACAATGTCCCCACGGCTATTCGATGTCCCCATCACCTGCCCATGTTATATAAACCCGCCAATGTTAATGTCCCCAGATGTCCCCACGGCTTCCGCGGCCACTGCATCCATGTACCCAAGTCATGCTTGTAACCTAAGCTTTAAGCTTCGTTGCTTGTATTGCAATTCCTTCCATGAAATTTTATATCCCAACCAAATTGCAAACGGACTGAAGAATCCAACTTCTTTTGATCCACATGGGACACGCTTTTTTCGCAAATGCAAATCAGGCGAGAGAACCGTGTCGCATTTTGGATCGCTATCAAGTCAAATCAAATCAAATCAAACCTTGAGCTTGATCTTTTATTCAAGATCAGGCGAGCATAATACGGAACCGTGGCGTACGTAATACACACAATGTCAATGTCACTCTGGAGAGAATTTTGCAACAATTACATACATAGCTTCATAAATAGGGCGAATTTGTCAAGCAGAAATTTTCCTGCAGATGCAATTCATTCCACACAACCGTGCCATACGATTAGAGGGTGGATATGTATTTACTTTCAGCTTTTTCATTTGATGACGACCGACGGTCAAACTTTGTTGGTGTGTTTCCTAACTCGTATAGATCACTAAATTTCAAAATATTTTTTAATATTTCTAGGTTTTCAGAGATATAAATGTTTCCGATATTATTTGAAAAACACAGAAATGTTTTACCTTTTTTTCAAAAATATGTATAGATTTTGTAAATATTTCAACGATACGAGACGAAATTTTTTTCAAGAAATTCGACCACAAAAAATCAACAGTGTTAAATTCAAACCTACAAATTTTTCGAAAATTCGTATTTTTATGATTCCTTTTCACATTTCGTAAATATTTTGGCATTTTTTTCCTAAATATTAACTACACATTTCACCCATTTTCCGTAAATACATACATATCCGCCCCCTGCATACCGTACTCGTTGCCCATTTCTATTTATGATCTCTCTCTCTGTATATTTATTCGACAATAACAACACAAGGTGACGACGACGACGAGCGGAGTGAAGGACACGTCAAATCTTCTTCAAAGAACGAAACATAACTCGGTTGAAATTGAGTTATTTCCATTTTAAATGGGAAAGAATATTGCATACATAAATATTACATTAAATTTATGCAAAAACCCGGCCATCCATCCATCCAGACCAGACCACTTATTACATATTTACTTTGTGGTGGTCCTTGTCGTCATCGTCATCGAAGCAGAGCCCTTTTTCTTGTCAGAGTCAGATTTCAAAGTAAAAAAAAAAGAAACTCGAAACTTTTCTCATCATCCGGAGAACGATTTCTTTTTCCTTTCCTTTCCTGCATGGAGAGGAAGAACAAGTTTCGTCTTATTTTTAGAACACTCCACGCAATCTGAGAGAGGTAACCAAGAGATGCTCTCCTCCTATAAGCATACTGATCACCACTTATGAACTGCCACTACTACTACGACTACTACGATGATGATGAACTTTGCATCCACCTAAGTACATTTTTAAACGTAAACTCCACCATAAAAGTATTATCACCTATTCCGAGCTAAACTACGCCATACGGAGGACAAGAGGAGGAAATCTATATCGAACGAAAGTTAAGAAAATAGAGGAGAGATAAGTACGAGGAGCAATATGCTATTAAAGTATTGAAGCAAGTCGACTGCTGGCTGGGTGAACAAACTGCGACGCGTATTTTATTTACGACATTGAACTTAACCTCGCCAACAAACCGTGGAGTCAGAGTCCGAGCAGCGGCCTGATTATTATTAAAATGTAGAGATAATTGGCATGGAGGGAGAGGAGGAATAATTGGCAGTTTGGCTATCCCACTACCATCACCACCACGATACTGAGATGCATATCCACGCGTGCAGAAAAAAAAACAATTGTGCACAACACCAAGTCGACCACCAAGTATTATTTATGTCGTGGATTTTTATAGAAATAAAATAAATATCGTCGACAACCGTTACTTTCGAGTGGGTAGGATTAGTCGCCTTTTTATTAATGGTTCATCATGATAATAATGACGGCGATCGACGACGGCCACGACCACGACCAGGACGATACTGTAATAATGAAGTAGGCTCAGCTAAATAAAACTGTGAGGAGTTATACGTACTTCTCGGCGTAGTAGTGGAACAACGCAAAGTCTTATGGAGCAGAGCTACTGTGCATATAACCCCAGCCATTAATGCAAATTGCAAAGTTGAACAATATTTCCGGAGTGGGCGAGTTTCGTGCATATAAATTCATAATCCATTCCATCCCATTCCCACTAATGCAGAGTTGTTCCGAACATAACAACAACTACCAAGACTCACTCACTCACTTGTCATGCCACGCCACACTTTTTTCCAACTTGCTTGCCTGGTTGGTTGCTTGGTTGGTTGGTGGAACAAGTGCATTGCATCTACAAATCCACATCCACTACATATTGCTAAATAGCAGCAAGCAGCATCAACTGATATGATGAGAGCACGCCATGTAATAAGCAAGTACGACTCGTAGTGAAGAGCGTTGTGTTGTATGTAAGGTCACCGAACTGCACCATGATTACAATGAGATGCAGTTAAGTCAAGCTAAAAACCTTCTTCTCCGACGATACGACCAACGAGAAACGCTTATTCCCATCAATGCCACAAATCACAATACTACAACTAAACTAAAGTATAACTTGGAATGGAGGTCTCCCAGGGTATGCTCTCAGATTTTGAGTAAATTGGTATCAATCGATTACGTAGTATGACTTTTGAGAAAGACACGATCTCCCGATGGGCACGTTTGGCAGAGATATTTGCATCCGAAGAAGAGAAACTGTGCAGTAAGTTTGGAAATTTGTCAAAATTGCGCATTGGGAGACTTGTCTTTTGCAAATTTCAAACTAATTAAGTTTGTGATCGATTGAAACTAGTTTGCTCAAAATCGGATCTCATACACTGTGAGACCTCCATTTTTAGTTACCTATAGCTTTTCGTCCCCGTTCTTAAATATTCTGCACGTCCATCCATCTGCACCAGGACTATTGTTGAAATTATGCCCGACTTATGTACGTGCGTATAATGAATACGTTGTGGGGTTCATTCTACAAGGAAGGAGAACGAACGACACCTCCGCACTATTAAATTCATGTATACATACACACATACATATCCCCAAAATTTAATCACCACCGTAATAATAACGACCATTTAAGTGCGGTGGATGAAAAATGGGAGTTGAAATTATGCCCAAATAGGTTCCGTGCAGGTTTCTATATTTAATAAGGAAGGCGGATAGCGTGGATATTTGGCTAATTGATTTCTCCAACTTTAAATTATTACAGTGCCCACAACTGGGTTTTCAAAAGTTGGATTTTCTCTGCCAAATTTACTTTACCCAATTATGGAAGGAAATTAGTGTAATATTTATCCCTTAAAACTGCCCCGGGACCCGTTTTTCTGACGTGTTCGCTTCATGATCAATCGATAGTGGCAGAAATAACTGAAAGTTTAAACCCCAGTCAAACCACATTACACGTTGCCTGACATGACATCAAACTGGCCGAGTTGAAAGCCACAAGCACCATGAATTTATGATGATCAGAAAAGTAAAATACTGAATGAACATGAGCTTCGCGTGGGAGTTGAACGTTCTGCTGCTCCTCCATTAACCAGCACGTTGGGCAACATCAACTCTCATTATGAACTCACAGAAGAAGAGACGGAGATCAGGAGGGTGTATTGTTTTACAGGAAAATCTTCTTACTTACACACCCAGACTGCGGGTTCTGCCCGTCCGTCTGCCTGTCTATCCATCCAAGATTGCATTAGCAATTCCTCCTCAGATTGGGTAAGACTGAGGAAATAATTATAATGATTAGTTCCCAATTATTTTCTTTATATAGAGGGAAAAGAGGTTTTGTAACTTTTCAGCTTTACACGATTTTTTAAAATCCAGAAAAAACGAGAAAACTTCAAGGGTAACTAATCACGTACACAACCCGAGTAGGAATCGATGTGCGGAATTCTGCAGTAATCGACAAAAGCTAGATGCGTATTGTACTCTGCATAATTTTTTTGCCTAATCTTGCAGAAAATTTGTATGGATTTTATTCTGCAGAACAGTGCTTAGTTTTCTACACAAATGTAGCTTTTTCTGGAGCAAATTGGGCCAAATTTCTGCAGGATAAAGCTTTTCAAATTTTTACTTGCGAAGGAAACCCGTGAGCCATTTTCTCTCCTCATGCAAACTTTTAGCCTTTTATTTTCCCTAAAGTGGTGGATAATAGGATACGAAAACTCGGGCTTTTGTTTTCAATTTATTTTTTCGTGAATGGATCCTCATTAGAATTGAGAGGAGATAAAAGAGAAAAACTTTTTCAACCTCTTCAA